GGTCTTTTGAAATTTGTTTTACTGAAATTGTAACGGACCTCTGGTTACGGTGATCCGCTCGTTAAGTATGAAGTTATAACTCTTTTGATTATGATTCATTTGAGTATGACTCATCAATTTCGTTATTAGTTTCATGCAAAAAATTAAACAATGACAAAAAAAAGTTCACAGTGTAAGTAATAATAGGGAAGTCACACTTATATTAAGTTTAACATAAATTAAATTAGGGTTTATTTTTTGATATCTAAAGTAGTTTGAATAAAGTTTTAATAGATAAGTTTAGGAAAAAACTAAAAAAGACGAAAATACTTGAAAAACCATTTTTCAAATAATAGCACAATTATTTCATTATTTGAAATGTTGAAGACTTTATTTTTCTACCAGAAATCCTTATAATCAAATTTAAAGAAAAGCATATTTTCTGAAAGCAAATTTTGTCTATAGTTTGTGAGTAAGAAAGTTGTTTAATTTTTCATATAGTTTTCCTAATAATTACAAAAACCGAAAAAATATGGTATTTGGGTTTTTTGTAGTTATTTGGTTAAAAATGATTGTAGAAACCTGTAGTTTTTAGAAAATACTTATGTTAGTCTTTTATACACGTGGTAAAATTTTTACTATTTTAACTGCTATCTTAACTATTTTTAGGCTATTTTAAGGTACCTATTTAGTATTATCATGTTTTTATATGTATTTTTATTTGGTAGGTATCTGTTATTAAACTTAAATTACTTAAGAGAAATGTTAGAAAATTTAATAAAAAGGTATATTGTAAATTGTACTTATTTCGTGTAAAAAACAAATTTGAGTTTATTCATTAATTAATTTTTTTTCAGCAGCAGCATTTTTGAATTTTTGGAAATTTGCGTTGTCGACAAAAATTCTTAGAATATACCCTGAATTATATACACTTACATTTATCAGTATAAACACTGTTTAACTGTATTAATTAATAAACTAACAACAAAATAGTGATTAAAACAAAAATTATTAGCAATTGTAAAAAAAAATTAATTCTTACAAAGGGAAGTCGACAGTGAATACGTCCACGATCTACCGCTATCGACCGTTTAGCCGTCCCTGATATACGTCATACTCATACTATTTTACACAATAACTAATCTGTAGGTTAGAAAAAAAAGCCATTCGCCATCATTAATTGTGACACATAAATAGTGAATTTCCAGAGTGAAGGTTCATTACATTGTATACTGTATTTTTATTGATTTTAAATTAATTTTTTAAGGTTCCTAGTAATCAAAATACCATCGCTTGTACATAATATGGAGGATGGAAGTCGATACATAAAGTTTAAAGGGTCGTCTATCCCACGTATGAGCAATACTCTTGTTATTTTTTCGGCAGTTATTGCCAAGGGGGTGGTTAATGGTATGTCTAAGTCAGATATTTTATATCGTAACTTAAAAATCACTTCAGTGGCACTGACTAGTCATAAAAACTGAACGATAAACGCTTCCGATGTGAACGTTAAACGCCATTTGTATAAGAGTACCACATGGAAAGATATAATACGGCTATTATTTATATATAACTACAATAGCACGAATATAATATTATATTCTACTTTTATTGCTACATAAGCGGCAATTGTAAATAGATACCAGTATATAAGTGAGGTAACTATTTAAAATAGTCGTTTCTTTAAAAGACAATTAACGCCTACCCTGGCATATCAATCTAGACTTTCGTAAATGTTCATCAATAAAATAAAATAGTTTTCAAACACAAGAGTCTCAACGATCCAATGTTTAACAATGTTAATACATTATTTATGGGGTTCTACCAAAATGTTCGAAGATGAAATTTCCCAAAATAATGTCCGAAGGTGAAAATATCCGAAGGCAAAAACGTCCGAAGGTAAAAAAATATAATACCTATATAATTATAATTTATAAATATAAATAATAAATTAAATACAATTTGAATACGTAATAAAAATATAAATAGTCATAATAATCGTCATAATTTTGGTAATAAAAATGGCAATGATAAAATCGACTAAAAAATATATTATTCTACTCTATATACAGAGGTGGCCAAAAGTCGCGCAACGCCTACCGTCATATATAGCATCTGTTCTTACACTATAATCGGTCCTTACTTTCACGACAGCACGGTAAACGGTCCCAAATACCTCGAAATGCTTGAAGAAGTCAAGATCGAACTCGACAACGATATCTTCCGTGGTATGCGAATTATCTGGCAAATTTTTTTCGTGACTTTTGGCCACCTCTGTAGTATACAATATATAATTACATTTAAAAATATACATTTCAAAAAGTTTTCATAGATTTTTTTTTCTTTTAGTGGTTTAGTATTTTCCCTTTGACCTATTTTGCACTAGTCAACCCCCAACTCCAACCGCATTTTTCAATTAATAGCTGGGAGTGAATGTGGAAATAATTTAGAAAACCTAAGATTCCCCATCCTTCAGTTTCGTTATTAGTTATCTAGCTACCTACAGTGTACGAACCGGATATTTTTACCTCCGGACATATTTTCATTGGACATTTTTTTCCGGACATTTATACCTACAACCTTTATTTATTATAACTACGCAAGTCCGTATTAAGGCGTAAGCAATGTAGGCTGCAGCCTACACAACCACGGATTTAAGGGTACCGTATAGTGCATACTGTCTTGATGTTATTTTAACTAAAATATCTGAAATCTGAAATAGTAAATTAAACCCAATTTACCTTCTCAACAAAAAATACTTATTTTTCTACAATGTACATGGTTTTGTTTAGTTGCTAGATACAATAATATATTATTGTGATTCAAAGAAAAGGAGAAAAATTCGGAAAACTGTTCTGTCTAATATATTTTGTTTTGTTAGTTATTTTGTTTTGACTCGAATACACAGCAGGTACCTACACAAAACCTGTCAAGTGTTAAAATGACCGATGAGTTTTTGAACTATACATTGACGTTCAGAACATGTGCAGTATAGTTTTTATTCAAAAACCACATTGATATCATTTCCATTCCTCTCACACTCATCTAACCTAAAGTTAGTATTCTGACATATGGCAATTCACAATATTCTGGTAAAATAGATACGAAAATAATATTATGTTAAATATTTCTGAATTCTCAAAGTAAAATTATGTTACACACAAATACTAAATAAATACCTATATAAAGTTATTTAATTAGCTACTAAATTTAAATAGGAAATTTTAAACATCAACTTGTATACCGTACAAATTATGATAATATCGTGTGAATATATAGGAATGAAATATTTGTTTATTCTATTCGTTTTACTTCTTTATTATATTTACTTATAGAATATAAGATTTTATTAAAAAACAGTAAAACTGTAGATATGCCAATTTAATTTTAGATTGCAAGTGAAACGAGAAATCTTTTTGGTTTTTTTGATGGCATTGATTTTTTTTTTATTACTGCGTTATCATTTTTATAAATAGAAAAATAAACGAAAATTTTTATGAAATCTCATTTATACTCTTCTTCTTTTCCTTTCCCTTCATTCCAACTATTTGGGGTAAACCACCGTTGCTGGTGCTTACATACACCAGCTATTATCATATCATTATTGATTGTATCCAATCACCTCTTTTCGGTCTTCCTTTCCCCCTTTTCTTGCTACATTTATTTTCATCACAACTCTTACTATTTAAAATTTTTCTCTCTTCATAAAGTGCCTAAATCATGGTAGTCATTTTCTCTCATTTTGTCTACTATCGAAGTCACACCTAAACTACCCTTTTTGGGTCTCATGTACTCATTCCTTACCCTGTCTACTCTCATCACTCTGCTCATTCACTAAATTATTCTTATTTCTGCTACACTCATACTCTGTTTTATGTTTCTGTCTACTACCTTACATTCTTAACTATACAACATATAGTCAGTCTCGCCATACTTTTATAGAATATACCTTTAAGTCTCAGTGAAATTCTCTTGTTACATAAAACACCCGATGCTTCTCTCCATATAATCCTATATTTCACATCCTCGTTAAATCACCGTTATTTTGTACAAAAGATCCTAGGTACCTATACCTACTTAAAACTCTCAACCTCGCATATTACCTATACGTCACCGCTTATTTGCATTAGCTGTCTTTAAACATCAAAATTTCACTCCTACTTTTCAGAATTTCAAAGTGAGGATATAAATTCTTTTTTAAATTTAATTCTACTTATACCTTTCACTACGCTTAAAAATTCCAAATATCAGAATTTGAATTTATGCATAATTTAAAAATTAAAACAAGGTACGTACTGAGCATATTTAAAATATCACTGTATAGCTTTATAAATATCTATTTAAGAAAATTAACTTAATGAAGGGGATATAACCCATCACCCCCCTCGTTTAACCGCCCCTGAACAATAATGTATTGACAACATATAATTTATCAGAAAGAAATCAAAATAATTCAACTATATTAATTTCGTCTTTTTTAAAAGTTTGGGCCTCTTTCAAGTACTGATATGAAGAGTATAAAAGTTAATGGTTTAGGTGATGCAGACATAAGTAACTTGCCTAAGCAGCCTGATAAAAATTTTTATAGCGGTAGACAGAGAAATCCAAAATTTATCTTAGAAAAGCTCTTGACGTACTGGCTCAAAAATCAAAAAAAAATTGATATCACTTTGTAAATTCGAAATTTTAATCTTAAATATACTATGTTACAATTAAATGTATGTTGTTTTATATAAGAAAGGGGGTGGGGGAGCTTAGCTCCCACTACTCACTTTTTAATACATTTTCATATCCCCCTCCCAATAAAAATCCTGAGAACGCCTCTTATAAGGGTGACCGACCACAAATAACTGGGATAAAGGTGAAGAAGGAAAAGATTCATTTTACGAATTATCTGATTTGAACTTGGTAGGTATTTTTATTACTATAGTCATACAAAAATATAATAAAATATTCCCCTAATCCCGATTTCCCGGTAGTCCTATCCGCCCATGCCAGAACAGCTGATTGCAATATAGTATTGATAACGGTGCTATCGTCAAATCACGGAACTACTGTAATCGTAATTCGTACCGAAATGTTATCAGTACATTACTCCCCGTGGCCCGTTTCCGTAGTCATTTATACATTATTTCTTCTGTTTGTGTGTGTGTGTGTACCTACGCTGTGTAGGAAATATTTTTTGAACATTTTCTAAGACTATTAACTGAATTAACACATTTTATCAAACATAAAACATTATGAACTTCGAACCTGATCTAAAACAGTATACCATGTGCTCAGTATTGGGTTCGTGTTTCTCGGACCGAGCTATTGTACTCCTAGGAAAACATAACAAAAGCGGAAATTTGGTCGCCATGAAAAACTTCAACTTGGATAGTATGTCAAAAACCGATTGTCAACTTATACAGGACGAAATCTACAATACGAGACAACTAATGCACCCAAACCTTATACCATATGTCACGTCTTTCTTGGATAATAGTCAGTTGTACGTGGTGTTTCCTTTAATGGGATATGGGTCATGTCGAGATTTATTAAGAAACCATTTTTTAGAAGGACTACCAGAGACAGTGATAGCTTTCATACTCAAAGATGTTCTTCTAGGACTCGAGTACATACACCACAAAGGACTTATACACAGGTTTGTAATGTTTTGAAACTTTGATCAAATACAATTTTGTTTTATAATTTTTGTTTCTTGAATAGGGCTATAAAGGCAGGCCATATATTGATCCGTGCAGATGGACATGCATGTTTGTCGGGCTTACGTAGTATGTGTCCAATTGATAAGCGATACAATTTACATTCCTTACCACTACAATCTGCTAACAATTTAAACTGGTCCAGTCCGGAAATGCTTGAACAAAATTTGCTTGGATATAATGAAAAGACTGACATCTATAGTATAGGCATAACTTTATGTGAACTGGCTAATGGTTTTGTTCCTTTTGCTGAAACTGATACCACAGTAATGCTTACACAAAAAGTCAAAGGTCTAATTCCACACTTATTGGATTGCAATACTTGTTATCCATTTGAAGACAATGCAGCCGATAATGGTTACCAATCTGAAGAAACTATTGGCATGAATGCAGCACCTGTAAGCAATGTTTATACAAGAATGTTTACTGAATCCTTTCATAATCTAGTTGAATTATGTTGTCAACGAGATCCAGAAAATAGACCTTCTGCACCAGACTTATTGGCTCACAACTTTACAAAACAAGTGTGTTACTTAAAAAAATATATATATATATATATGTACAACTATTTAGTACTTTTCGTTTCTTCTTAAAACTAAATTTTAAAACAATTAGTTGTAGGTACCTATATTATTAATTAAATTAAATTCTTACATCTTATCTAAGCTATTAATTTGTATATACTTAGATCAGTGACAAATCCAGAAGGAGTAATTGCACTCACTTACCTTCATTCCCTCTGATATATTCTTAACTTGATTTTCGTCAAAACTGTTTGCTTTACATGAATTTTAAAAATCACCATTTCCCCCTTTTATCTTGTCATACCTTCTGATTCATTTCTATTTTTAAAAAATAGTTAATTTTTCTTTATAAAGAATTCTACTTAATTCAACATTTTTACAGAATATAATACTATTTAATAGTTAAATATATCTCCAAATATAAATTAAAAGGTATAACTTTCTAATGTAACTGGCAAATGAATTCACCGAGGCCTAGTTCATGGCACTAGAATGATTTGTTACTTCTAAATCTGTGAATTATTCAATCAAACAAATTTAATGTATTATTAAAACAAGTAATGTATTCCAGTCGAGTGTCCAATGTATGCCACATTGAACATTAGTAATAGATAAATAACCATACGGGCAGAACTAGTAATATATTTGTCATCAATTTGATGTGATCAAATGGTTTTCTAAATATTTCACCCAGAAATAAATAGGTACGTTAATATTTTTTTTTTATTATTGATTTAGGAAAATTATAGTCAAAATAAATAATATTGCATTTGAAAATGTTTAAAAATCAGTACTTTATACAAATTAATCTACTAACCATAAAGTAAAAGATGCTATGTATATTATGTGAAAATATATAATCTTATTTATTAATGATTTCTTTATTTAAAAATGAAATAAGTATTAATTATAAAATGTATTGTTATTTGATTCATGAATTTATTAAAGATATTTTTGTTCTATTTCAATATTAAAGACAAATTATAGGTACTGTTTGAATATATAAGATATATTTATTTTATTTGACTTTGTATTTAATTCATATTTAATATATCTATACCAAATAAGTATGTATGAAAAAATGTATTGATAGTTGTTGAATAATGAATCTATATAAAAACATTTATATTTATAAAATATTAAGCAAAAAGTTATTTATTAAATTAAATTATAATTATGTATTACTGAATATTATTTTTACAGGTGAAAAGAGTTAGTGTGAAAGTTACTGATCTTTTACGGCCAGCTGTACCACTTTTGAAGACTAATGTTGCAGAAATAAGTGATGATCTTGCTTCTATTGGGGGTATGTCTCAACAATTGAGCGATATTGACCTTTTGGCATACGCATGGGATTTTGATCTTAATGACATAGATTTACAAACACTATGAACACTTATTGCCAGTATTAGTATTAATTAGTAAGTGCTTCTCCTTATTGATAATATATGCAACACTTCAATAATATATGAAACTATAAACATACACATAACGTTACGATCTACATAGTATCCCACAAATGATATTTTATCTAATATTGATAATTCATTAAAAAGGTATTGTTACCCTATTTCCCCAACCTCAATGCTACTACCACTTTTATTTTTGTTTTGTTTTTTCTTTATTGTGTGTTTTTAACCTAAAATAAATCTTTAAGAAACTGTATATATTAATATTTTAAGTTCATGTTATATTACTATTTCTAAAAAACTTAATATTTGTTAGTTATAGACATTTTACTAATCATGGATATTCAAGTTCTACCTTAATTTTTTATGATTAGTCAAGAAACTTTTGTAGGAAGATGTAATACTTGGTATTTAATATTAGTTTTAATATTAATCATAATTACTCTAATTACTTTAATTAAATAACCTCATAAGAATTATGAAATGGTACTAAAACAAAGTGTTATTTTTATTTGGTGCTTTTCTAGGTTTAATTTTTATTTTTTTGTGCCAAAAAAATTGATCTCTTATCATTTTATTTCCAATGCTTTCAAAACTCATACATGATCATTATTTTAATTTTGTTTTTTTATAAAATCAATCATTGATGTGTAATTTAGCAATGTAAAAATTGTCGTAGTTATGGTTTTTGAATTAGTTATATAACTAATTTATTTGTATATTTCTATCTTATATAAAACAAAACAAATAATACGACATTCTCAACATTGCTCAATTTTAAAGCATTATACTTATTTTTATTTAATTTGAGTTTACATAAATAACACAATTATTAATTTACATAGTGTTGTGCACTATATTTTGTATTCCTTGTTCTAAATTTAAATATGGTATTTGATATTCAAACATTTTAAAAACCATACATATTTTATAACTAAAATACAAATTTTCAATCATGTGTTTTTTTATTCTTCATATTGATTATGTTCTATATTTAATAAATTACATTTTTATTTTCTAGTTTATCATTCTATTATTATTATGACTATTATTTTATACTTTTGTTGTTTATTATAGATGAAATGTATTATTACTAATTTGTTCTTCTAAAGCTTACCTATTAAGTTAAACATTTTGCACAAACATTGAATAACTGTATTAATAAATCTTTATATTATATTATGTATGAAATTACATTTTAAAAGCTAAATGTAAACCCTATTTATTGGATTTGTTATTATTACCACCTTTTCTCAATAAAAATAATTGTTTAACTAGAAGTATTGTTTTAAAATGTGATAACAATGAAATAAAATTAAAAACTAGAATAATTTCAAGTTGGAATATATTATAAATGTCAATGCTTACTATAATTTATACAAATGAACAATTAATCAGTTATATACACTAGCAAAAAAGTAATTTAGTATTACAAATAATAATAGATAACTAAGAGTTTAGAGAAATGACACCTAATTATGTAAGTATATTACCCTGTAATTGGAATACAATTTAATTTAGTAGAGAACTTAAAAAAAAACCTCATGTATAAAAAATATTTATTAGATGTGAAAATTCTCAAATAGGTATCAATACCAAATTTTGAATGTGAACTGACTGACAAATAAAATGTATATTTCTGAATTAGTATTTTTAGGTATTTATCTACTATGTAGTTTAAAATCTAAAATTCCTTAATATTTTAAAATATACACTCTGGTGAAAAACTTGAGTACAATATTTGTTTTATTGTATAAATAATTAATTTTATTCCTTAGATTTTAAAATTAACTGTTAGAAATTATACTTTTTTAGTGGTTGACTTCTGTTCGATTATATTTACAATTAATTAAATATTATTATCAGAAAGAGAATAAAAGATAGGTACTTTCCCAATATTACAAATTCAAAATCTATTTTTTTGAAAAAGTATTGTTTAAAAATTATTTGTTGTTAGTGTAAATAGAAACAGGCTATAAAGTATTTAAAAGTTTTAAGGGGCCTAGTAATTATATTGGTTTTTTCTGTCTGACGTCTGTAACAAAGGCATTCCACACGACCCCACTTAACCTAGAAAGTTAAAACCATGAAGACTAGAATAAGGAGACCAAACCATACACGGACATCTGCATGAAATATCATCCCAATATGAGTAGCCCAATTAAATGACCACAGGCTGCACTGTGTACACACTAGGGTTGCTACTTTAACCCGTGTAGTATTGGGGTTATTCATGAGGTTTTTTGGAAAATATATGCATTATTTCGAACTATGACCCATAATAATTTTTTTTAGCTCGTAAAATGACGCATTCATACATGTGCATGTGTGTATATTTCATAAACATACCCTACAATGCAATGACAACAATTGTTATAAATTACCCATCTACGTGAGATAGTAATTGTATTAATTAACTGTAATGGAACATGAATATGATAATATATTAAATGATTTAAATTATTAATGTACAGACAAAAACATACATTTTTGAAAAATGAGTTTAGGTCATAAACTAGATTTGTTTCAAATACGTCTAGTATTTTAGTTAAACTCAACCAAAAAGTGGCATTCGAATTCGTAATAAATTTAAAACCGGTTGACAGTTTTTAAAAATTCAATGTTCATGGAATAGAAGGACTTATGTGTTATCAAGTATTATCAGTGTTATCGTATACATTTTTATTGACTATCGAGTGTCATGAATACAATTTAAAATATTTCAAATCGTAGTCATGCATATACCTACACTTTCAAAGTTTAACTGAACACATGTTTAATACATTAAGTAGTTGCATTTAATACAGTTATTTTACTATGGATTCGGAACAATTGCTGAAATATTTGGACATTAAAGAAACCATAGACACGTTCGACCTATCTAAAGAAATCAATGTGGACCATCAAAAAGTAATTGGTACTGTTAAAAGTATACTAGCATTAGGAAATATTATTACGGCTGATCCAATAACTAGCAAACATTGGGAACTTACTGAAGAAGGAGAATCAGTATTATTGAATGGTAGTCATGAGGTTAACTTATATAATGCTATTCCGTCTGATGGAATAGTCCAGAAAGAATTAATGTCACTTATTCCAAATGCCAAAATTGGATTCAGTCAAGCTATGGCAAAAGGTTGGATAGTTATTGATCGAACAGCAAATAAGGTTATGAGAAAAGTTGATTCAGTTGTTGATAAGGTCAAGCAAGATTTATCAGAATTGAAAGCTTTAAATGATGAAATTTCTGAATCTAACAAAAATGACTATAAAAAGAGGAAATTAATCAGAGAAGTAGTCATTAAAAGTTTTAAATTAGGTATATACATTTTAACATTTTCAAACATTATTTTTTCATTTTTATCATTAATTTATTAATATTATTTATAGGCAAGGGTACAGAATTTACTACTTCTATTATCAAGCTTGAAACTGAACTTACTCCAGAAATGATATCATCTGGTTCGTGGAAGACAACATCATTTAAACCTTACAATTTCGAAGCTTTAGGGCAACCACTATTGACAGGTTGTTTACATCCTTTATTGAAAGTACGCACAGACATTCGGCAAATATTTCTTGAAATGGGTTTTACTGAAATGCCCACAAACAATTTTGTTGAAAGCTCATTTTGGAATTTCGATTCATTATTCCAACCTCAACAACACCCAGCAAGAGACTCGCATGATACTTTTTTTCTGGATGACCCCAAAACTTGTGAAAATTTTCCTCAAAAATATCTTAATATGGTAAAAGCTGTACATTCTGAAGGTGGCTATGGTTCTCAAGGATATGGTTATGATTGGTCTTTGGATGAAGCTAAAAAAAATGTTTTAAGAACTCATACTACTGCTGTAAGTGCTCGTATGTTATATGGTTTGGCCAAAGATTTCAAACCAACCAAATACTTTAGTATTGATAGAGTATTCCGAAATGAAACTTTGGATGCTACACATTTGGCAGAGTTTCACCAGGTTGAAGGAGTAATAGCTGATAACAATCTAACCTTAGGAGATTTAATTGGAGTTCTTCATACCTTCTTTGAGCGATTAGGAATGAATGAAATAAAGTTTAAACCGGCATATAATCCATATACAGAACCAAGCATGGAAATATTTTGTTTTCATCAAGGACTAAATAAATGGATTGAAATCGGCAACTCTGGAATGTTTCGACCTGAAATGCTCTTACCAATGGGTTTACCAGAAAAAGTTAATGTTATTGCGTGGGGGCTATCTCTAGAGAGACCCACAATGATTAAATATGGCATTAATAATATTAGAGATCTAGTTGGACCTAGGGTTGATTTACAAATGGTACAAAATAATCCAATTTGTAGATTAGACAAATAAATAATGTTATTTACTTATACGATACAATATATAATATGATATAATTAATTAATCTATAATACTTCTTATTTCGCTATTGTATTAAAAAATCCTTAAAAATCTACATCTTCTCCAAAAAATGCTTTCCAAGATTCTGTTAATGCTTTTTCAGCAGCATCTTTTCTTTCTTCGTCGGGCATTGCAGATATTTTTTCTTTTAATTTTCTTACCTTGTCAATAGTTTTGAAAAAGTCATTATCTACTTCAAACATTTCACCTAAAGTGTAAATAATTCATAATATCAATCAATGTTTTTTTTTTTATATATAAATAGGTTTTAACATATTTTAATTACTAAATAAATCAGTATCCTGTTCTGTATCCATTTTTAGATCTGATAATTCTCCACTTAGTTGGCTATTTATTACAGTATCTTCAATAACTGCTTTTGTACTAGGATGAGTTATTTGACCTTAAAATAATGATCTTCAAAATTAAAATGGTACAATAAGATTTATTTATATTCAGATTACATACATTTGGCTTTGAGATTAGGCCAATGATGTGCATAAAGAGCTTGTCGCACACGTTCAATTCCAGTTGTATCCATTTCATCAGCAATTTCATCCAGCACGATTAATTCAAAATTATTTTTTCGACACCATTCAAATACTTAAAAAAAAGTAACAAATAATGTTAGATGATTAAATTGTACTTATATAATAAAAATAAGTTTTACTTGTGTTAGAATTGACATTCGTGGACATTTCATCTATTTTTTTTTCACTCAATAGTATCAAAACTTCTGCCTGACTTTGTTTAACTACAGGTAAACATTTATCCATGATTTCAATCATATTACTCTGAATAAATAAATTATTATTTATTTTGTACTCCATCAAATTATTACTTTATTATTCATTATGAATATTTACTTTTTCAATATTGAAAAGAATAATTATAGCATTAACATTATGTATAAATTGTTCAGATAACTCGTTTAAATTATTAGAGGTACACAAATTGATATCAGCAGTATAGTATTTACAATCAATTGTCCAACAGTTTGATAAAATATTCCCTTCGTAGTTAGATACTTGGATATTCTCTTCATCTCTTATTACTATAAACATAAATTGTGTTGAAAAACAATGTTAATGAATACAGAATACAAAATAGATAACTTATAAAATTCTTTAAAAATAATAGAGAAGTAGTTTAATAACTAAGTGTTTATTAAACAAACATGCAGTAAATCACCAGAAATATTTTAGAAATTGTTTATAATGGCATTTAAGAAATTGTAAAGTTATTTTATTTTATGTTAATGATTGCTAACAACTTAATTTCACAAAAACCTGAAAAATCAGTCTAAATAATTGATGTGTCAATAATTATTAAATACAATTAATAATATTTTTATTGACATTTTCTTACAGTTAGATTATTTAAAAAAATTAGTTATGGAAAATAAACAAAACATTATGTAATGGCCCTAAAATATTAAAATTTATTATGGTTTCATTTTAGAGCAACCCAACACAATTTAAAATCTATGCAGATATACTCAGTTAGTTTAAATAAATTATATTTCATTAATCTTACGTTTTATTGTTTTCAAAGGATCGTCATCACTACAACTATATATGAGAACACACGGGAATTTATTCATTGACATGTTTAAAAAGTGCTACGTTATTTAAGCAGATAGTTTAACATTTAAATATTTTCAAAAGTTTAACTAAGGTTAATTGATGTTTTTAAATTTGTGGAATAATTCAAATATAAAATTAAATATATCATAAAGATTTGGACGTTGAAATAAGTCATTATTTAATAATAATACATATACATACATATAAATATTATTGCATAAAGATAACTTAATCAATATAACAATATGTTGTGATAGAAATCCAGAAATAATCAGCTGGTGATAAGAAATTGGCTTTTTTTTTATAATATAAATAATGCCAATAATATAGGCAAGTTTTATCTGTATTAATTTATAGTTTCATAGTATTATTAAAGATTTGTGTAACCTGTAGGTTACTGAGATCATTTTTATACTACTTGATATCGACTTATAACAATTAGTAGATACTATTATATACTTTAGAAAATTTAAAATTTTTATAAGTGAATTCTATCATTATATAAGGAATTTTAAATAACCAAACAATGAATCCTTGTACAATTCCTGAAGTTCCCATTGATATACAAGGTGACAACAGATGGATGAGCCAGGTATATTATATTATAATTTGTTATTGTTAATTGGTAAATAATATGTAAAGTAATTAATATATTTACAGCATGAACGTCATGTGTCTGAAGCCAAAGAACGTGAGCCAGATGTTATTATGATTGGTGACTCAATTATACAGAAGTTACAGACTTGTCCCATATGGAATGATTTATTTGAGCCTCTCCATTGTTTAAATTTTGGTATTGGAGGTGATCTTGCCCAAGGAGTATTGTGGAGAATCCAAAATGGCATTCTTGACAATATTAAACCTAAAGTAAGTTATACTAAGTTGTAAAATTTTAATATGTACATGTTACAATGAAAACTTAAATATCAGTCTAATCTAGTATATACACTTCCACTTTTAGTTTGTTGTGTCTGAAAGTTTTGTACTTATTTTATTATATTAATTTCTTTACAACACCTTTAACTGAGTAAAATTTGTTATTTATTGCTGATCAGTGGCGCAACCAAGATTCATTGTCAGAGAAGAAGGAGGTTATGAATTTTAAATAAATTTCTAAACAAGTTTTTGGGATAGTAAAATATAAATTTCTACATAGGTGACATGCACAATATATACGTATTTAAAATTACAAGGAAATATCCATAATTGTAAAACAAATTATGTAGCTATATGTTTTAGATAGAATTTGTATAAATCTCAAATTTTGAGAGGGATTGTAAAACTCAAATCCTCCCTTTGGTTGTGACACTGCTAACTATTAAATTTTATTTATTTTCAGTACAAACTTTTTAATTGCCTACTTGGCTGAATATCGTTGATTTTAATTATTGTTAATCAATCTGTTCATTTAACACTCACACAATTAAACTTTAATATCAAAGAGTTTATTGGTGGGAGGATCATGGAATAATGTAAACAAATTGTTGAGTCTAAAAATAAAAATATTTGTACTTAAAAAAAATTACATTAAATAAAACATACCAAAATGTAAAATATTTTAATATAAGTATCTAGAAAAATATTGTGAAATAATATTAAGTCAAATTTAAATTCTCCTTTTTAATTTCTTTCTTTTTTTTTTTTTAATGGTTTATTGTTTTTTGCTAAATAGTCATTTGATTTACTAGTATTTTTCTAAAAAAAGCAACTTTAAGTCATTAATTAGTCAATAGTAGAACAAATTTCATTTTATTAAAAATAATAGTTAATTGACTTGAATACAATTTTACAAAAAAAATGGCAATTGATTAATAAATCCTAATCCTAATTCATATAAAAATGTTTTTTATTTATCATAATACTATAATTTTAAATTTGAAAACTTTCAAAAATACCCTAAAAAACATTTGATTTAAAGCACTAGTATAAAGTTATCAAGTGCTGATAATTATAAATCTTGAACTATTATTTACTAATTTTCTTTTTGTTGATTTTATAATGTCTTAAAAATGTACAAAATCCTAAATTGTCATAATGTATACAGGTCATAAAACACATTTTCTTATTAACTAGCTATTTGTTGTTTTACCAATCATGAAATTATCAGAACATTGATTGTATTTTTATTTTTCATTTAAATTGTTCAGGCATGTGTTCTTCATGTTGGTACCAACAATTTTGGCAACACTCCTGAAGAAATATCTGAAGGTATTTTAACCATCATCAATGAAATCAGATCCAAACTGCCCGAATGCTACATTATTTTGTTGGTAATTAATTATATGTTGTTATTTATAATTCTTAGTATATTATAAATGTATTATTTAACTATAGATAAAGTACAGAAATTTGTTAATTGACACTTTTCTAATTTGAATACAGTATAGTGTTATTTTCTTCTTAAGCACTTAATTTTTACTAGATTTGAATGTCTCATTATTGCTACCAATATCCCTTTCCATTAGTCTTTTGCAGATGATTCTTCTTTTAATACTTGTTTGGTTTTCCATCTGCCCTCTTAACATGACAAAACCATTATGCTATAAGAGAATATCAAGTCAATATAGTGTTAAATTATAAACAAATAATAAATGATTATTTAATAATAATAGAGATGTGACGAACTGTTCGATTTTCAAACCGAACTAAAAATTTCAAATAATCAAACTCAACCATATAACTAATAGTTCGATTTGAAAATCATTTGATGCCAATTTTGCAGTCAGTGATCATCAATACGATATTCTGTGGTGGGATAAAGCAGCATTATTAATAACTTATCCCAGATAAATAATAATTTGTCTAATAACTGATATTATTTATTGTTTAACTAATTTATTATATAACATATAGAAATCATTATTTTTATATAAAACACAAACAAAAACCTTAATTGTAATTTTGTTTCTAGGATTTATTACCTCGTGGTGCAAAGCCAAATCCATTACGTGTTCGTAACTCTAAAGTTAATGAAATAATTCATGAAAAAGTGAAATCAATTTCCCGACTGGAAGTGATTACAGTTAATACTGGTTTGTTGCAGTCAGATGACACTCTTAGTGCTCAAGATATGCTTGATTACTTACATCCGACTGATTCGTGTTATCGTAAAATATTTGAACCGGTACATGAACTACTATTACACATTCTTGGAGAAGCCAAAGATGTTGACAAAGAATTAATTGGCACTCAATAATATTTATATGTTCTTTATACGCACAAAGGAAAAAATCTAATTTTGTATTGTGATTTAAATTCATATTTTCTTAATAATTAATTTATGCTTTCTTATAATTATTGTGGGGCCTTTATGCATACAAATTTTGTTCCTAATTGTAATAGACTGTTCTTTTGGGTTAAGAATTAAGTTTATCTTTAATTATTAAAGTAAAGCAATATTCAATATTGCTTCTAAGCTTTTACTATTACTTATTAATAAAATTGGGCAATTCATAATTCATAAGTTTTAATTTTTAATTTTTTTTTAAATTTAATTTAATTTTGTAAAATTTAATTTAAGTACTTTTTATGCATTAATATATTACAAACAAATAATTTGTTGACTTTAATACTAAAACTTAATTTGTATTTAATATTAATGTTTTTATAAAGATAAACTTAATATAAACTTATATGTTTATAATTTCAGATCAAATTTATATTTATGCGTTGCACAAATTTTCAAAAAAGAGTTGCATTTTTCTTAATAATTAGATAAATATTTTATCTGCACAAAATAATAAATGATTTATACAATTTAACATAATATTTTTAAAGAATGTATGAAATTGTTGAGGTTAAAAATTTGATTTTAAATTTTGAAGACCTTCAAAATTAAGATAAACTGATAGTTTTCAAAAATTTAACAAATCAAAGTGATTTGTGACTAACTGGTTTAGTCATCCAAAGTTGCAAATCCCCATTTGTCCTCACTAAAACCTACCTATTTACCTTATTCATTATTAACAGTATCTTTAATGTATTTGTTTTCAATCTATACAAATTATGCTATTTGATCTATTCTTCACTGTTTTACTTGTTGATTTACGACAATGGCATATTTATGGTGAAGCAAAGTAGTAGCATAGTGAACATTTATGAACAATGATTCATACAACATAATATGTCCTTAATCAATTTACAAGTAAAACAAATAAGTTGAGATACCTATAATTAACTATATTTGATAGTTTCAATTTGTCATGTGCTTCAACTTAATTCTTCACCCTCTTTATATTCGTTACTTCACGTCTAATGGTATAGAAAATTTGGACACCAAATTTTAATTTCAATGGCATGACTACTAATGAACAATCTATGGTCTTCTCATAGAAAACTCTGTACACATTTATCTACATAATATTTAATAGTTAACCAAAACTGGTTATTGAATGGCGGTTGATAAATTCCATACACATATACACATATTTAACTAATCGTCAATTCCGAGTCATACATGAAGAAGCGATAACTGAATGAAAAGATATATTAGCTTAGTACCACAAGATAGTGTCTAAGGATCTATCCTGTACCTACTCTACACAGTTGATATACCAAACGATGACAACACAACGATAGCTATGTTTGCCAATAATACGGCAATTTTGTCGACAAGTAAAAATCAATTAACTGCAATTGATAACTTACAAGAATCAATAGACAATATCTTTGCCTGGACGAGACGTTGGAAAATTAAGATAAATGGTGATAAATCAGTACATGTCAACTATACGTTACGTAAAACAAAAGAAATCTAAATTATGTTGAATCAAATATTAATCCCACAAAAAGATTCAGAAAAATACCTTGGAATGCACTTAGATTCCCGTTTAAACTGAAAACACTATGTCCGTTAAGAAAAAAATAAAGATTAAAGAAAAAATGTGAAAGCTATATTGGTTAGTTATACTGCACTCCGAGTTAACTATAGAAAACACACTGCACAGTTCAATACTAAATATGTAATTTTTTTTTATTTGACATAAACAATCTATACAATAATTTAGCACAATAAGTTTATATGATAAGAGTAGTAAAAAAAAAAAATAATATGAAAGGTGGGATTAAGCAGCCATCCATTAGTGACTCTTGGCTATTGGTTAGTTAGATTTTTTTCCCCCTTTCCTTTTCTTTTATTTTTTTTGTTCCACTAAGAGTTGTTAGACATTGAAGTTTTGTAAAAGGTCACGGCACCATTTCCTTTTTAATCTGCAATTAGGGTTTCCTGGGAGAGTAGGGATGGAGAGATCTTTTATGAGAGGGTTAGAATGGGTTTGGAGTCGTTTATGAAAGTGTGTGTAGAAAATGTGTGCTTCCTCATCTATTGTTCTCATATGGAGATCATTATGAAGAGTTTGGTTAGAAATATAGGGCGGAGTATTAGATAAACGTCGGAGTGACATATTTTGGAACGTTTGGATTCTATTAGTGTTAGATTTTTTTGCCGCACCCCACAGCTAGAGTCCATACGTCCAGACCGGTTTCAGTAGAACTTTGTAGACCAGTAGTTTGGTGTTTAGGGTGGAGCACTTATTTCTAATTAGCAGAGATCTGAGCATACGCATACGATTGTTTAAGGTTAGACGTTTGGGTTGAAGGTGTTTGTTCCATGTTAATCTTTTGTCAAGGAAAAGTCCTAAATATTTAACTGTGTCGGATGTGGGAATTGGAACATTGTGGAGAGTAATGTTTGGACATATTCCTTGTTTGAGAGTGAACGTTGTGTGTATAGATTTGTTTTGATTAATTTTGACTCGCCATTTTTCATACCATTGGGACAAGTAGTTAAGATGTACTTGTAAGTTAGATGAGGCAATTTAAAGGATCATCATTGATAGATAAAATAACTTTATCATCGGCATAATCCGCTACAATAGTTAGTTGCAAGGTGGGTTGATCTGCTACGTAGATGTTGAACAGAAAGGAGAAAGTATACCACCTTGTGGTACAACCACTTTAATTGGTGCTATTCCCGATGTCGACGAATGAAATTTGACTTGAAAGTGTCTATCAGTTAAATAAGATTTAATTAATAGGTATAATGAGGAGGGGGACATTTTTTTAGTTTAAATTGTAGGCCTTCATGCCAAACTCAGTAGAAGGCTTGAGCAACATCTAGAAAAACACAAGAGCAATAAAGCTTTTTTTTCAAGGGATGTAGAAATAACATCAACCACTCGATGTAATTGATGTATCGTACTATATGAGTTGCGGAACCCGAACTGGGTATTTGGAAGTATGTTGTTAGTGATAATATGTGGTATTAAGCGTTTTGAAATAAGTCTTTCCAAGACTTGAGAGGAATGGTAAGAGACTTATTGGTCTGAATGAGGTTGGAGTATCGAGTGGTTTGTTCAGGCTTAGGAAAAAGAACTATTTTAGAGAATTTCCATAACATCGGAAAATATGACAGTCTGAGAATAGCGTTAAATATATATGTTATTAATACTATGGCTTTTTTGGGAAGGCACTTAGCTACTTCAGCCGTAATCAGATCAAAGCCGGGTGACTTTTATTGTATACTTTCCGATGGTTGTTGGTGGTGTTTAGGGTGTTTGACATAGAAGCTGCTGATTGAATAAGCGTTGTTAAATTATTAACTGCATCGTCAATTTCTTGAACAGATTTAAAACTTATATTTAGGTTAATTTCTTCGGCTATGATGTTATGAAATTTAAGGCGATTAGTTGATGCCGTAAAAAGTTTGGGAGCGACCGTTCGTGTTTGCGGAGTGGCAACAATATTGAGAATAACAGATGAATAGTCGGAGTTTAGATCCAGAATATTATTAATCGAATAGTATAAGTTGCTAGGAATTTTTGTAACGAAGATGTTTAGAATGTCAGGTTTTTTTCTAATTGAGGTTGGCCAATACGTTGGCCCAGGAATAGATAAGTAAGACTGCTTTGTGAAACGGGTTTCGGAAATTAGAGCGATGTCTATGCGTTTATCAAATAATACACTCTGCAGTTGATTGACGTGATTTTTTAGACCGTTTGCATTAAATAATATAATTGATAAGGAGTTATTAGTGTATGAATTATTCAATTTTTTTATTAAAAAGAGAAGTAATTACTTGGGTTAGGAGAGCGATCAGCGGATTGATGAGTGACTTGAGTTCATCCACAAAGAAAGACATGGTTGCAGTTAGATCAGTGGGGGGAGTTTGAGGAGAGGATTGGGATGGTTGACTAGAAGTGGCCTGGGCATAAGTTTTAGAGGGGTCAGCTGCATTTTTTCCAGGTGAGGTTGTTAATGAGTGGTCTGCTTTTACATTAAAATTGTTTACATTGTGCTTAATATTATCACGCAAGAAGTTACTTTTTGTGGTTGGTAATAAAATAAAATGTAATGGGTAATAAATAATTATAATGACTACGAATATCCTGATATGAGAGCCTTATCGACGGGGCACTCTCTGTATTTATAATATTAAAATAAAGATTAATATTCTTAGGCCCGTTCTCACTAAAAACCGATAAATTCAGTTTACGAGAAATTACGGTTATCGTAATCGAAAGATTAATCTCGATTTATAAACGAGTGCATTTCACAACGATAACTGCGTTTTTAATAAACACATTTTCGATAAGCCTAGGATATATACGATTATTATAACGAACTTATAATAACTGATAATTTAATAACGAGTCATGTTGATTAATTTATGGTCTCGTTTTGATAAATATACAATTTAAAAATTAAAATGGATAATTTTTAAAAAAGAAACAAAGAAAATCCATCTATCAATTATTTATTCCAATTTTGATGACAGATTTTAACATTAGTAACTAGGTTATTTTAGGTTATAATATTGGAATTATTTTTTTTGAATTTTAACTATCTTTATCATAGGTAAAAGTATATTTTCAAAAATACAATCAATGTATTTTTTACTATTTCCAGTAAAGAATCTAAACGAATCATTATATGTTTTAAAAATTAAAATTTGATAACCACAAGTCCTACAATTTTCTCTAGCTTTTATGTCTACTTCGACCAATCCCCTTAAATACATTTTCAATTTAATATAAATTTCAACATCATTAATCTCTAGTATTGAACAAAATTTGGGGTGATTTGCAACAAAAATATAAATAGTAGGTACCTACCAAAAATTTGTCGTACTGAAAAAATTGTATTGAAAAATGAACTCGTACTCAAACACCATCAACGACTATCCATCGGTTGTCGACGGCCAACTAATCTAGACATTTTAATAATAGGTATGAACTATCGAAAACTGTGTTGTAATATTGACAATATTGTCCCCCATAGAAATAATGGAAAAATAAGTAGATAAACTTACTATTGCAAGATAACCGAATATCAGGAATTATTCTTGATAATCAACCTGCTTATATTTGAAATAAATAAATATTAAACATATAAATATATTATCTCTTATGTCCTTAAATTATTATTTAATAATTATCACGGTTAAACATATTTATAGGTAGAAATCGACAAATTTCCAGCGTCGCTGAAATAAAATAATTTACCGTTAGGTAATACGACATGGCAAAAAAGTGTACCAAGTACAGAGAAACCTTCCAAAATCAATAATTCCAAATAGCTTAAATAATTACGTAAGTCGAACACGCATCCCAAAATTTGTATGTACCTCAAGGTTTTACGGTGATATTTTTTTTTTCTGTGAACGACTTTTTGTACCAGAAATCTTGTTACATTTATCAAGTGTAGCACATAATTATGGTTGCACGAAAATATGCTCGGCCATAAACATCCGAATTCTAGTCACGAGGTAGCTGATTAAATAATAACCCCATCACGCACGCGTGCGACAAGTTATAGATACTTATGCTTGGAACCAAACTATAACAAACTATAACACAAATAGGCTTGCTATTAATTTATTTGACTACGTTTTTAATGAATCTTACGAACTAATGTAGAATATATCTACAGGTTTTTTTAATGAGTTAACACAACTATTTAATTATCACTGAACGTAACGTTGGGAAACAATAAATTACCAAAGTATCAACTGCTCATTAATTAATCGAACTGACATATACTACCCCGGCCCAGTCAAACGTGAAATTTAGTTTTCTCAAAATCGGGACTCAGCACAAACGCGAGACCAAATAACACAAATGACACTAACGTAGCACAATCGAAAGGAAAAAAAAAATGTCAAATTGCCAATACGGCGGTGCTGAGGAAATGTACCTTCTTAAAGCCACTAGATAACAAAGATCCATTCGACAAAACCATACCATAGACTTATTAATATTTATATCAAGAAACCCATTGGTACAAACCGGTGTAAATTTGAGAAAATTTTTGTTGTAACCGATGTTAAAATTAACAACACCGGTTTAATAATTCTGCGCCACCACATGCATATGGTGCAAACTATTTACACCGGCTTCATCCCCTCTCATTTCCCCCTCGAAATAATAAACGAACAGATAAATGATAATAATAATAATAATTTAATTGTTATTATGTACTTATTAGCGGGACATGGGAAGTATAGTATAGGTAATACACTAATAATTTAAATAATTGATTAATATTAAATTGATATATTTCGTTAGTATTATCATTGTTAATTTTAGATAATGGTGGGAATACACCGGTTTGTACCGACGAATTTCTAGTGTGCTATGCTTGATACCGATTATTTTACACCGGTCATGTAAATCGATGTATCCCCACCATTGTCCAAAATTAACAATGATAATACTATCAATTAAATATTAATCAATTGTTTAAATTATTACCTATACTTTCCATTTCCTGCTTATTTACTACAAAAACAAGGAGTAATTAGTTTCAATATTAATTGTTATCAATTATTATTATAATTATCATTTATCTGTTCGTTTATTACCTAGATCATAAACTATGGATATTAAAGAGCTATTGACTATATATTTGGAGCAAACCAAGGGGAGTTGGGACAAATGCCCAAAATGTATATCACGCACGATCAAATTTATGTAATCACGTGTGACGTACCTAACATCACTTCCTGGTGATATTATGACTATACGATAAATATGCGACGACTACTGATACGCATGCGCAATAGACATCAATCCTGTTAGCACTCGTTAATAATGATGTCTTCAACAACTCGTAGTACGCGTTCATCATGCAGTAGCCTTAGTAACATACTATTCATAGCATTACTACTAGTAGTACTATTCATAGTATATTATCTAAGGTTTATTATGAAATGAGAAGAGATGAAACCGGTTTCAATAGTTAACACAATACGCACGTGATGCTGCATACAAATTAAACCAGTATTGTTAATTTTAACACCGGTTATTTCGAACAGTTCCTCAAATTCACACAGTTTTGATTTTCAAGGGGAAATTTACACCTATTTATACTAACGAATTTCTTGAAACAAGATTATCATTTGTGATACCAAATTTCTTGAATAGCAGTCATCGCCCGCAGTCTGCGTGTTAGACGCAACAGGTTTTGACTGTAATTTGTTGATTGTTGTACAGATTATCATAATTATATCTTGATCATAAGTTATTTTTAATTATATATACCAATAATAATTTGTAATCGAAGTTTTAGTCTAGAATCCTGAAATATTTGTTTTATTTAAAATTATATTTCTAAAAATGGGTGAAAATAAGTGAGTTAAAATAAAATTATTTTTTCATAATAATATTATAGAACAAATTATGGACATCCAAAAAAAAGTACCAGGTTTCATTTATAAATTGTAGAGACTCCAATTTTCAATTGCATACCTGGTTCATTCTTATAAATGTATTGTATGCACCTAAGAATCAATGGAAATGTATTAAAGATAATATTTTCGTAATATACTTTGTATACAAAAATAGTCATTCCATAATGATACCTGGTACTTTTTAATTGGCGCTACACTTCAGTAGTTTACCAGACACCTTTTCTTTCTTTTTGAATCTATATTAAAATTTCAATACTTTTAAGATTGTTATTAAACCTAAACTGATTATTATTAATTTTTAATTTTTAGTGGTTACAATAATGCAATTTGTTTGGTTGATTCACTCAAAATATTAACAAAGGTAGGTTCTGTGGGCAATCAGTTTAACGATTTAGACAATTTTTAATAAAATGTGGCCAGTGAATAGCTTAGTAATAGCTGAGTAATTCTAGAAAGTTTCTGGTTCAAAAATATTTTTAAAACTTTCCAGGGAGTAACACAGATGTAAACACAAATTTATATGTAACACAGATTTATTATTAATTTTAATTTTAGGGCGGCTATACAAATTTATGCGGAAAATATGGTAAAATAAAACAAATTACTATACAAAAATATGATAAAGAACATAGAGCATATATTAAGTTTGAAGATGATAAGTAAGTAATTTATTTCTTCTATCTTTTTATACATTTTTTACTATTCATTTTGGATTTAGCAATATTTTTTAACTGGGTGTTGAAACATTGAATTTCTTTTACATAGTTCTTATCTTAATTCAAACTTGTATAATATTTTTCAAGAAGCCCAGATATACAGGTATACTTATTATATATGCTAAATAAAATTAATTTTAAATTTTAAAATGTATGTATATATATATTTATTTTAAGTTTTCCTTTTGATCTTGTTAATTGGGCAAATATTTTATTATCATTCAAAAAAATTAGTTAGTACATAGCTCAAAAGCGGGACTGTCTTGGCCAAAAACCGGACGAATGGTCACTAAGTATAATTGACTTACTGTAGTATTATACTAGGTTTTTAGTAAACAAAACTCATAAAAATTTGCTTAAGTATATTATATAGGTACCTAAGTTTAGAATTTTAAATAATATTTTGTTTAAACTCTAAAATATCAATTCCAATGAAAAACATTTAGTTTATTTAACAATAATACATACAAATAATAAATATTAAGTTATAATTATGTTTCTACGTAGGTAAGTATTATCTATTATATGGTGACCATAAAAATACAGGAAACTTAAAAAGACAAATTAAATGTGATGTTTAATAAGTAAACTTAATTATAAAATATAATATAAAAAGCTAAATAAATGTGTGCTGCATAAATATTTTTAAATACAAATAAAATATGTATACACAAAAAAAATTGTATTTTTGTAATAACGGTTGATCAATTTTGTGTAGTTTTTTGCTGAACTAAATAATGTCATAGATATCAAATACATTTCAAAAGTTATACATTAAAAATAAAGGATGGGATTAATATGGAATACATTTGAAAAAAGTGAACAAAATGTGTCCTGTATAATTTCGATTGGGATTACAGGACACAAAGTTAAAATACAGGACAATCTAGTATAATATGGAACGTATGATCACCCTTATCTAGTACCTACAATTGTACTTAAAACTAATTAATTAAATTACTATAGCTAGTGTGTAAATTGTTAATTATTAATTTATAGTTTAACGTTCTGATTAACACAATTCATTTTTTTTAATATATCAATTTTTTAAAACATTCATAATATATGGGGTAAAATTAATGTTAATTTGGAGTTTTTTAATTTTATATTTAAAAGTATTTTATACTTTAACGGAAATTAAATATATTTAGAATTTTAGGTCTATAATTAAATAATATAAATTATTAATTATAGAATTGTATTCTATGAAATAACTAGTTCAAATATAATAAATAGCTATATATTATAATCATTGACATTTGAAAGTCATTCATAAACTGCATATTTTGTTATTTAACAATATTTATTATTTTCTAATTGCTAATTATTTTCTATATTATTTTTTGAATTATTTATTTAAATATAATCTATAGTTATTAGTGTTGAGTCAATATATTTTTTTTTTCTAGTATCTGAAATTCTGATATTTGCTACCAATATGAAGAGTCTTTCTATATTTGATATGGTTAACCATAACTGTTCTGAATTAAATACCCCTATAATTTTTAAACACTTATACATCTCTTTTATCCGTTTACAGCTGGCATTTTTCTCATTGATCTGGGTAAATATTAACATAGAACATAGTAATAAAATCGAAGGATTTCGAAACAAAAGCTAGAAAGACCCAACATGAGTAGGTCAGGGGAATAATCATTTGGGTTGCAGTAAATATAACCATCCAGAAAAACTCCCTCTGGATATATTACTATACTTTGTTCACCATAAGTTGACCCGCTCCTGCACATGTATACTAAGCCGCCATGGTTTGTGATTAGTCGGTGGTGTTCGGCGTTAGTTATTAATTGTTGTAGTAGGCAACAGGCTGCCACCGCGACCGTGCATACAGAAGGGTTTTCATCGAACAAGCGGGTCAACTTACAATGAATAGAGTATAGATACAGTTGTGCTTAGAATTCACAGGATTCCGAATTGGGAAGAAAAGATCTAAGCTTATTCAAACAGAAAATATTTAGTCATAGTTTTGTTTTTGATACAAAATAATGTTTCAACGAGCAAGCGGGTCAACTTACAATGAATAGAGTATAGATACAGTTGTGCTTAGAATTCACAGGATTCCGAATTGGGGAGAAAAGATCTAAGCTTACTCAAACAGAAAATATTTAGTCATAGGTTTGTTTTTGATACAAAATAATGTTTCATTCACATATGATTAGGTATATAGGACATTATATTTTTATTCTCATATGGATAAACTCTCTCTTTTTTTTTCTTGTTAATTTATTAAATTAGTTTCATTAATTCTCTATACTGCACCCTAGTTCACTCTATTTTAAAATAATATAGAATATTGTTGGATCTGCATACCATTAGTTTTAGTTAATTTTTGGAGAGAATGTAGCATAAATTCTTGTCCTTTGCTGGATTTAAGTTAAAAATAGATCACATATCTCATGATTATTCCCCTGTTCTTGCTTCCCTACAATTGCCTTTGCTAGCTGACAAAAGAATTCAAGCAAATGTATGTTTTCAAAGCTAGCTACTTTCTAGTCCCAAGTCTAGTATGCTTTCCACTCATTCTTTGATGTGTACATTTTAAAGTACTATATTTTTCTTATCGTAATAAATATTCTTTTTATGTCCGAGTATGTACAACAAATTTTGCTGCTAATGGAGGGGTGATGCGAATTGCCAATATTGGACCGTCATCTTCTTACTCTTAGAAATTCTTATTGTTATATTATTATAATAACATATTGTTATTTATATTGTTTAATTAGCTTCTGTTATCTAGTTATTATAATTGCAACCATAGGGCTACCAGATTACCAGATACTTTCCATAAATAAATAAATAAATAAATAATTGACGACTTTTATTCTTAGCCTTATTAATTTTAAAATCAACCCGTATAATATATGTTAAAAAGATCTATTTTATAATCTTTATCAAATAAAAGATTACTTGTTTTACTCTTTTATACATATTTTAATATCTACAGGTAATAACTTAAAAAAAATTTTTACAAACAAATAATAATTTAAATTTCTTAGTTCTTACAGTTTCCATAATAAACAATACATTTTATTTTAGTATTTCCAGGAAACCTACACAAACAGATGCTATTATGCCACATGATTCTAATCACTCTTGTTCTAAAAAATATCATGTTTCAATTTAATATTCTATAGGGTTGAATGTATTCCATTAAATAAACATAATTATCAAAACAAGCTCAATATTATCTATAATATAGTCCATAGAAATAATTTCAATTTAAATAATATTAAAAAATTTCATAAATGTATTAAACAAAAAATAATACACCACTCACCAAATAATGTTAATTATTATAGTATAAAATATTTAAATATGTCTAATGAATTCACTAAAATTCTGAACATTAATGTATAAACAATAGAACTTCCCAAAAAATCCCTCTTTTTTTTTGAAAATGCTGGTATATAGAAACTTAAATGGAACTGTAATAAATTGTGTATAGGTAAGACAAATAGAAATTTTAAAATAACATAACAAGGATACATTTCTGAAATAAAATTAAATAAGACTACCCCTAATTTAAATTTTCGGTAAACATGTTTTATAAAATAACCATAATATAAGTTTTGATATTAATACAGACTTTAAAATATTAAATACCCAAATAACATTTATATTAACTCAATTTTAGAAGAATTACATACACACAATTAAATAAAGAAAAATAATTTTTATAATATTTTAAATGTTCAAACCGATTTTAAAAATAATATCTTATATCAGTGATGGAACTACATATAGATAAAGGTGATTTCATACGGGCTCCAGCGTATAAGAGGTCTCCAATGATTTAACTTATAAAATAATGAATATTACAATTTACAATTAAACCAAAAACATCAAAAAGATTATATTTAGATTTTAGCTTTCTGTATGTTTTTGTAGGTTAACCATTGCATAATTAGTTATGGAAATTCAGAATAATAATAATCGAGTATGAACAATTAATTACTAGATCTTAACTTAGTATAATATGAAAGTAGGTAGGTATTATGCATTTATCGGTATTAAATAAAATATCCGATAAAAAAGGAAGTCTGTATAACTATACTAATGCAGAATAATTTTATCACGTAAATAAATTATCGGTTGTAACTTGTATTATTGGTGATTGCTGACATTTAAACCCAAAAATAAAACATCGCGATTCGTGTGATGGTTATGTTATCATACATCAACGTTATCTGAATTATAACATTTTTCGGAAACTGTATATTGCTAAGTTAAAAAAAGAAAGTGTTGAGATTAACAGGTCACCTTAACGATTATGTCCTACTCGATGGTCGTCTAGAATTGATTGTTTAACATCACTCCATCACTTGTATCCATGTATAATAAAGGTTTTAACTTACATAACATTTACTGGACGCACTAAAGCATAGATAAAAATAAAGCGCTCTAAAAATATATTTTGAATGTTATGAAACAGTTATTCTAGTTACAATGATGTATAAAATAATATCAAAAATCAATATAGCATCTAAAATACTACAGTCACCTGGAGCAGGTATTGGAAAGGCTGTTTATTTAATACAAATTTTCATTACGTGGTTATGATATCTATTGAAAACAAACGTGCAAAAATTGAATATGTAAGTATTGATCAATACTTTCGCACAAAACCAAAGCAAAAAAAAAAATATTTAGAACTTACTTATAAATATATGACAGTACCTATATTATATATGTGTTAAAGAATAAAGATATAACATGAGATTGACAAAATTCTAGAGTTCTTTTTAAAAATGCTGTCCTAATAGTAGGACCTTCATGAAAATTGTACACAGGCCTCCAAAAATCTAGTTCCGCCACTACTGTCTTATATCAATAAATTTTAGATAATAAATAATCAAATAATTTATATTTCTAAACATATCTATGTCTAACATTAACTAATTTTAAATATTCTATTAAAATAAATTATTTCTATATTCTATGTAAAACAAACAACCAATATGTATAATTTTTTTTTTTATTTATTTCTTCATTTAATTTTTTATATTCAGTCGTGTATTACATTTTGACTGTGATATATGATATATCTGCTGATGAATTTTTAATTCGAAACCGGTCGTATAATACACTTAAAATACTCCAGGCGACACATTCATTCTTTTATTTATTTATTTATTTATTTATTTTTTTATTTTTATATATACATTTTTTATTTATATATTTATTTACGAGTATTAACCATTTTAATAATTTTGTTTTTACTTTATTACTTTATGAAAAAAATGATATTTATTTAAATGTTTTTCTTGTTAATCATCTATTATGTATATAATTATATATATTGTATATGTATATTATGTTATATTGTATCTGAGTTATCTTGCTATTTGTGTTTACCCTGTTGTATATTTCATTGTTAATTGGCCATTTATCCATTGTTTTTCCAGATCCGAAAAAAAACTTTTACTGGACCAATCAATTTTTCCGTCATTTATAAAAGTTAAAATGTCAACTAAAATGGCGAAAAGGTACGAGGATAATAAATATATTAAAGAAAACATTAATGAAAATATAGAAAAATGTGAAGTTAAAGAAGAAATTCGGAAAACAATAAATAATGAGATCGCAATGGAGGATTTAACGTTAGTTTTATCAATATTCAACTTTTAATTTTAACACAATTTTAACCTTTCAAAAAATTAGACTATTTTTTTTAAAAAAAGAAACTTATATTTAATTTTTGGATAACTACAAAAAAAACATTTCATAAGGATGATTATCCTAATCTTCATATATAATACTTATATATACCAATACTTCTTATTAAAATTAATAAGAAACAGATTTCAGAACTGTATTTTGCTGTTGGGATATAATTCATAATTATATAAAAATGAGATGAACCTCATGTCTGTTCAACCTCAACCTATTGTTTTTATTAACAATCCAAATATAAACTTTGCACTTTAGTTTGAAATTATATACATTTTTCTTTTTAATATTAATAAATCCAACCTGGATTTTATTATTCAAATTAACCAGTGGCAGTAGTTTTAAAACACAAAACTTATATTGAAATCAGTTTGTTTAACTTTAATTATTTCCAACTAATATTTTTTTAATTTGAATGTTTGTTTTTTTTTTATATTTATACATACATATGCATATTATAATAAGTATTAAATTTATATTTGCATGCAGGCATTCCATTTATCTCGGACCCAATGTTTTACAATTTAATACAATAATACAAGAACCAATAAAACATAAAATATATAATCTTGAAAATGATGATCTTTTTGGAAAACCGCTTAATACTAAGTGGGAAAAAACTGAGGAGTAATTAAATAAATACTTATAATATAAAATTTAAATGTATGCATACCTAATTTAATAATATCATTAAATTATAGGCTTAAGTTTGAACTTCATAAAGTAGATTTCAATCTTTTTGAAAATTGTTTTGGTGGTGAAATTAAAGTTGAAAAACAATTGGGTCCAAACATGTTTACTGGTTGGCCTATACTTTTTGATGATTTTGAAAATGTTCAAGATAAATTAAAGAATATAAGCAATACTATTGAATGTTCTGAACTTCTAAATATGTAAGTAATTAACTTATATAGTTAAAATAATGAATAAATTAAAAAAAATAAAACACTACAATAACTACTTTAGAAATAACTTGAAACCTGGAATGTTAGTTGGCGCATTTGATATTGCTAATAATTTGTACGGTCGTGGTTATGTAATTTTAGTAGCTGGAAACAGTGTAAACGTAGCAATGAGTGATTATGGTAAAGTAATTAATACCGTACAAATTAGAGCACTACCAGAAAAATTAACTCAGTTGCCAGCGTATTCATTTAAATTATTCACTAAAGATAATTGTGTTTTGCAATTAAAGGTATGATTATAAGTTTTAATTATCTAAAATTTGTTCATATTTTATTTTTATATTTTTACATTTTTAGGAAAAACCTTATATTTTTAAAACACGTAAAGCAACTTCTGAAAAAATTGTTTTGATTATTTTTGATGAAAACAAAAAAATTAAAGTTTATTTAAAAAAATGGGTGCCTACTGTTGAAGAATATGGTGTTCCATATATTGAATTTAAAAATAATAGTATGGTCGAATTATTAAACATAAAAGATACAAATTCAGTGTACTTAAGATCAAAACAAAAGAACTGTTTTGATTTGTTATTTTCAATCTGGGATTCCATAAATTGCTGCCATTATAACTGTAATTATTTTTCAATTAAAATATATTTAGTTAAAACTTAAAACGTAAAATACAGAAATTAAGAAGTCTCATAAATTCAACTTATTGAACTCTGGCGACTATTATGATACAAGCCAAAAATTGGACTTTTTGAGATAATAACGCCTATGAAAATAATTTTTTTCTTTTCGTTTATATTTTAAACGGCCCAATTCGAAGCAGTATTTTTATATATGTTATGTGTACTTGTGTCGATATAGAATGTATTAAACCAAAAAAAAAATTTCATCAAGACTGACATAACTCCAATTTTGAACAATAATAATAATATAATTATTATTATATTATATTATATTATACCTGATTGGTTTTTTTTTTAATATAAATTGGCCGATACTTTATCATAGTTGATTAGTATTGAATGTTATCTACAATAACTTGAATTTATTGTGCTTTGTTCTATATAAGTTTTATTACGTACCAACAAATTTATTCAGTTTAGCTATCATGCTGCCATGCATTTTTTCCGATTTCATCATTACATCAGTATTAATAGTGGGTTAGTTTTGAATAGTTGTAGGTATACTCGTTGTATGTAGGTAATATATTATACGAAGATTTTCTTTGACACAGAAATGACATTTAATAGTGTGAATAAATATCTTTAAGAAACAAGTGATTATGAAATAGTGATTTCGAAGACAATGGTAGTTCTACTCATAAAAATACAAAATCTTTCAAAAGTGTATGAAGTTTGACCAGAAATTTCAAAATCTTAAAAAAATGACTTGTTAAAACTTTGTAGGTAAAATCTAATACCACCTTTGTATCAAAATTTTTATAAATATATGTATTTTTTTTTAATTATAATATAATAAATATTGTTTGACCCAAGTTGTAATTTATTTTCTAAACATACTATAAAAACTGACATAACTAAAATTTTTTGTTAAAAAAATTCGGGTTTTGAAATTTTCGAATATATCAATAATAGATAAAAAAAAATAATAATAATAAAATTTGGTACAATTTTAAAACGGATTGAACAAATAGTTGATTTTTTATTTAAATATTAAGTTATGAGCATATTTAAAATTCCGTTTCCTGAAAAAATTACCTTTTTTGACATGTATCATTATAGTTGCTGGTTATCGCACACCAGTGCTTGTACAAAAATATATCAGGAAATGTGTTTAACCTAACCCTGTTCAATTTAAATCATTTAATCATATAAGTATAAAACGTGCGTTTTCAACAAACAAATTTTTGAATACATATTATTTTTAACACTTTTTCAATAATGGACTTCTTAATAGACATTTTTTTTTAACCCCTTTGGATTTCTATTATTAGAATTTATCACTCAAATATTATAGCACAGATTACTGAACATGTTAAATAATTATTTGGTTGAATTACTGAAATTACTGTAGTTACAAATAATAGTATACAGATATTGCAGTGCTATTTATAAAATTGTATTAATTTAATAAGGCTGTATTTTGTTTTAGCTCAACCTTTAAAAAGAGAACCGTATTATGGAGAAATTGTAGGGTTCAAATCTGCTATTACGGGTAACTTTGAAAGAGCTAGAATTTATAAGTATCTTGGAGATAATATTTATTCTGTGAAGCATATGGATAATCCTATTAAAGAATATATACAATTGTCTGAAATGATAGAATTATCCTACGAAATTAAAAGTGTATGTATTTATATATACATAATATATGATGTTAATTTTATAACCTAGACCAAGGAAAGAAGATAATTAATATATGTTTATTATTTTAAAATTCCTGCAAATAATTAGTTGTAATAGTTTTAATTAATTATACATATTTTAACATAATATAAAACTTGTAAAACCTATTACATAGTAAAAATAACCGTTCAAAAAATAATTTTCTGTCATCAAATTAAAAAATATATATTTTAATTTTAATATTAAATAATAAAATCTAATAAACAAAACTTTTATAAAATTCAATCTGAAGTTTCCAATGTTTGCCATAATTTTGGTTAATACTAAGTTAAATATATATTTTGTCCATATAGCCCTGTCCATGACATGACTTGGGCTTAGAAAGATAGAACTATTAATATTAACCAATGTTTTTATTAGTGCATATTTATTATATAAATAGTTAATCATTTAAAAAGTTTAAAATGTCTAAATCATTAATTTTTACTTAAAATTGTTTTTATTGGATTTTTTTTTAATTTCTTTTTTAAATTGGCTATTTGTGCTGACAATAAATTTATATTTTTTGTAGATGCCTGTAAGTTTTATAATGGTTGGATTGAAAAATGTATTACCATATCCTATTCAGTTTCATGCTCTAGGTTTCATTGATACCATAAAGGATATGTGTTTAACTGTTGTAAGTTGTTAAATACTATAGCTATATATTTATTTTCACATATTAAAAAAAATACTTTAAAATTTGATAGCATTTTGATGAATCAAGTATGGAAGGCTGGAAATTTGTAGATCTAAACATTAAAAGTTTAAAGGAAAACGTTAATGCAATATTATGTGCTCTACTTGAACCTACTTGGTTTAAAAATACATCTACAAATTTATGTACGTAATAAATAATTTTTTTTTTAAAAAAAAAATACCCATGATTAGAATAGCTACACTATTGTTATAATTACTTATATAATTATGTACTTATTAAATCAAACATACATAAGAAATTAGGGTTTTACTATTTAGCTAAAATTGTTTATTAATTTATAATATAGAGAATACAAATACAAACAATTTTATACACTGGGTGATTTTTTTCCATCATGAAACAGTAATTTTCTTGTACGGATTTTAAGTGAATTTGTTTTCGGTTTTTTGTTTTTACCATTGTGGGATAGTTAAAGCTTTTTTTAAATTAATTTTTTAACTTTATACCACTACTTCAGTATATGAAGTTGTGGTATAAAGTTAACCCAGAAGAGTTGGTTAGTAGGGAGTAGTTATCAACTTATCATTTATAAATAGATATGCAATTTATTACCCTTCCCTACTCCTGTTTAAATTTTAAATGGTAAATCTGATATTAGTGGTATGCATTTCAAAGTGGAGGGGGTTTCACCTTTGAAAAACAAAAGTATATGCTTATTTAGAGTATATATTGTAGATGTATAAAATTAAAAATGAAGTTACTATGATTCCTTAATAATTAAAAAAAAAGAAACATCAAATTCACTTAATATCATCTAAGAAAATTGCTGATTCATAATAAAAAAAAAAATCACTCTATTAAATGATATTAAGTATGCAGGAGGCTGCTAGTCACCTTAATAACTGTAACTATACTACTATACTGTTCAACACTAACCTTATCACTACTGTCCACAATGAGTATTAACATTATATCAAGTCAAATTTTCCACCACCTATTTTTTAAAACAATAGATAACTAAATACTATAATAGTAAACACTGTGTATTTACAAAATGTTATTCCATGGCTTCATTTGGGGCTTCTCGTAGGGAATTCAGGCTAACTTTTATCACTTTCATCAATTCTAATTCCCTAATTTGAGTTCTTTATCCTGAAGGAGGTCCTTTTTAAACTATCTAAAAGTAGTAGAGAAAAGATAAATATATATGCAACAGGCATAATACAGTGCAATATTCTATATTTTCAAAGAAATATTATAATATATAAATGACATGTCACTTATTTTAATTTAATATGTACCTGTGATTTTAACTGTCATTATTTTAAATGTATATTAGTGGAAAATGAGGTGATTCTTAGTAACAACAATTTATTAAAGAAGAAATTAAAGGAAAAATCAGTTGTAGATATGACGTTTGTTATGTATCACAATGGCGTCTTTTATATGAGAGACAAATCATTTGGGAAGTCTTTTTCAATTCTAACTAAAATGATAAAAGAATATTGCAGCTTGAATTTACATCCTTATTTACCACATAATGGTGAAGTATGTCTAGGTCAATTTCCAGGTATTTACTGTTTTAATTAAATACATTTGATGTTGTGTTAAATTGAATATAATATTTTAACTGTAGATGGATTATGGTACAGAGTATTATGCAGTGAAGTGAAAGCTAGCCATTTAGCAGGTGTATATGCTGTAGATTTGGGTAATGTTGCCTTTTTGAATTCTCAAAATATGAAAAGGATGCCCGAAGAAATGCTATTTCACCGAATGCATGTTTATAAATGTCTTTTATGTAAATTATTTACTATTAAAATAACCTTATTGTGTTACAGTCTAATGTATAATCAGATTACATTTTGATTAATGTTTTTTAGCTTCACCTGTCGATATAGATGCGAAGAAATTAAAAATATTACAAAACTATGAAAATACAGATTGTAAATTGACTATTGTCAACAACTCATATAATCAAGACTATTACCAAATTGAATGTCCATTTATTGAACAAATTCTTCAGTAACTTTAAGATCATCACAGTAATTAAACCTTTTCCATGGATCGCCAAATAAAATAAAATATTCACCAAGACCTTTTTTTTATTTGTTTTGCACATAAACAAATTCTGTTTTAAAGTATCTTATATGCGGCACTCAGTAGAAACAATACAAAAATAACATACAATAAAACATTATTTTAAAACAAAACGTCTAGCACGGTGCTGAGCGAGTATTCACTTGCTTCTGTTTAATTATTTAAGTAAACATGTTCATATCTGAGTGCCAAAAAAAATGTGCCACAGATTAAACCCTATATTTTTAGATACATGATACATATTTTCCTATAGTAAATAATTGTGCAACTTCCTTTTGAATTTGTTTACCATAATAATAATAAAGTATTAAAACAAACTGACTGTCTACTTTTAATTAAAAATAACTGAGATTATAATTTTACTTTTTTAGTTTAAAATTTAAAACTATACTTTAGGATTGTCAAATGTTTAATCTAGTGTGGAGTTCCCCAAACTTTTTTCCCGTCAGACTCCCTACAGATAGAAAAAATTGATTGCGGACCCCCCTTTTATACATCAATTATTTTCGGTTTTGTATATACTATCTAGTATTTTCAATTTATGTTTTATTTAGTGTAAGTGTCTAAATTGTATTGAAAACTTGATTGTTTTATGCCATACAAATATATATATATATATATACATATACTTTAAACTTTTGGTTCAATTATTGTATTATTTATAATTTATCAATCAACAATGTATTTAATATCTAGTTAATTGACTCAAGTTTTAATTACACAAATTTCAAGTTAGTTATTTGTTTATTAAACAATATAATCAAATAAATTGTATTTTATTTAAGTATTAGAAATAAGTAACACATATCACATTTTTTAAATAAATAATTTGATAATTCAAGATAAATTATTGATGTTCAACTTTAATTTCAGTAACTTTTGCTGTTTCATCTTTTTTCTCAGGTTCAATAGCCTTAACCGCTGGTACTCCTGTTTGAATAATTGGTACACTACGTTCTCCTGAGAGCTGTGTTTCCTAAAAAAGGTTAATTTTAAATTAAACTGTGCTAGTACTTATAATCAATATTTTCCAGACTATTAAACAGGTTAAAAATTATTTATTAAAGAAGTTAATTAACTTAATAAAAATAATAAAATTGAAAGGTTAAATAATGAATTACCTACATACTTGTAAAATAAAATTGTTTCATTTGTTAATATACATTCGTAATTTGAATAAATTAATAAACTAAATGATTAAACAATTTATGTTTCACTGTATCTACTTGAAATTTTGTAAAATTGCCCACTTGGGGACGTTGAATTATATAAATAAATAAATTTGTGAGCTATAGTTACATAAATTATCATTTGTATATTATATTTTAATTTTAATTTTCATTACATTACTTATCTGACATAAATAGATATTAAGAAAATTATTACTTATAATAAAATATAAACAAAATTATTAAAATCGTTATTACTCGTAAAAAAAATAAAAAATAAATAAATGTGTCGTCTGGAGTATTATGTTAAGTATTATACGACCAGTTTCAAATTAAAAATGTATTAACACAGTCAAAACGTAAAACTTTACTGCAATCTTATAATACATTTATCATAATATTCCAGGCGAATAATTTATTTATTTATTTATTTTTATTTATGTCTTTTTTACTTTTAATGAAGTCTTAACATATTTATGTACGCATTGATAATTGATCAATCAATATTGAAAGAGTTATTTTTATAATACATAGTTAAGAACCTATCTAATATGATCCAATCATATTTTTAGTCTACTTTTATTTGTTATTTTTTCTGTCCATTCCAGATATGCTTGATTAAATTATGGCAACTCTACATTTAAGTCCTGAATGAAGTGTTATTACTACTTATTACCTTTTTAGGCACGCTGATGGTTAGTATTCCATCTGAAGACAAGCTTGAAACGACTTTTTCTATATCGACATCTTTAGGTAATAAATATCTTCTTTTAAATTGCCTAGATATAAAACCGTGTTCATCTTGTTTTTCTTCGTGTTTTCCTTCTACTATAACTGCTCCTTCTGAAGTTTTAACCGTGATCTCGCCTGGCCCAAATTGCTGGACGTCCAATATGACTTGTACTTGGTTGTCGTCGAATTTCAAATTGGACGTGCCGCTGTTTTGTCTATTGAGTACACCTTGCCATGGTCTGTAGTACGTACCCGACCTGAGGGAAGGCGACGCCAAAGCGGATGTCAAGCTGGTTAGATCATCTCTGTGTAATCCCAAACCGAAATGTTGGTCCAATAATCGCCTAGGTAATCGCTCACGTTCGAAATCATCCCACCAGTTTTGAAAAAACAACGGTACCAAAGACATATTTTGTGTTGTAGTCAATTTTTAAAATCAATATCTATAAAATAAATAAAAATATGTTCAGAATATAATATCGGCCGATCAACTTTCATATGAACTTACCAAAATTAATAAAATTGATTTTCGGAACAAAAGTTCTTACTGATACGATTTATAGCAGTGAAGTATAAAAAAAGCGAACGGTATTCATTGCGTATTTATATGAAAGTTTCGGATGTATTGCTCACCAATACTTTCGAGTTTATTTTTGTACACTTAAAATCTACAGTTGTCAGTTGGCCTTAATTGTGGACTGTGGTATAATGTAGGAGGATTCCAAAAATATTCATTATTTTGTTTATTTCTCGTGAGTCATAGCTACAAATATTGTTGACAGAATGCATTATTTATATATACATTTACTAGAGTCCACAGACCTACTTACTATTATTGCCAATTTCTTTTTTTATTTACATAAATTATCACCTATAGGTACCTAAAAAAATATCATTATATTTGCTTGGTTATTAAATAAAAATAAATAATTATAATAACCAGTTTTCTACAATTATAAAGACATCGATATAGGTCCTTAATTGAGTTAACACATCAATAAATCATGTATAATGTACAAAAGTCTTAGTAAAATGATACCTACCTAATGAATCTGTAAGCGAAAATATTAGTGTACGGTTTTTTTTCTATTGAACTCATTAGCGTCAAAGAAGGTTATTACTTATTAGTAGGGCCGATAGTTATTCTATAAAAACTTATTAAATATATATGCAGTTAAACATATCACAAAAAACGAGGATCGATGTAAAATTGCGGCACGGGTATATTTTATATACATCATTAAATATTTTTTATTCATACATATAAATTATGTCGAAGATTGTTTTTGTAAAATCAATACTTTCCCATTTTTCAAACTTAAGAATGGAAATAGAATTGTATTAATATTAGTATAGTTAAAAATATTGGTTTTGCTTTTTTTTTGTTTATAATTAAAAAACGTATTTTTAAACGATTATAAATAAGAAAATGGTGAAAATTTAATAATAACGAACGTTGTGAAAAGCGAAAGGAATAAAACATTGACAGTGATTGATGAATTTAAATTTCGTTTTCACAATTTGCTAAAAATCTAAAATATTAATACAATATTATATTTCCAGTCCTTAGTCTGAAAAATGGAAAGGGAAATATTGATTAGACATAATATTTACGTATGAATAAAAAATACACCCAGGCCGTAATTTACATATGTATGAAATATAATCGGGCCGCGATTTATCCATAATAGTATATGACTATGGCCTTTTTTTGGGGACGCAATTTTCCGACTCCGCCGCACGAGTACCTATAAATCACAACTGATGATTCAAATAACGACAAAGTCATGCATAGGAAGGTACGATAACGGATAAAATACATCATAAACAATCGTACAATAGGAACCGAAGTACTTGACAATTAATAAATTGAACGATCCATAAAAAATTAATTCGTGAATATCTAAAACACGGGTTAGGTTACGGGTTCCATTTATAAATTGTAAACAATTATTTTGCGATTCTTGATTGGTTGGGTTGGAAATTTCTCAAAAGTTCTGGTTATAGCATATTTCATGGATTACGTAATATTGTTATTATAATATTATGTTAGAAAACAATAGGATCTCATCTGCGGTAGCGGGGGACGCGTAAAAAGTACGAAAATATTTTGTCAGAATATTTTAACAGAAAAATAATTTATCCGAATAGTATTAGTACAGAACAGTTTTTTGGTCGAAAATATATATAATCAAAATAATATTCGGTACAAAATAGAAAAAATATTTTATTACAACCGTATTTTGATAGAAAATACCTATAAAGGTGATAACAATATTATCTCAAATCACTTGTAAACCACTGAAAATTGGTTTTTCTCCTACGGGGTACGGTGATATAATATATACTAGATATATCAACTCCATAGCCCTCATTATTCAATTATAGTTAATTACATAAATGAGTCAATGTCATCAATCAATCTTCATTGGTATTGGGATTATCTACAACCGTGATACTATCCACCTACAACTTTACTGTGACCATAGATATAAATAAATCTATAGCAAGATATATCTTTAATCGTCATCCAAAGCCATGCTGTGACTTGCCTTTTCAATACCGCGCTCTATTTGTATTTAATGTAACTAATTTTCTAACTAATATTATTAATATTTAACAGTATTTTTTGGTACCTATTTTTACTTTAATTTTGTTTTATCCCAAGAAAATTTACTTTCAGAAAAGGGGGTCTACATCGTATACATTGGAGTAAGCTTTCCGGTAGAAAGTGTTCATAAAAAAAAAAAAAATAATAATCAACATCTTTGTAAAACCAATAAATTGTTGTACATTCTTCAAAAAACTTAATGTAATTACGCACACACGACTACATGAAACTAAATTCACGTATGTACGCAACAGTTCGATCACTGTACACTGAACGACTGAACGACTGAACTAGTTGTTGGGTATTTATTAACTTATTGCTATTATTATTATTAGATACTCAAGGGGTTTGGAAGCGACGAGTTTCTGTATTTGTCTTACACACATATGATATAGGGAATTAGACGTGTTTTACTTCCAACGTGCAGATTGATCTAGTGAAGCGATAAGAATATTCTGAAAGCAGATTTAAATTTTTCGTGAAGACTACTGGAAATCGACTTTCTCAATTTTTTGATTTTAATTTCTCAACAAATTAAAATATTCCATATTTTTCAATTACTCTTTAATAAAATTGGCCTTTTTTAAAAATTTACCGCGAGATAGATTTGAAAAGTGGGAAAGTCGATCTCCAGTAGACCTCACGACAAATTCCAATCTGTTTCCAGAATTCTTATCGCTTCACTAGATCAATCGGTACGTTGGAATTAGAACACGTCTAAATTCCCTATATCTCACGTGCGTAAGACAAAAACAGAAACTTGTCGCTTCCAGTCCCCTTAATATTTATAAATCATATGGAAGATAATGATGTGAAAACAAAATAACACAACGGTCTGCGCTATTATAATATGCTACGGTAATACGTGGAACTGTAGAAGTTCATGTTACGCCTTATCAAACCTGGGTTTTTTGAGCGGCGGGTACTACCACCGCACTGTCTTAAAAACAAATCATATAACCACTGGAACGTTTATACCTAGGTAATAAAATAATTTGTGTTCACTGGATGCCCCATTGTCATTATGTCGTCTCGTGAAATCTTGATGTATTAATTTGCAGCCCAAATCGTATCATGAATACAAATCGACATTTATTTTTTGAAGTGGATATTTTTTTCTATAAATTTTATAAGCCAAGGATCAAAAAGTTTTAGAGTTTTTATATAGTATCCCGGCAATCGGATGCCCCCCCCCCAAACGTCTGTTGCCGGGGCGAATGCCCTTAAAAGCCTCCGTCAAATCCGGCCCTGTATAAATTATGATACGTAACTATTCAATGGAACTACCTACAGATTTTCAATGCGAAAGCAATAGATGTAAGTAGAATTTTTAAACAAAACTTGCGGTTTAAAAACTTCCGTGGGCATATATACTTACTTTTGCTTGATAATACGGCACTGTCTCTGTTTCATGACTGCCAATAAGATCTATACATATATTATTAAAATGCAACATATTCGGAAAATAATCGTGATAAAACAAAAATATATTATCTTAAACGATTCCTTTTAAATCAATAGGCAATCTAGTTCGGGCAGAAAAACGCGATGCCTCATAAAAACATTCAGACGTTAAACAATTGAGAAACAAATAAAACTGTTAAAGTGATTCCAGTCGGTCATTTTCCAAGGAGTGAGAATTGGGCAGTTTATGTGACAGGTATAAATGGGGCGCATCACTGTATGAGAAGTAATTAAACATTAGTGTGAGCGCAGTTAAAAGCGTGTAGCCACCTTCCACATCGCCATAGCACGCAAACCATGATAATAGGCATAAACATATTAACGAACTTTAGTTAATATGTTTATGGTAATAGTTACCGTTGCGTATCGCATTGTTATCACAGTTATTTTTCGGTTTATCTAATTTGATGACAATATTATCAATAATGATATCTGGTTTATTTCTACAGTTTAAGAAATTTTAAATTTAAGAAAAAGTGTTCAGTTATTTTTCAAATAGAAACATGCCTCGGCTATGACAAAATTGTGAGATTTGGTCTGGTGTGATTTTAATTCTGTAAAAATCCTAACATCTCCTCTAGACAACGGTCGAGAAGTTTTTTTTTAGAAATATTAATTAATTCAATAAATATGATATGAACAAAAATTATGTAAAATATTATAGTATTGTCAAAATTTCGAACCTTAAAAAAATGCTCAGACTGTTCTCTGGAGGAGATATTAAGAAATGTTATTATTTTTATACGATTAAAATCGGACCATCCAATTTCACAATCTTGTCAGAGCAGAAGGTTTAAACATTTTTTTTTTTTGACCGATTAGAACCACCTTAACAATTATTATTTATCAATATGAAGGTGACAAAACGCAAGATTAAATGATGAATTCAAATTGAAAATTTATCTAATCGAATTTTGATAAAAAATATTTCGTAGTAGTTGTTAGTAGTTGTAAGTAGCTATTCAATGTAATATCGTAGTTATTTACATTCGAAGCAATTACATTCGGAGCAATGTAACACAATGAAATGTTATTGCTACGACCATAGACATATTAAGATATGGACTGCGCCTCCCCCACACTCTGCCATAAGTTTATTGAAATAAGATTGTTAGAATGAGAAAGAGTCTAGTTTAGGTAAGAAAAAATGTAATATCATGGAATAATAAACAAAAAACGTCTTATTAAAAATCATAGACACATAAATGCACTTAATTAAAACATACAATGTTTTAAATATAGGATTTAAATTATTTTTAATAATTGCATAGCTCTTTAAAATGTAGGTAGAGTACTATAGGTAGGTAGTGTACCTATAAAGCAATATAAAATATGAATCTAGGAAAAAAAGTGACACAAAATAATGACACGGAAAAAAATCATTAAATGTATTTTATTTAAAAATCACAAATGTCAGTTTTAAGCATAGACATATAAAATAAATACCTATAACATTCTTTATCCGTCTATTGTTTTAAGTCAAATACATGAACATTAGATAATAAATCTTTTATATTTGGTCAATTATAAAGTTATCAAATTAAAATATTAAAAAAAATGAAATAGTTAGGTAAATTTTAATAATAATATGAAAATAATAAATCTGAAATCTGCTATTTTATTTTGACCGATTACTTTGAAATATATCTATTGATTTTTAAAATGAATAGTCTTAATTAAAAAACGATCGTATGCGTTCTTTTGGCTGACTTTCACTCTTAATATGTCTATGGCTACGACAGAGTAATAGATGCTCGTAGTAGTTGTCTTTCGTGGCAGCAGTATCTCCCCGGTATAAAGTCCACTCGTTGGCACCATAGATAAAAAATATTTTATTATCTATAGTTGGCGCGCACCCAGATAGTAGCTGATAGAAAAACTGAAGACATTATTAATAAATAAACAATAACATAACCACAAATTCATATGTACAGAAAAAAAAAACTTTTAAATATTGAATTTTCTGCGGTTAGCGGTTTTCTGTTGTACTTGAAATTGTTGAAAACCTAATATTTGTAAAAATTTTAAAGAACAAAGTAAAATTATTTTATTAAATATTTATTTTAATCTTTATTTTTCATATTAATTTGTATTCAATTAATATTATTTATTTCAACATTTGTTATCATCAGTTGTACATATATTTTTTTTTTAAATATTGAAAAATTAATATTTATTTGTTGACATCTAGTTTGTTTTGTTTAACAGAAACACAAGTTTCAGGCTTTCAAAATGGGTTCCATGTAAGTTTAATGCAAGATTAATGCATTATTTGTCATTTTAAAGTAGTTTTTAAAATTGTATAAGTATATTATTTTTCAGTTACTGGAAAGAGTTCTATTTCAAGTTAAATAAATTGAATGTTAATTATGCCGACGAGTCAATTGAATCTATGATATATGATTGCTTGGATGACATGAAAAAAGGCATTTTCAAATACAAATCACATTCTTCTTCTCGACTAGCATTTTATAAAAACGATAAATCAGATACTGAGTATCTATATCCTATCATATCTCAACTACTTGTAATTATAATACATTCTTTTCTGTAGTTTTTGTTTTTAGTTTTAAATAATTTGCTCACATATATTTATATATTTTATGTTATTATATCTATTTCATTTAGTTTATAAGTGAACAAGATGCTAAAACAGTATATGAAAAGTATAACGAGTTGGTGTGTAAAAATAAATTGAGTAAATCTATGACTGAAATTGAATTCCATAATGAATGCGTAAATGTTTGGAATTTTTACAATGAAGAAATATTATTTTTATTTCGTTCATTAAAACTAATTCTTACTGCTGCAGAAAATCAACATTCTCATTATTCTGTAAGTTTATTTTAGAAATAAGTAGTTTTAGTTATTATATTGCTTTAGTCATTTCATTTTTCATTTTTAGGCTGTATGTAAAAAATTTGTACAAAAACAAAACTGGAAAGAATGGTATATTTCCTTAAGAAAACAATTGGCATATATTCGTACATTAACATTTTTTGATACTATTGTTTATAAACCACTTCAAAAAATTGTACACAAGCATTTGCTGACATTTGTTTTAAACCAACAAATAGAACTTTTGCAATTAATTGTGTTAACGTCACTTAGAATAGATAGTATTACTAAAGATGATTTCAACTTTTGGATTACTAATCTAATTGTGAGTAATTTATTAAATAAATTATAAAATATAATTTAATTTTTGGTTTAAACAAAGTGATTAATAAGTATTGCTTTATGAAGATGTTGAACAATTTATGTATAAATAATTATTACCTAATTTGCTAAATTTTAAAATAAATTTAATATGCTTGCTCTTTATACCTACCATTAAACAAAAGATATGTATATTAATTTCTAGTTTTATTTAATGTAGGATAATGATTTTGGAAGGAATCAAACATTGGAATATGATTATAATAATTTAAAAACTGCATATTCTCCACTAATTAATCAAATTTCTAGTTTAGAAACTTTGCATTCATTACAAATTATTACAATGTTTTGGGAGTAAGCATTTTATTAATTGTATTATTTAAAATAATAATATGTAAAAAATACATTTTGGTACCTGATGAATATGAATATTCTTTTGTTTCAGGGAAGAAAATTACATTTGGTCGACTAATTTAGATTTTGATGATTCTGATAAAAGAATTCGTATGATTCAACCTAGCAGTGATTATGGTGCGGTGCTTGTAGCTTGGACACTTCTTCATCTCAAAGGAAAATTTGGAATAAAAAATACACAAAAACTAGAAGTTTATACAGAAGCAATGAGTGTATTAAAATTATGGCCATCTTTATTAGGGATGTGTCAATCATCAGCTGTTAAAGTAAATACATTTTGTAGTTTAATATTTATACTTTATTAAGTTTACTACACTAACATATCAACTTTAGGATCATCCAATAATAGACAAGTTAGGTAGAGTTTTATGTGAAAATCTTATCATTGAAAGTATTGAATTAGATCTATTCGAATTGGTTGACTATGATCCAATTGTTATCAAGCTTGTATCATATTTATTAAAGAGAAATGCAAGATTATCAATAGAAACAATTAGTAACTTAGAAAGTGGTATTGGTTTGTTTGTAAACAAATTCATAGAAATGTATCCTGTTGATTTATATCACTTATTTGAACTATTTACAAGTATTATTAAAGGAGCTCCACACAGTTTAAATAAAGTAAAAATCATAAAAATCATAAAATCTTAATATTAGTTTTTAATTTATTAATGTATTTTTAGGTGTGGAAATTGATGAATGATATTCATACATTTAATGCTGTCGCTCCACCAGATGGACAATATATTTATCAACAAGAAACTGACACATTCTCACTTACTGATCAATATTATGTAAAAGACTCTATTTGGAGTATTGAATTTCCTAAAAATACTACATTTATTATTAATGGTGAAAATATCCGTTTCAATATCAAAGTGCCTGTATTCTATTTTTTGAACTCTACAATTAATAATTTCAGAATGGTAATAATTGAATATTGTTAAAGAGCATTGTGATGATTTTTTTTAAGAATTTTGTTAAATTAATTTTGTATATCATAAGACATTTATTATCTTAGAAAGTATTCACTTTTGTTGGAATTTGTTTTATTTAAAATTTAAGAAACAAGTAGTTTACAATTTTACATTTATGTTATTTTTTGTGACTTATTTTTGGGGGTAAGACCTATAATAAAGGTTGTAAAGGCTACCTTTGATTTTCAAATGGCATTCTATAATAAAAGTTCTATAAATAGATAGAGTATTAATTAAAATTAATTTTAGTGTTAAAAATCAAAAGTGGTTTATCCAAAAAATAACATGAATGTAAAATTTAAGAGTTGTTTGTTTTTTACATTTTTTATAAAACAAATTCTGAAAAAAATGCATAATTTTTTTGACGAGTATCTTACAATTGATTGATCACCATGTATAAATATATATATACATACATTTTAGTATCGTGATGAAGACCGGAAGACTACTTCTTATACTAATACAAAAGAATTGCTTATTAATTCCATTAAAATTATCCAATCTATTGCAAATGTTGCCACATCATTAAATAACGATATTATGAAAACATGTGAAACATTGTTAACCCTTGTTCCAAGGTAAATATTTCAGAAGTTAATACAAATATATTACTTATATATTATATTATATTTTATAAATTTATTTACTTAAATTTGAAATTATATTTTTAGTGTTTCTTATATTGATTCAAATTATGCAGCTGATCCAGAAGTTGTGTCTGAAATATTAAAACTAGCAAGACATATACTCGTTTATTTCCCAGAACAAACGTTGTGTTACTTTAATGCAAATAATTTTTTTCCTTTTTTGATGAATAGTCTTGAAGATTCTATTGTAAATTTACATCCTTTTTCTCAAAATTCAATTGCATTAATGATTCTGAAGTATGGACCTGAAGTTTATCCAGTTTTAACTCAGTATGTTAAACTCATAGAAGCTTCTCTTAAAGTATGTTCTAATAATTAATATTCTATTGATTAACTCTTTGTATTTCATTCATTAATAATTATTTTTAGATAAGACATACACTAGTATGCCAAACTGCAACATGTGGTGTAATGTTTGTATTCAAGACTATAATGCCATTATTAGCTGTATCAGATTTTTTTATAGGACCCAAAGAAAAAATGGATTTGGGTTGGGCTTGTATGCGCTTAATCTATGTTGTTTCTATGTTACAACCGGAGAGTGTAGAAGATACTTTAATAATGCCTATTAAAAAAGTATTGGATTTATGTCTACCACATAGTCCAACATCAATTGCTTCGTTAATGATTTTAAATATAGCTACTATAGGTAAAATTATTATACATTAATAATTTATTCCATAATTTTGTAGGAGTTCACAATTTCTAATTATTAATTAATTATTTAAATAAATTACTTTGTATAAAAAAAGTTTACTATTATAGATACATGAATAATTTATTAATAAAGAAATTATTTCTAATAAATTTGTTAATGTAATATTTTTAGGAGAAAAAGATTTTACTAAAATAATGCATAATTATCATAGTTGGACAACTGGATTTGGGAAAAGAAATATTCAATGTTTAATATTTGCATTATCCTTATTAAATTATACTATTGAAACAAAATCACTCGTATGTTTATTTGATCTATTTAGTTTTAATTTTATCATATTTGTAAAATTGTGTTTTGTATTATAGCCCGATGTTAATCGTAGCACAAATACTGCAATATTTGATCCTGAAAGAAGACTTGCCGTTTTGTTATCATATCGTTTAACAGTATTTCATAATAAATTAAATACCTTATCTCTTACTATACTTGGCACACTTGCAGAAGTAAGGAAAATATTTAACTGTTAAAAGATGTCCATAACTAATTTAATTGTTTTATTCAGAAACGATTTGTCTCTTTCAATCTTTCAATGGGTTTTAATAATGAAGAAAGAGCACGGACAGAGATGTTGTCTTATTTGAAATTGCATAGGCTTCATTCCACCAATATTGTAAGTATTATAAATCTATTCATATTAATCATTTTGTTTTATTTAGAAGATATTTTACTGTTTTAGGTGAAAATGCTAAAATTCTTACATAACGCTATTGCTTATCAATGTAAAATGTTTGAAATTATTTTAAATGTTGAATTAATTGAGAATTGTATTAAAGAAAATAAACAAATTGAATCAATTAATGACAGTATTCTATGGTTTATTGAAGTAGAACTTGAGACTGATGTAAGTTTATTACTTTTTTAGTTTTTTATATAAAATATTTACTATTTTTTTTACATATTATTTATTTTTAATAAAATTACAAGCAACCCCAACAAAAGATTGAATTCTTTGGCATTTTTACCAATGAAACTAACAATAATTTTGATAAATGTTCAATGCATAGACTGACATTTCATCAACTGAATTACATATTTTAGATTCCAAGTATAGCATTTTATTATGTGTACATATTATACCTTGGTTTTTTTTTTTATCTGTTAACAATTTTTACTGTATATATTGCTTTAATTATTACCTTTAGAGTTAGTTTCTGATAGTTTCTAGTTAGTGCTCTTTGATTTTCTTACCAGGTACACTTTTTTGAACATTCTGGTGATTTTTGAACTTTTTATTTTTATTATTGCTTATTCTAATTTTTATTCCCAATATTAATTATCAACTGTTTAAATTAATAAATGACATTAAATCTATTGTACTTATTAGTAGAGATAAAATGTTGCTTCACTGAACATAATTTATTTTTAGGATTTTAAACAAGAACAAGAAAACAGTATTTATCTTGAAACATTGGGAATTATACACACATTGTGGTATAATAGGTTTAATCTAGCTATGAATTACTTGCAACAAAACAAAAACTTTTGGAAGTTATTATTCAAACCTCTTTTTCATAATAAGTAAGCTTTATAATAAATTATATTTTTTATTTGGATACTAATCTTTGGTTAAGTATTTAATTTTTTCACTAAATGATCTAAATTTACCATCAAAGTTAATTTTTATTGTCTTTCCCCTACTTTTACAAAAATTATTTTTAGAATCTAAAAATAATTTTTTTTAATTAATTATGAATAAGTAATTTAACAACTAAGATTATCTAATGTTTTTCAAACTAGATATAGCATTGAAATCTTATTCTAATTATTAAAGTCTACATATAGGGTGTCCCATAATGATTTGCCACTTGAAATAACTTATGTTTTATTCATTATTTTTGATATATATATATTTTTTTTAATATTAGTATGCTTCTTTGCTACACTTTATATATGAATATTTTTTTTTAGGGAGAAAGGGACTTAAAATTAAAAATTAAAAATAGATTTTTTGAAGTTTTTGCAATTGTGGTTAGGTTAGGTTAGGTTAGGTTATTCCATTACAATATTTAATTAGTTATTAGTCAGACTACATGAACAGGATTTTCTTTTCCATGAGTTAATATTATGCAATAATGTTGTAATAGGTCATTTAAGTTGATAAACAATATTTTTATGATTGAAAAGATATTTTATAAAAAAAATCTTAGAAAATAAAAGACCCTACTTTAAAAAAAGTTTTAACCACCAAAAGTATTCTAAAGACCTATTTTGAAAAATAGCTATTTTTAATTTTTTTAAAACAATTATAGTAACATTTTTAATTTTTAATTTTAAATATCCTTAAAAAAAAATATTCATATTTAAACTGTAGCACAGAAAAACATTAATTATTTAAAAAAAATATGTATCAAAAATATTGAATAGAAAAAAAGTTATTTTAAGTGTGCAGATCATCGTGGGACACTGTATATATATATATATATATTAGGGTGCCCATTCATTTTGGAGTTAATAATTTTAAGGATTGTCGATCCAAAATTTGTTTCAATAAATCTAAAAATAAGGCTCTTAAAATTTGACTTGAAAAATTAAACTTAATTAACATGGTTAAGCTCAATGTTTTACGAAATTAAATAAAATCTTTATTGTAGAACTGATTATTTCCTAAATAAATGGTATTTTTATATTTTTTTTAAAAAATAAACCCTTCCATCCAAAATTGATAAAACTACCATTTCTCATGATTTTTGAACATAACTTTAATAAAATATTAATATTTCTTTAAAATAAAATAAAATAATTTAGAATTTTTAAATCAAAGTATTTTTTATCACCTTAAGATATTTAGACCCGCAATCATGGATAGTCTGAAAAAATATTATTAAAATGAATTAATTTAACTAATGAATCTTAAATAAGTGATATATTTAAAAATTTCCTAACTTGTAATAAGAATCGCTTCTGGTTTTTATCTCTTATAATATTTGTATCAAAGTCTTTGATTGAAATATTCGTTGAAATATATTTTTTGATTTTAAGTTAGTTAGTGATATTAGTATTTCTCCATCGGAACTTTTAATGTGTAATATGAAATGCACCTGGCTTTCTAAAACCTACTCTAGGAGATATGCCTACTAAAGAAAAAATTGCTAAATTTAATAGCTTGCAATAATCTTCTTGAGGAAATTTTTTAGAAATATGTAAGTATAAGTATATTTAGTTAACGAAAAAACATAATAAAATTCACTATTTCTTTAAACTTTGAGCTTGAAGCGTGTCCTGTTAATTTAGTTCAATTGAGCTCAAATATTAAGGGCCTTATTTTGAGATGTATTGAAACAAATTTCCGGCTCTTCTTAAAATTAAGAAATACATTTTCTTTCTATATAAATAACGGGTGCCCTAATAAACATTGTAAACATTGTGTAGCACCTGAAATTATAATTTTGTATAATTTCATTTTATTACAAAAATATTTTTTGTTTTATTCTATGTTTATTTTAATAATTAGTTTTATTGTATTAATTATAGAATGATATCAGAAATAAATTCAGAAGTATTTTCAATATTATCCCTTCAAGCACATTATTGCCCCATTGAAAGTAATAAAGAATTTTCAGAACAATTAAATATATTTTTGAAAACTAGATTAAACACTATATTAACGGTAAGATATTCATATCAGTGATTGTATTAGAATTATATATAAATATATCACTTGTTTGTCAACTTAGTTTTCTATTATCATTTTTAATAGTTTTGTATTTGTAAAGAGTAATTATTTTTTACTTTTATAATTTTTAACTATGCAAAATATCTAATATAGACACTATCAAATAGTCACTATTGAATTATTTGATAATTATCATTCAAACTATTCAACAATTTGGATAGTATTTATTTGGTCACAAGAAAAACTATTGAAATAGTTTTTATTTTGGTATTTTTCCCAGATATTATTTGAATATTTTTGTTTACAATTAATTCTAATAAATGTTAAGGTCGGTAAGTAAATAATTCTATGAAATATTACCTATAGATGGCTATACAAAAGGCAAATGGTGACTATATACAAGCTGACACTCAGCTGTCCCCATATACCTAAATATATTTTTAGTTATACCAAATAGTTTTTATTTGAATAGTTGTTCCACTAGTTTTTATTCAAAAAATATTATTGTGCATTATTTGTTTTTAAAGCACGACACACTGTATTTGAATAGTATTGCACTATTCTCCTTCTACCCAAACTTTAAAGTAAAATAGAACATCAATGGGTTCATGGAAATAAAAAATGTCAACACTAAAATTTATTTAAACTAATACTCTATTTATGGAATTAATATGGGTTGCTCTTAGAAAATCAATATTAGGAAGTTGTTTCACCCCAAAATATAATACAAATGTAACATTTTTGAGCTGCTTGTTTCATAATTGGTTAATAAAAATTATGAAAAAAGTTAAGTCTTTCTGAGGTATTGCATATCTTCGCAATCTTCATGGAATAGTCTGTATTGTTACATATTATGTGCTATTACATTAAACTAAATTTGTTTTTCTTATCACAAAGTTTTTAAATAATTTAAAAATGGCTCAAATATTTTGAACATTTTACCGCGTATAAAAAAGTCAAATATAATTGTTCTTAAATTTTCCTGTTCATTCTACATTTTTTTTTTTTGGTTTTGCTCAATTATTAAAAATAAACCTACGTGAAAAATCAGAAGTCGACTTTATTACTTACCAATTAGATTAAACATGTAATAACAATAATCTCTTGTCTTTTTTTTATTTAACTAATATTTCTGGTAGAATGCAAAGTGTAAAAAAGTTTAAAATGTTTCGACTTTACAAAAATACTTAAAAATTAAACCCTCTTTTAATTTGAATAAATTAAATTTATTACAAGTGTCAAATATAAAAAGATGAGCGTAATATAGTTTTTTGATATAAAATAAATAACATTAAATGTATCCTACCTTCCCACCTACAACAGTATCAACTTTTATTTTTGCAACCTCCCATATTTTACACTCTGGGTATTATAGGCACTACTCACCGCAAACCCTCTACAGGGTTGTGTGTATTACCATGTGTCTACATCAAGACATAGTTATTATTATTTTTGTTATTATTGTTGTTTACATTTATGTTGTATTATATCCCTTTGGAAGTTGGTGGCAAATTGTTATCTGAATCATCTACTTCTAAATCATTCTTAATTTTTCCATTTCTAATATTGTCGCATGTTTCTTCTTCAAATGATCTCATAGATTTGACATATTATTTTAATACATTAAACAATTTTTACACAGTCTGTATGCACTTGACTCGGTGTATTACAATATTTTGTATTCAGATTATATAATTTATTTTGTTATTCATAAAAATATTAATACAGCTTTAATATTGTCACATGCTAGTTTAAAGAACGAACAGATTTTTAACTGTTATTTGAGGGTAGTGTGACAATATAACTATAAACTTTAAAGGATTAATGTCTAAATAAATAATAGAATTATTTACCTATAGACCATAACATTTATAAAAGTTGTTTTATTTTAAACAAAGATGTTTTAATAATATTGGGAAAAAATAACGAAGTTAAAACTATTTGAATAGTTTTTTCGAAATATTCGAAAACTATTGTTAGTATAAACTATTCAATAGCGCCCATCTACTAGTAATATAATTCCATACATCAAAATTAGATATCTACACAAGTGTGAAGTGACTAATAATTAACTCATGAAAACCTTTAATGTCAAATATGTATATATACAAAACAAATTAATTAGTGATATTTTCAAACTAAGAATGTAAACAAATTATTTTGGACTGTATTAGGTATTCATAAAAATAAAAAGGAATGTTTAATGGAACAAGTTCCATTTTTATAGAACAAGGAAAGTGAGCAAATTCCATTTTAAAAGGAACACTGTCAACACTAACTAATTCTATAACAAAAATTCACATCCCTATTCCTTTTTAATATTTATTGAAAGTATACAAATCCCAATCATTATAAATGTATAATAACACATTATATTAAATATAATATATTATGATTTTGAATATTTTGTTAATATTATTTGATATAATATAATTTGTATACATTTTCAGGGGTTTTTAAAATTTTTTGAAGAGAATAATGATGATTCAATTGATATAAAACGAAAGTTAATTTATTCATGGAAATTTTTTACGCTACTGGTATTAAAACACCGCAATGCTGATGTAAACGATAAACATGGTGTAATTAATAATATATTAAAACTATTTATCATTGAACTAAAAGGCAATGACACAAGTTCAATTGTCAGTTTAGGAGAATCATTATTAATTATGTTAAAAATGTGGGAAAAGTAAGTTTTTATTTTGACTGAATTTACTATGATTTAAGGTTATAGTGTAATCTATCACTTATTGCAATGACTTTATTTCACTTATGCTATTTGATATGCTCTTAAAAATATAAAAATATGCACCAAAACTTTTCTAAAGTAAAGCTCAACTTTTTCTCCTTTGTCTTCGTCCCAACTATTTAAGGTGGTGGCTTTCTTCATACAAAACTAGCTATTTTTCAATCTTTCTCTCCACTTTTTTCTTCCTACATTTATTTTCATTACAATTCTTACTGCTTCAGATTTTTTTTTGTCTTGTGACATGTCCAAACTATCTCTGTCTATTTCCTCTCATTTTGTCTAAATTAACTTTAAAAAAATAATATTTATTCTTATTCTCAAATTAAAATATAAATTCTAGTATCTAAAATAATAGAATATAATTCACATTTTTATCAATTAATTTTTTTTTTATGATAATGAAATTATATATGAAGAATAGAAAATTAACAATTGATATGCACATGATATTGTGTTTATTAAATATATTTTTTGGAATACAAGACTTGTCTAAGTAATTGTTTATGTATAGGGACTGTATTATGAATTCCAAGTCAACTATTGATAATCTACAAACAATTTTAAAATTGTTTAATAATAATTCAGCATTAGCTGAAAGTCATTTATCAAAAACTACTGTTTTAATTGTGATAAATGAGATTTCAAGTATTATATTTTCTGATGATACATTTTGTACAGATAATGCACACGAAGGTTTTTATTATTTAGTTATTTAACTCATTATTAAATATGTTTTAACTGTTTAATTTTCTGATTATAGATTTTATTAGTAATGAAATGTATAGTGTTATTTGTGAATTAGCAGAAAAACAATTGGAAAATATTTACATAACAGATCATGAATATCGATCTATTCTTATAAATTTAAAATTAACAAATTCAGTATTTTATAAAATCATACCCATAATTAATAGATTATCAACCAGTTGGCATCAATCGAGTCACTTGACAAATACTATTGGCCAAATGCTTACTTATATAGACAAATGTAACAAAGTATGTATATTAATAATTATGTATTATATGCAGATTATATTTTAAATATATGTATATTTATTTTAGGATCATCAAATTAGTACTATTACTATAGAAGTGTCTGATTTTCTTGTATACATGTCATCAATAAAACAGTTCCATTCACAATTTGGCACTCAGCCATTTATTATAAAGCATTTATGCACAGTGTTATCTGTCAAATGTGTAACTTCAACTTCAGTAAGTTAATAATGGGTATAATGTATTATTGAAGATGATATAATCCTAATGTTTAATATAGAACGAATATGATATTAAATATGATGATCTAAAACGTTTATGTGTTTACAAAAATTATTTCAAAATGCTTTTCAATTTTTTGATTAATTGTGACTCTTGTGTAAAAAAAGAAGCAATACATCAACTAACATCAATTTTCTTAGACTTGTCTATTATTTTAAATTTTGTAAGTATTCATTGAACATATTAAAATAAATTGTTGACCACTAATGTTTGTTTTTACTGGTTAGCCAAATAATAAGAAAGTTTCTAGTTCTCATTTAAATCTTGTGCAATCAGTTATTAAATTGATGAATTTAATAGTTTCAAAAGAATATTATTATTATTGGCAATCAATCGGTGGTTTGTGTTATATTGCACTTGAAAAAATTATTGTAAGTTGTTAAATATTACACTCTTCTATACTTTTTAATAAAAAAAAATCAATTAAATATTTTTAGATAAGTATTTGGGATTGTGCCTATGGATCATATCGACAATTGAATGATCCGGATAACTTGATAATAAGTATCTTTAAAAATGAAAAAGTACAGTTAAATTTACCCGGCTGGAAAACTAGAGGAGATATATTTACCAAAAAAGATTTACTGACAATTAAAACTACTAGAAAAATGTAAAGGCATTATAGTATACAGGATGTTCCACAAAGTTATACCCATTGTGATATCTCTGAAGATAATAAACATAATACAATTTTTTTTTCATATTATTCACAGTGATAAGGACTACAACTATTTACATTTCAATTAATTTTTTGGTTAGTTCAAAGAAAAATACTTATAATTATGCATCATGCTATCTTAATTATCTCAGGAGATATTACAATAGGTATATATTCGTGTGACACCTTGTATATATTATATAATATAATACAAAGTGATTTTTTTATCATGAATCAATAATTATTTCAGAGGATTTTAAGTAAATTTGATTTCTGTTTTTTTTTAGTCTTTATGGATCATTTAAGCTTTATTTTAAAACCATTTTTAATTTTTTACCCCTACTCCTTTTAAACAGATTTGAATAGAGAATATTTTTCTAGACATTTATACATGCTTAGCACTAATATCAGATTTACCTTTTATGAGTTAAAACAATTAAGTTTAGACTAGAGGAGTAAGGAAGGATAATAAATTGCCTATCTATGACCCTTTGATATGCATAACACTAATATCAAAATGTCTAGAAAAATATTCTCTATTCATATCTGTGTTTAAAAGGGGGGTAGAGTAAGGGTGAACAATCCATAAAGATTAAAAAAAAAACAAATCAAATTCACTTAAAATCCTCTGGGATAATTACTGGTTCATGATAAAAAAAAAAACACTCTGTATATGTATATATATATATATATATTTTTTTTTAATGATGATTATTGTGTTATTTTTTCAGCCTTTTCGACATTTTATATTCTTGTAATTCAATTCTTGCACGTATCATGATCCCACCATATGAAATTGTATCATTACTTCAATTGGGTTTAAGTGATGCAAGTGTATTTAGAAATATTATTTCCAATGAAGTCATTGTTGATAAAAAGTTCAGTACATTTTCTACAATTGATGGACTAATAGAAATGATTGTATTTCTTTCCGATAAAATTACTAGAGTAAGTAATTATTTTTATTTTATTATTCCCCAACATAGATTTTAATTTTTTATACAATTTATCAGCTGCTTAAAAAATTAACATAACTTAATTTATTTAAAATAAAATAAAATATGTTTATGCAATTATGTTTAATAAAATATAAATTGTTTTTAATCCCTTGTGTTCCAAACTAATTAAGCTCTAAATGATTCATATTATACTTTTGACTTAAAAAATTGCAACTATTCATTTAAAATAATTAAAATCCTTTATATATTTAGCCTCTTTTTTCCTTTAGGCAACTTGTCCAATGAAAGAAATTTCTAGTGACTTAGTACATAACTTTGTTATATTTATCCACTTGATATCACCTATACAAATTCCCTCTATTACTAACATTTTGATAAAGATGTATTTATTTTTATTTTTCATCATTTTTATTCTACTAAGTATTTAATATATTTTAAATTATACATTTAAAAAATATATCTAAAAACAGACGGAGTTCAAGAATATTGTTTTTACACAATTATAGAAATGTGTGTAGTGTCAGGTAGATGTATAAAGCTCCTTGATCAGATTGGGTAAGACATAATTAAATTAATATATGATATATATACATTTTTATTATTTTGTCAATTATGTGATTTAATATATAATACAGATATGAAAATGAGATAACCATACCTGACTATTATATTATACTCAATCAGATTAAGGACATGTTAGTATGACTAATCTATAGTTATAACTAATGAAAATATAATTTAAGATACCTACACTAAAAATGTATAAATACGATTATATGAAGAAAGAGATAATATTAATGATGTGGATATTTGTTACAAAAATATTTTGAGGGTGCACTAAAAAAAAACTAAGAGGAAACATTTTATTTATTAATTTATTTTGTATTTATATTTTGAAACATATTTTATTATTTTTGGCATTCTTAATCTGATTTCTAACTAATAACTTTTTCCTCATATCTAATTTTTTTCAATTTATTTTTATCATAAAAATATAATTTTTATAATATTGTGATTATTAATTATTCAGCATGGTGTAGTTTCTACTTCATTAATATCAGCACTCAATGAAAGATATGCACTAGACGTAGAATTATCAAGTTTAAATGATGCATTAGAATTATGTGTGTATACATTCACCAGTCAACTTTTAATGAAAGTATCACAAAATAGTGATAACAACGAGCATTTGAATGAAATTGCTGATGTTGCCAAAAATATGGTAATGTGGTATCATTTTAAAATGAATGTTCCCACCCAAAAAAATTGTTTATCTTTAAAGTAATATTAATTAAATTTTTTTTAGAGTTTTCTTCTGTATAGAACTATAAGTAAAGATGTAGAAGATAAACGTATAACATCATTTGACATTAGATCTCAACAGTCAAATGGAGATCGTTCAGAAGATTTGTTGATAGGATTTATGAAATTACTAGAATTTATTAAAGACATTAACAGGTTTTTGTCAAACATATATTTATATATATATTTTTTAAAGTTAATTAATGTTTTATCTAATTTTAGGACCTCTGCTGCTTTAACGAAGAAAGATATATGAACTAAATATTCAATTATATGTTGAATCTTTTTTTTTTGAATAATTAATTCCAAATGTATATATGTATGTATTTATAATTATCTGTGATTAATTATTTCAAGTAACCTGATAAACAATATACTTCTTTCATTATTATAATATAAAATATCCTATTTTTTTTTAAATAAAATTAAAAATGTGACAAAAAAAATACAATTAAATATTTTTTATTTTTATACTAATTCAGTTAATTATAATTTTCGATTTTTAAATATACTAAAATAAAATCTATATTCAAATGATTTTATAGAATTTTCATTATCAATTTAAATATATTTTCCTTTTCCTATACTTAGGGTTATTTGATTTTTGAATTATTTACCATTATTAAATTATTAAACACATATTGTACATTGATATAGTTATAGTAATTAGAATTACATTTAAAAGTGAATCATTGACTATTATATAGCCTAATACAAAAGTCATAGCTGGTGTTGAATAGGTATTGATTATAAAGTGATATCCTATTATTTAATTGTCTTGGATATATTTGCAGCTAATTTCAAAAATAATCCTGTGATGTATCATAGTCAATACTTACATTTACATAGGAAAAAGATCATTGGACAATAATAGCAGGTAATAGAAAAAAGTTTAATAAAAAAAAATTTTTCTTTGTCTATTTATTTATATATATTTATATATATTACATACTTTGCACGATGGGTGGGCCACTGTTGTTGGTTAAAAGTGGGAAAGGTGGAGGAGTGATTCAATTTATATCTGTTCACAACAATTAATCATTTCTAACGAAAAACGATTATGAACAGAGTTCAGTTATAAATGTTTTGGAAGGCCATCATATTTACAATTTTAAAATAATACTAAAAATAATGTTCCCGTTTTTCCTATTTATTATGAAAACCCTTCAGGAAAATCAAAAAATAAACTATAGTACCATACCAATAAAATTTATTTCCAGAAAATGTGTTACACTTGAAAATCAGAGTTAGATTTCTGGTAAAAATGCTAAAATAAACATTATAAAACCTATAGCTAAATTATAAATAGTAAGTAATTTTTAATATTACCAATACTTCAAAATTTATTATTTGATTGTGTAACTAGTTGCTTTCTAATAACAAATAATGGTTAAAAATAGCTTAGAATTTAGATAGAAAATATTATTACATGATTACTAATGATCAAATTAATGGTAGACATAAAATAATCATCAGTAAACTGATATAATATATTATTTACTGTACTGTAATAATAAAAAACTCAATTACCTATGTAGTAGATAAAATACCTACCTATTCTCTATTATTTTTTTTAAAATTGGGGGAGCTTGGTCCCTTTACACTATCCTATAACTACCACAGATTCAGTCACTAAAAAGCGTCCTCTATGTTTGATCGCGGCATAAACGTACATAGCTCATATATTAGTTTTCTATGGTATAAGATCTATGCAGTGACTTTTAAAGTAAACTATATTTGTATGGTGTAGCAGAATTTGAAATTCAAAACCACTTTCCACCTCAAAAACCATTTAAATATATACTTTCCAACACCTACAACCTACCTTGAATGTTTATACCCATTCTACTGAACTATCCCAAATTCTTAATTACTTGGAACACCCATCAACCTAAAATTTAATGTTAGCAACTGTTACATTCTTAAGTATAGTTTTGGGACCACTCTCTATGGTCTATGAATATCACACACAGACCGATGTCTGGACTAAAATGCCCTCCTCACGTTTCCACTCGCAGTCATACCAAGATAAGTAACGTTTTTCGGTTACTGAGTTACTCAGATATGGTACAAAACTTATACTGTTACTACATTTGTTGTAATATTATTTAATATAATACATAAGATTTAAAATGGAACTTAGATGCATTATTTGCCATAATACTGTTACAGATACATCACAGACCATCTAATTTATAACTAATTTAGTTATTTTAAATTTAAATAATGTGTATGCATGTGTGTGTTATCAGTGGTTTAATTTGATTAAATGTTAGGTGTTAAAATACATGTAAAAACTACAAACTATCATTTGAGAATAGTCTAGTATTGAATGATAAATATTATTTAATATTATAAGCGCCGAGTTTTACAAATTGCATAGGAAACTTCTTCTTCTTCTTCTTGGGTTTTCACAGGTCTTTCGGGCCCTTTGTCACAACATACTGCCTCCACTCTTCCTTAATTTCTGCATTCTTTATTCCCAATATCTTTAGGTCTTCCTTTATTCAGCCTGACCGTCTTTGTCTGGGCTGCCCTCTGGGTCTCTTTGTGTTTGGTTTCCACGTGGTTATTTAACCAATTAGATCTTTTGATCTTCATACATGACCAGCTCAACTTATGCACACACTTTTTAATGTTATGTTCGTTATATAACTCTTCTAAGTTTTTATTTCTTTGTACTTGATACTCTCCTTCATTGTTTTCTTTTGGGTCGAATATTTTTCTCAGTATCTTTCTTTCAAAAACTTTTTTCGTATAATCTTGTCGTGACCCAAGTGCTACTTGTATATAAGGCTAATGGTCTGACTGAAACTTTATATAATGTTATTTTTGATTTTTTTGATAATAAGTTTTTACTTGAATAATGGAATCACCTAGTAGTAACACCTGTTTGTTGCGATAAGCAGTCTTTTTATTTCTCGTGGTTATTAGCATTATCATTAATGTCTACACCTAAGTACTTAAAGTTTCTTAATCTCTCAAATTTGTATTCATTTACTTCAGGAACTCTGTTCTGTAATTTTGCCTGGATATTATCATATATTTTGTATAGTCTCATTGATTTTTAGGCCAATTTTCTCCCCTACCTTCACCAAAAATCAACTGTGACTATTAGGTCATTATTTGATTTGACTAATAGGACTATGTTGTCCGCGTAAGCAACCATAGACAAAAATAATGAGCAACTGCCGATAAATTTTGATTGTCCTCTATTTCTATACCCTTGGCCTGAGTCGTTAGATACTAACCTCATAACTTATTCTAGGGCGATGTTGAACAGGGCAGGTGATAGAGCATCGCCCTGCTTGAGACCAGTCGTTACCACAAACTCTTCAGATAAATCTCCTCCAAAATTTACTTTACTTTTTGAATTATATGTGCAATATACACGCTTTTGGTTCACTCTGGTTAATTTAGCCGGTATTCATAATTGACCCATGACTTCCCATAATTTTTCTCTGTTGATTAAGTCGTACGCTGCTTTGAAATCTACTAACAGTAGGTGTATATCTTTGTCAAATTCGTGATTCTTCTAGACTACTTGTTTTACTAGGTTTATTTGGTCCATTGTTGATTTACCTAACATAAAACCCGCTTGGTAATCTCCGACTTCTTCTTTAATCTATGGATTGAGTGTGTTCAGTAGTATATTAGACAATAGTTTATACGTTGTATTAAGTAGTGAGATCCCTCAATAGTTTTCATACTTCATTATGTCTTTCTTTTTGTGTACTGGATATAATATGGATATAGACCACTCTTCGGGTATTTTCTTTCGCTCCCAGATAGTGTTTATGAATTTGCAAAGCTGGTTCTGTAAATTTTGGCCCTTTTTTAGGCATTCAGATACTATTTCATCCTCTCTCTGTGTCTTTCCATTTTTAAGCATACCTAGTCCTATCTCAATACTTTTGATAGTTTTTCTAGTAGCTGTTCTACGGTCACATATGGATATACCGTAATATTTTCATTTGGTTGGTTTAGCAATTTCTCAAGTACACCTTTCAACTCCAACACATTTTCTTTGCTCTCTGTTAATTAGGTTCAATCATTTTTCTTCATCACAGTAAGTCTTGTTTTAAATTTTATACTTCATTCGCTTTAAAGTAAAATATTTAATAGGATATTTTACAAGAAAATATAAATAACTTTCAACAAAACTGATAAATTTTTAATATGAGCTTTTTTTATATTACTACTATAAAGACGTCGTTAACTTCTTTTATGAAAAAAACTACCTATACTTTAATAGTAAGTGAATTGATAAAAATAAATTCTGAAAATAGATTTTTTTTGTGCAAGATTTCTGATAGAAAAGTTGCACACAGAATAAATTTAAAATTTAAAAGTCATTTGATCATTGATCGAACTCATAGACCAATAACCATATTTTACTTCTTTCACAAACACAGACAAAACTAGAAATTTCCTTGAGAAGACACGGATAAAACGGTCGACAAGTATTTAAAATTGTCATGAGGTTTATTGGTGATTTCTTATCATTTATACTATTTCATTTGGTATATTTATTTTCAAGGTTGGTACTGTCATGCCATCATGGTATAGCACTTATCATTATTAAGATAACCATAACTCTACCAAATTACTCTATTTGTTTTGTGTCCCATAATGTTATGATTAAACAACAACTATAGTACTTAATTTGTATTATAGACTTTGCCTCATTGATGATGCGCACGGCCTCGGATGAGTGGAGCTATATATTATTTGATAAAGGATTATTAGTAAAAATATTAACCTTAGTCAATCAATGGTTTATGGTAATAGCAAATACTATATAATATAAGCTTTACGAAATACGAATTATCAGTAGTGAATAAGTGTTCATTATTTCATCTTGATAACATTAAATATTCCTGTTTAAGATTAAATAATACCAATTACTTTATAATTTCACCTTTACACTATTTTAAAATTGTAACCTACACGTTACACTTCACGTTTTGGTGGCTTCGTAAAGTATAAATATTTAAAAAAATGACTGGTAAAGTAATTTCAGTTTACGAAAGTACTCAAAAGTTGGGTGCTGAACTGGCGAAAAATCTCTCTGAACTAGCCAATGATGTATTAGCTGAAGGAGGAAATGCGGTTTTCAAAATTGGACTCTCTGGTATAACAAAAATATTAGTATATTTTATGAGAAATATATGGTTTTTAACTCTTATTTTTCAGGTGGATCAGTAGTTTCATTATTATCTGAATATTTAGCCAAAGTTGAAACTGACTGGTCAAAATGGAGATTTTTCTTTTGTGATGAAAGACTAGTGAATTTTAACGATCCAGAATCTACATATGCTCAATATAAGGACAAATTTCTCACAAGTCTTCCCATAACTGAAGACCAATTTATTAAAATCAACCCTGAGTTATCTGGTAAACTATGGCAGGTGCAAGCTTGTTGTACATATTGATGTTGGTCAATAAATAATTTTTTGATTTGTAGTTGATGAAGCAGCAAAAGATTACATCCAAAAAATGTCTGTTTATTTTGCACCTTATGACTTGCCTCGTTTTGATGCATTGATATTGGGTGTAGGTCCTGATGGTCATACATGTTCTCTGTTCCCTGGACACAAATTATGTGAAGAAACATCAGTGTGGGTCGCTCCCATTTCTGATTCACCCAAACCTCCATCAAACAGAATTACTTTTACATTCCCAATCCTAAATAATGCAAGGTACTGTGCTTTTATAGCTATTGGGAGCTCTAAAGCTGATATCTTAAAGGTATGAATCCAAATTAAAACATATACAAGATTTAGGTACAACTCATTAGTAACATTTTGACGGTGTTTTGTTAAAGGGGTTCTATAAAATTTCACTTTTTTTCAGGAAGTAAACAAACAGTTTTTAATGATGTTTATCATGGAAAAACAATAAAATTACTCATACTCATAATACTTTGTATACAAAGTATACATGCATTGAATGTGGTATATACCCTTTTAACAAATCAGTGTTTATTTAATTATATTTTAAAGGAACCTCTGGATATCTTGACATTACCAACTTAATTTTCTGTATTTAAATACTCCCTTTTATTACCAGTTTATACTAATTTTTCTGATTTTTTTATACCAAAAAACATATTTTTCAATTTTTAGTTGTTTGTGTTTTTTTAAAATAAAATGTCGATCTTATTTACTATATTTTTCAGCGTATTCTTAAAGACGGTGAACAGTTACCTGCCAATTGTGTACAGCCAGTAAATGGGAGTGTACAATGGTTATTGGACGAAGCAGCGTCCAAGTTATTACAGGAAGAAACATCTTTATAATTTTTTATGTCATTTTAATCAAAGTATCGGTAATAATGAAAATTATCTATTTTTTAACTTTGGTGTCTGATAAATTTTATCCTGATAAAAATTTATGTTTTGTTATGTATGAATGAGAAAATGTAATGTATTGAGAAGTAAATTCATTTTTAACCATTAAATGTTTTTTATTAACATGTTTTCTATAAAATTTATCATCCTTATAAATTGAATTAAAATTAAATTTAGAATTTATTGATTAGATTCAATGAATTATTACTCCATCAATATTTTAAAGTTCTATGAACAAACAAAATATTTAGTTTTTTTTTTAATTATAGCAAGATACTAAGAGCTTACTTATTACTAATATCCAATTTGTATTTTTAATAGTAACCTAATTAAATATTACAACAATTTTGACAGAAAAAAAAAATATTCAATATAAGAAATCACAGTTATAATTATACCAACGACGAAAAATTAGAAAAATATTGATGTATTAATGGCACCAAACTTAGAAGAAATTATATAAATATACAATTGAAGAACTAATCAAAAATATATACCTTATTAATTATAAATGTAAGTACTGTTCACAAACTAAAAGCTAAAATATATGGTTATTAGTGCATAAATTGATTTACCTATTTTTTCAAAAGTATGTGCAATTTCAAATGTTTGAATACACATTTTGCTTAATGTTGATGTGCTTAAAATTCTATTTTAGCAAACATTAATCATAAATCTAATTCAGTCTTATCTATTCATATTATGTATAGTGTTGAACTATTTTTTTTTATAAATTAAAAATATTTAGGAAATTCAGTTTTAAATAATTATGGATGTACTTAATATAATATTAAACTTATAATAATAAATCCTAATAGTTTTATATGAATAAAATTGTTTAAAATAATGTTTTCATATAGTATCAAATAGATAGATAATAAATAAACTATAACTTTTATAACACTTATAAATTAATTGTTCAAAAAACTTCTTCATAATTATTATAATGGAATAACATATATGTTTTAATTATTATACTAGATAGGAGGATAAATTAACCTTTAACATTTATTAAAAGTGCAATCTTTTAAATACTCCAATATTTTTTTAATATCATAAAAGATAAATAAATAAAGAATAAGTGCTAATATAATAAACCTTTAAGGTACCCAAACAGAAAATGTTTTAACTGTACTATTATTTTTAAAAGTATGTAATTAATTTTGCAATTTTGGATACTAAATTGTTGCTCAATGAATATTCTATAAAATAGTAATTTCATTTGAGCAATATGTATTATTAAATTATATAAATATATATATTGTTATACAGTATATAATATATCGTGTAATACTATTAACGAGAGAAACAAAAATAATGTATATAAAAAAAGATAAGATAAATCTTGTTTACAAAATTGAAAAACATTTATTTTGAACAAGAACAAAAAAAGTTTTATAAACAACAATATTTTACAAAACAAGTGTCACGCATGACTAGGAACAAACTTAAACAATTTTTTTTTTTTTTTTTTTGAAAAAAAATCAAATCAAATTATTGCAGTTAATAAGAAGGGCCTATAAGTAAAAATTAGTTTTGTCATTAATAAATATTGGGTTAAAAATAACAATATAATTTTAATATTTATAACCTTGTCAATAATTTTTGGAGAAAATTATGTTTAATCTTATGTGGATAACAAACTCAAATTGGAAAATAATATAAATAAACCTTAACTGGCTTTTATTCAAACCCTACTTAGTTTATGAAATATATGTTGCATCTGGAATGTTGGTAGAAAAAGCATTGGTGCTCTAGAGACAAAAATTAAGAAAAGATTACAAGAACCCATTAAATTATGTTGAGCCTAAATTTGATTGGTAACGATAACAGGAGGAATTTGACAAATAAGCATTATGATAAATATTAAATGTGTTAAGCATTCAACATTTGCATTTTAACAAAGTTTTATAATCAAACTTAATATTTTTTTATTCTTATGGCTATGGTAACCACGAAAATTATGTATTATTTCTACCGTTACAGATCACTTTTCTTCAAGACTGCCCAAAATTTCACCGTCAATAAATGTTTGTAAAATTTAATATATTTTTTTTTGTTTTAAAAAATTGAATGTCAAGAGATAAATAAATATGAAGAAGTTCAAACAATTGATGTTATGACATAGTAACCCCGAGTGCTTCACGACATCGTTCATAAACGACATAACTTATACTAACAGCTGGTGCTACTTTCATAAAATTTGGTGTAATGCCTCTGTATAAACCAGTTGGTCCTTCTTTAGACCAAATATCTTTAAACACAGACACCATTGTCCTTGTATCTGGACCTTCTAAATCTGATAAACAAATAACAAATAACTAATAAGTAATGAAAAATAAATAATATTGTAAGATGCTTACAGGGTGCTTGAAGACGTGTGCGAACAAGAGCTAAAGGGTATGAACACACCTGGCCACATGTACTAGAAACTGTTCCACATGCTAACAATAATGGCATTCCTGGTTTATCACCATTGTCGTGTGATGCAATATAATTGTTTTTTAGAGTCTAAAGATTATAAAACAGTTAAAATAAAATATTTAATCTTTCAAATTTATACTTATAAGTTCGTGCTCTATAAATTTAAAAATTATATAAATATTTAATAATTTCAAAATTATACCATTAATACTGAATACTAATTATATAATGTATAGTTACTAATTATTTATAAACCTTCAAAGACAATCTACAATCTATACAACAATATGCACATTAATTAGATGAACTAAAAGAATACAAAAAAAAAGAAAGAAATAATAATGAATATTTTGATTTTGGGGAATTACCAAGTGGTAACACCCAGCACGTGATATTAATTATTTTATGTCGGTTAATATGGATTTTTTTTTTTATTAATTTTATTCTAGGACAAAAGGTCCCAGCACCAATTTTTTTTTAGCCTTTGTTGAGGGTTATTGTGTTTTTGTTGATAGTTTAATAATCAAGGGGTTTGATGACCCCTTGACTGAAGTTTATTGTGGAATCTAGTATAGTTCATTTTAGTAGTTTGATTTAGGGTTTGAACTTTAAGATCTTTGTGAAGTTTATTGTTACCAGGTATTGTACCAGGGTGCAGAGGAACGTAGGCGGAGGCAGATGGATTGAAAGGCTTGAATTTTTTTGGTGTGGAGGGTTTTGCGGTTCCTCATAGCTGGAAACCGTAGGTCCATAGTGGTTTAAGTAGGAACTCATAAATTAATAATTTATTATTTATGTTTATTTTAGATCACAGGAGAGGCCTTAGTAAATGAAGAGGGGTGTTTAGGGCTTTACGTTTGTTTTTAATTTGGGAATTCCAAGTTAGTTTACTATCTAATATAAGGCCTAAGTATTTTACTTCTGAGCAAACAGGTATTGGAATATTGTTCATTGTATTTATAAACCTAAATTGTTTCTATTTTTTATTATTTTTGTACTAAATTATCAAAAGTAAATAATGATCATGAACAGTCAAGCATAGCAAAACTTATTCTAGTTCAAATTAAAACTAAAAAAATGTTTGAAAATCACAATTATATGGCAGTTATTATTTAATATTTTTAATAAAATAATGGTTCAAATGTAAACTTGTCATTATAAAATAAACTATTAGAATGTAAAATATATAAATAAATAGTTAAAATAAAATTACCTCATATACTGCAAGGTCAATACCAGCGTATGGAAGTATACCCAAAAGGTTGGGTACATAACCCCTGTAAAAACTGCGTATACCTTCGCGGTAATACATTTTTTGGATACAATCAAAGATACCTTTGTATTGATTACTCTTTCTAATAGCTAATCTGGTTTTTAACACCTATACAATTTTTTTATAACAATGTTTCAAAAATAGTCTCATTTGAAATATTAAAAAATGAACATACTTCTAAAGGATAAATTAATGATTGACTAAAACCACCAGCAAGTGATCCTGCCATAAACCTTTCAAATATTGTTAAGTCTTTAGTTCTCGTGCCTCTTATAAGGCGTTTAGCTTGTTCATAAGCCATGAATTTAAACGCAGACTCTGGAGCTATCTTGAGTACATTAATACCATTTCCACGCCACATACCTCGTTTGCCACCTTCTTTTAACATACTTTTGAAACATGTAGTTATATTGCTATGTTGATTTCCATATACCTAAATTAAATTTTGATTAATCTTTAAGGGTTAATAACTATTATAATAGTCTACTTTTGTTAATATTTAAATATTTGATTAATTTCAAAATTATTAATTAAATTATTCACTAAAACACAAAACAAGCCCTTAGACCCCCAACAGTACATTTGTTTTAATGAGTCTGTAATAAAAATCCATACATCGAATAATAAAGATGATAACATTTACTATGTTTACATATAGATCAACTTAAATTACGTATGGTTTAAAATTAAAATTGTTAAATATGTTATTTCAAGTTAAGTTTCTATGTTAGACATAGATATGTCGATTGCTAATTTAATTTATCTTTATATTTCATGAGAAATGTAAATATAAAATTGCTTAAACCATTTGTTGCTGTTAATTTTAATAATTACTAAGCAATATAATTTAAAACATTTTTTTTTTTTTAAATTTATAACAAATATTTTTACAATATAAATAATATTAATTAAAATTATTTAAAATATTTGTGAATTATAAAACTACTTGATTTATAATTTTTAAATCATATACAGAGTGATCCATTTAAGTGGGTACACTATTTCTAGTAAAATATTTATTATTTTCAATTTTTTTTTTAAAAAATATTTAATAAACAAGTTGTCTAAAATTTAACATTAACATTATTCTTGTCACCTTAATTTTTTAATGGTGAAACAACGACCAAATTTGATTTTTCAAATGAGAATCTATATTAAAAACTCCATAAATAAATAATAGTTTAAATTAATTTTAGTGTTTACATATTTGCTTTCTGTTAACTCATTATAAAGATATTCTATTTCTAAGTTTAGGAGAGTAGTGGATCATTATTAAACCGCCGCCCCACAAATGATACTCCACTCCTTTCCTTCTACCTAAACTTAAAAGTGGAATATCTCGTTAACGGGGTTTTTAATATTGATTACCGTTTTAAAATCTAAAGTAGGCAGTTTCATCCCCAAAAAATTATGTAAATGTTAAATTTTAGAGCAGCTTGTTTCTTAAATTTTCAAAAAAAAGGTAGAGAATATCAATAAATTAATATAAAGGTAGAAAAAAAAGAGATATCAAGGTCAATAAATAGATCACCCTGTATATTATAAAAGTACATTAATAAATTTATTTGATTGAGATTACAGACTTATAGTACCAACCGTAAATAGGATGAAGTCACAGACTATTTTGAAATTAATTAAATGAATGAACAATATCTAACCTGTAAAAAAACTTTAAGCCTGTCTAAAGGTGCAGTAAAAGTTCTTGAGACAGCGCCAGCTACACCGCCAGATACGAGATGCCGCCACCACATCCCAGTTTTCATCTCAACTTGGGTGAAATCATCTGGTACATTCATGTCCTCCCCAATGTCTATATACTAAAAATTCAAATTTTGAAATAATTTTTTTTTTATTGTATATGGCTTCGGCTAAATAAATAATTATTTATTAATGTGTTTTTTTACTTTTATTCTTACTAACATTTTATATTACTTATATTGTTATAGTATAAACAAATAAATAATACATTGATTTATACTTCATATAAATTCTTTTCTTTTAGGTAGATGTATGTTTTGTCAGTAAATTATTATTAAAATAAATACACTAGTTATAATAAATATAAATACATAGGTCTACATTTTTATTTTTTTCCATTTCACATAATTTGCAATTAAAATAATTAGGTATGAGTACTTTCAAGATAAATAACATAATAATTAGAAAGGTATACACAAATTGATGGCTTGGTTGTTAATAGTTTAAAATAAATGAAAATGAAAAATCAGAAACTGAAAAAATTAATTTATTTCCAAAAAACTAATGTTAAGTCCATAATCGTTATATGTTATACACTTTTTTTTTCAAACATTAATCCTTTTTCACTAAAAACAGATATATGTATCCAAGATAAAAAGTTGAAAGAGGGCAATTTTAGAAATGCATATAAGGCACATATTTATGATCAAAATAAACTTTTAAGTATATAGGGGCTAAGAGTATATGGGAACAAATGGCAGAAATGAGTGGAGGGGGAATCACTGTCCTGGATTGCTACTGTATTATACTAAGTTCTTCTTAGTTATAATTCATCTCATTATAATAATTGTACACTGTTATATTTTGAATAACTTTTCTAATTAAAAAATTTAAAAAAGAAAGTGTGGTTTTTATAATAAAATAATATACTATTTATTGTGAAATAGGTAAAGAAATTATAATTTATTTCATTGACAAAGCAAGTTAAAAAAAAAAATATGACCATACTTTGTACAATCCGGGGGCCACTATTGTAGGTGAGAATTTAGGAAGGTGGAATATAGAGGGGAATTTAAAGTATATCTGTATGCAACAATTAATCATTGCTTACAAAAATAAATTCTTAGTAAGATTCAGTAATACATGTTTTTAAAAGCTGCAATATTTACCATCAAAATTTGATATTAAAAAAAAATAATAAAAATACTACATTCAACTCAATTTTTCTTGTTAATCACATCACTAGTAATAATTCAAATATAACTTAAAAAGAATCTATTGTTAAATTTCTAATTTTCTAACTAAAGCATTTCTATTTGATCTAAACATTTTATTCACAAAATACCAATAGAATAAAAAGAATACAAATTACATACAAAATTATCAAAATTTAAATGTCTATCAATAGCTCAAAAATGACTTAAATCGTTTGAACATTTTATTACATCTAGAAAACACAAATTTAAGTATTCTGTTAAAATTTCAAATTTCTAAAAATAGTAGTTATTATAATAAAAATCAAAATGGAATATGATAAAAGCATTATTATCATACATTTTCTTGGTTTTCTCAATTATAATTTGAAAACCACTTGGCAAATAAAAAAAAGATCTCCCAAAGTAATAATTAGATAAAATTTAATTTCAGAAAACGTGCTACACTTGAAAATCAGATAAAGATATTTGGTATATATTTTGTATGCAATATAAAAAATAAATAAAATAAACATCATTGTAAAACCAATACATTCCCTCTTCACTCAATATTTAATATATTCCAAACAGTTACTGAGATTTTTCTTAATGGGGCATTCAGTTAGTACATGCGATATTGTTTGGTGTGGATAGCTCCATTCGCAGTTCAGGGTTGGATCAGCATTCCATTTGTGCATCAGGTAGCACATCTACCATGTTCTGTGCAAAAACTTTTAAGGATAATCCATTCTTTCCTGAGGAGATTGTATCCAGGAGGTTTGTCTATAGGCTCTTCTAAACAATTTTGTTTATCCAGTTTTGAAGCTTCCCATTCTTTTTCCATGTCTCGTTTATATTAAAGTTTATGTTGTTGAGTACAATGGTAGATTTCCATGGTGGATTGTGTGATTTAAGTTTTGATGGGTTCTGGAGGGATTTCGCGAAAATGTGTATAGGTAGTTCAGATTGGAGTAGCATTTTATTCATTCCTTTTATAACATATTTCTACATTGAAGGTATGGAGAGCTATGTAGTTTAGTACAGGTAGCCATTAGAGGTGAGTGGACTTTATTGTGCCAGTAATGATTAGCATTCAGCGATTGAGTTGAACATTAATTTTTTTTGTGTGCGCTATTCAGCCATATCGGTAAGCAGTATTCGGCGACTGAGTGCACTAGACTTACAGCAGAGGTTCTAAGTGAATTAAAATCAGCACCCAAGAGCTTAAGTACTATGTTATTGCGGGAATAAATTTTCGCTGCTTAATTGGTTAAATATGTCTTACATGTGAAGGTTCTATCTAGTGTAACTCCAAGGTATTTAGGGAAGGGATTATGTTAAACACTATTTCCGTAGAAAGTAATGTTTAGGCTTTGATTAGCTGATTTGATGTTGGGGTGAAAAAGGGAAGACTCAGTTTTTTTAGGATTTGGCCGAAGTTGGCGAACCTGAAGATATGTTCAATGCCTCCCCGGAAGTTATTGAATGAATACAAAATCTCAACATCCAAAAGGAAATAAATTGGTTCACTATTTTAGTAAAAAATTACATATATTTATATACATTGTTGTTATTATTGCTATTGTTATGCTTATTGTTTTGATAATATAGCCTTATTAATATTTTATTTTATTAATTGTTTTCGAATAAATAATAACTAAGTTTTTTTTAAACAAAAATCCAGTAAGAATGTTACCAATTTGGAATTTGTTCAAAACAATTAGCTGGTTAAATAGCTGGTTAAATGTATTTGTAAATAATATTTTATTAATAGTGTCAAACAATAAAGATTGACCTTGAGTTATGGGAACTCAACCTACAGATACCTGCCAAGTGCACAATACATATTATTAGCAATATATAAAAAAATATTGTTTAAATTTCAAATTAATCAGTTTTAGTTTACATTTTTATTTTTTTTTTTTACAAATCACCTATTAAATATAATGCATTAGCAATAAAGTATTGTATAATATAGCTAAAAGGCAATAACAAAACAAATTAAAATGTTTTAAACTGTTTACAACAATAAAATATATATGTGTGGCAATTGATTATTAGATCTAGAATGTATTTCATAGAAAGTGTTTTTAAATTAAACACATATATTTATTCAGTTTATAAATGCATCTACTACAGCTGATAACATCAAAACAATATAATAAATAAGGAAGTGTTTCTAATCAAAACTTATATTTAAATAGATCAAAGTCTAAATAATTATTTAAATTATTAAAAATCACTGTTTCCTATAATTGAAATCCAAATTTCAAATATTAATAAATTGTTTTATTTACAAACTTAATTTACTAATTTTTACAGTATAAAAAATAATTATTATGAACACATTATTTTATTATTTTTTGAAATTTAATTTTCTGTTATTCTGTGTCTATGAAATGTATAATAAATATACATTTCAATTAAAATATCTATTTACTTCATTAGCTAGAAATATATTTGTATAATGACTACTTACTTCATTAGAAACTATTTCTTTATAAAGTTCTAAATACGATTTATAAATGTCACAGCACAATATACAATTCTCTTCGTAATCAAAATTACATACATCTCTAAATTCATCTTGGTCAAGTGAGTATTTTAATACTTCCAAATATGTAACCATTATTTATTATTAATAATAATAGTAAAAAAAATTATGATTATAATAACGCAAATAAATTCACTACATCACATAGCCAGTCTACTAAAATAATTCTTTGCACAGGTCTAAAACAGAACGTTGCTGAATGTCAATTGGCGGGGGCAGTCACACACGTGATACTCACTTATAATTATCTAACTATATAACATTCCCAACGTTATTAAGTATATACATTTGTTAATTTTTTTACTATAATTTAAATATCTTGATTCTTAGTTACACATAAATTCAATAATTCTGTGTTTATATAACGGGAACTACTAACCAGGTTACTAACTAAAAATATATTATATCAAAATTTCATACTTACAGTTGAATGCCTCCAATATTTAATTAAGTCGTGTAGGTCGGTAAAAGGACAATAAAGTAAAAAATCTCTCCATTCTTCAAAACTAATTTCTAAACTACCATCTTTATCCATTCTGCAGTATAATAATAAAAACGATTTATAAATTGACTAACTTCATTAAAAAACAAGTATTTTATTCTATTTGTTATCGAGTTATTTACCTTTTAAGAAGTTTTATGGCTTCAGCGTCATCGATTTCAATTCCTAATTCTTGAAAAGCTCTTATAAGCTCGTATCGATCTATTTTTCCTAAACAATTTGTATAAAGTGGTTTTATAAATAATCAAAATATATAAAATATAATATGTAATGAAATAATAGTACAGTTTATTCCTTTATGTTCCTATACATCTCCAATACGCAATATTTATATAAAAATATTAGTCTACAATGAGTTAAATATCTAAGAATTTGAGTCGTAGTTTTGTATAAAAACGCTTATATGATGCACAACTTTAAACAAAACTTTTTTTTAAAAGATTTTCATCACTTTAATAATACAATTTAAGAAGATTACCAAATTTTATATACCTATATAATACTTAAATAATTATTTTTAATAATTTTTCAGTTTTTACTAGACTTTTAGTACCTGAAATAAACATTTAAAAAAACTACTTAACAATTTGTGAAAATAAACAAATTGTTGAGTATTATTACTATACCAAAAACAGATAAAATCATAATTGCTTGTTTGATTTGCTAAGGAATCTAAAAACTAAATACAAATTAAAAACAAATATCAAGACCCTTTATATATAAGTAGTATAAATCTTTATTAAAATTTATAGTCAATATTTTTTTTAAGAGAATAAAAAACAGGAACAATAATTACGTTCATGAGCATAGAAAATGAAAACCCATATCCTTACATTCAAAGTAGATAAAGTGAACTATTCATTTTCCAATGCATTGTCTGTTTAATTTTAGAAATCAGCTCTAGGGAAATATATTGCATTAAACTAATTAAAAAATTGCATATACACATAAAAACTCACTATAGTCACTAAAGTCAATTTCTAAACTTCCGTATATGATGGCTAAAACATGATGAAAATTAAGAAAAATGGTAAGGGGAAAAATGTTTTATCACACATTATATATTGGTCAATTTTAGGCTCAAATTATTCTACACTAAATAGTTTAGTTATAGTATAACGATAAATACAATACTGGTTTGTGCTCCTGTAAACACCTGCAACCTGCATTCCTGGAATGACACGATTTTCAGACCTTTGGTTGATGGAAAGGGTGTTGTAATTTTCTCAGGTTAATTACATAATGGAGTTTTAGGCCAGTTACAAGCTTTGCCTAATTAAATTTTATAATAAACATTTGTAACCAGGAAAAACAAGGAAAATGTGGTTCAATGAAGAATGTAAAAAAGCTTTACATGAAAAAGATAGAGCCCGCATGAAAGTGCTACATGACCCCAATGAAGATAACAAAAGATTGTTAGCACTTAAACAAATAGAGGTTAAAAAGGTGATTAGAGTGAATAAGAGACTGTAGGGAAAAGAACGCATACAAACTATAGAAAATAATAGAAATAGCCATTCGAAAATATTTTTTGGAAAAGCAAATAAAGTAAGATATGGCTACAAGTCCAGACCAACGGTTATGAGAAAAAGGGATGGAACCCTTCTAACAGGCAATAAAAAAATTGCATGCGAATTCAAAGATATGTTTACAAAGCTTTTGAACCAGCCAATAATTAATATCACTGTAAACGAGCTAATGACAGTAGAACAGCTACTCAAAAACCCATCAATAAGTGAAGTAGAAACGGGATTAAATATGCTTAAGAATGGTAAAGCACCAGGTGAAGATGAAATAGCATCGGAATGTTTAAAAAAGAGTGGTTCATGCTTACTGAACCAGCTTCATAAATTAATAAACACAATCTGGGAACAAGAGGAAATACCCGAATCGTGGCGAGTATCTGTCCTATGTCCTGTTTTTAAAAAAGGAGATATCATGGAGTGTGAAAATATAGAGGGATCTCTCTACTCAACACAATTTATAAGATTCTGTCTAATATTCTTCTGATCAAAATCAATCCATATATTAAAAAAATAATAGTAGAACATCAAGCTGGATTCATGTTAGGGAGATCAACAGATGATCAAATTCATATCATTAAACTATTAGCTGAAAAGAGTCACGAGTTCAATAAAAATATACACCTTATGTTCATAGATTACAAAGCAGCATACGATTCGATTAATAGAAAAAAACTATTGAATATCATAAGCCAAATGGGAATACCAGCAAAACTATTCAGAATGATAAGGGCATGTACATATGAGTCCAAAAGTTAAGTAAGTTTTGGACGAGAGGTATCAGATGAGTTCCCAGTAACGACCGGACTCAAGCAGGGAGATGCTCTATAGTAGGCTTTGTTTAATATCACATTAGAATCAGTTATACAAAAGGTACTAATCCAAGCCAAAGGAATAAAAATGAACAACAATAACGATTTAACCGTAGTAGCTTACGCTGACAAGTCCTTATAGCCGAAACAGAAAACGAACTGAGAAATATAACTAACATCCTACTAAGTGAAGGTAAAGAGATTGGTCTGAAGATAAATGAGTCAAAAACAAAATATATGATACTTTCGAGACGAAATCATAATATTAATTATTTAAAAGTTGATGATTACAAATTTGAAAGGGTACAGAGCTTCAGGTACCTAGGCGCAGAGATCAATGAAAATGCTAATAACCACGAAGAAGTTAAAAAACGACTTATGGCAGCAAATAGATGCTACTATAGTCTAATGGCACTATTCAAATCAAGATTACTATCAATAAAGTCTAAAATAAAAGTCTAAAAGTCACAATCAAACCGGTTGCTCTGTATGAGTGTAGTACATGGGCCACGAAAAAATCGAATCAAGGAAAGTTAAGAGTGTTTAAAAGAAATATATTACGGAAAATCTTCGGTCCAAAGATTAATAACGATGGAGAGTATGAGGTGAGAGACAACGGAGAATTGAATGGTCTCTATAAGGAATCTACCATTATTGGGTCCTTGAAGAACACAAGAATAAGTTGGGGGGACATGTGTGGAGGTCAGAGGGAATGATTGGAACAATAACTAAATGAAAACCCGACACTACAAGGCCTCGAGGACGCCCCAGACAAAGATGGATTGATAGAGTTCGGGAAGACTTAGGACTTCTGAACGTAAGAAACGCGGAAGAATGTGCAAATGATAGAGAGGGATGGAAATAATATGTTGTTGCGGCGATGGGCCTTAAAGGCCTGTAAAAGCCCAGAAGAGGAAGAAGTAGAATAAAAATTTGTATGGCCAGATTACATACTTAGATACCTACTTGTTATTTAAGTGTCATAATTATACAGACAAACAACCAATAATATTAAAATAACATGAATTGTCAAGAACCAGTAATTTTTTATTTAATACAAATTTAACTAGGTAGGAAATTAAAATACATTAATTTAATTTAAACTGTCTATAGAAGTTTTTTTCACAACACATCTTTGAAATGTATAAAACCATATAAATATGCATAGGCTATTTTAGACTGAATAATAACCAGGATTTAACAGTTTTTTAATTTTTATATTTATGAAAGCTTTTTTGGATGATAGAATCCTTTAAAATTTAATTATATTTGTATAAATAACAAATTAAATTTATTCAGCAGTAAATTCATTTTACAAAAGCTTATTGTTATTATATTTTGTAAAACATATCAAACCCGTATCACAATGTAAAATCTATTTTAATAACACTGAACATATATTGTACATTTTAGATTCTGAACGGGACGAGAAATGGATTGGTTTGACAATGATGTTTATTTTTTTATCTGTGAAAACTTTACTACCAGAAATCTTGCTCCGATTTACAAGCAACATTATAGTAAGCCCTTTTAGCACTCGTAGCAATTTTTTTGAAAGAAAACCTAACTGGAGTGGTACTTTAGGCAAGTCATTTTTTTAATTTTCTTAAGACTTTTTTTGGAGAAAATATGTAATTATTTTACCATAAAATGACATGTATATTGTTGACAAAGCAACACTTTCAACTAAACTCTGTTCATAATAGCTTTTTTGTTTAGCAATGGTTAATGATTATTTACATATATGCATTAAATTACCTATAACAGTGACTGTACCCATCAACATTATCTTAGGACAGCTTTTTCTAATTCCCTTATATAATGGAAATATAATGTTAACTCATTCAAAATTATCAAGATAAATGAAGAATTACTTTGCACTAAGGGTTGGGTGGTTGTTGGTGGAGAGTTAAAATAGAATATATAAAGTGATTTATTTATAACTGTACACTATTATTACAATATAAAATTACATACAATATTATTGCAAATGAAAAATTATTCTGAGCGAAAATTGGTTTAATATGTTTTGATAAATATAAATTGGAAATTGTATTAATATATGGCAAAAGAATAAACTACAATTAGGGGTAATTGTAATTTAAAGAACTATATGGGGGGGGGCATATAGGTCTTTTCAAATATTTGTATAAAGTCAAAAATGTTTTGTTCACATAAATAATGGCCAAAATAAAGTCTTTTGAGTATAGCACTGTTCTAAGATCAGTTGATAATATTTTAACAGATGAGCAGCATGGATTCTTCCAGGGTCGTTTAACTATGACGTGTAATGTCACTTTCACAAAGTATGTCATGGATGCTTTTAGTAAACTTTTTCAAGTAGATCTTATCTTCACTGATTTTACTAAGGCATTTTATTATGTAAATCATAATTATTTGTTGAAAATTCTAATTTCTTCTGGTTTTGGTAAGTCTTTACTGTCTTGATTTTCTTCATATCTCTCCAACAGGAAACAATTTGTTAAAATCAATGGTTCTTGTTCTAACTTAGTTAATATAACTTCTGGTGTGCCACAGGGGGGGATGGACACTTGTGTCCTTTGTTGTTTGCTTTATGTATAAATAATATTGAAAAAATACTTCATCATTGTCGTTTCTTGTTGTTTGCCGATGATATAAATTGTTTCTCCAAATTTACTCCATTCAGAACTATAATCTTCTTCAACATCTTGATTCTATAGTCGGTTGAGCCAGTGATGTTGAATTGGAACTTAATATTTCAAAGAGCCACGTAATGACATTTACTCAATGTTATAAATCTGTAGATTTCCTGTATTCTGTGAATGGTAAAAATTTGCAAATCTCTGGCGATTCTACGATTGACTTGGGTATCACATTTGATCATCGTCTATGCAACCATTCATATATTGAAAGAGTGACTTGTAAAGCTCTTAACATGCTTAAGTTTATTAAGAGAATATCTGTTTAATTTAAACATTCTTGCTCCATTGATGCCCTTTATTGTGTATTTGTTTGTTCTCTCTTGAAGTATGGTGTAGTAGTATGGACCTTATACATTTGTGACCAATACAATCAATTTGCTGACACTAGTTGATAAAAGGAAGCAAGCAAATTTAACTTTCTTAGGTAAACTTATTAATGGAAATCTTGATGTGCCTGGATTTCTGCAGGCTGTTAACTTTTCTATCCCTTTTTTTAACTTCCACTCTGTATATCCTTTCTCTATTCTATTTTTTTCTACCAGTTACATGTCTAACCGTTCTCTTTTGAGAATGATGAAATTGGCCAACAAGGATCCATCTTTTTTATTCTAGATTCTATATTCTTTATGTATATTTATATCTTCAGTTATTGAGATTTTGTATCATCAACTTAACTATCATGTCTGTACTATATATTATTGTTTTTGTAATACTATGTAGTTTAATTTTGTTATTTATGATAAGTCTTTATAATTGGGTTAGTCCTGTTTTTAATATAAATAAAATAAAAAAATAAAATGAAATGAAATGCTGTGACTTATATTTTTCCGTATTTTCCATTTATTAGGAAAACTCCTGGGAAAATCAAAAAATGGCTTTTGTACTCATTAGCTAAATCCAAAATGCAACAAAAAAAATATTGCATTGATTTTAATTGAAGCAAAATTTTCGGTAGAAAACAATTAGTTCAAATTTAAAACAACAAGATCAGTAAGGCATCAGTGCACCATAAATGTGTGTCTATTTTTCCTATATTTTTTTTTCCGGTCTTCCCAATTATTATGAAAATTAATAAAAATATACCTCTTCAATTCACTAATTAAATCTAAAATGTAACAAAAAAGATTTCTGGTTATTTTTTTATTGAATTAAAATTTCTGATAGAAAAGTTGTTCACTGACAAAAATAAAACCATATTACACACCCATTATTCGCTATATTTAGAATGTAAAAGTATAAACATAAAGACTTCATCAAATCATGCATTTATACCAAATCCGTTAAATGTACAAAATAAAATGTTGTATTTGATTTATAAATAACACAATACTAGTTTTGACCAATATTATTTTCCTATAAGATGTAGTAAGAAACCACATGCAATTGCATTTAATTCAAAACAACCTTGTTCATAAAGAATGTTTATAATGTACATATGTCCATTTAATAATATAGGTGAATGTTAAGGACAAATACCTAAGTAATCTAAATACAGATAATTGTTCAATAAATAATTTATCACTATTTTTTGATATCTACTATAAATAAAATAAATATAAGAAAATATCGGTGATGGTTACTATCAAACTATTCGAATAGTTTACCTATTTGATAATTTGTATGAAATTTAGTTCATTTAAAAATTAACCTTTATTCGAAAAATATTCTTATGAAGAATCAAAAGTAGGTAGTGGTACTAGCTAGTGGTAGTTATAGTGGTTATAGTGGTATATTCTGTACCTAGTACATACTGACTGTAGCGTTTATTAAAATTGTTTAATTGTAAATACAAATATTTCAATAACAAGTGGGGAAAATAACAAAATAAAAACTATTAAATATTCAATAGTTCATCTAAACTATTCAAATGTACCCATCACTAGAGAATTTACAAAATGAATATAATAAAGAAATTTAGTTTAGAGTATAATAATTGGTTGTACTAGTATGTCTTAATTTAATTATAAATATACAACTCTTATAATATAAACGTTGTCTTGGATATTCAATATCTCTAATTAGTTATTTATGTAACAAAATCAATGCTTTAATTATTCTCTAAAACATTAGCAAAATTTAAATTAGGAAAACTATAATTTTTTCAGAGATAAGCTTTTTTAATTGAGTATTTAGTTTCTATTAATTTTACCAATATAAAATTGATTACATCTAAGTTTATAAACCCAAATATTATAAAAAGTACAAGACATTTTTATTTAGTTTTTAACTGCAAATGTAATTTGTTTTACAAAATTATTAATAATCTTGTGGAAGCAACTTTAATATTAATATATTAATCTAACCAACATATCTATTATTATTTTTGCAAATTTATTTGATCTATCATACTACAATCTATGGTGGAATTTATAGTAGTAGGAATGGAGATAAGACCAATTTTTTAATAATTTTTTTTTATAAATACATATATAGCTAATACGAAATATGTATATTATTATAAATATCAAAGAGAAAAAATGTCACATAAATATATATCACCATATTTTTGAGAATATGGGTTATTTATTGAAAGTGGGTAGAAATATACAATCATTAGAGTAGATTCATGTATATACTATAATATAATAAAATGCACTATTGATTATAACCATTAATAGATCAATAGATTTAAGAAATTTATTTTTATTATTTAATTATGTTTCAAATGTAAATTGTATTTAATTATTTAAACATTTCACCATATTTTCTACTTGTCTTTTTGAATTTTAAAATAAAAAAAAAACAATTTACAAGTTCAAAATATTATGTAAAATAATATCCAATACTGTAATGTGAGCTGTAAATTAAATCTTTGATAAATTCTGATAATCCTGACTTATTTAAATTAAAAACTGTCCTATCTTACTGCATAGTAAGCAAAGCGGTACTGTACTGTTACAAAAACTAAGTACTTACCATCTTTATTTTTGTCTATGTTTGAAAAACAAAGCCTCAATGATTTTTCATGTTCTTTAACATAATGTATAAATTCAGCTAATGTAATTGAGCCACTTTTAGTAGCATCAGATAATTCTAAAAATTTCTACAAAATAATAGAACAAATTAATAATAAATGCAATTTTCTATTGTTAAATTGTACTTATAAATATTTCATTAACTTACTTGAGCATACTCTTTGTCGTGTAGGGCACTAGACAAATCATGTATGTCAATTTTACCATTTCGGTCTAAATCAAGAGATTCAAATAATTTAGCCAAACGGATTTCATCTTCATTAGGAAGCTCATGTAGATAATGAGGTGGTAATACGTTTTCAGTACTACCTGGACCAACAGGAACGTGATGATTAACAACGTTCACCATGTTTATATAATTAATTAAAATATAACTTCAATTTGATTTATGTTCAAATGAAAATATAAAAAAATTTAAAAGCGAAATACCAAAAATCAATGATATTCCGAACATCAATTAATGGAATTAATCGAAAATCGAACCATTTAAATTTTAAATAATTCGACTATCTACTGACTAGAATGATCACATAAGGAAAATAATAGAAAATTTGCGACAAATCAAAATCAACATTATCATAATATCAACTTCATAATATAATTGTTATCATTCATATGTTAAAAAAACCATAAAAACTTAAACGAACCATGGTTAAACCATAATCTCCATGATTCACCAAAAGTAAAATTCCAATTTATTAAACTAACATTTCGTTTTAATATAAAACTTAGTAATAATAAATAATACAATAATATGACAGCTCAAAAATGTGAGTCCATTCAAATCATTCTATCTTCGTTCTTATTATAAACCGTGTTCTATACATCAATATAAAGTTCAATGGTTAATAGATTGAACATTAAAATTCAAACACTTGGAGTGCTAGTGTCGTAGTACCAGTTTTTACACCCTTATTAGCTAATTCGTGATATCACTTTAACTGTAAAAGTTTGATTTTATATTAACAATGGCTTTACGCTTTTATGGTGAAATTAAAAACAAATTATAAATCATACGTCTTGTTCATACTCTCATCTTAATTCGTATTAAAATGCCACATCCGTATATGGGTGCTTTCGTAAACAGCGCTCAAGTTCACACTCGTGCTATCAAACCGTTCACTTTACGTAAACCAGCAATAATCGCAATGCATAACTGTTCCAAAATCCAAAGCCAACGTGAACATTTGGACGTGTTATCAAAAATAAATCAGTGATCACAATATACCATAGACTTTTAATATTATAATTCTATGCAATATATATAATAATATACATCATAATTTAAATTAAAATAAATAAAATAAAATGGTACAAAATAGTATAAGATGGTTGATAGCTTTCAAAATATCATCTTTAGGTTCTGTCAGTTATGTACTTTTTGAAGTATGTTTATTTACGTTACATTGTCTAAGAATTTTGAGACAAAATTTAAAAGGACTTGATTTTAATAGTATCACTGAATATTACACAATTACACAAGGGTACTATTTAATAAGAATGCCCAGTGTTATTCAATTTAGTATACAATGATGCCTATTGAACTCCTGAAATTGAATAGTCATTTGTTAAATAAGTTGCCTATCCAGTACCTAAATATGTGTTTTTTAAACGATTTTTGATATTCTATTGCCAACTTTTAATTATTGTTCATGTATTTTGGATACCTTTGTGATCGATCACGTCTCGCATAGAAAATAATTTGAATTTTTATAATTGCTAATATTTTCCATGGTATTGATGTAGGATAAATTTTTTAAACGAGCATGTTTTCTGTCAATAGTTATACTTAATCTTTTTTAGATTTCAAACGTAGCGAGGGGAACTATAGGTTTTACAATGCTGTTTATTTATTTATTTTTTCTTTCTTTGTTCTTTGTTCTAGTCTGTGGACAAGTTTTTTCCTAATAAATTTGCTTCAATGTATAAGTGTAGTAACTATTCTGAAAGCTCAAGTTATCTAAATGGTACTCTAAAGAAGTCTTTTTTTGATTTTTCGATGCCGTTTTTTAAATAAAAGTACTAAAGTGGGAAAAAAAACTTAGAAAAACCTACAATTTCACGATTTCATTATTTTATAAAAACACGGACGAAATTTTCTACTAGAAAAAATGGTTTAATCGAAAAATCACAAGAAATCTATTTTTTGCCCTTTTGATTTCCTTCTTATAGTATCGTCGCCAAAATGTTTAAGCTACTTTTGAGCATTTGAGGAATTTTAATTTTTAGGAGGTTTTTTTCTGTAATTCGGTTATAAATAGAAGTAAAGACTTTTTTATATTATAATAAAATATTAGCTAACCTGCAGTTATGTAGCCAATACCGTCTTTTTTATTGTGACAATTGTTTTTTTGTTACTAATTCCACAAGAAATTCTTCTTCCAAATTGCTAAAGTAAACGGTACAAAATATCCTAGGTAACATTATATTGTTGTAATATATTTTTGTTAAGACTAAGTTAGGAATTATATATTTATTAATTTTGAATTAGGATTGTTATTGAGATATATTCATTATTTTTAATTATTATGTTAAAGAAATACTTGTTTAAGTTTCCAATTTCATGATGTTCTTAGGAATACTCGATAAATAACAAATTTTGCTCTTTTAGTTTTACAGTAGAATAATACAAGTATGATAATAATATTATTGTTCATATTTACTTTATATTACATTTTGTTTTCTGTTCTAGATAAAGATGATATTTCATCAGATATAATTCACATGTTTCACTACCCAATTAAAAACCTATGTTATTGACATTTAATTCTATCATTTTAAACTTAACAAATTATTACATTTTAGATTAGGTAATTGAAATTAGAAAATTGAAGAATTATGCAGCTCTTCCTACCACCTTTGGTTTGATTATTACAAAACTTTGAGGTACTGCCGTTTGACTCATTTTTTTCCCCAAGTGGTATCTCCAGTAGACATAGTCCACTAATTTTTATATAGATACCTCTTTTATAAATAACTATACAATAATAAAATTATATATGTCAGATATATACACGGTTTAAAATACAAATTAATTAATTAATGTAATTATTTGAAAAAATAATGATAAAAAATAAGTATTAAATTAGTGCAATTAAAGTAAAATACAATATTACTTCTTCCAATAAGCTTTGCACAACAAGCATTCAAAAGTACTACTGTAGTCAAATTTATTTTAAATTATTGATACACAATTCATTATTATCCATTAAGTACAAGTATCAAATTGTACCCAATTGAAATTATTTTGTTCGATTTGTTTATGTTGGGAATCGGAATTCCCACAGTACATACAAATATCTCTCATAAACTCAGAATGTTTCAAAAGCATATTTTTCAGTTTTAATCTATACAACATCTGGCCAAAATTAGTAATGAAAATAACATTTTTTGAGTTTTTTATCAAGCATTCCGCATAATAAAAACAATACACTCCACAGTTAAATGAGTCCTGTAGAATAAGGTATGTCAGACCTTTTACTCTCAACTTGGGTCACTCAATTCTGACCTCTCCATATATGTATTTTTTTTAAGTTGATAAAATCGTATGGATATTATTTGCTTTTGAATGCAGATATCCAGTTGGATTTATGTAGTAAAAATTATAGTGTTTAAAGTTAGCAAACATTATTGTTCTGTGATTACCAGTTATATTGAACGGTATAATTAGTAAACTATTTTTGGGAACTTTTTTATAGTGGTTTCTGCCCATACAATTTCCATACAAATAATATAAAATATTACATCCTGTTATTTTAATGATATCTTTTAATTCACTGCATATTTTTCCTAACACACCCACAGATATGTCAATTACAAAATTGTTCAACTACATTTGTTTAGAAATAATTGTTTTAACTATGTCGGTTTTTGGAATTCTTAAATCCAACAGCACATTATAATCTTCAAATCCAAGTTTTATACACGATGTTATGTCTTGAACAAAAATATAGCTGCCGACAATATAATTAAATACTTTTTTATTCGGTTTTAAAACCTGACCATAATAATATATGACTTTTAACAATTTATTGTCATCCAGAATTATTTCTAGCAATAAACCAACAATTAAAGACCTGTAACTTTCTTTTAGTGTAATAAAATATATAATCCCGGATTTCATTCTATTTTTTATCGAGTTTAAAAGTTAGGTACTTCAGACCTATAACGCTCTTGCACATCACTAAATATGATTTGTTTTTTAATGCCGTTTTGTTAGACTTTTTCTCGTGCTTTTTTGCATATATATTGCCTGCCTTACGCCCTAATTGCAGGTTTACGCATTTTAGGAACTACTGGGCTCTCTTATCAAACATTGCCAACGGAACGTATGTGCTATAAGTACATATTCGGTAGAGTAGGCAAAAATAAATTGTTAATAGATAGCGCAACAGATGTTATTGTACCAGTAAGTGTTGCAAATTTGGCCTGGAGCATTATAGGAGCCATGAATTAATATATACTTTCATTAGCTATATCTTAATTTCTGATAGAAATTATAGAATACTTTTGGAACATTTTTTTGACCTAAACCCTGTACTCCACCAACTCATTCGTTTTTAGTTCTGGTTTATACCATGTATTGGGTAAACTTTATGTTTATACCAAAGATATATTATTTAGTATGGTATACGCAAGTGAAAATCCTAGATAACAGATTTTAGCACATGTACTTACAACAAATGTAAGATTTAAAAAAAAAAATGGAATTAATCTATCCTCAATAATTACTCTCGACATTTATTTTATATATTCAAATTAAAAACAGACAACTCTTCGGATTTAAGTTTAATGTGAGTTAAATTATACTATTTTAATTACTACAACGAGTTATTTTTCATAATCGTATGTATTTTACTAGGTACTATAATTGTGTTGTAATTGATTATTTTTAGATGATTTCATTCAATCGTGTTTTACATTTAATAAGTATCCAGTCAGTTAAGTCAAATCTCAACTACCAATATTGTAGAAATATACGAAATTTATCATCAATTAAAAATGTATTGTCCAATGACTATCGAAAAAAAACTGAAAATATATCATTTACTACTGTACAAAATACGGATGCTGATATTTTTGGAACTCTAAATGACAATGTTGAAATTAATGATAAATTGGATAGTTTACCTCCAGAACCTGATGATATAATACAATATGACAAAAATGAAGAATACAAAAGATTACATATTAATGAGTACCACAAAATTATTCAAGAACTCATAAAACAGCATAAAGTATATCTTTATTAAAAAAAATGTATTAATTATATATAGGTATTAATAAATAAAGTTTTGTTTTTTTATAGATAGCAGATGCTATAGATGTACTTGAAACAAGAATGTTAAATGAAAGAGCAAAACCAGATTATTATATTTATAATATGCTAATTTCTAGTTGTGGTAAAGTTGGTTATGTTCAAAAGGCTTTTCATTTGTTTAACCAGGTATGTTTTATTTCCAACAAATGATCTATTGTAGGTGCCCATTTTTGATCTGTTGTTTCAAGTAAAACTAATATAACTATTAGCTTATAAACTTTAGTCAACCATGCAATATGACATTCTTGTGTTATTTTAACTGCAAAAGTAAAATAGATAGTGTAAGGCACCTTTATATATATTTTCTTCTCTGTGAAATATTTATTATAATTATTGGTAAAAAAAATTCAGAATTCAATTTTTGATTGATAATATTATCTTGCTTTAATTTTCAATGCCTTTCAACATTTAAATAAGTAACAAAAAACTTATGTTCAGATAATTATTATGTTGAGTTATTCATCTTATTTGTAGAGATTTATAATTTTTTTTTTCTTAATTATCTAAATTTACATATCTACAATTTTTTTTTGTTATAAGATGAAAAAAAATGGTATCAAGACTACACCAGCTACTTATACTAGTTTGTTCAATGCTTGTGCTAATTCTCCATATAAAGATGATGCATTAAAAAGAGCTAAGCAATTACACAATCTAATGAGTTTAAAACCAATTGAGCCAAACATGTTTATCTACCACGCAATGATTAAAGGTATTCAAAATTATTGTAGTAATTGACAGATAATCAACTTTAAATTAATGTTAATTTTAGTTTTGTTTTAATTTTTGCCCTTCTGAGGGAAGTTATTGATAGATTTTAAATAATTTTTAATTTCTTACGAATATAAATATTAATTAATGATTTAACTTGTCATTGGTTGCAATGTGAGTGCAGCATATAACATTTAAACACTTAATTATAGGCACTACCACCGTATTTCTTGGTATTTTGTCTAAAACTATAAATACTTTCAATTAAGGCATACTATATAATTATAAATTAAATTAAATGTCATGGATTTATCAATATTTTGGTTTCTTATCGGAATTTAAAGTCACTGGTCATTACGAAGTTGAGTGTGGTGTGACATGTGATAAAAAGTGTTAAAAAGCATTTTGATCACTGATGGAGTACAGTTTTTAGTTTTTGATATACTTTATTTGCCATAAAAAGCTTAGAGAAAAATTAATTATTATATTATTTAACTATTCATATAATATTTTAATAATGATGTTTTTTTTTTTACAAAGCTTTTGGAAGAACTGGAGATTTATTGACTGCTTTTTCTTTGGTCGATGAAATGTTGGAGAAAAAATATAAATTAAATGATCAAACATTTAACTTTCTTTTGCAAGCTTGTATATCCGATAAAGAAGCTGGTTTTCGACATGCTTTACTTGTAAGTTTTAATAAATAATACATATATCCTTTCTGGATATAATACATTTTTTTTTTAATGTTTATGTTAAATTTAGAAATCTGATTAATATAACCACATCATAAATTTAATTTGTATATACTGAAATAGGAGATTCAATGCCTAAAGTAAATAAGCCAAATATAACTAAATTTGTACACACATTTGGGTTTTATTCAGACATAAATATAATTAATTAAAAAAAATTAATTTTTATAAATTTTAATGAAAATACGCATTAAAAAACATTGCATTATGTATTTAAAATATGGATATTATGTAAAAAAAATAAAAATGTAGACTTAATCAAATTTTTTAGGTTTGGAGAAAAATGATTTCTAAACGTGTGCGTCCTTCAATATATACATACAATCTTTTATTAAAATGCACGAGAGAATGTGGTCTTGGTGATGAATTTGAAACGCGTAAAGTTATTGGTCAAATAATTGATGATCCTCATTTATTATTAACTGAATGTAAACTTCAAGAATCATTAAAAAATATTGAACTTAGTAACATATTAATACAGAGTAATAATGAAAATAAACTATCTATCACTGAAAATAGACCAAATCTCTTAGATGTTAAACCATATTTTGGTAATATTGTTGGTATATCAGACATAAAAACTCCTGAAGAAAGGTAAATCATAATTTTTAAATTATCTATTAATATTAAATTGTTTTGTTTATTATTCAGATTAATATTGATGGGAGGTTGTTCAGGATTTTTAAAAAATATGAAAATAAATAAAGTTAAACCTGATATTAAAGTATTTACCCAGCTTTTGGAAGTTATACCATCAACACTAGCTGCTGAACAAGTAATTTACTTATTTTATAAAATTATTTATTAGAAAAAAAAATATCTATGTTATCTATATTTTTTAACATCTTAAATTTCCTATCAGTATAAAAACAAAAAATGACATTCTAAGTAGATATTTTAATGTAAGATAATTTACACATGAAAATCTTAAATTTGGTCAAATAAAATCTTTAAGCATTTTAATGGAGTTAAAAATACTAAGTATACAAAATCTGAAGTTAAATATTTGACTGCATTTTTTTTTTCTTTTTTAAGAAAATTTTTATGAGGATTCTTGTATGAAGTATTTAAAATAATTGTCCACATAATACAAATTTGAACATTTCACATTGTTATAGGTAACTCAAAAAAAGTTATAATTCAACCTTTAGAAAATGATAGTAGAGTTATAAGAGGAAAATGTCAGGTTTTTGACAATGATTTCTCATTAAATTTCAAAAAAATATTAAATAATTTTGATAAAACTTTTGGTTTAGTATTTATTTTCATATTTTTATCAAAATTGAAGAAAATTGTTCATTTTTTGAGAGAAAAAGATTAGTTATTTGATCTTTGGTAGAAAATGTGTTATATACAACTCTGTTTGGCTTTTAAAGTGTCACTGTTAACAATTAATTAGTTAATAAATTAATTTTAATTTGCCACTGCCATAATACCCACTTTAGAAAGTTAATATTACATTTCATTGTTAATCAGTACCTAATGTTAATATTTTAAAATTAACTTACTATAAATATGTATTTTTAATTTTTTTTTTTTAGAATTTACTAAATGAAATATCTAAAAGTGCAGTTAGATTAGACATTGATTTTTGCAATATTCTCATAAAAAAGCGAAGTCTTAGATTTGATTATGAAGAAGCAAAAGTAATATTTAATGTTTAAATTTAATTTATTAATAACATTAATTTAAAATTTATTTAGAATGTATTAAACATAATTAAATCAGAGACCCTAAGTGTGGATGTCGTGACTTTCGGTGTTTTGGCATTAGGCTGTAAAAATAAAAAAGAAGCTAAAGATCTCATTAAAATTATAGCAGACACTGGCTTCCGGTATGTTTTATAATTATTTTACTGATATCTTCACCGTTGATTTTTATTTTTATTTTTTGTATTTAATTCAAGCGTGAATACAGAAATATTAGGTACAATGTTGGCACAAGCTTGTTATCATTACAATTTTGCTTATGTAATTTATATTATGAACATGGTTAAGCACGAAGAAATTAATCCTAATAAAATATTTATGGATCGTTTGGGTCGTTTTGATAAAACTATTAAGGATTTAATAAAACAACGAGTAAGTATTTAAAGTTTATAGTTTAAGTTTTAATGTTATTTAAGTCTAAAATTTTCAAATTTTATTTGTAAAATCATATAGGTATTTCAATTTAGAAAATATATAAATATTTTATGAAAAAAGTTTTAAAAATATATTATACCACTAATAATTAAATGATATTTAAATTTTAATATGAATCATAACTAATTGAAAATAATAAAACCCGGAAATAATGTACAATATTTCTTTAAATATAATTATATACATTTCTTAAATAGTAGAAATAATTTATTTAGATATGTCATAGAATAAATTCAAAGTAGTTGACAGGGTAATTTTTGAATGAATAATAGCTGGCAAAATCTTTCCAGACCACCAAATTAAAGTCCTATTTAAAGGCATACTTTTTTTCATTGTTTAGGAAAAATACTATTTTATCATGTATAGTATTTTAATATTCCAAAACCTTTAGAACGCAAGAAATTAGAAATATATTACAAAGAAAAACTATATATCTATAGATTTGTTTACATTAAAGTATAATATCAAATATTGTATAGCATATTTACAGGTATTATGATGTTGAGAAATTTACTTAATATACTGTTACATTCTTTTCAGAAAACTATAGAAGGAGTCAATCCAGATTTCATTAAAAGTTTTTACTTTAAAGAAGGATTTAGAAAATTTCAAAATTTTTATAAAAAATGGCTCTTAGAGGTAAAAGTTGAAGAAGAATTACATCCTTGGGATCAATTCAAAAAAATAAAAAATAAAAATGAATTAGTATAATTATTATATATAAAACATTTAACAATTTAATATTATATTTATAAATTATATCAAATGTATTAAAATACTATTATGTGTTAATTAATGTCTAATTACTATTAATTGGATAAATATTTACTGGAACGGATTCAGGACAAAAAACAGGGGAGGGTTTGATTTTAAAAATTCATACATGGCATATGCTTATGAAAAAAATTAAGCTCCAAACAGATAGTTCTTCACAAAATCATAATCCTGTAAAATTGTGTCTTCATTTTCAGAGTCTTCATTTTTAGTGAAGACATTTTTAATCTCTAACATAATTTATTTAAGAGTTATATTTGTTCACTAATGTTAAATGGTTATTTATTATTTTGTCAGTTATGAACTTGTGTTGTAGTGCTAACCACTATGTGCGCCATGTGATAAATAATGAAAAACAGTGCAAAGTGGCTCCAAAACATCTGTAAATTTAACTATACACTTTAAAATGCATTTAAATATTTTTAAAATGTTAATTGGCAAAAGTGCAGTTGAGGCTCATCTAATAATTAAAACATGTTTTGACAATATGTTTTGAAGTTTATTTTATGAGTTAATACTTACCAACAAAACATTGTTTCAAAAACTGCATAGTTCAGCCAAATACAAAACACAAATTATCTGCTAATGGACAACACATTGAACACAGATTACTAATGTTAATGTTTAAAATATATTGTGTTATAAATAATTGTATAATCAAAGATCAACACAAAAAGAACAGACATACTTCACACAATGGGTGAGCCAGTGTTGTATGTGAGAAGTTGGAAAGGTAAGATACAGAGAGAAATTTAATAATAATAATGTTTAATATTAATATATAATTAATTATTACTTATAAAAAAAAGTTTCTGAGCAGAGTTTGGTTATACATGTTTTAAAAGGCCATAATATTTATGATTTTTATCAAAATTTAATAATAAAATTTGTACACAAAAAAAATTCTATATTATACTCTATTTTTATTTTTGACCACAAAGTAGTACCTATATAAATTATGCATGTATAATTTCTAAATTTTATTATAAAAACTAAAAAATGTTAATTATTTTATATATGAAACCCAAACCTCATTGTTTAAATGAGTGCCAAAAATACATAGTTTTTTGTAAAAAAAAAAAAAATAATGAAGTTTTAAAATTTCATATTTAACAGAAAATAATTATATATTTTTTTGTAAATTACTTATAGTATGGTGTATCATTTAATTCATTTTTATCAAATAAATTGTATTTTTCCTATTATATCTTTTCAGATACACTTAAATTTTAACTCTAAAGTGTAATAGAGCTCGGCATTTCATCAAGTGAGTAATAAGTATGAACAACATTATTTTCGTACATCTTTACTATTCTCAATCCAGAAGGATCTTTACCCATCGGTGCTCCAATAGCACTAGTGGTAACTACTTCTAGATTTTTATAAAATCCAGTAGAGTTTCGATGATAATGACCACAAAATACATGAGAGACACCTGTAATTAAAAACAATTATACTTCAAATACCATGATTTTTTAAATTTAAAAAGAAAGTGCTCATACTACTGATATGTATGTGTAGATGAAAAGTTTGTATAATATAACAAATAATATCAAACCTTATTCTGAAAAGAACTTAACTATAAATCCTTTTCTTAATTTAAATTATACCAATTTTTAACCATAAAATAATTTATACTTTTTTATATTTTTAGGGAATTTTGTCAAAAATTAAAATTTCATTAAAAGAAACTTATTGTGAAATTGTATTAAATTTTCAAGCATTTAAACTTGGCCAAATAAATGTTATACTAATATAAATATTGAAAAAAGAAAATAAATCTTTAAAGTGCATTCTTTTGGGCGCCAAAATATTAACAAAAAAGTAATTTGACATAAATCAAAATACATAAATATTTAAAACTTTTTCAATCAGAAAAATTAAAAGAATAAAAGCTCGTATCTTATTAAAACTTATTATTTACCAGATGCATTCAGTTTATCCAACATAGCAAGTCTGGAGGTTTTTTCAATATTAAAATATTCATTGTTTTCATCTATTTTGCTTATAAACCAAGGTATGTGTTGAAAAACAATTATTCTTTGATTCTTGTATTTATTCAGTTTTTCTGTTAACCATTGTTCTTGTTCCTTTGCATGTTTTTCAACTTTACTTGGGTCTTTATAATATTGCGTATTCAATACTAAGAAAAGTACTCCACCGCACCAATAAGAAAAATAATCTTGTCCGAATGTGTTACGATATCTAAAATTATAATTTTTACTATTTAATAATTATATTACAAAACATGTTAGATGAATACAATTTAATTTTCAATTTATTGTATTTAATTACATGTTGATAGATTTTTCGTCTGGACTATCACCAACATCATGATTTCCACACACACATACAAGTGATATAGATGGATGCAATCTTGAAAAAACTTTTTGAAAATCATTTACTTGTAGCTGATTTAAATCAATATTATCTGAAACAAGAATATCAGGTTCACATTGATTAAATAAATTCTTTATTTTTTTTCTACTTTTGACTTAATAAAGTAAAATAAATATTACTTTTATTTTAAAAAATATGCATAAAAAAGTGTTTAAAAATAAATTATTACGTCTAACTGGTTTTTTTTTGGATGTTCCTTAGTATTTATAATCTGATTTTAGATTTAGTTAAAACCTATTAAAGTACTTTGTTTATTTTCTATATACAAAAAAAAAAAAATAACACCAGTTTCTGCTGAGTGCTGGTATAGGTGACAAAATATGTATTCATTTCATAATATAAAAAACATTTTTTGGAAAAAAAAATATTTAACTTACTATTCGGCATTGTATCTACCAAGTCGCCACAAATCACCAAAAATTGAGGTCTTGGAATTAAATTATTAATTTTTTCAATTGCAATAATGGATTTTTCCATTTCTAAATTCCAGTCTAAAGGATCTCGTTTTTTATACGGCCAAATATAACCGAATTGACTATCAGCACCAATTATAAAATAAAAATTTCCTGCCCATAATTGATTGTTTCTATCTATAAAATAATGTAAAACTGTAATTATTAGTCTATTAACATTTTACATTATAAAATCCTATGTAAATGAATTAGTAGATTCTTACATTGATCATTTCCTATGTCTTCTTCAATTTCATGTTTTTTCCACTTTAACATTTCTTTCTTACTTTCAGTCATTTTTTGCTATTAACAGCACAATGAAATATAATTATTAAACACAAAATATTAGTTACTACCCTACACTAAATTGAGAAAATTAATATTTGATACTATGTAAGCTTTTTATATTTTGCATCACCTAAATATTTAATACTAGTAATAATTAAAATAGTTAGAAGAGAAGTGACTTGCCCGGCATCCGGGCAAATGCCCAGTGGCTTGAAGTGTTAAAAATCAATTTTTTTGTTATTTAAAAATTATTATTTGATAATTAAATTATTTTTTCAGTATAAAAAACTCATAAATCGATTTTTCTATATTCATAGTGGAATCATTATAAATATAAAATACATTATTTTGTAGAATTGCATAGATAGAATTTTGTAGCAACTGTTAAATATTTGTAATTGAATCCGATTTGTTTACAATTTCTGTTTCTAAAAGCATTTCTTCTTCAATCATACAATATTAAAAAACTAGGTATTTACTATTTTGTAATTTTATTTTTTTGGTTTGTGTCATCTTTATAGTACCAAAAGTAGCGAAAAACGAAGGAAAACCCAAGCGACACACAAGTTGCAGTACAATAGGCATTGTTAGATTCTAAGCGTATAACATTTATTGGTTTTCCACAATGTGTGTGTTTTTTGAAATTTATTTTTATTTTGTTTTTCTATCTGTAAACCACTTTTCTAACAGAAATCATACTCCGTTCATCAACTTTAAGGGTGGTTTTTCGATAACAAAGTTTGTCTACAAAAGTAGTTGGTGTATTGGGGAAGTTATTTAAATGTTTTATTTGCTTATAATATTCAACACATTTATACTCATGAAGTTATAAATTATCTGTCGTCAAAATTTAACGAATAGTATTAACTTTTTATTCAACTAAATACAACTAATTGGGGTCTAAACACTTCACCGAAATCATTTTGCCGACGGATTTGCTCACCGCCACACTTTATTATATGTTTTACTTAATGATCTAAAAAATTAATTTGATTTGAATACTATGGTGTTTTTTTGTTAGGCGTTTTAAGATCAAATTACGGCATTCCAAAATTTTTCTTAACGAATTGCGCTCCGAATAGTTTTTCGTTAGTAATGATTTATCGTTGCGTACAAATTTAAATTAAATAACTTTATGTGTCATACCTTAACAAAATCCTAACTTCCCACCTACAACGGTGGCTGCACCTGTACCCAGTACCTTTTTTAAAAAAATGTGTCAATTTCTTTTAAGAAATTAAGTACGTCAACGAAATGGTTTCGGCAAAAAGGATGGTTGCGAACTAATTTGACTATAAAATTATGTATTTGCACTTTATTGGAAAATCCTGTATACACCACTGACTATTGAAATTGTACAGCAGTGTCTTAGAGTAAGTGTTTTGGGCGAAATATTTTTTCTTAAAAAAAATATATATTTATGTATGGTGGATACTAAGGAAGGGACTGGGGGGAACTGGGCCATTGTGCAAATGCACAGTAGGCCAATGTCATATTATATTCATCGGGCCGGTACAAAATAACTCGACATGTGTGACACAATTCAAAATATGTTTACGCTTGGGGCCGATTTTTTTTTGCAGAACAGTGGGTTGATCGGGTCTCGATCCACCTCTGGGAAGGAATTATAATTGGGTAATAAAAGTTTCTACAAATATATGGTCCAATAATGTGTTTATATATAAAACAAAAATTTTAATTAGGTATACAGCTTAATATGGTATCAAAAAATGGTAAAAATTGGAGAGGCCTAGACATATATATTTGCCGGTAAAAATTTTCGAGCAAATCCGCCCATAGTAGTAGTAATTAAATATAATTAATATATTTAATTATAGGTATAGAAATGGCATAGTATACATACTACTACCAAAAAATTATACTACGTTGTAACTTAGCTGTAATGACTACCTTGAATTAATGATGATCAAATTTGTCAGTCAACCATTGTTTTGTTTGAAATAGTCATAGAATATGATTTTTTTTTTATAATCTTGCTCATGTTTTAAGAAACATCAATTTATCTATAGGTAGTGTTGTTCCGGCTATTCCAGAGAAACTGGAGTGAGCATGATAAGTACTTTTCTTTGAAAATAAATTTTGATAATCATGATTCTGAATTTGAACATGAACTTTTGTCAGATAGAAATGATAGACAAATTTTTTTCGGTAAAATCGATATTTTTAAAAAATTTTAAATATTGTAATAAGCTATGTAAAACATTGGATGACAAATATGATCAATATTTGTATGCCCCTTTCACCTTTGTATAAAATATATTCAATTATTAAAATTATTAAACTAAAATAAACAACAAAATATTATAAAGTATAAGGGTGCCGACATTTTCGTTTCCATGATCAGAACATTATCTATAGGTACTCTTGTTTTAAATAATGGTTCTGCTTAATTAATTTTTAAACTTTACGGAATCTGTTGTCATTAATCATTATAGAAAAAAAAAAAAAAACGTGAAATAAACTGGAATACCTAATTGAATTTTCAAAAATGTTCAAAAAATGTTTATGATTAAATAACCAATTCATTAGCTAAACTTAATGACAAAAAAATACTGTGCAATATATAGTTCTATAGTAATTGATAAAACAGTGTCTATTTGTGTGTAATCCAGAGCCTAAACTATTGCAAAACAAATGTTTGGAAATTACATACAAAAACATCAATGGGTCCGTCATTATGGTTGCCACATTTGATTGATGGTAGATCCAGAGACAGGCCAATTAAGAAAAAAAGGGGCATCAATAAAATATACCATGCCTAAAATACGCCTAAATATATACATTTAATGTACCTGTAACAAGTCAATAAATCGTGTTTTATCTTTTGGCGTACAAAAAACATTGCAGTTGTTTTTTTAAATAGTATTAATTTCACGACGACCCGGTGAATAATTCCCTGAACCTGTAGACCATAGATTTATAATATTTATAACCAGAGTATCCGAGTGAAATCCGGAAAAAAAAACACGTCTCTATTCGTCCATATTAAAATAATTATTTCAACTTCATATTTGTCAGTTTTTTCAAAAGAGGCTGCTGCTTCATTGTGATAGCGATAGGGACGGAGGGACCATAGATAAGACATTTTTTTTATAGTAAATATTAGGCAATTAAGTAATACTATAGTAGCACAGCTTACAGATTTCAATTGTGACAAGTACTGGATAGTGGATAGTAGGTACATTAAAACATAGTATTATGTATATATGTATAAAAATTATGAAAATATATTTTTTTTAATTCAATTTTTGAGTTAGTTGACAATGACATCGTAGTTAACTGCAGTTGAGATAAATAAAGTATTATCAAAATTCTAAGTTACAACTCTATTCTATGATAATAAATTAATAACATGGGTACTCAGAATTCAGATTGCGCTAGATAATTGTGACGTAAAATAATAAGTAAATACACATTTTTTTTTCTATGGTTAAAAATATCAAGTTTAATAACGTGAAAAAATACAATTTTAAAATAAATAGTTAGCTTACCAAAATGAAAGGCACTTGTATAGTTAACTCAATGAATGCGTCGAGTCTAATGGAATTCGTCGACAAAACCGTCTTGGTTCGAACAAAACAACAATATGAATCAAAAGGCGTTGTTCACACAATTGACCCGGTGACGAAAAGGTATGTATATGATTATAAATATTTTTATTCTATTCAAATTTTTTTTTATCATATATATTATCTAAATCCCTTTAACATACAGTTTGATAGTCAAATAATTTATTTTAGCAATTAAACTACATGGAAATTTATTTTAGTGTATTCTCAAATTACTTAGGGCAATATAAACCTTTTTGTGCTATTCTAATCTCTAGTAATAGCCAATTATTTTAATTACTATTCGGCTCATTGTTAAGACTTTCACTTCTATCAACTTAAGTGTTTACATTACTAAACAAAATAATAATATTGTTTTAATTGTTAACATTACTATTATATTATTTTAAATTGCATGAATTCTTTAGCATAGGGATTTAATATTACATACATATTGTACGTAATGACTAATTGTAACAAATAATTTCCATTTTTTTAATCATAAAAATGTACTAACTAAATTAGTTAAAATCCATAGTTCTAGCCATTCTATTATACCTAGGTCCATTATAAAAATATTTTTTGGGTCAGGTTCAAGTCTGATAAAAAATTACATATTCATTGTAAATTTCTGTAGTGGTTTTAGTTAAAGTGGAAATATTTTTCAACAAACCTAGTATTCAATTCCTTGTTTTTATGATGTAGAAAATAATTGTTCATGACTATTAATAATATATTTTTGGTTACTTTTAATTTCCTAAGAGAAATTATATACGCTCTAACCTATATAATTTTTTATCGGTGAGATCTTTGTCAGTTAAATTGCTCAAATGCCATAGTATTTGTATTATTTATATAATTTTTACATTAGAACGTAATTTTTTAAATACTAATATTTAATTTGAATATATACTTTTAAAAACTGAAAATGTTGCAATTTCAAAGAATTATATATTCAAAAAATAAATTGTGCTCATAAGGGGGTATCATTAAAAATAGGTTGAATATATATATATATTTTTTTTGTTTTTATTGAAAATTAGAAAAATGTAAAAGGTAATTTATTTAAGTTCTCTGTAGGAAAAAATTATAGCCTGAAGTTTATATCTCAATTTAAAAATTTACTGAGCAGCTTACTTTGTTTTATTAGTGAGGTAAAGTAATTTACTGATTTTAACTTAAAAATCAATGTTATGTGAACTATAGCTAAAGCTTATAAAAAGATACCTACTACCTTACTCTCTCTTCATCCACCTAATGGTCCATTTAGAACCATCATTGACCTTCTACCTACCTATTTAAAAAGTAATTTCCTGTTAATTAAGTCTAATTCCTAGTTAAATTCTATAGTTTTCTAACAAAATATTATACATTTACACGTAACATTGCATATAACGTTTGTTATTGTTTGCAGTTTTTTATAGAAAGTAAAGTGTTGCTCCATTTTGTTTTCTAATAATGATATGTTATTTACTCTTATTTTAATATATATCTATAAAAAAATATAACATACTTTTTTTTTTTATAATAATTGCTTATTACATATTTAATAATGAACAAATTTCCCCCAGCTAACTTGTTATAATATTCTGTTTTTATATAATGAATTAAACAAAAAAAAAAATTTCTATAATCAAAATAGGTAAAATAATTCTAAAGAATTTAGATAAAATTCAAACAGAAATTGGGGTTGGAAGTTCAAATCTTCTAAAGACACACTTCAACAACAATTGTATTTATATATAAACATTTTAACCAAGGTTTTCACTTTCAGGAGAACAAGGGTATTTAAAACCATATATTTCTTATGAAAATATGAAATCTAAACATAAAAAAAATGGTTGAAAAGGGGTTGAAATTTGAAATCATCAAAGGCTTTTCTCGATAATTACACCATGCATGTACAAATTCTCATTCCCCTGGATTCATTAGAGCAGTGTAAGAATGCGTAAAGCCAAAAACACATTATCTCTCCTAATAATATGGTGAAGTATAATTATCAAATATTTAAAAAGTAACAAATGTAATTAAACTTGAAACAACATAATTTTTAACAGTTAAATAAATATTTAGATATTGTTTAAAAATATATTTTAATAATCATTCTTACTTATTCATTGAGTCCCTGAATAAGTAACAACATTTTATCATAAATGTATAATTCTTTATTTTCATTTGCCTCAACATAAATTTTTTAAATGATTATTAAATTGTTGATAATAACATCCAGTATTATATTTAATGTGGACTATTTGAAATTTTAAATAAACTAGAAAAGCTTTGAAGGTAAAGACCACCTCCGCTTAAAGAAAAAGGCTGCTCCAAAAATATCTTCTATTCTTATTTTTTGGACAGGTATAGCTTTTATAAATGATTTTTTTGTTTAAAAACTTTTATAGTATCATATAAGTGAATTTGGTTTTTACATGCAAGTAAACTGTCTTTAAAAAAAAAAAAAAATGGACAACTGCAGTTAAAAGTGATAGGGTCAGAGTGGAAACAAGGATTCATTGGAAAACCAGTTTTTAATTTTTAAATTTATTTTTTGTTCAATACGGACACATGCAAAGCAGTGAGGAAAAGCTAGTATATGTATATAATTAATCATATTCATACATTAATAATACATAATTCAAACACAATTGAGTTATTGGAAAAAAAAGTCCTGGGAAAAGAAACTTTTAAGAAAACTGTTTCCCTAGAGTATTCGTGAAACTTTTGAATGGTTTTTGCTACTAAAAAAGGAATAAGAGACTAAAAAATACCAATGATAATACAACTGATATATTAATAAGTTACTTACATTTAATAAGTAAGAGGAAAAAAACCCCGTTATAAATTACTGCGTATTACATACATTTAAAAAAGTTCAATAAATAATTAATTAATAATTATATTTTTCAATTTGCAAATAGATTCATTATTATTTTTTGAATATATATATAAATTTGTAACTGATTTTTTCCTAATTTTTTTTACCGGGGCTTTTATCTCTCAATTCACTGATTGTTATATCAATAATAAATTAAAAATTGAATACAGAACTTATTCTGTGTTAACATTACTGAACATATAAATCTTACTAATTACTATATATTTTAATAATTCTAGGGAAAAGGTAATATTTTACAGACATGTTAAACCTGATTTGTATAAATAATAAACTGTGATGATGTACTCATAACATATTGTTTAGTTACAATCTTTTATTCTACTAATATTATAAACAAATAGTTTTAAAATGTACTTATTGAATTAGTATTTAATATGGGTAGATGTGTTTGAAAATATTTAAAATTCTACTCAAATTTTTTTTTTTTTTTTTTTTTTTCAGCGTGTAGGATTTGAGCATAAGTATTATCTAAATGTAAATAGTAAATAAATAGTAATAAATAACCACTATTATTCTAACACAACATTGTGGTATTTTAGATTTACTTATTAATACTAATAATTTACAAACATCAAACTTGAATAAATGTTGTGATTTTTATATCTATAGTTTAACTAAATATAAAATTACACCCAGTTGTGACACTACCCTTACTCTATTTTTTTTTTAAATTTTAATCATTTAGTAGATTTCATCAACAGTTCTTTTCAAATTTTACTGCTTCACAAACAATTTTGATTTTTAGATCTGTATGTAATGTTAGGTTACATATAAAAATATAACCTGAAGAATATATTTATAAAACAATTGAACACTTATTTGCCCTTAATAAATATTGATAGGTATGTAGTTAATTGTTTAATTATCTTACTGAGTTTAATATAAACACCACTAACCTGTGAGTTTGAAATGAAAAACCTATTATATCACATTATATATATATAGCTTACAATTTATATTTTTAATCATTTTTATATTTATTTATTATTTTATCAATACGTTTTAAGTGGCTATTAAACTAATAATAATACGCTTAAATGTCATAAAAGATTGAAGATCAAAGTATGTTATTACTCATTATGGACTTATATGGATTAATTAAATAAAGTAAAAATTATGGATTTTGATCAACTCTTGGTTCATTTTTAAACTACTTAATTATTTAATTATAGAATTTGACATAAATATGGAAATAACTGTGAAGTTTTAATTATATACTATTGTATAGGCAATAGTACATACTATTTATTGTTAGTAGTACCTTTTAGTATTTATAATCATCAATATGATATTTTACTTATTTATTGCTATTTACAATTTTACTATTTACTATTACTATTTTTCCAGTGTTGTACTACTAAACAATGGACGATTTGAAATAATTTCTGGAATCAATATTGTAAGTGTACATGTTGAAGATTCATAGATGACAGCTATAAACGTACAATCTAACATTTATTTAAAAACTACTTATTGTCATGTATTTATCATTTATTTAAATGTGTTTATTAAATAAAATTTATTATAATGTGTATTTACACATTATAAAATGTAATATTATAATTAATAATATCTAATAAAATTAAAATTAAAAAAGATTGTATTTAATCTTTTAGATTTTTAATTATTAAATTTAAATGTATATACTATAATGCACAAATATTTCCAGCATGTATATTTAGTATAAAATAGACTATCCATTAAATCATATCTAAGCATAATTTATTTGATACCTAAAGTTATTATCATCATTATATTATTATGCATTTATTTAAGTATATTAAATTGAGAATTATACTACATGTTTCTTGAGTACCTTACTACAGAGTACCTACTTGAGTATTAGTTTTTCTGTACTAATTTATATAGATAAAGATATAATTATTTTAAAAATTTTAAATATACATTTAAATTTTATTTATTTTATTTACCTTTAAGTATTTGTCTATGCAACAATTCTTTTATGTATTATACAAGCATAATAAAACAATATCTTCTCTAAAAGTATCAAACACATTTTACATTTGCTTTTACATTTTATATGGAATAACCTTTGATTATTAGATTGATTCTTACCACAAATAGTATAAAATAGTATTAACTACCTATTTCCAAAACAATATGTTAACAAAATAACAATTTTATATTATGAGATAATACTCATAGTAAAAAAAGTATGAAGACTAATTAATAATAGTATATTTTTAAATTTTTAATGAGCCATATTTTTAGTCATATTAATGGTAATTATATATTTATATGAAAAATTGTATAAGAGTTCTATTTTCTTCTTCCTTGTAAATAAAAAGAGCCTTCACTGTTGATTTATTATATTGATTCACAAAAATTGTCCACCTCCAAAACATCATATAAATTTGCTATCTCTTGGGTAATTTCTCTCTAATCCCTGTTAAATTTGGCCCTAAAACTGGTACAATTGAACTTTTTAAAAATACCGGCACTTCTACAGAAAACAAATTTTAAATTTAAAAAAAAACATCATTATTAGGGCTCGGAAGTTATAGGAGTTGCATATTTTTCTGCATATACTAAATGTATAGCAGACCAAGTTAGAAAGTATTTCTATACGACAGAGAGTTTTAAAATTTAAAATGCATATTTAACATATTTTGTTAATTTTAGAGAAAAAATCCATTTTTCATTAATTTTCTCATGTTTTTATGCATATTTAATATTTTCCAAAATAATTGATTCTTTTTTCTTTCTTAACCAATTTATTTTAAATAATATTGAATTTAAAACTCAATATTATGTAACGTAGTTATTTATTATTATTTCTTACCACCATCTCGGTCTATTATTAATTTAATGACAACTGTGTGGTTCGTATTTAATCTTTATCTTAGTTTTGCATATTAATAATGACATTATATGTTTTTGAATAATAAACTGAATAATTGTTTGCATATTTAAAATTTTTTCATACATATTTAGCTCCTATAACTTTTGAGCAATAATCATTATAAATGTAATATATTCCTCATTATGCTTTGAATCTAAAAAATGATCATTACTCATCTAGTAATATGGCCCGAGCTAAATACACTACTTTGATTATTAGACTGTTTATTATTTTTATAAATCAAAATTTATAAGTCATCCAAATAAGTAACCCAAAGGTACAGTTTGTTTAATAATTATTTAAATTTCCAACTAGTACAGGTATAGGTATTATAGTATTACTAACATAAAGTTAAAGTTAAAGAATATGCCTAAACTTCCATACAAATTTCAAAAAATGTCTTATTTAGTAATAGTTCTGAACTAGGTAATATTTGAAAATATTAAAATAGCAAATTCATTGCATTCATTAAATGTTTAACAAAAAATAATACTTCATTAACAATCATTGTATGAACTGGTATTGGTAATTTTATACTAGATACAATTAGATGTGTGTGGCATTTAGTCACACATAAATTAAGTATTGAGTATATAAAGTTAAAAGATGATTGCTTATTTTTGCCGACCATCGGAGAAACCAATAATAACAGTGTGTAACCAAAACGAAATTAGGTGTCTATTTAAGTACTTAGGTAGTAGGATTCCTTACTAATTTTTACAATGTTAAAAATTTGTATACATTTTACAGTAGGTAATAATTATTGTTAATAAACCATTAAACCATAAAATCAATTATTTAACTGTGAAATGCTACTTCCTATAGGCCATCTTACGATAATCAACAATAACAATTATCAATTTGCCACTTTAAAGTTATTACTACTCGTATTGCATGTGGCACGTGCCAACTCTTACACACAATTTGGGTGTGTTCCCCTTGACAAAATTTGTGAATTGTATAATTGTTGTCTTATCTTTTTAACGTGTATCGTTTAATTTGTACCTACTATTACAATTATAACAAAAATAAAATATTGTTTTTAATGACTTCACATGTTTTTTGGTAGGTACTCGCATTTACTTTGTACGTAGTACACTTCAAATTTAAAAATTAATAAAATTTGATGACTTGGTATACACAACTTTACTTTAAAATTTAAATAAATTTGTGCATAGGTATAGCCTGTACCATGTATACTGCTTGTGATTTACAAAGCAATCTGTATTTTGTAAAATTAATTATTAGTTGACATTTATCAATTATCTATAAATATTAAGTTAAAAATGTGCCTAACAAATAATTAAGGTTGGTCATTACCATATATTAATGGATTTTATATCAAATTGAGTAAGTATTTTTTGCTGGATGTTGGTGTGAGTTCATCATTTTACAAGTTCCATTTTGGTACTAAAACAATAATTATGTTAAATTTGAATTGGTAAATAGTTTTTAATACTTAGGTGCATAAATAAAAATATACAAAATTGTGTAACAAAAAAATAATACTTGTTGTTTGCGTATTTGTGAATGTACTATGTAAAAGTCTTAATAAAATAGTTTTTCGTGAGTGAAGCGTGTACTTTTTAATGGCTGAATCTGATTAATTTTGTGCTTATACATCACAAAATTCCTTAAAATTATAAATGAACTTCAAACATAAAAAGCTGAGAATGTATGCACCATGAAAGGGTGGTAGAAATCTAGGGATCGGTAATTATGGGATAATTAAATAAACTATCGATGTTTAATTATTTTCGTTAATAATCAATTTAAAGAGAAAACGAAAATGTATAAGGTGTAAAGTATGTATTGTTAAAACTAATAACTGTCTATTTTAGTTTTGGGTAATTGCCTTGCTTGAAGAACTGGTTTTAAAAGCCGTTATGTTACCCCTTATAACGAAAAAAAATGTATACAAAACTAAAAATTATATACCTAATATTAACTAGGTATGTCGTATATAAATTCTAATTAGTTAAACCTCTTATCTATAATTAAATTAAAATCTATGGTACCTAAATGACTGAATAATCTTATAATTTTATATTACTTTCAAAATTAATATTGTGCAAAATACAATGGGTAGGTAATTAACATTTGATGTAACGCTCGGGCATTGAAGAAAATTCCCAAATTGTACATTATGATAGTAATATATATATTTTGTTTTATATTGGATAAAACTAGTAAACGTTTATTTTGTTTAAAATAATGGCTGAGAAGTTTGAAAGGAGGGAGACGTATAATTATTGACTTTAGTAGTTTAAAGTTATATCGTTATGTGTCATAAAATACTCATCTGTGTAAATTCCATATAAGAATCTTCGTTGTATTTTTAAAAGATTTTTTAATGGTACCCCATACAATGGGTCAGTTTTATATATAAAAACTACTCTTAATTTGTTGATTATAAAATAAGATGACTGTTTTCATAGATACCTGTAAAATTTCATCATAATCGCTAGAAAAATGGACTAGTTACAAATTTATAAGTCTATGGCATGTAAACGAATGGGCATGACGAAATTATAAGGGTTACATTATTATTATTTTGGCTACAGAATTTTAAAAATAATATGTACTTCATGACAGTAACGGCACGAAGGAGGTATATTTGAATCACGTAATTCACACTAAAATGGATAAGTGGGTCGTGGATTCCTGAATATTCAGAAATATAACAAAAATTATTGTTTTTATATAGACTTTGTTTTAAGTTTTTATTTAGATTCTGAAAATTTGATAAATTTGTGGTAAAATAAGGAGTATTTTTGGGTTGGGGCTGATGGAAAGTTAAACCGGTGATTCAAGGTAAAAATACTTTGTGCCACCACTACTATTTAGTACTAATACTACTAAGTTTTTATCTGCCACCCGACAAAGATAATGTTTAGGGGGGAGGGCCATGGCGCCCCTAGACATTTTGTATAAATATATACGCATAAATAACTTATTCTAATAATAAACATGTGTATATATATATTAAAAAATATTGCTTCCCCCAAGGTAAAGAACTAAATCCACCACTTTTATGCGAGCATCCAGCAATTAAACACACTAAATAAACAGAATTAGTATAGATAGTAGGTATCAATTTATACATTCAATTTTAATGAAACCAACTTGTCATCTATTAGCAAGCTATTTTTATTGGTTTTACAATGATGTTCATTTTTTTTTTTCTGTGAACAACCTTTAAACCAGACATTTATCTTTGATTTTTAAGTAGGTATAGCACTTTTTTTGAATATAAATTTGACTGGGGTGTTACCTACTTAAAGAAGGCAATTTCTTGATTTTCTCAGGTTTTTTCACGATAAATGGGAAAAAAACTGGAAAATTTACGAAATATATTATTTTTAAACCATACGGCCTTTCAAAACATGTATTACAAAGTCTCACTCAGAATCATTTTTCGTTGGTAATAATTAATCTTTTGCGTATAGATATAAATTAAATTTCGTTTCTACCTTTCCAACTTCTCACTTACAACAGTAGCCTACCCATCGTGCGAAGAAGGTATATCCGTGTTTTTTTTTTTTAGTTTAGGTACTGTATTACTGTAAACTTTATTAATCATAGGTACTCTCAGTTTTGATAATATTATTGGTGTTATTTCCATGCAAACACTAATCACAATTTTTAGTGCAAAAAATTCTTCTCCCTTCAAATTCGTAATTACAACTATTTTTATTTCTTTTGTGTCTGTAAACAACTTATCTTCTAAAAATCTTGTTCTAATTGAAAAAAGACAAAAGACATTTTATGTTAAATTTTCGATCTAGATAGTGCATTAGTGATTGAAAGGTAATTTTTTGATGTTTTAGGGGGTATTCGAAAAAAATTGGTAAAGACCAGAAATAATTTAACATGATAATCAATCAAATATTTATAGTGCGCTGGGAAGTTACCGATTTCATTGATTTTAATATTTATGCACTATGTTATCTAAGTATCAAAACATTTTTAAGAGATTTTTTGTTTCATTTTAGATATAGTTGTTAAGGAAGTAGATCATTTTTTTAATTTTTCGTCAAACATTATCATAATTGAGCAAAACTGGAAAAATATGTAAAATGATAAGTAACAAATTTACGACGTTAAGATTTCATGATTTTAAACTTGTATGTTTTGTTTTTGACCAGATATAGTGCTCCAAAACAACAAGAGTGCTTTTTTGTATATTTTGGATTTTATTATTGATAATGAAAGCAAGTTTTTGATTTTAAATATAGTTTTCATAACAATTGAGTAAATCCAGAAAAAAACGGGAAAGTTTACAGAAATAATGGTTTCATTATTTTAAGTTTTGTTGTAATTCAATTTAAAAAATTCGTAGATACTTAAAATTGCAACAAAAACCTACTATTTTTTTATTTTTTTAGACTTGGTAAAATGTTCAAAATACTTTGCCGATTTTTTAACTAGTTATTAGGATTTTATCATTACTATTTTTTGTCTTTTACATAGTTTTTAGTTAGTAGGTACTAGATGTATATAATTGTTTGATCCACAATGTAGAAAAAATTTACATTATCTACATCGTGGTTTGACCTAACAGAAATGCATGGAAATTTATCAGGTGGTTCATTACATTATAAATCATACCTTGTGGTCACAAAAAAAAATTTATAGTGTAATGTAGTCATTTTTTTATTATTTTTTTTTTAAATCGAATTTTGTTTAAACAAACTTCATTCAGAATTGTTTTTTGATAGAAATGGTTTATCATTAACAAATATAAGCACAAATAATTATGTGCTACCTAAATACCATTCTGCTTAAAATCACCTTTTTTTTTTTTTTTAATACAATTTAATAAATTATAATTTTTTATTTTATTGTAATATAAATGTTTACATTTGTTTTCTAATCAAGTATTTGATACATATTTAACTTTTCATTTGTAAAATAAAAACAATAATGATAAATAACACTGTTAAACTATAATTATAATATAACTCATAACATAGGTCATAGGATAACAAAAACATATTAATATTATCAAAGTACTAATAATTCAATTTCAACAATTAAATATGCAGGAAGTTAATAACAAATTATTTAAACTAAACAACCCGGGAATAAATATTATCACACATATAATTTATGTACATAATAGAAGTTGATTCAATATCTATAATAAAATTAGTTTTTCATAGTAAGTTATGTTAAAATATAATATATTGTTTGTTTTAACACTTCATAACATTAAAAAGTATATTTCAAAAAAAAAAAAACAGGTTTAATTAACACAAATATAATTAAAAATATGGTTTAATTATAAATTAAATAATATTTTAAAATATATTGCATAACTATGAAAGTAAAACCGAAAGAAATGCAACAAATTACCCAATTAAAAAAATCGGTTGGATTATGGCACAATTTTTTTTATGATGCCAGATTACAATATGTAATTTGTTTCTACTAATAATAATTTTGGCATTTCACCTTGTACTGCAAGTTTGGTTTTATGCCAATTATTAGGTACTTCAATTAATTCATTAGTTGGATCTTCTAACTGACTAGTAATGAAAGAACTAAAAATATTGATAATGCTGAATAAATAAATTTATCATTATTTTCTAAATTTGTGATTTATAGTTTATCAATTGATTCACTATTATTATAATATAGTAAATTTGTTAATAATTAAAATAACAAAAGAAAATTAACTGAAAATTAAAAATATTTAAGGAATGTAAAAGAATAAATACCTGTATTTTATTTTTTATTTTCATTCAACATTATTACTTTTAATTAATTTCTAATTGAATAATATATAATAGATTTTTTCTTTGTTGATTGTAAAAGTGACAATAATATGTTCCATACACACATATACAAATTATGTATATTAAAATTAAATATATATAAAATAATTTCAAGTACATATTATGTTAGATAATTATAAACCGACTCAATATCAAATAACTGTATGCTAGCACACTGTGTAATGAGTAAGAACTAACTTTAAATATCACTAATATTTGTGTAAGTACTACTGTGGAGATTTTTGCTCTGGCATACTGAGTTCCATTTTCATTTCACCTAATGACATCTGCAGACTATTGCTTAAATTGCCAATGCTATCTTCACGAGGTAAGCGTTTGCCAAAATGTCTCTCAACCCACTTCAACATAGTTAACACAGAATCTGTGCTTGGCAGTCGACGTTCAGCCGAAGTTTTTACTATCTGAGATTGAGCTACTCTAAAAGTTGCTGCCATACCTTTTAAAGCCTTTGAAATAAAATAAATTAACTACTATTAATTTCTTTATACTAATTAATATAAATTTAAATTACCTGCATCGCATCTTCATCAGTAACATCATCACCAGCATAAATAATACGGATACGTTCACTCCAATCCAGGCCAAAAGTAGTCCGTAAAATATACAATGACGCACGTCCCTTATTCCAGTGCACTGGAGGTTTAGCTTCAATTGCACAATGAGCCTGACCTGCTTTAAATCCTGCTTCTTCAATTAGTCGCTGTGCTGTAGATGCAAGCTCAGGTCGGATATCAACAGGTACTTCACGGTAGTGGAATGTTAATAAAGTACCTTTGTTTTCTACCCAAGCTCCGTGTTTACAAACCTAAACAGTAAAAATTTAGCGTGCATATTTCTAAATTAATAGTTAATTTATAATATTTACTTGTTCTTGAAGTACTTTCAATAAATCAACTGATTTATCTTCATATTCTTTAGGCATTGGGTGCACAAATCTACTGCCATCTGGATGAAGAATTTCTAATCCATGATTACCAGCATAAGTTAAACCCTCAATACCTACCTAATATTAGAAAAACAATTTTAGTACATTTTATGCATTTAGTATTAATATTACAATTTAGTTACTTACCATTTCTTTCACATTATGAACATTCCTGCCAGAAATAATAGATATGTATACATCAGACATATTGGCCAATCTTTCTAGAACACTTTTTGTTTCTAAAGGTAATATGGCAAGATCTGGGTGTGGAGCTAATGGAGCTAATGTTCCATCATAGTCTAATAATAAGGCAAGTTTGTTGGTGCTACCAATATATCTGCAATAAAAGTTATTTAATGTAATATATATATATTATTTATGAATTTAAACAAATATCATTTACTTTGATAAATAATCATCAAAGTCTTGTAAAGTTACTGGTTGCATAGTAGTTGGTAAAACATCATCTCCATCTTCAAATATTAAAGTGCCCATTGCTTTTAAGAAAGACCGCATCCAATAATCAACATCATGTTCTTTTTCTCTACGCCTCAAACACCTCATTCTTAACATTCTTTCATCTTCAGGCATGGTCAATGCTCTATGTAAAGTATCAGCAGCTTCAACTAATTCATATGGATTACAGATCAAAGCTTCATGCATCATTTCCCCAGCTCCAGCAAACGGTGATACAATAAGAACACCCGGCGGTTCTTTGATTTGACAAGCAACAAACTCTTTAGCTACTAAATTCATGCCGTCTCTAAGTGGTGTGACCATAGCAACAGCTGAATCTCGATAAAAGGCCGCCAAATCATTTTGACTAACACAGCCATAAATATATCTAATAGGAGACCAATTAGGTGTTGTGAAACGTCCATTAATACGTCCAACAAGCTGATCCATTTCCTCTTTAAGGTCTTGATATTCTTTAACATCAGTACGTGATGGTACAGCAATTTGCATTAGTACTACCTTACCTTTGTGTTCAGGGTATCGCTCCAATAATAACTCAAAAGCTTTTAGTCTGTGTACTAATCCTTTAGTATAATCCAATCGATCTACACCAAGTACTAATTGTAAAGATGTACTGATAACTGTTGGTGCTTGTTCTGCCATTTCTACAAATCTATCGAATGGTATACCAATAGGTAAAGAACGGATACGTACAGTACGGCCACCATGTTCAACAAGTAAATGTTTTCGATCAACACGGCATCCTAATCTTCGTTGACAACAATCCACAAAATTTAAACAATAATCATCAATATGAAAACCGACCATATCACAACCTTTGAAATAAATTTTTTTTTATAGTTTAAATATTTAAATATAAATGTAATATCTAGATTAATTTTAATACTATAACTTACCTAACATTCCTTGAAGAATTTCGTCAGACCATGGAAATAATCTGAAGATATCCCACGGTGGGAATGGTATGTGTAGAAAAAATCCTAGTTTAAATTTCAAATTTTTTTCATCAGCTGCCTAAAATAAATTAAATGAATGCAAAATGTATATTATATACATATACAATTTAAAAAAAAACCTATATATGTACTATTAACTGCATTCAAAATTGTCAAAACAAATTTATATTTATTTATTTTTTACCAAACATATATAAAGATAAAAAAATTTGTTTAATAATTAAGTTTCAATTTACATTTCTAATGCTATTGGCTGCCAACATTAGGTGATAATCATGCAGCCAAACTAGAGGTGTTCCAGAATCTGTATCTTCTCTTGACAAATTTTCTAAAGCATCCACTGTTTTAGCTGCAAATTCTTTATTGACCGCACAATATGACTAAGAAAAAAACAAATTAATTAATTTAGGTTCCCCCACTCTTATTTAAAGTGTTATTACTCTCCAAGCTTCAACAGAGAATTGTGCTCTGTCAGGCATTGAATGAAAAAGTGGCCAAAATGTTCCATTACAGCAACCATTATAATAACTGTCAAACGTTTGGGGATCAAAATCAACAGATATAACCTAAATATTACATTAAAAAAATGTATTTGGGTAATAATTGTAGGTTTTATGGTTTATTTTTTTTTAAATAAAATAACACACTTTATTTGAACGTAATCCAGCAGTAGGTGTTGTATCATTAGGATCCGATTCAGGTATTTTTTCTCCCTTCTCTAAATGAACACCAGGCCATCCAATCCATAATCCATTTCCTTGAACTACGACTGGTGCCACAGCAGTAACTAAACCACCAGCACTAAAATAATAAATATTCAAATGTTATATTGTAAAGTATATAATATTTTATTAAAAACTATAGGTAACCAAAACAAAATAAAAATAGACGTGCAGGTTTATTACTAAATTTTTGCACCTAAACATATTTAGTAAAACTATTACATTATTTAACTAAAATAATTGAAGAAAGTGTTGAATACAGTTTATGGTAACATCTAGTCAATTAGATCAAATTTTGTAAAACATTTAACAAGTTACTCATAAGTAGGTTAACAAACATACAATATACGTGCAAGTAATACTATGTATCCAAGAAGCTTGCTGAGAGTCTTTTATACCACTTGACTTTGTTAATTACATCTTCTGAGATTGTCTCCTTACACCTTTCAAATCCCTTACTATACTATTATACGCCCCATTCTTGGTACTGTCTTCTGGGACCCATACACATTTTTCACTGGTGATATTGTTGAGTGAGTCCAGAAGAAGTTCCTTTAAATAGTTGCATTTTGGTTTAACATTCCCTGTCCTACTAATGTTGGATCTTTCTAGCCTTATTAATCATAGACATCTGGCTAACCTATTTCGGTCCAAACTCTTATCTAATCAAATTGGTTCTCGGAAAACGTTTCTATGTTCCTTCTCAAAATACTCATTATTTTCTTCTACATCCATCATATACTTTTCTAAATTTCTTCTTAAGTCCCCATGATCTGTTTTCCTCAATCAGCTAACGTGATTTGTTATTTTGATAATGATTGTGTTTAATTATACAATTTGTTTTACCTGTAAATGGGATTTTTGAAAAATAAAATAAAAATATTCAAGAAATAATATTTATTCAATTTTAATTTTAAAAAACCATATTCACCATATACCATATTTTTTGAATAATTTGAATTTATTACTTCATTATTATTAGAATAAACTCAAATCTCATGACTTCTATGATGAATAATATATTTTATTGTGTGGACCATACTACAATGGTCACAGGCAAGGGTACAACCAAAAGAAGTGCTGGATTACCCCTCCCCCCTTTGAATCTCTTAACATTTGGGAGTTCCAATTATATGAGATTTATATATAATAATATATGTGTTCTTTAGTCTATCAAATGTCAATAGATAAATTATATAATGTCACAAAATATTATAATTTAAATAATTTAATAAACAATATTGTATTATTTTACATTTTTTTTTTTTTTTACAAAATTTATAATTTTAATTAAATATATACTATTCCACGAAGAAATACCCCTTGAATATCTCTAGAGATAATAAAAATAATTAAATTTTGATTGTTTTATGTTACTCACAGGGGTGAGAACTACAAATATTTATTTTTGAATTAGTTTTTTTTTTTTTTATTAAAAATATTAACTTTATTTTATTATTTGCAGAAAATTTTAAGATAGCCATTCTATAAAATGTATTTTTTTAAAAATTGAATAACAAATATAAAATCAAAATTTGATTATTTTTATTAGCTCCTAAAATATTAAAAGAGTATACCTTTGAGGGACAGCTTGTATATATATATTTTTTTGAAGTAGAAAATTATTAACAAAATTTGTTTTCATAAAAAAACCTTTGCAATAATTGATAATATTTTTTAAGTTTAAAATAGGTGAAAAAGATTCAAATTAAATGTGTATGTTGAAATATGATATAGATTTTAGTTTTAAATATTCTTCTTTTAATATAAAATTTATTTGTTATATACATATTATTATTAAAAACCTAATATAGGAGATTACTGTTACAAATTATTAAAAAGACTGAACAAATTAAATTTAAAAGATACATTTATGTAAATAAATAAAATATGTTACATCATGGCTATACTCGTGTTTAATATAATAAGTAGGTACAATAAATTAATATACTACTCAGATTCGGCTATGTTATGGTTATAGTCACTACCATGTGCACAGTAGCACTCAAGAGCCTAAAAGTATGCATATAGAAATTGTATATATTTGTCAAATTATCCCACTTTAAAATGCAAATTAATCTCACTTATTAAAGTTTCTTAGAAGGTAAAGTTCCAAGTCTTGATTATATGAACATTTCAGGTATCTATAATAATTGATTTTAACCAAATGGCAATAAAACAAAATCGAAAATAACAAGAATCGTAATTGTGTAAATATTTTTTTTTAGTACAGTTTATTACAATTATTAAGTAAAATCAAAAAATCACTTCTCCAATTCCACAAATTTTGCTACCTACTAGAAATCCCTTGAAAATTGAAAGGAGCAAGATTTCAGGTAGTATATTAAATTTGTTCACAAATAGAAAAAATAAAAACTAGATAATCAATATACTAATTGTCTATATTTATATTACATCACTACCAATAAATATAATGATATTTATAGTAATAATTACTATTGTAAAATATTGACTCTCACAAAACATTTTATTAGCGTTACCTAATATTAAAGTCCTTCAGTAGGAAAATATAATCAATATTTTACCTGTCATGAAATACAGTATCGACACAATTTATATTAGTCAACTAGTCAAGATATATATAATACTATAAACAATTTAGATAATTGACACTTCAATTTCATCAGAAAACACCAAATAATATTCTGTAACATAGCATTTAAGATATTCACACAGATAAAATATTTAATAAAAACAATGAAAAATAATAAGTGTCTAACAATCAGCCAAAGCATGTAAGTACCATGAATAAATAATTACCTAATAAGGTCACGTGATATTCACATAACACGTGAATATTAAATGGAAATTAAACGATTGATAAATATTACACATTGATACAATTTTGAAATAAAAATTGGTAATCAAATTAATAATAACAAAAACTTCATGCATTATTAAAATATTATATTTAACAATGCAGGGAATAATAAATTAAATTAAATTTTGTTTTGAATTGTATGAAAACTCACAATACTTTGTACTGGTTCATTGCAATGTTAAATGAATTCATAAACTCATACAATTTTTGTGACAACCTAATAAAAAATGTATCTGTTGATTTAAAATTGTTCTAGTTTTATAAATAATTGAATGAAATATTAAACAAATGAAACTATACAAATATTTTAAAATAATGTAAATTCAAAACTGTTTACATTACTTATATATATTCCAATATTAATTGAACTCTTTAAAACATAACTTTAAAACCTAATATTAATATTAAATAGAAGTTAAGAGTATTGTTCTATTTGAGAATTCATATACATTTCTAAATATATTAAACTCTTCTAGTATATTTGTCTATAAAATGTTTTTTATTTTACTTTTAATGGGTAAACAAAATTAACTGAGTTAATTATTATAATTGAAATTAACAGAATTCTTTTGTATATTAAATTGACTACACTAACATTTAATTTACGAGCGATTGGCAATACTATTTTGTTTTCAAGGGCTATATTAAATTACTTTTAGAAATACAATTATTAAATAAGTTTCACTCATGGTCAATCATAAATGATCTAAATTTCATTCCAATATATAAAAGTACTTTTTTTCAATAATTAACTAATCTGAATAATCAAAGCTCTTTAATTAAGCTAGGTATATCTAGATAATGTTTACTTAAGATTATTCAAATATACAATTTAAATATTTAAATTTAAAAATTAAATCACATGTACTAATTAAATTATAAAATATAATAAACAATAGACCAATATTTAGGAACCAATAGTATTCATATAAATAAACTGTACTAAGTAATGTTTTGTGTATTTGGCAAGTGTCATTCTTAATTTTTTATTTTACATATTTGAAAACCATCCAAAACATAGAGCCAAAAAATACACTTTTACTGGGTTCATACAACACATAGATTATTAAAAATTAACAAATAAGAATATGAAAAAATAAAATAATCATTTTATTAATTTTTTTAACAGAATACATAAATTTATCATTGTGTCAAATTATAATATAAAATTAAAATATTTTCTAATCTAAGAAAATTTAAAAACAAATTATGTTTAGTTACAACTAAATAATTAAGTTTTAGTTTTAGACAGAGGTAATAATTGAAACTTAATAGAATCACCTTTTTCTCGTTTTTGAACAACTCGTGAATACTCTTTAGTCATTTCAATAATTTGATCAGTAATTTCGTTGGCTGTATCACCAGTTACAGTTACTCGAACTTCATTCATTTTACTTAGCCATTTATGTGTATTATTAATTTTCGATTCTAAATCATGCTGGCCTATACGACAATTAATCATAATGGACTTTTCCCCTTTAAGTTTATTAGGATTATCATCATTCTTTTTTTGACTATTTTTATTATCTTCTTTAAGAAACTGATTAGTCGACATCATTTGGTATACAGGGCGATGTGTTTTAGTATCAATATCAATAATTTTTACTAACTTCATGCCTCGTCTATCACACATCTTGGAAGCTACGTCCATTGTTACAACAGATATATCTTTTTGAGGTCCTAACAATGTAATTTTAGGCTGTGAAACCGTTTTGGGTCTTGACTTTTTTGTCGTTTTGTCTAAATCATCGATTTCTAATCTGTTTTTTTTAAATCTCAAACTCTGGCAAATATGTATGTTGGAAGATGGTAGACAGTTGATTTGGTGTCGAAACACGTAAAAAGTATTTGCTACGAATCTCTTAAGCATAATTTATTTATTATTTTATATAATTATACATAAAATAAAAAAAGTAATATACGAAAGCGTAGTTTTAAAAATATGTAACAAAACACCACACTACACTGCACACGACGGAAAACGAAATTTTGATAATACACCTGAGATTCTTATCATAATTATTTTAAGAGAGATAAAGTATACTATTATTTCATATTGGTAATTAACATTTTTGTATCAAAATCCATACCTGGCTTTTCTTTCCCATTTTTGCGTCTCTTCATTTTTTTTTAGAACGAATGGAAGCCGGTTGGAGACTATAATGAGTTTTCCGGACGCGTGAGTAGACATAGTGTATCGTCTCGGAGGTCGACACAAAAATGAAGAACACCAAAGATTTTCCCCGGGCAATACTGTAGTCAACAGACGCACACCTTAAAACACTGGTATCTGTTGTTTTATTTACTGCTCTATAGTCGTATATAAAAACCTACTCCCGACCAAAATATGACGATTTTACATGTGCATGTGATGGATGCACAGGCATGCGAATGGGAGGGATAGAGTGAGTCGTGAGAGAATACCTGTGTGCGTGTATTTGTTCGGTTTGTAAACTTACGTTTGATTGGAGGACAGGGACCAACGTGATCAGCTACAGCTGATAAAGCTGATACGCATTATATAAACTTGTGTCCAAGGTCAAATCCTAATAACACTATTCTATTTAATCTGGATGAATACCTTACCCAATGCCGACACGATTATGCGATGCGTCACCCGACTCCCAAGTTCGAACACGCCGCTGTCAGCGTAGAAAAATCAATATTATAAAATATTAACGTACTCCCACTGTCTACAATACAAATTTTCTTTGCATGTATATAATTAATTTCAAATTATACCTACATGGACAGGTTGTAACAGAACAAATGGTAATCAGTAATAATAATATAATACCATATTATTTTTAATCTATATTATACTGCTACCAATATCTTCTATAAAAAATTTCTTTTTTTTTTTCCGCTAGATTATCAATTATGAAATTGGTCATTTCTATTATATTTATTGTAAGTGGTATTAAATAAGCTACAGATTACATTATTCATTTTTAATATTTTATTAGTGTATTATAGCATAATGGTTTTTTCTGTTCTTATTGTTATCAAAAGAAGAAATAAAGATCTTCAGTTTATATTTAAAATTAAACATAGGTAGAACTAAATTATTATATATTTATGTTAAAATATGCAATTTCGTGTTCCTACCACACACTTTTATGGATATCTCTAGACATTTTAAGCTAATTAAGAAGCATAAATTGATTGTTGGAAGGTATAGTGTAATATATCTGTACAAGTTACATATGATTCAAAATGTGTGTAAACAATTTTTTTCATAGTACATATATAGTTTAGAGTCCAAGGCTTTTTATTGTATCCAAAGTAAAATGAAAAACCAACTTTGGCATTAACCTAGATTCTTCATTAAAGTAATTTTTGCTTTTAAAAGAATATCCAAAAAAATATGATCCTTTGGCTATTGTAATATTTTATTTTAAGTGCTATGTAATGATAAATCAAGCCAAATAAAATATGTTTCTGAATAAACGTAAATGAAGCATGGTTATACATTATTTACTAAATTTAAATTTAAAATTTTATGAATTTTCAACATCAAAATATTTTACAATTGTTTAGTTGAAATTTTAAATTCAAATACTTAAAAATAAAAAAAAAAAATGTGAAATTATTTTTCTTTTACTAGTAAAAATTATTTATGGCGAACCAACTTTATATGGTAACTTTATATTTGTAACCAAAATTTTTCAAACAAAATTGTTTATCATTATAATATATTATATAATAATTAATATAGGTGACTTTTCATTAAATAATTTATAAAATATATAGTTAACCATTATCATTAATGTTATAATTACTCATTCAAAATAATAAATTCTATAAAATATATTCAAGTTATTTATGTTATGTCTGAATAGGTGTAATAGAATGGTATAATAGATAAGTGATAAATGGAAATCAAAAAACAAATAATAATTTGGTTTGTTTAAAATTAACATCCTGAAATACTATATAATAAATTACTATAGTTATTAAAATGTGTTTTATTGCAACTAAGTTATGATGGATATTTATATTTAGGAAAAAAAATATGATATAAACAAAAAAATATAAATCTTTAATAACTACATGGGCCTTATACTAAACGATTAGAATACTAGAAGAATATCAATAGGCAGGGAGAGTGGGTAATGTGCAATCCACATTCCCTGCCATGACTATATAGTCATAGTAAAAATAATCAAATACATAGATTATACAATACGTATTATATTACAACATTTGTAAACATTTACCTAACTTTAATTTCTAATAAGCATGTGCACAAATCAATGGGCCAAGTTGAACAACGATTTCACAATTGACACTGGAACTATATAAACATGCTATTAGTAATAGGTCTATGAATAATAATGACAAAACAAAGTGCATATGATATAATTATAAAACAGTTCTGGGAAACATTGGTCTTAAAATGGTATCTTGAATTACAGATTTTTCATGCACTTTTGACATAAAGTATCCATGTTGTAATACACCGATACGAACATCCATTTCCATAATGTCTGTCTTAATAGTTGTTATTGCTTTTTTTATATTAATTAATGGTGCTACAATTAAATTATAAAATTATTTATTATAATAGCATAATATAATTATTCAAATTAGACTTACTTCCATCAGTCATACTTGATCCTCTTTCATCCATTTCTTGTTTAACTATTTCTAATTGTTCAGTGATTTTTAATAATGTATCTTGACGTTCTGCGATACCATTACTTAGAGTTTTATAATGTTCATTAACTCGAGCTAATTCATCCTAATAAAACAAAGTAATAATAATTTATCATAGTTTTAAAAATAAATAAATCATATTTTAGTTTTTATAAATTACATTTAATTTGTTTACCTGAGAATTACGGTATTCTATTAAAAGGTTATCTAAAGAACTGTTTAAGTATTGTTCTCTACTATAAACTTTCTCCATAGTTTCTTTTAATGTACTACAAAGATTGACCAAAAGAGGCTTGACCTTTAAAATAGACATATCCATCAAAAGCTTATGTTCTTTCATTTGTTTTAAACTTGTTCGCCAATCTTTGTAATCTAAAATTGTATGCACGTTTTTATATTTAACTTAAGATAAATCAATAGATAAATATTATTAAAAATAAAATGTAAAAATATACTGAATTTTATAATTTAATATGATTTATAACATCATTAGTCTATCAACATTTCTTTACCTACTCTACATACTCATACTTCTCAAACAATTTCTAGCCACTATTGCTCCTACTAATCTCCTGAATATTTTATATTTACTCCTTCTCACAACATATTAATTCAATCGCTAATTTTCCAACACAATTATTCTTTCTATTAATTTTTCCAAATTTTTATTGTATGACTCATAAGTTTTTGGTGTCACAACCAAAATTATTTTCATATCTGGAAAACCTAAAATTACTTTATGTACCTATCCATTCCTTATAAATATGGAAATAATTATAATATATAATATTCAATAAAATAATTCAACACAGTAATATAGACATTTTAAATTCATATCATAATGAGAGATCTATTGGTTATACTATGTTTTTTTTTGTCTGTGAACAACTTTTCAGCCAAAAAATTTGCTCTGAAGTATAGACTTTAGCACCTTTTCTGGAAGATAATTTCCTCTCGTTGGTGCATTGAGGAATTCATTTTTTAATTTACCCAGGAGTTTTCGAAATAGTTAGGAAAACTAGATCAAGAGATAGATTTTATTCCTTGTACTGTATTGCCACTGATGAAGAAAGTCGTATTTTGATAACCAAAGTAGTTTTCCTAAGAACTGAACTTCGCTCTAAATCATTTTTTGTTATCAATGGTTTATTGTTGGTTACAGGGATAAATTAAATAACTTTATGTATCCCACTTAACTCACAATACTAGTGGTCGCACCCATTTCCAGTATCAGCTCTTTTTTTTTAATTATTTAAATTTTTTTGAATAAAAGTACCTATAGTAAAACTGTTATTCAAATATTATAATGCATGAAATAAACTATATGTAATATGTAATAAATTATCTGTATTTAAATAATAATAAAAAGAGATCTGATACCTACTGGGGACGAAAGAGGAGCGGTCACTGTTGTAACTTGTAGGTGGATAGTAGGGAAGGTGGAATAAATAAAGTTATTTAATTTAACTAACGATAAACCATTGATAATCAAAAATGATTCAGAGCGAAGTTTCTTGATCTCCTTGATGTTTTTTATTGAAGCAATATTAATGATAGAAAACATAAGCCGTACAAAGTTAAAATAATGAAATCATAGGCCATAAATTTGAAAAAAAAATTGTATATTATGTCCTTTTTGGTTTTCCCCAATTATTATGAACAATACTTAAAATATCAAAAACCAACTTTCTGTCAATAGTCATTGACAAAGAGTCATGTGTCAAAAAGAACATAATTTATCTCAATAGTTGAAAATGGAATGTGTTAAGAAGGCATTTTCATGTGTGAGCCATCATTTAAGTAAAAAGCGAATAAAACATATTAAATATGTATACATAATAATTAATAGGTACATAAATAAATGAAAAAACTATTCAAACAAATAATTATTGAATACGGGATACAAACTTACTGTTGGGCAGAAATATATCACAAATGCCATTGCACAAACATATTTTTTTGTAGTATTAAAATATTGGTATAGACTTGTTATTGATAGCGCAATCAACAATTATTTTAAAAAATTAATTACTCAATTGTTTAATTTCCAGAATCAGAAATAGGCAACCTTCTTTGTAATATACTCTCATTTTAAAAAAAAATCTTTATAGCAGTTGGATGAATAGTTCAAGAGATTATTTGAATCCAAGATTTTAATTTTTACATATATATATAGATAGATACATGGATTTAAAATTATATTAAATTGTATTGTTATAGCTAACATTATTATTAATATTATTACATTAAAATTATTTTTAATATAATTTAAATTACAATGGAACCTCGATAAGTCGAAATTCAAGGGAAATTAAATTTTTTTACTCATAGAGGTTTTTAAATTATCAAGGTTTTAGGAATAAAATTTTAATTTTGAAATTTGAGTTTTTAAAATGTATATAAGTATAATAACTTTTAATTATTAAATAATATATATATATACATATAATTACAATGTGTCTTATTATTTTAAAATTGTCTTACTAAAAAATGAATAAGTTAAATTATGGGAAGGACAAGTCAAATAGAAAAATGATTATAAAAATTATCTATAATTATCTGTCTACATTCGGAACATAGAATGTTCAAATTATCTACAGTTTTTCTTTCAAGTAATCAAGGTTTTCACAGGGGAATATTTATTTTGACTTATTAAGGTTTTCTACTTATCAAGGTTCCACTGTATATTTGAAAAATTGGTACCATTATAAACTATTAAATACAAAAAGGTATACAATATAGATTAAAGTTCAAATAATTTACCTAGTTTGATTGTTACTCTTAATGAAGGTAATACTTGTTCCAATTCTAAATTCCATTCTTCTTTACTGGTGTATGGAATTTTAGAACTCTCATTTGGTTTATGAGATTTTTGTCTTTTAATCTATAATTAAATTTCACTGTTGGAGTTTAGAAAAAAAAAATTAAATACTATGTTTACCTTATTTAAAACAGATAAATCATTAAAATCAAGTATATTTTCTTCATCTTCATCAGAATTTGTCCAAACCATTTCTTCCTCAACATGTTCTAATAAAAGTTCTGCGTTGTTCTCAGGTAATTCTTCAACTTCTTCTTTGTCCATTGGAAAACATGGCCTGTCAAATTCAAAATGAACTGTTGAAATGGTCACAGTAAAAAATTATACTATATTTTACTTTTTAAAAACAAAATTATTTTTTCTCAAAGCCAACTCTGTAAGACTATTTAAAATGTCAATAACTTGTTTTCCGAAACCTTGTTTTAATTGATTGATGGAGAAATCAACATACAAGTCCTGAAAAAAAATGAGATAAATACCTAAACACAGATATATTTTTCCCAAATAAATTCAGTGTATCATACTAGCTCTGCAGAATATTCTAATATGCAGTTTATTGTTGAATTGGGATCATCATATTCTTGAGGTTGTTTTAAATTTTTACCAAGTTTACTTAATAGCCATATAGCCAAAGACACAAACATGTAAAACTGTTCTCCAGAATTAGTTTGTAAAGCAAAATAATGTCTAAAATGTAATTTTTTCTTTTAGTAATTGAAAGTTTTTATGTAAAACAATTGTTTATTATTTTTACCTATTTATTGGCCTCATCTTTAATGATTTTACTACATAACTTTCATAATCTAACAGTATTAAACGATCACATAATGTTTCCATTTCAAGAAAATGTTGATACAAAGAGTGTTCAGATCTAATAATTGATCTACTACGACTAGAACTTATTGACTGAATATCCATATTTATAGTTTCTATATATTTTATAAACTACAAATCGCTTATGTTTATCTACACAAAATAATAATTAAAATATATAATTTCACTTTTTCAATTTTTCAAGTAAAACCAAAGAATTAAATCGTAATTTTTTTTGTTCAAATCTAACATAATAAGGAATTATTTTAATACAGTTGGTAAAACTTAATAAGTAATATGGTTCATACAAAATATTCATACATTTTATAGATTACATACAATTAATAATTATAAATTTAAAGATTAATGGTTACATAGCTAAATGGTGTTGATGCCTAACTACATTTAAATCACACATGAATGATTATAACAGATAACTTGTAAAAATTATTGGACATTACCATTTTGATTTGAGAATAATATTATCTTTTTTTTTTTTGTGATAGTGAAATGCGCATGCGTGTAATAAAAATCAATAAATTATCGATGTTGTAGTACATAAAATTATCGATTTTCTCATATTCAAAAAATGCGCACGCGCTTTAATTCTATAGAAAACTCACTACTTAGTACTCTGAAACTATTGAATTTGTTAACTCCTAATCCTTAACCATCTTAAATAATTGCTCAATAATAATGTAAACTTTTAAAGTTAAAATAAATAGTATTTTATTAAAGTAAATGTTGATGTGTAAACCTTTTATAATTACACGTACTTATATACTAGAAAATACCTATTCAAATAGTCTCCAAACGCACAAAGTGTATCAATTTATAAATTAAAAATTGATCACTTGTAAGTATTAATTTATATTTATGACTATATTTTAAAGTAAAATAGCTAGGTTTTTTTATTAAAAGTAATTTACTAATATGTATATTTTTTTTTGTTAGAATAGGTAATAGTGATGGTTGAAGAAATGGATTCTGCTGGTAGTGCCTTAAATAGTTTATTTTCATTTACAAGCCCATCTGTAAAAAAACTATTAGGATGGAAACAAGGGGATGAAGAAGAGAAATGGGCTGAAAAAGCTGTAGATGCACTGATGAAGAAATTAAAAAAAACAAAAGGTGCAACAGAAGATTTACAAAAAGCTCTGAGTTCACCCGGACAACCAAGTAAATGTGTAACTATACCAAGAAGTCTTGATGGTCGATTACAAGTAATACCAAATTTTAAGTATTTTAGTATTTATCTATTTAACTCTTAACTTGTAATAAAAGTTTACCTATATTATCTTAGGTTTCTCACAGAAAAGGTTTGCCTCATGTAATATATTGTCGCGTGTGGCGATGGCCAGATCTTCAGTCGCATCATGAACTTAAAGCTGTTGACCACTGTCAATTCCCTTTTTCTGCTAAACAAAAAGATGTTTGCATAAATCCATACCACTATCAAAGAGTCGAAAGTCCTGGTATGATAGCAATCATTTGCATAGATACTGATTAAAAAATATGTCTAAATATATATTTACTAATGTATTTGTACTTTTAGTTTTGCCACCTGTATTAGTTCCTCGTCAAAGTGAATATGCACCACAGCAAACATTACAGCAATTTCAAACACCATTAGATGTTGGCATGCCAATAAATGTATCAATAAACACTGATGGATTTCCTGAAAGTGTATTGACTAATAATCAAACTACATCAAATGTTCCTAATCAAATACCTTCTACAAATACTATTAATTCATTCTCAGATACTTCTCTAATAGGTATTAATGATAATATGTCAAAGTTAAAAAAGTTATAATTTCTTCTGTTATTTAATAATTTAATGTCTTTGAGCAAGACTTTTTTAATAATAAAATTGTACTCTTTGATTAATACAATAGTAATTGATGAATAAATATTTCAGAAAATTCTTCTTTTTCTTCATCAGAAGATCCAACTAAAGTTAATAATATTGAAAAAAGTACGAACTTAGAAGACCTTGATGGTATCCCAATAGTGTATCAAGTAATATATTTATCATTAACTAATATTTAAAATATATATTTAATTACAGTTATGTGTAAAAAAAACTAAACATATTCTTTAATATTAAAGTTGTTAATAATTTTTATTTTTATTGAAATTCAACCTATTTTATTTGGATCTAAAAGCTCATACACAAATGTTATCTGATGTATCAGTAGGTACCATAATAGTCCTTTCAGAATTTTTTAATAAAAAAGTTCCTCAATTACAGTAGAAATAATAAATATATGTATTTATATACATAATATAAAGATATGTTTTTATATTATTTTAATAATTATGAATATGTAGTTTTGTTAGTCTATGCATCAGTTGTTTTCTTAAACTATATTTTATTAATAAAGTATAAATAAAATAATACCTAACCATTTTTAACTTACATTATTTCTTAAATACATGTAATCTTTTTGTCAGGAACAACCTTGTTGGGCTAGTATAGCTTATTATGAACTCAACTCTAGAGTAGGTGAAGTATACCAGTGTCATTCTCCTCATGTGATCGTTGATGGCTTTACAAATCCTAGAAATGATTTAAATCGGTTTTGTCTCGGTCAATTATCGAATGTTAATCGTAATTCAACCATTGAAAATACTAGACGACATATAGGCAAAGGTAAAAAACAATAAGTTATGCAATTGTATTTTATTAATGTAAAGATGAATATTTTTTTAGGTGTTCAATTGTATTATGTTGGTGGTGAAGTCTTTGCTGAATGTTTATCCGATTCTGCTATATTTGTTCAGTCACGCAACTGTAATCAACACCATGGTTTTCATCCGTCTACTGTATGTAAAATTCCTCCAGGTTGTTCATTACGTATATTTAACAATCAAGAATTTGCTGGCCTTTTATCACAGTCAGTCAATCATGGGTTTGAGGCTGTTTTTGAATTAACCAAAATGTGTACAATACGTATGTCATTTGTTAAAGGCTGGGGGGCTGATTATCATCGTCAAGATGTCACTAGTACACCATGTTGGATTGAGATCCATTTGCATGGACCACTTCAATGGCTTGATAAAGTTCTGACACAAATGGGCAAACCTCATGATGCCATAACATCACATTCTTAATATTATTTTGAAGACTGTTTTATACATTGAATTTAATGATTCCTATTAAAATTATAGTATTTTGCACAATAATGAACATCAATATTAGGGATGGAGACGAAGAAGATTGTATCTCAATAGTAATATTGATGAACTATAAAATGAAGGATAAAACCAGTTTCACCAAAAGCATTTTTCTGGTTTCTAGTAAAGATGTATTTCCCTGTTTTTTACCAAATAAGATGTCTAATGATTTATTTCCTCCAAAACAATTTCTATATCACTATTGTACAATTTTTTTTTTTTTAATTTTCCTGAGTTCCATTTATAAATATTATTTTACTAATTATTATTAATATGAAAAAAATATCCCTAAAGTATACACATTTTAACTATTCCAATCTATTAAAAATATTATTAGAAAAAAAACAAAATTTTTATTACAATAATAAAAATAATATAACAACGTTAATTGCCAAAACTTGCTAATAATTATAAAAAAAACAAAGGTTATTAGTTTATACATTAATAGCTATATTAGGCCTTGTATGTTAAATAAATATGAACATTGATAGTGTTGATTAAATTTTGTTATACTATGTAGATTAATTTAAAAATTAAAAATGTTGAACAAAGTATTTTCAATAGATCCATGTTCTAAAGGCTAGATTATCATCATTAATCAGGTATTCCACTGCGTATCCTAATGTCTGCGAAATTTTAAAATTATTATTTTACTTATAAGTTAACATTCATATATTTTTGCTATTATATACACCACATAAAAAAAGGTATTGTGTTTACAAAAATGTACAACATGTATATGTTTTCAATATTTGAAATAAACATCTAGTAGAAATTATAAAAACTAGTTTTGATTCAAATCTTTCAGCGTCTCATTTGGTGAAAAATGAAAAAGTAGTTTTAATGGAAATTAGTTAAGCTGGAAATTAAAGACAATTTGTAGATAAATATAAATTTCATATATTGTAATAATTATGTATATACATTTTTTTTTTTTATAAATATAACTGTTCAAAATTATTTTTAGAAAACTTAATGTGTGCCAGTTGTTTTAAATCAATAGTACATATATAATTTTATTAAAAGGTAAATAGTTTTAATTAATTATTTTACAAAAGGCTTTTCTTAGATATACTTATTTTAAATAATTATATTTTAGTTTGTTTTAAATAAAACTAGTTAGGTACATATTACAATTTTTTTATAATTTAGAAATAATTTGTACGTGTATAATAATTTGAAAATAAAAAAATATAATGGTATATTTAAACAAAATCAATGAAATTGAATATTTAATTTTTTTGCAATATTCCTATATACTAGCCTTTACAAAATACTAAATTGTTACATAATATAATTATTTATTTTCAATAATTGAGTGTTATAGCATATGATGAAATTTCATAAATAAAAGAATGTGTAACTAAATTATGTTTTATATATTTAAATATCAATAATAAATAAAAGAAAAAATTATTATAATATAATAATACAAACATTAGAAACTTTAATCTGTTAAGAAAATTATGTAGTACTCAAAAAGTAATAAGTAAAATAATAAAGAATATCACTATAATAAATCCAACATAACTAACTTAAAATAAATTTCATTATAACATGTTATACAAAATAAGTCAATTTACTACAAAATGAATAACCAAACTATTTGGTACACAACAATTTGTTTGGTATAATACAAATTAAACCAAACCAATATGAACTTAAAATGATTTCAATGTAGTTATAAATTAAAAATGGAACAAAAACACTTAATAGACCAAGTTAACTACCAAATATTAAAGAAAACAAGTAATTAATTAAATTTATATTCAACGAATGTTAAATACTAAAGAAAACATATTTACTTATTTATTAGATTTCAAACTATTAAATATATTAATTTGACAACAATTTCAATTATTTAATAAATACAAAAATTCAGTTTAGATTTGATAAAATGTTAGATTTGATTTGAATAAATAATTAAAAGTTCAAATAAAATTTTTGTTCAAAACGAACAGAAAAATTATTAGTTTTTAAAATGCAGTTCCTATAACTGTTGGATTTGGATACTGAATTCTTATTTTACAAGACAATTTTATTTAGTAGACTATTAATTATCCCTGAATGACACACTTTGGCATTTTGTGTATACATATGCTCTTTTATATCTTAATAAATCAATAAAATGAAACTTAATTATGATAGCAAATGTCTATTTAGTTAAATATATATTTTTGTTTTAAGCATTTATTGATTATCTATACTTTTACTGGTCTCAGTTATAATGGATAATCTAAACTACTGTAATATAATAAATTATCAATTTATAAAATTTACGATTTTATGAAAATTAAGTAAAACAAAGCAAAATTATTTGCATTAATGCATTAGCTGAATGCTAAATGGAAATATAGTTAAATTAAGTATACAATTATTTTTTAATTAGTGCATGTTATGGGATAGATCAAATATATGATCCATTGTGTATGCTATTTAATATTGTCCTAGTATGGTTTAAAACAGTGAATCACTCAAAATATTTTAAAACCAAAGAAATGCAGCTTAACTCATCATTTAAAATGACCAAACTAAATTGTAGTGTTAAAATCAACAGGACATCACCATTATCAGATTACTGCTTAATAGCTGTGATGAAGCACCATCTCAGAAAATAAAATATTTTTAAGAATTGTATGCCCAATTCAATTTTATAATTGTGTTAATAGGTCACATACTATGTCAAAAAATAAAAAAATTAACAGAGACCAGTTCCAATGATTTAAAAAAATAAATCAATCGTTTTTACTTTATATATTTATAAATGGTGATGTTTTCTTAATTGTTTAGTACCTTTCTTATTATGACTCCTACCATGATACATTTCACTTTCCTCATTATACACATTTTTATACTCTTTTTTTTTATGATTTGCATCATTTCTTTTGTATTGATGGAACGAATTGTACTGATGGCTATTTGACTCCATGTTTTGAGATTGTGTGTAATTAAACTTATTATTGTAGGATGTATATTTATCTTGATTATGCTTATTATAGTTATTTGGATATTCATATTCATATTCTTGTGAATTAACACAAGATTTATCTGGGTTAAAGTTTCGTTCATAATTATAATTTTTATGTCTTGTAGTTGATTCAATATAGCGCTCTGAATTTGAATAATTCTTTCGAGATACTCTATTTAAGAAATCACTACTCCCATGTGCGTTTTTAAGATTTCTTTCTGACCACCTATTATTAGAATCAGATTCATAATGTTGTCCTAAATCTTCATATCTACTATTCTTACGGTGATGCAAAGTATCTCTTAGATCTAATGGTTTAGAAGCTACATTCATATTTGTTTCGGTATGATTGTTATAATTTAAGAGACGTTTTCTATACATGGTATCCCTTAGATCGCGCACTGGCAATTCATCTTGACCAGGATTATTTCCATTGATGCACAGAGGTTCTTGAATATGATTTTTAGTTTCTTTTCGACTATATGAAGCGTGAATATTATAACCACGATGTTTACGATCATAATTTTGACTGCGATATGAATCTCTATCATAATTTTGATAATGATATGAATCTCGATCGTTAGTAGACATTTCCATTGAATCAGATATGCTGTTGTAGTCTGATTTTTGATAACTTCCATGATTGTAATATATTTTATCACTGAAATTATGTTCATTTTGATAACTTGAGTTACGATTATTAGCAAAAGAGTTACTATTGTTATAAAAGGATGGCAAGTTTTTGTAACTTTGGGTAGGCATACTACCTAAATTGCGATGATAAATATCTTGATTTGGATTACTATATACACTTTGATAAGGAGGTTCAGGCAAACTTTCTGGAATATTAATTTCATCATAATTTTGACCTTTCCATCTACTTTTATTTATTTCTTTTGACCGATTGCTACGTTCAACATTAATAAGCTGCTTGAAATAGTCGAGTTGCTCATGAAAAACAGGATCTTTAGAATTTTTAGAATAGTTTTTAGTTATAATTGGTATTCCATATAATTTTGTATTGCAAAACAACTTAATACTATCTTCAACAGAACTCGAATGTTTGAAAACCACACAAGCAAAATTTTCACATACTTGACGCTCATCAAATGAAAATTCAACGTATTCAATTGGCCCCACCTTTATAACAACCAATATTATATAAATTAAAATTACTAAATTATAAATATTATTTGGATACACAGAATCATTTTGTTATTACCTGATAAAATAGTTCGACTATATTACTGTAGGACACTTTTGGATGAAGATTACCTACCCAAAGAGTCCTATTAGTTCTCTCAACTACGTCAATACTTGTATCGTCGTCAATGAAATCCATTATTAGACAAAATAAACAGACCTAGAACATTTGACGAACAATTTGATTTAATGTTGATAAAATATCAATTACAAACACTTGGAATTGGATAACCTGAAACTAATTAGAAACGATAGAACACGAAAGCATAGGAACCAACCTATTAGAAAATTAAATTAAATTAACAATAGTACAATATACACATAAGTACAAAATATTTATCACAAATAAACAAAAATAGCCAATATAATTGAAAAGTAAAGTGTGACCTTATCAGTGATTATAATCACAGACTACACAGTGCCATTGATCACGATTCAGACACGGACTATAATATTAAATCGTGGCATAGAGTAATATAGAAAGGGTATTACACTAATACAAATCTCAACTATACACAACTTAAGTAGTTTTATGTGTCATTGTCAAAACTCACAACTCACAAGAATGTGAAGCGCAAATTGCCAGTTTAAGTAAGTAGTGCGATGAAATTATCGTACAATTTATGGTAAAACAATTCACCTGTAATACCGTTAATCTTTGACATATTTTAATCAACTTTAAAGTTAGTTTAAAAAATGGAGAATAAAAATAAATTAATCATAATCGTCCTATATAATTTACGCTTCGTCCACGTGTCTGCCCTCCAGTCTACATCAATAATAGTCAAATACTACCTGTAAGTGCTCAAATTAATAAAATAAAAGAAAAGGGACTTTAAGATATAAAAAAAAATGAACGTCCCTTGCAATTATTGAACTCAACCCAACCCGTGGGGAGCTTAATCCTCCTCATCTCTCACACCAATTTTCAAACATTGTAATGTAAATAAAAAAATAAAAATAAAAAAATATTAAATGATTAACTCAAGAAAAAATATTTTTCAATACTATTCACCAATCCGCAAACATAATATTATATTTTTAATATGTTCAATGCCATTGTCGACGGGTAGTTGACATATATAGTGTTCACTTTGATGGTTTATAATTTGTATAGGTGATGGGATAACGTTTTTTTTTGAATTTGGATATTTGTTTTTTCCCTGAAATTACAACGACGTTGATCGCCGATACCCGATAAGAATAGTATACCTAAACTTATCTTTATTTTCCGTTTAATTGACCGGGTGGTACCTATTTAATATCTACTTTATATCAGTTGATTTGCGTACGATACATCAGTTTATAATTAATGTACAATTTGTTGTGTACTGCATATAATAATTTGACTTGGTTTTTGCTGGTTCCTCGTAGGTATTTGTGTAGCTTTCTTATTTTCTTCTTACCAGAAACATGTACGTACATATTCTAAATTATTTACACTTACATTAATTAAATATAAATTAATGTATTATTAAACCATACACATAGTTTTACTATTAAAAAATAATGAATAACAAAAAGAAACGGAGTCGAGCAGAGAATCGAAGTATTAAAAAAAAAAAGCAATGAAGACATATAACTGTCAAAAAAATTAAATACTGATTTTCTGGAGGTTGTGGTTCAGATAACAAGTCGGTTGGATTAGTGTTAAATTTGGAAGAAAAACAAGAAAATAAATGTTAGTTTTTTTTCTAATCAAAAGTTAAGGTAATTAAATGAATTACAAAAGGTGGTTTTGCTAGAAAAGATCGATGGCATCATATACTTAGATGCATTTTTATTTTGCGCAAAAAATGATTTAACATTTAGAGAATCGAGCATAACAGTCTAGTATTTTTCAGAATTTAATAGAATTGCTTAGGAAATATAATAATATTCTAAAACAACATCTTGTAAATAATAACAAAGGAGATATCAGTTACCTATCTTCAAAAATACAAAATTAATTTATCTGTTTGTTGGGACAAAGAATTCGAAATGAAATATCTAAATTAAAAAAAAAAATATTTTGCTTCGTTGTTGACTGCACTCTCGACGTGTCACATAATGAGCAAATTGTTGAAGTGATTTGTTATAATGATATTGACAATGGCAATGGAACAATTACAGTTGAAGAAAGTTTTATAGATTTCATAAATAAAAAGGAAAAAACTGGAGACGGGTTAGCTATGGAAATATTATCAATATTAAAAGCTGATGAACTTTATGTACAAAATGTACAGGATCAAGGGTATAACAATGGAGTTAACATGTCAGTAAAATACCATGGCGTTCAGGCAGTCATATTAAATAAAAATAATTAAGCTACATTCATCCCATGCGCTGCTCACTTTTCTTTCCGGTCATTCATTAACTAATATGAATTTGTATAAAGCAGTTGCTGATCTAGTATTAAAATATAATGACGATAAAAATACTGTGGAAATAGTTAAAAATATTAAAGATTTTAAACATGCAGCTTTATGAATTTTGCCAAGTTTGAATCAGTAACATTTTTGAATTTATTACAAATGATTCACGATTATAAACCTAAAGAATTGTGTCCAAATATTGAAATTGCTACAAGGATTTTTTTCTCAATGCCCGTCACAACAGCTTTATGTGAAAGGAGTTTCAGCAAGCTTAAATCGATAAAACTTAAGATCTACAATGGTTCAGGAGAGATTATCAAACATGGACATATTTTCGATAGAAACAAAAATCACTAGTAAAATAAATTATGAAGAAGTTATTGACAAATTTTCCGACACAAGAGAAATGAAAATTTCGTTGATAACTAATAATTATTTGATTTAATTTTTTTATTATTTTGAAATTTCTAATAAATTTATAAATTTCAAATTAATTTGTTTACTATAATATGAAGAGTTGAAAATTATATACTTGAGACTAAAAATATAATTTCTTGTTTTGCTCGAAACCTAATTTATAAAAATATATATATTAAAAACTGCGAGTTAGTCCCTTCACTCAGAGGGCACATTGCTAAAGTTCTGCCTGCCTCAGGATAAAAAATATCTCGGTATGATTCTGAATATACAACTGACCAAGCTTCTAAATGATATAAGCAATACCATAAAAAACTACATCATTCAAATCCCCAAAAATACCACCCCAGTCAGATATCCTATCAGAAAAATGTTACACTTGAAAATCTGATTAAAATTTCTGATTGATAAGTTGTTCACAAAAAAAAAAGTCCGTAATAATTACTCATGCATTTTGTACATTTTCCCGGTTTTTCCCATTTATTGGGAATAAAATACTATATTATAATAGATACTATATTATAGTATCTTAGTCGTGTATTCTATTGGTGGGGAAGGGATTAATAAAAATGTTTGTGTGTCACTAGAATATTAAATCGCATTGAGAATTCAAAATATCATTAGTTATGGGAAGCTGGGTTAAACCCATGAAATATTCATGTAGTATAATTTTGAGATTGAGAAAAATAAACTTATCAAACACTAAAAATTAAGCAATTTCAATAACAATTCAACAAATTTTATTTTCTACGTTTTACTTTACTTTAGAATTTTTTGTTCCATTATTATTTTTAAAATTAATAAAAAGTCCCCTAAAGAGAACAAAATATGCAGACATCATTCTGCTTCTGCATTAAAGAATTTTATCTCAATATCTTATTGTCTATTATATAGTTTAATATTACATACGTAGAGGGCGTTCAGTGTTCACTGCAATCTCGGTGGGCATAAATATGTCGTCCTTTCATCGCGCATTGGTACTTTTAGTTTTTACATCGTTTTGCCCCCTATTGTCATATATAATATAAATTATATACTACCAATAGTATTTGTTAATACGGTTTACATGAGTTATTAATTAATTTATTAGCCCGCAATCATCAACGAATAACAATAAATTGAAGTATCTAGTTTCAAAATAATCCGTTAAGACAGCGCTGGGACTCATATAGGAAAGAATTTCCTCGAACCCCGCATTATACGTTTGTTTTTCTAGCCACGTTATCAGTACTCATATTATTTAGTCCTGCCTTCCTCACAATGAAATATACTAATATCCTGTATGTATATAATTATGTTATACTTATCTGTATGTCCTAGTCCGTAATGTATAATGCACTCTTAGATCTATAATGTATGTATTGCACAGAAACCAGATAATACATGATGTAGGTACTTGGTACTATACAGATGACATAATATAATTATTTTATAGGACAATAATTGAACAATAATAAATATTCAGGATATAATTTTTTGTCACTAAATTAATTAATTAATTTTTAAATGGATTCAATTAATGGTACGGATATCATAAAAGTGGAAGGAGAATCAGACGATGGTGTATACATCCGACCTTCCAAAAAAAAAGTAAGTATTATTGTTTAAAGATAGTTAATATTGTTATTTACATTACAAAATATTTTTGTCATTTTTAAACAGATAATGACATCTCAAATTGTTACAAATGACGAGTTAACAAACTTGATCCAAGAACGTTTGGCAAATAGACGTACTGGTGAACGTACAGAATTTGCAAATCAACTGGCTAGAAAATTAATTAAAAAGTAATAAGATGAATAGTTTACAATAGATATTTTGTAGAAATGTGTTATATTATATAACACATTAATACTATAATTTGTACTTACTGATAATGGCAACTGCTGCAGATGAAGTCAGCTAATATCACTGACAAATTTACAGGGGGAGGAGATCCAGGGTTCTAATCCCCTGAAACCGATATAATTTTAATAAAATGTATCCAATAAAGAGGCATCTATTAATAGATAGCTTCAAAATAAATTTTTCAGAACCCCTCCCAGAAAAATGTTAAGAATCCGGTACTGTCTAATACTAGTAACCCGATTTATTAATAAATTCAGTATATTTGTGATAATTATATGATAATTAAATAAATGAGTATAAAAGCAAAAAGGTATTTTTAAAATTTAGTTAATATTAGTTAATATTTACCAAGTATTGGCATATAAAATTTCTAAAAGTTGAAAAAACCATGTCTAAAGGAAACAAATATGTTACACTGTGAATGCGATATAACTTATATTCTATACACATATCATATATTTTTATTCATTGCTCATGAAGTTTTGCTAGATAAATAACAGTTGTTTTATATTTTCATGACCTTGTATTTATTAATTATTACTATCATTAAGCAAATATTAAAATAAAAATAACCAAATGAATATATATTATGTATTACATGTTTACATTTCAATATTTTAAACTATATTTTATTTTTGTTTATGTTTAGATTGCATGATAAAGATGAAAAAATTCGAAAAATTAAAGGCAAAAAAAATAGAGAAATTGCTGAAATTAAGGACGAAAAAAGTATGTTAAATAACAAATATTTATAAAATAAATCTATTATTAATTTTCAACATTGTTTTAGGTGGTCATTTAAATTTGGAAGTAATTAAAGAAGATGTTATATTAAAATCTGATACATTTGGTGATTCAGATTTAGAGGATACTCCAACTGTTGTCTTGCCTAAAAAGTCTGTTAAGGTTTGTAAGTTAATATTTGATTAGTAACTTGTCGGGTTAATATGCTTTTATTTTAGAAAAAACGTGAAATAACAAGTATGACTGACAAAGAAATTGCTATTACAATTTTAAATTGTAAAAAAAATTCAGAAGAAAATAAATCTTTAATAGATAAAAAAGTTGCAAGCAGATTTACATCCACACTTAAATCACGATTAGCCAACAAGTAAGTAATAATGTGTAATTAATTATCAAAATAAATAACTAATATTATGTTATTTTCAGATTAAAAAAGAATCAAAATTCTTCAAATAAATAATTTTTATTTAAGGGGCTGAGTGCAATCATAGGCCTATTAGTTAAATTGGTAGACAAGTGCAACTACTAGATCTATCTTGTTATGCATTTAAATGAAAAATATTTCTATTATGTACAATTTTGTGCAATAATCTGATAATTTTGTATTTCCATACTTACTTTAACTTTAAAATTTTATTTAAAATAGCAGTTTTAAATTATTACAATTACAGAATTCAGAGTAGTATAAACCATTACTTGAACTAAATAATAATATAGTGAATGGAATTCATATGTAAGTTTATATTTACATTTTATGATTTTAAAATTAGTTATTTTATTTGCTCTAAATATTTTACAGAAGTGGATTTACCTGTTTGTTGCACTCAGCTCCACGATTGGAAGAAATATATTTTACAAACATTGTTATTTTTTTTTATTTAATTTTAAAAATACCAAATTGTAATGTGTATGTGAATTTTTCCCTCCAATCACACTTTTAAAAGTTTTTCAAATTTATTTATCAATTTCAATTCATAAAATCACTGATTGCACTATTATTTGGAGAGAAGAGTAAAAATCGCATGGTTTTACTTATTCTGCATAAGCTATGTTTTTGCATGTTACCCGGTAGTTGGACTAAGTATATGCTGATATAATGTCCTCTAAGTTTCAACAAAAACAAAACATTTTCCTATGAAAGTATGTTTGTGTATTTTATATACTAATAAAAAATATATTATAAATACAATGTTTACCTTGTGTTTATTTTTTTTCCGAAAAATTATTGCTTTTCTTTTATAATTTTGTACAAGTTTGATAAGTATGAATGTAAATAATGCCATAGAAACTGACCCATTACACTAACACAGTGATTTTTTTCTTTATATTGATATCACTGTTTTAAAGGACTTATTTGCTAATTGGTATTATGCAGGAAAATGTTTTAAATGGGGAATGTAGAAAATATACTCAATCAAATTATTATATTTTAACTATTTTTATAAAAAAATATACCTATATAATAAATAAAAGAAAGTATTGTAGGTAATCAAATATATATTAAACCTAAAACTTGATAATACATTTTTTAAATTATAATAGTCTAAGACCTGCCAGTTACTTTTTATGATACCTTATCATACGGATTCTAATGGGCCTTCATATATGTAATATTGAACATCAATTTCTAAAAGGACACCGTTTCTTATAAAAATATAATACACCTAAACCATAAAATATTGCCATGCTGCCCAACTATATGATGAAATAGTTTAGCTAACTAATATGTACCAATCTGAATGAACTTTTCCATTTCACAGACAATACAATAAATTGATTAAATAGTTCCCCATAAAAGTATAAAATATAGGAAATATATTAATAATAAAAAAAACTATTTGATTTAGATTTCATGTAATAATACAGTTTTAAATTTTAACACATAATTTTTTATGCTACATCTTATTTATTAAAATATAATTAATTATAATATTTTAAATCTAAATTATATTAAAATTAATGAAGACATACTATTATGTTTTCATGTCGTCATCACATTGCACTATCAAATTATTTTCCTCTAAATTGATATTTTTTAACATTTGACTTAATGGTAGTTTATTTTTATTTCTATCTATACCACCTCTTCCACGACCTTCATTTTGTATCCAAGAGTTTACTGTAGAAGTATCTTCCGGAATAGGTATTTGGGAAGTACCCAATGAAGGTAATTTGATATTTTTATTGGAAACAAGTTGGACTGATTTTATTTGTGCAGTTATGTTAAGTTCAGGCCAATTACGGGTTGATTGTACAGTTGATTTACCTTCTAGTGCTGGGAAATTATTGGCAGCTAAATCTTTTTTTTTTTCAAAATAACCAACATAATTTTTTGAAGTTTCAACTTTATCAACAGGATCAACTTCAACTGAAACTTCTGTTTTTGATAAATCAAAATCATAATGGCAACCAGCTACAAGTTTAATATTAAAATAATGACAGCAGTGAGTTGAAAAAATGTATATCCACTTACAGACATAGAAGTTACTACAAACATGAGAGCGCTCAAGTTTTTCATGAAAAGTACAACCAACTGTTTTAATAATGTTCAACAAATCTTTACTTAAATTTTCTGTAGCTATTGCAACAGAGGGTATTGCTTTTACATCACTGTCTGGATATGCAGAGCTATAAGATGCATTCTTTACTTCCATAAATAATTTATCTAAATGATAAACTCTAAGAATATTATTGAAATCATTTCTGCTTATAGAATCATTTGTAGCACTTTTGCATAGTTGAAACAGACTGGCAATAGTAATCATAAGTTCATTACCATTTGAATCATGTGCAGTATAAATTGGCGGCAAGTCTAAGGTAGAATCATATAACATATCTTCATTGACCTCTTTATTAATAATAAAACCTAATTGAATTTTACACACATTAAAATGATATTTAAAAAGTTTTACATAATTTATTTAGTAATTATACTTACCAATCAGTTTTAAAAAGGTTTCTTTATAATTATTGGGTAGTTTATAAAACGTAGTAATTTGATGATTATTTTTAGCATGGTTATTTACATCTGCCGTAGGAGCCGGTGGAGCAAATGTTCTGATTTTATCAAAACCGAGTAACTGATGAAAAATGCGTGTTAATCCTTTTTCTAATGAAAATTCAGCCATAGTCACTTCAGCGGGAAAGAAAAATCCTTCTCTTTCACTTGTATATGGATTTATATGAATCAAAATAAATTTTGTTTTGGGAATAAAATAACGAGGTGGATCCATACGAACTAGTTCTTCAATGTAATGATACATAGCATCAGACTGTAGTTTTCTAATAATTGATTGCTTTTTAACATCTTCTATATTTTCACCAATAGATGTATATTTTTTAATTTTAATTTCTTTTTTCATAGATTTACCTTTTGCTTTATATTCCTCTTTTATATGACTAGGCATTTTTTCCCAATCATCTTTACAATAATTGGCCATATTAGCCATACTCATTTTTATTCCTCTGTTTGCCAATGATTTTCGTGTTTCAAACATATAAACTGAAAACCCATTAAATGTTTTCTTTTTAGGTGCCATTTCTACTACTAATAATGAAAAAAAAAAAAAAAAAAAAAAGTATTAGGAAAAGCATACACTATCACTAAATAAATGAATTATGCATACAATAACTTATCTATTAAATATAAAATTACATTTACATATGCATTTATAAGTACACCAGTTTTAGGTTTATTCTGTTTTTATTAAAAAAAATTAAATAGTTTTACAAAGAATGCAAAAGAAATTCCACGGCACTCAAATATTATGATTTTTTTTTTTTTAGAAACTCAAGTTTAGAATTGAGAATGATAGTGAAATTAACACTTTTCATACAGACTTATTTCAAAATTCGTAATTTTGAGTTATTATGCATATATATGCAGATTACTCTTGTTTATCGTGCCTTTTGTAAATTTTTTTTTTAAAACTTATGTATTTTAACCTGATCAAAATAATGGTGCTATTCAAATGTATAGGTTGAATATATTTTCAAAGTTTAAGCTTGATAAATTATTACTGACAATTAAACACAAAACCAGGCCTTTAGTGACAACCATAAGTTTGCTAGTTTGTTTATAGTTGAATACATTTATTCTGATTTCATCATCATTCTTAATTTTTGATTGATGTACATAGGTTCCGAAAAAAAAAAATCCAAAATACATGCAAAGCGTGTTGTTAAACTAGAGTGTTTGAGTAAATATGGAAAATCACAAACTTTTAAGTCATATAAATCGTGTGAGTCATTAATAATATATAGGTGTTTTAGATTAGAAATCGAGTTATTATATATACAAATATACTAATTTTGTTATAATATTACAGTACCTACCTAATAAAACAATTTTCTAGTGGATCAGGCACGACCAATATTTCATCGTGATATAAACAATAACAATATCACAGTACAGATGAAAATAACAAAAATAGACACAATTATTTATCATACATCATTGGCGCAACCAAGGGGGGGGGGAGAAGGTGTTTTGGGTATCTGGACACCTCACTACATCTGTCTTTAAGTAATACAAATGTGTTAAAAGACAAATTTTTTTTTTAGTTGAATTTGTTACTTATTTGAACAAGTTGAAGATTTTAAATAATTGGAGATTAATATAAACCAAAGAAATAAAATTTATAATTAATGCTGACATTTTGTTTAACAAATATCATTCAATGGGAAGTAGGTATACTAACAGTAAGGTTAGTATCAAGAGAAACTAAAACAAAGCTTTAAAAAGCATACCAATATCAGATAGTTACTTATATATGAATATGAAACCTGGCCAACAATGAAAGGTAACATACCAAAAATCATAATATTTGAAAGAAAAATTCTAAGAGATATAAATTCAAACTAAAAATTAAGAATCCTAAATTTACAAGGAAAGTTAAGAAAGAAAAATGAAGAAATCGAAAAAAAAAAATTCAACAGACCAAACAAACAAAAATACCTGAAAGAAAAAGACTAGAGTGGACTGGTAGACCTAAGGACAAGTGACTACCAGTAGCCGATTTATGGGGGGTCTAACCCCCCACCACCCAACGCCAATATATAAACATATATAAATTTATTATAATTTATATAATGCATTATACATAGGATCTAACCCAGTACGTGTAACATATACAATAAATTTATACATTTCAAATATAAGTAGGTTGGTTGTTAAGAATCTACTGAAATAATAATAATAATATTTTACCATTATATTTTTATAGTTTTGATAAAATCGTCTGTTGTAATGTTAATTCCTTATATTCAGTTATATTGCGATAGTAAGTTTATCTGCATATTTTTCCTCTATAGGAGACACTATTACAACATTATTTTATACCTACTATTGAAATGTATATTGTATAGATTAGTTGACTATCGCGAATTGACACTAACACTGTAATACTACAATAGTCGATAGCATTTAAGACAAAACTCATAAACTCATAAATGAGTACAAATTTATTTTTCAATAAAATGTCATTAAAACAATCATCCATTCAAAATGTTTTTTTTTAAATCTACTCAAACTATAAATCTTAATCAAACTAATACCTTAATTTGCCCAATGATATTATTGATATTATTACAAAAAAAAATAAGTATGGTATAGCAACTTTATCTACATCCTTAATTCATAATAATTATGATATCAGTTTATTCTGCAACAAAATACTTTCACAAAATGAAATTTATAATATATTAAATAAAGTCTGGACACCGGAAATAAATTATAAATTATCCAATAACATCGATTACTTCCGGAAAAGACTAAAACGTAAAAAATCTTATATTCCAATATTCATGGTTAGTGTGATTTCCTTATTTGTAATATTTAGCAATACAGGATAGTGCATTATGCAAATTTTGTAAGTGATGTTGAAATTTATATTTAACGCTCATCTTTAGAGTATCACCAAAAATGTTTTGTTGATACTATTAATTTTTCAAAAGTTTTAAAAAATCCAACATGTCTATTGAACAAATAGATACTGGAAAGGTTACACAGAGAAATACATGGAATGAATAACTAAGCAAAGTCTACCGAAGAGTATTATTGTATATATTTATTCCGTACATGGATTCTTATATAATTAAACTTGAACAAAGGTGTGTCAACCATAAGATTAAGCTTAAAAATTTTCAGTTATTGTTTGATACAGAAGAAAATGAAGATAAATTTATTCAATTAGCCAATGAATACAAAGATGATCTGGAGTTCATAAATCATTCATTATTATCAACTGAATATAAATTATGGCAAAGAAGATTAAAAAACACGAGAAAAACCCAGAAAACGCACTTCAAGCAATGATAGTTTGTAATAAAAAAATGTACCTAAGTGTCTCCAAACTCCTTCAGATCGTTGCTACTATACCAGTTTCCACTGCATCAAATAAGTGCTCGTTTTCAAACTTAAAGCAAATCAAAACATATCTATAAAATTCTATAACCGAGATAAGAAAAAATAATTAAGCATGTCAAATTTTAAAAAAATTCTAGGCAAAATACATAAAAAAAAAATGTTTAAATTTCAGGGTTGACTAAACAGTTTGGCAATGATGTCGATTCATAGAGATGAACAATGATTAACAACTGACACAGTCTTGAAAGAACTTTGCAAAACAAAAAGAAGACATTTTATACAAATAAAAATAATACATATTATTTTTTTGGACCCCCTTCCAGGAAAATATTGAAAATCCGCCACTGGCTAATACAATAAGATATTAATCAATGAACTCAGCAGAAAGAGGTCAAGATGTCTTAGTGAGGCTCAGTCAGCAATGACTTAAATGTCTGAAAAAAATTAAGATATGATAAAACCTGGAAACAATGAAAATTGAAAATGTGGATTGTATGTTGGAGAGAAATAGTGGAAGGGGAAAATAGTATTTTGTATCAAAATATTGAAAAATGTTACGAGGTTTTCTATTTATTTATAAAACATAGTCCGTAATTTAGAAACTAAATTTTTTGTATACATGAAGTTTTATTCCCAGTCATGGAACAATTATTTTTAGGAATAACTATAGGAACAGTCTCAAGATTTTTGAGTATTACAAGTATTACAAGAGAATGGAAAATACGATCACTCATTTTCTGGCAAATATCAGAAAAATGGTATGTCAAAATATCGTCTAACACTTTGACACGGACTAGGGAGCCGCCATCTAGCCACCGAAAATTTCTTCTACGTAATATTTAACTTTAACTTCTTTCCAATACCAATAATCAAAAAAATAAAATTAAATCACGTTTGAATTGTCTGGGCGGATACTCAACATCAAATGTTATGGTTTTCGACATTTTGCCCGAATACCTAAAAGCTCGATTTCAAAAAAAATTTACTAACGCATAAAATTTGGATTTTAAAATATCGATTACTTATATTTATATATAATAAAATACAATGAAAATGTCCACTTCAATTTTTTCGCTAATACATTTCTTATAATAAACTATAACTGGACTAAATAGTTACGCGTTGACTTCATAAAGTGTCACGTGGTAAATTTTCTGTGATCCTACAAATATCAAAGTATGACATTCTTATTCAAATAAATTTGGGTAGTTCCATAGATTTTTTTGTCTGCATTTTTCATAAAATAGGTAGAAAAGAAAAATATCATATTTGTACTTACAACTTTTTTCTTGATGTTTTTTAAAATTGTAATTATTAATGATCAATTATATTATTGTTATTAAAGAAAAAACAATTAAGGTAAACTAACCATTAATATGAAAAAACTTTAAAAATTGAACAGATACAGTACCACTGTAACAGAAATAAATATAATTAATGTGCCTATTAATTTATTTTTACTTGATAGTTGACAGCAAATTAACGAATTAACAGAAATAGGTTAAAACCTCATGGGCGATGAGTCACGAGTTACGACTAATATCGAATCAAGAACATCGCGAACAAATAAAAAAATTAAACACAATAATAATATTATACATATTAACTATATTGCATAAATCAATTAATCCATAGAAATTAGAAAACGTTCTTTGGTTACATTGACAGTTAGTGACACTGTTTATGAAATCCCATCTATTCCTGTCCTTGGCTAAATATATTTCAGTGTTGTCAACTGTGAATGTGTAACTAACCCACAATTCATTTGGTGGGAATTTCAATTTTCTTGTACAATAACAATAATAGTAAATTATTATTTATTGTGATAGTATTACAGGATACGAATAGTATGATCATAAGCGTATATAAGGGGACCGGAGGAATTTAGCCCCACCAAAAATTTAAACAACCACCCACAATTTTTTGAAGAGAAACTAAATAAATATCTTATTGTCCTACAGAATATCTGAAAATTAAAATTTTAAAGTAAAATTGTTCAAATAATTAACAAAATTTAATTTTTTAATAACCTATATCTAATAATGTTGATTCCGTTTAATGTGGCAACCGGTTAATGTGGGCAGCCACCTAATATAGGCATAATGATCTGGTCTCGATTCTAATGTGTAATGATACTTATTTCAGTTAAAATGGGCAACCCCAAGTTGCCCCCCTTAAAGTTTTCCCCCCTAACTTCCTAACGAAGTTCGTCCAAATTTTTTTTACATTCTTAATGTACGCGCAAAAGACACATTAAAAAAAAAAAATCTCATGGGAGCTAAACTAGAATCGTTTTATAACTTTTTCCTCAATATATATTTTGTTTTCCAATAGATAAAACAACAAGGTATTATTTAATTAAAAACTAAGTACTTATTATAAACAAGTTTAACAAATTAAATAGGTACAAATCAATTAGTTTAATATATCGCATAAAATAACTATTATTAACTATTTAGTAACTTTTAAAAAAGATTTTTAGTATTTTACACTGTAATCTAGCATACAAATCGGACAAACATTAACGAACTTTCATAGTGGTTAACAACTTAAATTTTGGCATCAATACAAAAATACAAGCGAGATACGTAACGGCGTTCAAGTATACTATACTGACGACGTCTCTGCCTTATGGTTCAATCCTATGGCGCGAAGACTATTTGGCTATCACTTTATGGGTGAACTACAGACAATTATAATTAATTAATTTTAGTATCTAGCTATTTGTATTTATGAATTTCCAATTTCGTAATTCTAAAATTCTTACAAATTTCTTGATTTAAACTTACTTATACAATTACCTATGTAAAAAATGAAATATTTTGTTTTTTCTGTCTTTTTTTTTCATTTTTCCGTTGTTCTTTACCTAACCCCATAAGAATGTTTAATTTTAAATACATGTAGGTATATAATAATATATTATATTTATTTTTCGTTATCAATACATATTTGTATGTATAATTAATTAATAATGGCCTCTAAATATTCTTAGTACTGAATTTTCTTAATCCGCGCACGGCTATTGTCCAATAGTCTATAAGCGCGGACTAACATTAACATACATAATATGTTAATCCGTGGTTATAAGAAACTATTGAGTATAAGAAAAAAAAACACTCAAATAGAGATGGTTAAAAAGATTGGGCAACACTAAATTAAATCGATTAGATTCACGAATTAAGATATATCCTAATCCGTGATCAGATCAATAATTGATTGTTTGTTTTAGACGATTTGGCGCAATGAATACCGTTGTTTAGTGGTTAACCATAAATATTAAAGATATCTTTGTGGTTAACACAATAACATTACACCAGTACAATGAATAGTTGCACTCGGCCCATATCACAGAGTATTAATATGCTTAGATTGGTGTAAATGGTGCATATAATCGAAAACGCTAAATCACGTCAGTGATTATAATCAACGAGTAGATAACCGTGATTTTTGATAAACTATTCGTAATCGTAGTTATTACTTATTTCTCTGTTTATTATTTTAATATTGTTGTAATGATTGTAATTTACATCATTGGAGAAAATGTAGTTAAGTTGAATCTGTATTTTATATTGATCTGAGTTAAGCATATTTCATTGATAATTATTTAAATGTTCATATTTTTACATACTTATTTAAAAATTAGAACAGCTAAAATGTTTATTATACGTTTTATTTTGTTTATTAGTTTGTATATTATTAGACCTGGTAAGTATACTTAAACAAATAATTTTATTCCATACAATTATTAATAAAATGCATATTTTATTTTTAGGTTCATCGGATTTTGTTTCAGTCCAAGATCAAATGTATGCAAATATTAGAGCAGATAATCCATGTTTTCTTAGACTCAATGGTACTAATCAATTTGGATGTACTTGTAAGTTTTATTTGAATTTTTTTGGCATAAGTATTTAATTTAAATAAAAAATTATAATTTCTTGCAATTACAGCTTCAAGATTTGGAAATGTTGGCACTTTACATTTAGTTCTAAATTCAACTGATTTGAATTGGTTATTAAATGAAGGAAAGGCTGATCCTTATACTGTAGCATTAACACCAACAATGTTTAATAAGTAAAATATATTATTTATTTATATCATTTTAGTATTTTAGTTTATAAAAACATATTATTTCATCCCATTTTATACTTTGCTCATCGATCTTAAATTATAAATTCTATATTTTGGAATTTTTTAAATTAAATATTATTAAATTATTAATTTTACTATTACTGTAAATAATTAATATATAAATAAATAGTGTTTATTTTCAGAAAAGTTTTAGGAAGCATTGAATCGTCTAAAGTAGTAAATGGAGTATTATTGTTAATAAATATGACTAATCATGAAGTGATGAATGATTTACAAACCAATGGATTTAGTCCAGAAGATACATGTCCTAATCGTTATTCAGATACAAGTAGTTGTCCCAATGTACCATGGAACCCTAATGGTACTAATATTCTTTTAGAAAATTGGAGTTTTCCCATTTTTATTATTTCTGATCAAAATGCTATCAAAGAAATAACCGATGTAAGTAATAAGTTGTTTACCTGGTTTAATTTGTTATCAATGTTGAATTTAAATTTTATTTAGGAAATATTAACAATTTAATTCTCTGGAAGAAATACATTTTATAGATGATAAAACATTTAGTTAATGCACAGTTTTTTTTTATCTATTTTTATTTTTATATTATACATATCAACTTTATAGTAAAAAGAAAAATGGGAATGTACATTCTATACCATTCCAAAATAATATTTAGGATAGCATTTAAAATAATAAAACTAAAGTCATTATGGTATATACTATGGACCTGGTGAAAGATATAAATTATGTTAGTTGCAAGCACCAGTGGTTTTTTTTTTATTACTACCAAGTATTTTAATGTTATGTCTTCTTAACATAATTATAATTTAATGCAATAATGAATTATAATAAATAGCATATGGTAATTTTTTTCAGTGTTTTTATAAATATAATTTACCTTTAAATAATCAAAATGATCGTTCATTGTGTGCTCTTGAATTGAAGTCACATATGTATGCTGCAGTAGATTCAAAAACATGTATGAGACGAACACAAATGACGTATCAAAATATAAGACCAAGTAAATAATTATTTTATTAATAATGGTAGTGTATTTTTTATAGTACATTTTTTTTCTTTTTAAGTAAAATTTTGTGATCCATTGGGTGATAAAAATATATATTGGTCCCTGAAAGAGCTTAAACCTAAAATATCAAATAAGTCTGTTGCAATTGTTGCGGCTCGTTTGGATGCTACATCTATGTTTCAAGATTTATCACCTGGTGTACTATCAGCAGCAACATCTATTGTAACATTAATGGCTACTGCTAATTTGGTTTCTGAAATGATTAATTACAATGATACAAGAAATTATAGTAAGTTCTTAGATTTTGTTTATCTAATATTACCCAAGAGTAATAATTTTCTAAAAATTTGTTTACATTTGATTGACCAAATTAATGATTAGATTTATCCACTAATTTACTAACCTTTATCCATTTAAAAGGAATAGGTACAGCAGTATTGCAGACAAATATAACATTTTAGACTGAAAAGTCAGACAAAACTGTTGAGATGGCATTTGACGGATTTAAATTTTGAAAACGCTATACGATTCTTTAGGTTATTTACTAGAATACATTTTAATTATTTTACCTTTCTTTTTTATTAGTAAAATGTTAAATACATTTTGTGAATTTTTGAAAAATGTTCAAAAATATAAATTATTATTATATTTTATAATTTTTAGTAAAATAATTAAATTTATGTTGTAATATTGTAGTGAAAAATCTAAAAAAGCATTTTCTGTTTTCAAAACTGAAATATGTCAAATAGAATTCCTATAGTTTGATCTGACTATTAGATTTTAATTTACTGAAATATATACTGTCACTAATCTCTTTAAACAATTATATTTAATTAAAAATTGTTTACGATTGTATAGTTGTATATTTATATTTGTTTTTATGTTAAATTGTTCAGCAAACAACATAATGTTTATTTTATTTAACGGAGAAGCCTATGATTACATTGGATCAAGCAGAATAGTCTATGATATGTTACAAGGAGATTTCCCTAATAATATAATTAAATTCAATAAAGACCACGTTGGTTTATATGTAGAATTATCTCAAATACATTATGAAAAAGAAGTTATTTTTCATAATCCAACTTATGTATGTATATTATTGATACCTTTCATTTTCTCTTGTCATTATTAATTAAATTTTAGGCAAGTGGTAATATCATCAGTTTCATGGACGAGTTTAAAGCTAGACTTATTGAAGATGGTTTTAAAATGAATTCATCAAATGTCAAATCTATACCGCCTGCATCAATTCATTCTTTTTTAAAACATGATCCCCATTTTCCTGGTGTTGTTTTGACAGGATTTAATGAACAATTTAAAAATAAGTATGTTTATTATTTTGAAATTACTTACTGTATATTTTTAATGCTATGAAGAAATTAATAGTTTATCATTTTAAAATTTGCTCATATTCTTTAAACATTTTCCATTCAGAAAATATAGTTGAATTATATTATTTATACTTTAAATTAAAACTATTTTAGTCTAATGATATAAATTAATCAAGAATGTCTATAACTACTTATGGTTTTTTTTTTTTACCTGAAAAGAATATTTTTTAAAATTTGTATGAACATTTTTTATTGAGTTTAAATATGTATTAGAACAGATGTATGTATCTTACAGATATACAAATTTTGTAGGGACCAATTTATGAGTCAACTATGGTGGATGAGACATGTTAAACCGGGTTTTTTTAACAATAATGGGCACACTATTCTCTTAACGTGAGCTATGATTAATTAAAGGCCACTTTATCTTCATAACCGTCTCTGGCAATATAACAAAATTGGATTATTTAGAAAGTTATTGAAGCATTTAAATTGAAATTAGAATTTAAAAACTGAGTTTTTTTGTATATTCATATTGTAATATTATAACTACTATAAAATATAAATAGATATTTAAATTCTGGAGAAAAGTAAAAATTTCCCTGATATTAAAATACATATATATGTTGATATTTTTTTAAAAAAAAAAAAACACTGCAAAATTATTATTTATTTTATGTTTTTAAAGGTTTTATCATAGTATTTTGGATAACATTGACAATATACAATATAGTAAAATGTCACAAACTATAGCCAATATATCAACATCTCTTAGTTACTCACTTTATACATTCCTAACTAATTCAAGTTACAATGGTTTAAAACAAGCAAATGCTACTTATGTAAGTAATAAATATGATGTGTATTTTAATTTTTAATATAATGAAATTATATATCAAAATTATTTTCGTTCCAGGTCACTAAATTATTAGATTGTTATGTTAAATCTATTAATTGTGAACTTTTTCAATCATTAACTTCACCATTACAACTACCTGATAGTCGTCCTAATTATTATATTAGTATAGATTCAATAACAAATCCACTCACTAGTCTTTCACGGCTGTTATTTGCTTCTTTTGGGAGTCAAAAAATTAATTCAATTCTAAATGAAGAAGATTGTATCAACTACCAAACACAACAGGTTTATAATTACTATAACAACAAATAAAAACATACAGGAAAGTGGATTACCAATGTGTAATTGGTGCTCCATTTTTTAATTTCATACTTTTATCTAGATTCTAGAAGGTTGTTCAAAATTATTTTAATTGATATAATTCTAATCAAAGTGTTAAAGCATTTATCATATGTAATTTTATAGTTGACTTTTTGTTAAGATATCTTATTTCAGATAATAGACATATATATATATATATATATATATATATATGTGTGTGTGTGTGTGTAATATAGTATATTTATATATTATTATTTTGAAAAATTTAATAATTATTTGTATTTTATAGGGTTTTATACCTATATGGTTAAGAGGAAAATATAATGCTTGCTATTTAACCACATCTAATTTTACTGATGCGGTTAGCCCAGCGTTTGTTATTCCTGGTATGTATGAAATTGATGTTAATTAGGTATAAATATATTAAATGTTTGAAATGTACAATAATGTAAAATCATATTTAGGTACAAAATAACCAAAAATCCAAAAATTGATTTTATTTTATTTTGATTATATCATATCAAAATTTGAGCTATACTAAAACATACAAATTGGTTCAAATTTTAATACTCTTCCTAAAATTAATTTAAAATTAATATTTTTATGTATTATAAATATATTTCTGATTTTTAGATTATGATTTTTCTACACCCGAATATTCAACATGGACTGAATCAGTTTGGCATGAAACACAGATCCGCATGTTCCTCAGACAATCACATAGACTTCAAATTATTATATTTATTTTTGGAATTTTAATATTTTTAATTTCTTTTATTGTGATTCATAAAGTTTATGCTCAAGCTGGGATTTATCTTGTTAACCAAGAGTAAGTTATAAAAAACATTTATATAGCTTATAAGCGTCACAACTAGTAATGTTACAATTGAACACAAATAATAATCCATAATAATATTATTTGTTATTTTACTTTAATGATCATTAGTAATTATATATTTTTTTTTAGTTTGTTATTATAAATAACTGATGAGTTAAATTTAAATTTTAGGGCAAATTCAGTTACAAGTTGTTGAAAAAGCTACAAGTAATATTTTTATTACAGTTGTCTGTGATTTATTTTCTACATTTTAATTTTTTTTGAAGTAATAATATGTACTACTACTCTTTTTATATTTAATATTTAATCATAATTATAATAACAATATTAATTCATGTAAATCATTTTTAAAATATGGTAACTTAAATATTGTATTTATTCTATATTTCATATTTCTATGAAATATTATTCATGTTAATATTATTATTAACTTTTGATTATAAAAAAAAAATTATTAATCAATCATAAAAAATTGTTAACTTTATATAATTATTTGAATGTTAAGGTTACTATTTTATTTATTAAAAAATAAAACAAATGAATAATGATTTTTTTAGGTTTTGACTATTTTTTAATTAGTTAATTTTATATAAACCTAAGATATTTTATTAAGTACATTTTGATTTAAAAAAAGTCTACATTTATTTTAGCTGTAATTTCTACTTTAGATTAAATAAATAAATTGTAATGCTTCTGTCCTATATTCTACGAACAATACCAAAAAGAATATATTTAAAAGTTTATGTTATTTACTTAATATTAGCATTACTTTTACTCCAATTTTGAATACTTATATATTAGTTATTTTTTAATTAAAAAATGTTTTAAATCTATACTATTTAATGTATTTATGTGGTTAGTCTGAAATAATTTTTATATAAGTTGTACAAATATTTAATATTAACTATCAATAATGAACTCACTCAAGTATTCTCATTTGTTAATTGTATTCCCTCACACTACTCTTTTTTAACTTTATATTTATAAATGATTCTTGATCCAATGCAATAAGACTTTCAGTCATTTGCAACCATATATGTAATCTAAAAAAGCAAGATGTTTAGAAGTATTGACCATACATATTTAACTACTAATACATGGTTGCCATGAAATTTCATTTTGAATTTTCCGCAGTAGGTAAACAATGTATGTATTAAAAATATGTTTGTTTCTTTTATTTTAGATTCAGAGCATAGTGATTTATTAGTTCTATTGGTTTTACTACCTATGATGTGTGTCATTGTATATTTTGTGTTTATGAATAACTGTTCTATCAGAAAACTTGTTCTGAAGTTTTGACTATACTACCTTGTCTGAAAGGTAATTTTCTCTCGGTGCATTGGGAAGGTTATTTTTTGATTTTTCAAAGGTTTTCGAAATAATTGGAAAAAATATAAAATTTTTTCATTTTCATTGTTTTTATTATGTTGACACAATGTCTTCCATCAGAAATATTGCTCTAATACAAAAGTAACAAAATATTGATTATGTTCCATATATTTCACCACTGACACAGTAAGTCATTTTTTTATATCCAAAAAAGGTTTTGTAAAAATTGGGAAAAACCGAAAAATTAAAACTAATTAATATTTAAGGTAACATAGTATCCCGGTTTAATTATTTTAACATTTTTAACTCATTTTTTCTACCAGATATGTTACTCCAATCGAAAAATTACAAGAGAACGATTTTGTACCTTTTAACACATACCCACTGACAGAGAAAGTAGTTTTTAAATGTATAAAATATTAATAATTAGGAAAAACCAAAAAGGACAAATATAATTTTTTACAAAATATGATAAAAATGTCATTATTTTAAATTTTTACGATTTCCATTTTCAGTCATTTTCTCCAATAGATAAATGACAAGAGAACTTTTTTTGTTGAATTCTTATCTAGTTGGTGACTGAGAGTAAATTTTTGTTTTTCTTCACAGGCTTTTTAGTAATTGAATAAACCGAAAAGAACTTAAAGAACGAGAAAATTTATAGAAATAATTCTGTTTTAATTTTTAATGTTTTATAGTTTAATTTATTCATAGACTTGAATCTTTGATAAAATCGTATATTTACTTTTTCTTGACATGATAAGACTCGGAATATTTACATTTTTTTTTAGCTATTTATAAACATTTAAATTTTACTAGTTTATTGTGCAATTTTTATTTGGTAGGTATTCTGTAAATAAATAAATTGTTAAACTTAACAGAAATGCTTGAAAATTTGATAGATTGATTATAAGTCATATTAAGTGGTAAAAAAAATAACTAGTTTAATGTATTTTTTTTATTTTGTATAAGTTTTAAAATCAACTTTTGATGATAATCATTTTCAAACACATGTATAACTGATTTTCGCTCTGAATCATTTTTTGTTATCTATTGTTTCACATTGATTATAGGTATAAATTAAATTACCTCATACCACTCGTACCCAGTATCAGGTTTTTTTAAAAATATATATAGTTTTTAATAACAAAACAATGAATAAATATGCTTCAAAAAGTTATAAGGATTTATAGTATTAAATACATATCAAACTAATATAATATATTTTTCAAGTTTTGAATAATTGATATTTACAAAACTAGAGATTGAAGTTTGAAATAAAACTTCCAGAATTTAATACAATTTCCCTGACTATTATAGGGTTTTATGGATTGCATTATCACTTAATTATCCGGTACCTAATTTTTAACTTCATTTCTGCTTGACTTATACAGTCTAATACGATAGGTTTCATGATAAATGGAGTGGCTGTGTACAGTTAAGAGGGTAATAGTGAGCTAGGGAGGAGAGGGCTATCAAAATGACAATTATACTAGGTTTTAGATATATAATTAAAAATAATTTTATGATAATATACTTTATTTATTTAAATTATAAACAATAATTATTTTTTTCATTTTAAATTAAGTAAAATCACTTAACTTTTAAATATATATTAAAAAAAAAATCAGACGATAATATTATATAAATAAAAATGTGTATAAAAAAAATGTATATTAAAATTATTTGAACTTAGTTCCACTAGTCAAGTTTTTGTTTAAATAACTCAACTATACACAAAAAAAAATAAAAAATAAAACGTTATTTGTGTTAAACATAAATGGACAATACAGTACAAAAAATAAATTGAATATAGAAATAAAATTGACGGATATAATCTAATTATTAACAAATCAATATGTATATGAACCATGTAAAACATATATTTATATATATATATATAATAATAAATTATTTAACATATATAACTATTGACTGTCGTGTGATTAAATTTTTTAAAGATGAATAAAATAAAATGATTTGGATACAAAACATACAATTATACTCTGTAATACAAGAGTAAAGGCTGCACACTAACCAAAACGGCCGCTACAGCGCCAATACTATTGTATTGTTTCGTCTTGTGGAGAAACAAATGAAAGTTTGCTTCACCACTGGAGCCCAGTATACATATGCAAATATAGCCTGTTCACTTGTGAAACAGATTATTAAAAATAGAGTATAGAATTAAAATTATCCTTAAGGATTTGTCAAGAAACAAATAATTATTTAAATTGTTATATATCAATCATATTACTCATTAATATGTAAAGGTATTACTGATTTAGAACCAAATGGTGATTTATATTGGATTCCAGTTAAATGAAATACTTGGGTAGGAATACCCATATTACAAAGATATATTTTACCATTTGATTCACTGTAAGCTAAGGGTAAAGCAGGTACTAATGAATATTTTACTACTACGGACGGTGTTCCTTGTGAAGGAGGATCAATGGCCATTAATGGTGATCTTACTGATTTAGCCCAATTGCTAATATTTCGAGATACAGTATCAGTTTGTTCGTCAGCCAAAGATACTACTACAAAATCAGGATCTAACAAACCATGTAGCTCTAAAAATATTATTCAAATACACAAAATTACATTTTTTTAAAATTAATTTAATAATTAATAAGATATTATAGGTTATAGAACCATTCTGAAATGTTATAAGTATTAAATGGTTCTAAAGTGATATTAATGGATAAATTATTAAAATTATTTTTAAACAAAATTTAATTTGATTAAGTCTGTAAAAGTATGTACTATAATTTAAATACCATTTATAACATTACACAATTCTTTATGCAATGTATTTCAATTGAAAAATTGAAGTATTTTTTATTATAACTAGGGCTCGGAAATTACAGGAGATAATTTGCAAAATATACAATTAAATCTACAAACTTCTTAAAAATTTTAATTTTTCTTCCCTTAAAATGTGTAATACATATATATATATAGAAAAAAAAAAAAAAATCAAATATGCAATTTTAATGAAAAAAGTTAAAATATGAATATCAAAATAACCCTATAAGGTTTTTTGACCAGCATTAACTAACTGGCTCCAAAAAAAGTCCTATAACTTAAGAGCCCTATTTATAACTATATATGTCATAGCCACTTTGTGAAAATTTAATTTCATGAAAAGGAAACAGCATTTTTACACTTGGTGCAATAAAAAATGTTCCATAAAATGGTCACACATATTCAACATAATGTAATTTTCACTGCTTTTTGGTTATTCACTATCATAATACATTTACCTAACAAAATTATTATGATGCTATTATTATCATAGTAACATTTAATGAATATTATATTTATAAAAAAAACCTGCAGTAATGAATAATTCACTTTATAAATATAAAAATTTTTTTATGAACCATGTATACTGTAAAAGGTGAAGTGAATGTTAAATACCATACCTTCTTGCATGCTATCACGTGTATTCTGCAATCCATACAGTCATTATTTAATACCAAGGTATAATCAAAATGCTATGATAAAATAGTATGTTACAATAAAATGTATATATTTCAAATAGCAAGTATAGATTTGATTTAATATATAATTTAACAATTTTCAGAACACCCATAATTTTATCAATTATTAAATAAAGACTTTCTTTAAACATCACTTTTATAAAGTAGCTATGACATACACGAAGTTATAAACCAAAAATATTTAATTATTTGAACTTCAAAGTTAAGTTTAAGTACCTGAGGTACTGACTGCAAACACTATTAAATTAAACAAATTAACACTAATAAATAGTGTAGTAAATTATAATTACCTGCTGCACTAGTTATAAGTGTACCAGTCGTAAACTGATATAAAGCCATTTCATTAGCCAGTTGTGGAGTATATAACCCTGGTTCAGAAAGAACCACTACAGTATGTACACCATAACTGCTTAATTGTCTAGCACAATTCACACCCATTGCACCTGATCGGTTAGGTCCACACAAAACAACTACCCGAGGCCATTGATGTTCATTTCTAGGGTTAAATCTATATGAATAATAATAATAATAATAAATAATGTTAGTATAAAGTAAAATGCATTCAAGAATAGTGTAGTAAAATGAGTAAAATACAGTGTGTCCCATCAAACATTGATTTTGAAAAAAATTAAATTTTTATTTTCATTCCTTAAACACAAAAGAAAACTTTATTTATTCACTTGAGAAAATTTTCAAAATAGCTATTTTATAAATATATCATTCTTAAAATTTTAATGTAACATACATTCATATTCAATTAATTTTTTCTTAATTATAGCTGTTTTAATTTCTAGAAAATAAGTGTGAAAACAACTGATATTCAATAAAAGGTAATGAATTACTGTGCTGATTATAATTTCTTATCGCATAATGTGTTATTTTATTGAATATTAATTGATTTCAATTAAAATGGCTATAACTAAGAAATTATTCATCGGATATAAATGTGTTATAAACATTAAAATTATTTAAATAATATTTTCTACAAAATGGCCATTTTGACAATTTTCTAAAGTGAAAAAATAAAGTTATTTATTTGTCTTTAGGGGATGAAAATAAAAATTTATTTTTCTCCAAATCTATGTCCCCCTCAAAGACAAACTGATTGAAAAAAAATCTAATATTAACAATGCTAGAAAAATCCACCATGTTTGACACACATGGGGGAACACACTGTATACTGTAAAAAAAAGCAAAACATATGGTTAAGTAAAGCATAATTCAATAGACATGATGAATTTTACTGTAGGTTAGGAACAAAGATAATGATATTAGAGGTAGAATGATTAAAATAATTGAGTTCCCCTTTACAAAAATATGCCAAAATTTAAGAATATGGACAAAGACATCAGAGGTACTGTGTAATAATTTAGAGGTAATTCCAAACAGTTGAAAAAAACAATTATTTCAATACTGATAAATCATTGCAAACAAAAAGCAACTATAAATGGAACTAAATGGAATCAAAAATTAAGTACTAGTTTGCAAATTTTCTTGTTTTTAAAAATTTGAAAATCGCTTTATACAAAATATTAAAACTGGGCATAACTGTTGAAAATTTTTAATTAATCATAGACAAGCAATTAATATGGTATAGTAATTTACCTATAACCTCCACCTAAAAGTTGTAAAACCATTTCAGTAGCTGCACGCCCAATTATTTCATTTTGCCGACCTGACGTTAGACCATTTTCTTCAACTAGATTAAATAGTTTCCATCGCAACTCTGATGTTATGCTTGGAACAACTAGACCATCATCTAGAAGATATTTAAATAGAAAATTTAAGTAATAATAATATGTAATACATAAAACTAACATTTTTAAAGTATTTTAAAATAATATAAATAGTTAAAATGTAAATCAATATACCAATCTATTTACCCGTTATATATTCATTAATAGCAGGCGAAGGAACTGTAACTTGTCTAAACTTGACTGGAGTTGAATGTAATACATTTTCATTATGTTTATATTTATTTGAAACTCTTTCATTTGGAACAAGATCAGGCTTCTTATGAATTTTATTATAAAATGCTTTTTTGTTAAACAATGCTAGATTTTTTTCAAAATCAAAATCTTCCTTCACTATTGTGTCTAGTGATACACCAAAACAAGCATCATTGCGTTCTTTATGATTATTAAAATTTTGTGTTGGTTGTTCTAAAAAATATTTGTTAATTTATTATTATTTTTATTTTAATATTTAAAAAAAATTTAAATTATGACTCATTCTACAATGTTTAATCAGTAACTTGATAATAGTGAAAAGCCGCAAATGAGAAATTACAAAATACATTTTAGATTCTGAGCAGAGCGAGCAATATATTGGTTTTACTATGATGTATATTTTTTAATTTTTCTGTGAACAACTTTTTTTTCAGAAATTTTGCTCAGATTTTCAAGTGTAGCATGTTTTCTGAAAGGGAATGTTGACTAGTTGATACAAATTTAATGTCATTTTATGATTTTCTCAGGAGTTTTCATAATAATTGGGAATAAACTTAAGAAAAGGGGGGCAAATTTACAAAATGCATTATTTTCAAATTTTTTTGTTGTAATTCAATTAAAAATATTACTAGAAACTTGAAATTTTAACAGAAAACTTATATTTTCCTTTTCTAAATCTGGTAAAATTTTAGCCATTTTGAGCTATTTATAGATAAACATTTTATTTTTATTTATACGTTTTTTATGAAGGGACTATTTATTTGGTAGGTACTATGTGGATAAATTTTTTAGACAAAACTGAAATGATTGAAAATATAACGGGAGGATCATTATAAGTTATTTTAATTTCAAATTTTAAACATTATGGCCCTTCAAAACATGTATAACAGAACTCCACTCAGAATAGTTTTTTGTTCACAAAAGTTAATTGTTGTGTATAGATATACATTCAATTTCCTCTATATCCTACCTTCTCAACTTATCCCCTACAACAATGGCCCACCTAACGTGCAAAGTATGTTAGTTTTTTTTTTTATACTTCTGCCATAGTTTAAATTTTTCAAACAATTTATTTTCATATTATATGCAAGAGTGATATATAATCTAAAATGTATAATAGATGATTTTACTTAAATAACGAACACATATTATAAGTTAACAGGAAGAATGGTTAAGGTAATTTTTTTGGGGGAATTGTCTAACATGATTTTTCAGTCCAATTGATATAAGTATATGAGTATTTTAACACAAATTACACTGAAAATTAAAACGTCTCAAGTCACAATGATGCACTTTTTGTTAGGTATAAAGGTATAAAATGTAAACCATTTAAAAAGCTTGCATTACGGTTGGCTATTAGGTAATTGAGCAATTATGCCATTTGGTAATTTTAAACATTAACTTTGCTAGTATTGAAAACTATAAAGAATTAATTTAAGCCATTTTTCCCTAAAACCAAATATATATATATTATACTATTTTTATTGATAATACTCTACTGTTCAAAAATACATAAAATATACTAACCTGGTTCTGAAATTGAATTATTTTTTGATTTATTTTTTTGTTTAACATTATTTTGTTTTGATATAGACACATTCTTTTTATTTGCTTTAGCTACTTGATTATCAACAACTTGTTCATTTTCTAATTGTGATTTTATTATTTTAAGATTTTCTATCATCGATGCTCTAGTTAAAAAATAAAATAATTATCTTTAATCTAATAAGTAAAGACTTATTTTATATTGTAGGCTTACTTTATACGGATTTCTTTTTCTGTGTGAGGTATACCATTTTTAAATGGTCGTGTTAAGATTAAAGTTTCATTCTCATCTGACATACCACTCACTTCACCTTGAACAACAGAACCATCTACACAATTTATAGATACACAACAACCTTTATATTGATTGGCCATTATAAATAAACGACAAAGAAGATTTATTTTATTAATTCAAAAACGAAAAATAGTTAACTTGTATTAAAAAAGTTCAACATCATGCAACAAATTATCGGCTGACGGTGACCAGTACTAATCCATAGGTGTTTGTTTGTTTCAAGAATTGGAGGTACCATAATATTTTCTTTTATTCTTTAGGCCAAATGTTTGTTGACATTTTTGAGCGTATCACAAGCATTATCCACAGTGCAGCCACAAATATAGATAATAAATAACACCTTTCTGGGAAATTTGTTGTTTGTATTGTATAATACCTGATTTTTAATATAGATTTTGGCACGAATTCAAATCTGAAATCAGTTTGTCTTTATTATGTCATGTTTTTTTTAAAAATTTAAACATACATATGAGGACAGAATATTTACATTAGAACAACATAAGTTATTATATTATATTTTGTGTTTATAAGTATTCAAAAATATAATGAATTTATAAAATCTCGAATACCTTTAGAATTATAATATGTAGTGTAATATTATCAAATTATATATTACGAAACCATCCTTTTCGTCGCGATCTTTTCGCTGACACACCGTTTCGCCAATGGATCAATAATATTTCCACCGATGATCTTATTTGTCGCCAACCTTTTCGCCGCCAGACTTTTCACCGACGGACTTATTTTCTTAAAAAAAATAACATATTTTTAAAAAAAAGAGATGATGCAGCCACCGTTGTAGGTGTGAAGTTGGGATTTTGGGAAGATATGACATATAAAGTTATTTAATTTAAATTTGTACGCAAAGACAAACTATTGCTAACGAAAAACTATTCGGAATAAAATTCGGTTAAGTATATTTTGAAATGCCTTCATTTGATATTAAAACGCTTATAAAAAAAAAAGTAATACATAACACACAAATTATTTATGTTTTACCATCAATGAAAACTTATAATAAGTTAAAACACGATATAAGCTAACTCATATTCGTGTTCAATTTTCACATATTTTAGATTGTTCAAAAAATTATATTCACATAAAAACGACAAATAATACGAAGAAAGCCGAGGAATACGATTTTTCTAATAGGTGCTATTTTATCTTTAAACAGTTATAAATAAAACACTAATACATTAAAACTTAAATTTAGTTAGAATAAAATATCTGTATAACACATGTAATATACCCAACATTTTATTAGTATTAATTTAAATGTTTTAATGTATGGCAGCTAAATCCAATAAAAGATTTAAAAATTATTCAAATTAATTTTGTTTTATATACGGAGAACATGTTATAATAAAACAACCATATGAGCACCCCATATTGTTTGGCGTTCCTGTATTGAAGATCTACGAAATTGGAAACAAGGTAAAAATTTGGGTTCATTGAGTGAAGAACAAGATGAGTGTTTTCACCAAGATATCAAATGGATGGAAAAACGATATCAAGGTCAATGGGATGTAAGTATGATGGCCGATTGGCTGGTGTTTAAAACATGAAACTGAAAAAAACTTACTCAAATAAGTTATTATTTCTTTATATACTTTTAGTTTAATTAAGCTTAAAAAATATTTTTAAATAAGTTCGTACGATGATAATATTTTACAATTAATGTAAATTTAACTAGGGCAATTAAAAATATTTCAATTATAATAATAACGTAAATTGTTTTAATGTTAATATTCTCCTCATATGTATATCTAAATTCTAAAAAAACATGAATTGATAGAAACAAACTGATTTCAGATTTGAACTCAACGTGCCAAAATATTTAAAAACTAGGTATCATTATGTAAACAAGAAAAAAAAATATTTCGCAGAACAGTGTATTGAATAAGCTATGAACAATTTTTCTAAAAAGAGAGTTTTACCCAAGAAGCAGATTTTCACTGCATTATGGTTTCATAAATTATCAAAGTGTTATGTCATCTAATATTATATTAATTGTGTCAATTAATACTTAATGCAAAATATTAAAAAATAGTGACTTGCTCACTATTTATGAGTACTTATTAGGTACATACTAAAAAAAAAAAGCTGTTCTAGGATAATGGAGGCAGGTGCAGCTAATGTTGTAGGGGGAAGTTGAGATGTTAGGATATAGACGAAAATTGAATGCATATTTATAAGCAATGATTAACCGTTGCTAACAAAACAACTATTCTGAGCAGTGTTCGGTTGATAGTGTTGCTTTGTCTACAATATATTATGGTAAAATAATTACATATGCATTAAACATTTTCTTTAATATTTGTTTAATATAATACCTATTTTCCCGTTCTCCGTTCCCGTTTTTTCATTTATTGGCAACACTCCGGGGAAAATCAAAAAATGATCTCCCTAAAGTACCACCTCAGTCAGATTATTTATTAAATAAAACGCAATCGTAAATCGGATCAAAGTTGTTGGTAAAAAAATTGTCCACAGAAAAAAAACATCATTGTAAAACCAATACATTCCTCGATCCACAAGAATCTAAAATTTAAATAACGCTCCTAATTGTCCTGCAAGAAGACATGCAATTGTTTATACATGCTGATTCCTATTCTATATATTCCTAGCTGTATTACGTGCGCCTTCACCCGTGAGCTGTTTATATGTCTGTAATTAATGTGCACCTATATTGTACACCATAGGTACATTTGACCTTCCCAGGAAAATCCCATTAGATCCATTTTCTTGGCACCTCCACAAATGAATTTTGAAACGAAATCAAGAACCATTTTTTGTGCTGATCTGTGACGTTATTCCCGACATTTATGCTTTTAAACTTTCCGAGATACGGCTGGTTTTCTTAGGGAGTGCTGAGAAAATAGTTTCACTTCTTTCCGACGTGTACAATAGCTATCGTAAGTCCGGATTTTTTACGTATAATTTACTATGTTTGGTTGTAAGCCCATATTAGTGCTATCTATGCATATTTTTATTAAAACATGATTTACTATTATAGTTGAAAATGTTGAAAATATGTGATAATTAGGTATTTTTTAAAAATAAAATATGAACAAATTTGTTTCTATTATTTAAAATCATTTATGTTAATGCATTCACATTGGAAAATAATTTGAGAACTTTATTTTGATGAGCTTTACTAACTATTGTTTAATATAAACTATTAATTGTAATATATAAATAAATTATATAATACTGTAAATTGGATTTTTTTTATGTCAATAGCACTGACTATCCAAACTGACCAAATTATTTATTTACTTTTTCTACCATGAATTCATATTCAAATAATATAAAACAACAGTATATTATAATATAATATAGTGTTTAGTAATTTATAAAGTATTTCAGATTATGCAATTATTTTTAATTACAAAACATCTTCAGTGATATTATTATAAATGAAAAATCAATTAACATTATTAGCCATATTACCAGTCTTATAGATTAATTAAAAATATGAAATAGGATAGTAAAATATTTTTACTACTTACACAAAATAATATGTGTTTACTGTGTAAATGTACAGATATATAAAATGAGGCATATGATAGATTATAGTGATTATGATTATTAAAATAATATTGAAACTAGAATTTTCAATAAGTCCTTTTCTGACAATCGAAAAGTGATCTAAGAATAATTGTTTATTGGGCCTTATAAATACAAATACAAACAACACCAATAATTATCATACATGCATTAACTAAATTATTACAAATTTGTTCATATTAATTTAAAAAAGTAATCTAGAAGATAGTATTTATTCACGATTATTTGATCTGCTTTTGAAGAAACATTAGGGTTAATATTTTTAACAGCTCTGTAGAAGTTATATTAATGGAAATAACCCAATTCATAACATTTCTGTGCTAATTTAAGTAAAAAATAAATCAAAATTAGCAGACGGAATTAATGAATTTTGTAATAAAAGTTTATTGTTTACACTATGGATATTTTGATACTAGATGTAGAGAAATAATGGAATTGCATTTTCCTACATCCTTTTTATTAAGAAATTAACTCAAATTATAAATAAATAAAATTATTTCCTAATGTGAGTATATTAACATGAATGATTAATCAATTGTCAATTGATCATTAATTAATAGAAACAAATTTGTTTTATTTAAAAAAAAAATACCTGATTATAGCATATTCCCAACATTTTCAACTATTTAAAACAGCACATTATCTTTTAACAAAAATATTCATAGATAACACTAATGCGCTTACAATCAAACATAATTTATGCGCAAAAAAACGAGGACTCACGATACCTAGTTATTGTACATATAGGAAAGAAGTGTAACTATTTTTCTGCCACCTCCTATGAAAAATCGGCCGTGTTTCGGAGTTTAAAAGAACAAATATCGGAAATAGAGGCACAAATCATCACAAAAAAGGCCCTAGATTTCGATTCAAAATTCATTGGTGGGAGTACCAGCGAAATGGACCTTATCCTGTTTTGGTTCAATAAATCATCAACCTTTAACCTCCTCACAGTCGGGAAGCATTTTGATATTCATTAACCATTTCTCTCTCCTATTCAATTGGAATATTTTTCAACTGTTCTTAGGAGTTCCATTTTATGCCTAAAATCACACCTTTCCAAATATCACTGTAATATTTTTGTTGAAAATTGTTTAATCTAATTAATAATAATAATACTATCATAAGCAAAAAGTTACTAAAGAACGTTTGAGAAAAACAGGATTTTATATTTTGCATTTTCTAAACTTCATACCACAATATCCTTAATCATGCTTCTTACATTATACTTATCTAAGGATAATACCCATGGATTTTTATTTTTCACATTTAATTTTATCTGATACATATAATGGATTATAATTAAATACGATTGAATAAATTCTAAAGGACTAATTTTACTTCTTAAATTAAAAATATATTTGTAATTTATATTATTACTATTTTATTTTGATGATTGGTTACAAATATGAGGTCTGTTCAAAAAGTTCCAGGCCTGTTTGAATTATTATACACCAACAGGGTGTCCATGATGAGTAATTATATTGATGCCATAGGCTCCTCATGAGCACATGTGTTTTTTTCACATTATATGTCTATGGTTTTTGTAGATAGTCTATCTAGTATAATCTTTTTTTGTTTTGATGTCATTAATGTTATTGTAAAATATTTTTTTTCCGTATTGGTCAATTTTGTAATAATTTCAAAAGAGCTTTTTTGAGGGGGGAAGATTTTTTCTTACATTTTGTTTGGTAGAGGAATGCAATGTTTCACAAGACTTTTGCCAACAAATTATAATTGAAAACAGCAGATGTGCAAGGTAAAAGTTTTTCTCTAGAATGTGGAGAAAGGTCCAAATTCAGGTTTATCAGGATCATTTTCTTATGGTAAATGACAATAAAAACCTTTTAAAAAATTATCATAATAGTAATTATTAACTGTATTGTTATGTTTATCATCAAAATAGAAGAAAAATTGTCTTCAAAAAAAAAGCTCTTCTTTTGGAATTATTCCAAAATCGCCAAATGTGAAAAAAATATATTAAGAAAACTTCGGTCACATCAAAACAAAGGAAGTTACAGAGAATCAACAAATGCAGTATTCCAAGAAAGTCACAGAACACAGTTATATCAAATTTGTGTTTCTTAATGTATAAAAAAAATGTAAAATACTATTTTATATGCATTTACTTCAAAATTAACAGATTTTCATACTAACTTTTATCTCCGAAAATGATTTTTCAGACAAGTCTGGAGCTATTAGAAGTGAGCAACTTCACAACAGACTTTTTTTTATAAAATTTACTAAAAATTTTTAAAATAATGTATGTCTTTAATAAATCTACTAATAAAATTTTTATATTAATTTGACTCGATTATAAGATTTCCTGGAACTGTATGTTTATCAATTGCTTGCAACAAACATGAGATTATTAACCATAAGTTACTATGTGTAAAAAAAAAAAAATTAGAAATTCTTAATTTCTTATTACATGCTGATATTCTTAATTTGAAAAATAAGTAAATCATAAAATAATAAATTAGGTTATCAGGCAATAATTCAACAAATAAAAATATTTTTGTATATTCAGGTATACATTATACAGGTACAAATACAGCAGTTGATTTTAATTCAGAATCCATATTTTTTGCTTCAACATTTAATGATTGATCTCTGTAATTTTTTAAAAAAAAAAACAGTACAAATGAAATTCATATTATTTTTTTATCATTAGAATACTTACACACAAGCAGTTAATGTGAACATTATTTCACCTTTTATTTTCAGATTTAATTGTGCCTAAATAAAAACATTATAAATTTAAAAAAAAAAATTTAATTTTGTTCATATAAACTTACCTCAGCCTTACTAATTTTGTCATTTCCTAATGTAGCTACTAATATGACATTATCTTCATTTGTATTAGTCTTTATGGTTTTTATACTGGGTAATATTTCATTTTGATCAAAATGTATTATTTCACCACAACACTACAAAAATAATGAATTGAATGTTTAAAATATTTGAATTCTAAACTGCGGAGAAAATATACTCACATTTACTTCAACAGATTCATTCAGTGTATGCACTTCTGTTGTGGTTTCCGGTAAACAATCATGCGAATTCCAATATTTTGCTAAGAAACTAGCTTGTATAGCAGCTCCATAAGCTAATACTTCATCAGGACTAATACCATTCGGTATGTCAGCATGTGGAAATAAGTTTCCAATATAAGATTTCAATTTTGGTATTTTAAGTGGACCACCGCAAAGTATAACCTACGGAATTAAATATAAATTTGTTTTATATATTACTGGATAAACTAATTTATTCTGACATTTTTTTTGGACTAGTCATATGTTAATAAATTCAAAATTGAACTGAAGTCTTAAATTCATACTTTTTTAATATTTGAACTTTCAAGATTAACTTTTTTTAAAACAAGTTCAATAGGTAAAGCGAAATTGGCCAACAAATGAGCAATTAATGATTCAAATCTTGCTTGTGAAACTGAAGCAGCAAAATCTATGCCATCAGTTAATGACTCAATAAATACGTTTGCAGTTTTTAATGTTGACAGTAAATGAACAGCTTCTTCTGTAACTTTTTGCAACTTTGCAGACGCTCTTGCATTTTCTAATGGATTTGATTTATGTTTCCTTAAACAAACAATACACATATAAGTACTATATTAACTTTCTTAAATCATGTGTTTACCTTTTAACTTCTTCAATTAAATGAGATTTCAATGTTTCTATTAATTTATATCCTCCGATTTCTTTAGTATGTTCTGAAGCTACTATTGATACTAAACCAGAATTCACATACAAAATTGTTGCATCACAGCTAATACCACCAAGTCTGTATACTAAAATGTACCTATATTACAAAATAATGATATTATTTCAAAATAAATACATTATTGTTGTTACACACGTGTCATTTAAGGGTTCTGAAACATTAATTCCATATGTGAATGGAGTTACACTTGGTGCATTAACAACTTGAAGTACATTCCATCCAGCCTGAATAGCGGAATTTCGAACTAATTCTCTGCTGGAATTGTCAAAAAATTCTGGTACAGTAAGTACACAAGAACATTTCATATCATCACTATGAGTAGCTCTTTTAGCAATACCTTAATATAATGAATGGAAATTATTTTTAAGGTTATTAAAACTTAAAATTGTGCATATTTAAAGTTACCATATAATGTTTTATAAATATTTGATTCAATAAACTGGGGAGAATAAATTTTTTTTTTTGTTTCTAATGGCAATTCATATGCAAGATGGCCTCCTTCTTCAATAGTTTTTACTTTATTATTTTCCAATAATGAACGTTTTTCTTTTTCTTCCATTTTAAGATTCATTAAGCGATTGTTAAAAGTTATTGTATATGGTTGTTTTGATATAAAACCCGTTTTAGCAGCATTTCCGACAACCTAAAAATATAATTTTACATTAACTAGAACTATATAAAGCCTTAGGTAAAATAATATTTTGGCATTTGTTCAGAAATACATACCCAAAAAAAATATAAAGGTTTACATATTTTAAGTTTTAAGTTCAGTTTTACTTCTTGTGACGACCATTGAAAATGAACTACAAGCTATTAATTTTTTTTATTTTTGAATACTCATAAATTACTAGATTCATTTTTTCTATTCAAAATCGTTTTTTTTTTTTTTTTTAAAAAAAACCTTACGACCTTTCTATCCTGATCAGGTCTGCCATGAAGCACTAATGTACAAACTTCTATTCTTCACCAATTCTTTAGTTCTCACCTTAAAACCATTTTATCCAGCAAGTTTCGTTATAAGATGTGAAAATGAAATTTTAAACTTACATCTTATAAAAGTAGGTGTCCCTAGCAACGAACAAAGCTTTAATTTAAAAACACATATAATATCTCACAATTATACATGATATCTAACTTAGGGGAACTGCAAAAAAATTTAAATCTAAGTAAATTTCAATCATCCCAAGCAGTATCTCTTTGGATCTTATCTAATGTTCCCTGGTATTTTTCATTATAATCTCAAATTTCCAACATTATCTAAATTTCCTTCATATCATTACAATAAATTCCACAAAAAGTCCTTTAATCACGCTAACCCCCTCATCTCTCAAATACCACCTTCCCTGTCATCTTAAACACAAATAACATTGTGCTCTTTTAATTAGTTAACAACGAATAATCCTGAATTCATAATTTGGTTGATGAACAATAGTGTGAAGTTCTAAAACACCAATATATTAAGAATTTTAAGAAATAAACATGATATTCACTGTAATATCTACAGATGTATCAAATCATCTTTTTTTATTCTTATGACATTAGATAATTATTTATCACAATAATCCCAAACTGATGAATAATTATTTTTAAACTTACTCAAATATTCTAATGTTAAAAAAATAAAACATGTTCTGAAGATAGAAAAAATTATTACAAGTAGGTAAGAAGTATAGTTATGCATTCAAAAACAATAAAAGGACCATGAAACAAAAAAAATGACAGATTCAATTAATAGATTATTAATTAATATAATTGATGGTGGTACTCAAATTTGTTGAGACATTAAAGCTCAAAAGATAGCTGCTTAATGTTTCAAAATCACAGGGCGTAACGGCGGCCTAAACTCTTATACAGGAATCGAATACTTATTTATATTTTTTGTGATATTAAACAAATATTAAAAATTAAGACAATTACCATAAGTTTGTGGATTTTCATAAATGTTAGTGTTTTTTGATGTTTTACATAAATATATATTTATTACACAAAAAAATAAAAATAATAACATTTTAAACAAATTATAAAATTAAATAAAAAATCCTAAATATCTTTTAGAATTTATTTCTTCAATATTTGGTCTTGGTATAAGAGCCATAGACTTAGGAATTTCAATTTCTCCTGGAATTGTTTTACTACACTGGCTCATTATTATTTTTTTTCATCCAAATTAAACACTTCTTGCATAATTTGTTTTTGCAATCAGTATCTGCACGCTCATATACATTCTTCATTAAATTTTTTCCTAATGGTTCTGAGTATACCATTTTATCGCCTAGTAGTTGTCTTTTTTTTTTTGTAATAATGGTCTAATATAGTTTAGACATAAGGTATACCTCTATATTTTAGCCTTACATTATAATAAGATTCCATTTTTTTACAAGTGGCCAATCTTCTATAAAATCTTTAAAAGTTATAACTTTTTTTAATGTTTTCATTTTTAACCTTCAACTTTTAAATAGGTGCCAGATATCAAATTCATGTTGTATTTCAGGATGTTGTGTTATAAAGTAAAAACAATTCTTTATGTCGGTCAGTAAGAAACAATTTTAGTTTTTGGTCAGTTCATTAATAATTCACAACCTTTTCTTTCCAAGTCTCCTTTTCCCATACTTTTCAGAACAAGTTTAAATTCAACTATTTTTCCATAATGTAAGTCATTTAAATTGTTAACATAACAATCCAAATAGAGTATATTTATGTGTCTGTTTATTGTTTTGACTATACAGTTATTTATAATATAAATCTACAATTATATACTTAACCACATTGTTGAAGATAAAATAAAATATTAATAAATAACCTAGACCGAATTATAGTACTACCATGAGTTATATTAATTCATTATCTATTGATTAAGTCAGTCATTTTTTTTGTTTCATAGTCTTTAAAACAAAAAACTTACAGTTTCTTCATCTGTAATTGATACAACTGCTGGTGTGATTCTATCTCCAGCTTCATTAGCTAGAACATCTACCTTGCCCTCTTCCTGAAAATATTATAGTAATTATAATAATAATATAGGTATTCTGCATTAAATAATGAATTATAAAAATTAATAATAAGTATATGTGTATATGTCTCGTTTTTTCTAGGAAAATTTTTTTTGAGGTACTAAAATATCCAGTTTTCAAAAGATAGACAAAGAAATAATGAAAAACAATTATGCGTTGTTGGATACAAGAGTTTTTCAACAATTTAAACCACACTATTTTCAGAAAATCCTTTAGTATTTTTTATGCTCGCCTGTTTCAAATACAGTCAAATTAATCTTTTAATTAATCTAAAAAACATTTTTATTGTGACTGAAAAGCCATAGATTGGATTAAAAACCTTGACTTGGAAATTTAAAAATAGTGGTGGACATTACCAAAAAGAAAGTTAGGTACCAATATATATATATATATATATATATATATATGCTACAAGTAAAATAAATAACAAATAAAAAAGTTAATTTTAAAATCTCTTGTTTATAATTTTACTTGATCCTGAAGTCATCGATGATTTATTAAAACAAATTTATAAGAACAGTAAATATAATATGTAATTTTCTTTATAATTAATTAAGAAAACAGAAATATCTAAAAAAAAATAAGTCACTTATTAAAAAGTGTAATTAAATAATTTTAATTTTTTGTTTTGTAAAATTATAGAAGTATGTAATTTTGTTTATAGTTATTAAATAAACCAAAATGATGAAGAATTTTTTTGTCTAGTTTTCAACCAAAAAAATACATTGTCACCTTATGTATGCACTTATTATTATGACATATAAATATATATTTTTTATACTTTAGATATAGCTATTGACGCTGAGGAGTTTCCAACATGAATCCCAAAAACAATTGAACGGGACATTCTTTAAGATTTCGAAACTATTTTTTTTATATACTAGAAAATACAATGGGTATTTAATAAAAAAATGTTTAATGATATTAATTGATTTAGAAAAATATTTAATTTAAAATATTGTTATATAAATCATACTGAAAATTATTACATACAATTTTTCAAACGAATTTTACGAATAAACATGAGACCACGATTATAGCATAACCATAATACATATAATGGCGGATATAACCTAAATGTGATAACAGTGTTAACTAAAGGTTACTAGAAATTATTATCGTTGTTATCTATGTTTACAGATAATATTATCTATGGTGAATTTATTTAGTGGTATCTAATAATTTTGATTTAAAAGACAAAAGTCTTATATTCAGTTTATTGGATATATTTTTTCTCGTCATTTTTTAAGTTAACTCACATTCACCAAAATGTATTATACAAATACATAAAAATGGTGGCATAAAATAAAGTGGTAACTCTGGTAATGGTCTAGGGATTTTAGATTTAAGTATTGGTCAAGCTGATCTGATAAAATTTTTTTTGTTATCAGTTTTTTGGAGAACTGCTATGAGTTTGGAGTTAGTTGTATTTAAAATTAATTAGGTTGGTACAGGCTCTGTACGTTAATGCGGTTATCATATTTATGTATAGTAACAATTTTTTGATATTTTCAATTTTGTATATTATATTATTATTACCTTTTTGAATGTTCATTTATAATATTAATAAAAATAAAATTTATTTTACATTATTATTTGTAACTATAAAAAAATAATACAATAATATATAAACTGACACTCTCGCAATGACAGATTTTAAGCAACCAATTGTGTTAAATGCAGCACCTACTATAGATCAAATAAAATCTGATCGTATTACACAGGTATTAAAATTAAATATTTTTAAAATTGTTAAACAATTATGAACTAAAGTAACCTAAATTATGAATTGTGTAGTTATCATCCAAGTATTGGGCTCCAAATGTGAATCCTGATCATTACTTGCCTTATAATGAAGATGTCATACATGATATTTATAATGAAGAAATATTTAAGTCAAAGTGAGTTACTGTACAAATTTAAATGAATACATGAATGTTGACTTTAAAAACTACCTATTTAAAAAAACAATATTATTTTGATCTAATCATCTATATTTATTTGTTAAGATTTTCAGTTTTTAAATCACCATTATTACATCCAACTAAATTTATATACTAATCCATAGAGCAACCCATTAATTAATTTTATGTTTTAACCCTGCTATTCTTCCATGTATGATACAATTAATTGTATGACAGATTGTACAATTTTGTTTGATACAATCTCATAAACGATTATCATAACGTGTATGAAATGTAATCATAACGAAATGAAGTTTGAATGTGTAAAAAATTGTATAATATGTTTGAATGATATGATAAATTTAATAATCTCAATATATTTTTGTGTGAATTAAAGTCTGTAACTGATAATATCATTTTTCACAGAGATTAAAAAGTAGTTTCATCCATTTATAAATAATTTTAAAGGTCTCTGGACTCATTATACTAAGTTTCAAAGTAAATTGCATGTGAATATCTATTTTCTTTCTTTTTCATCATTATTCAATAACAATGCAATGATAATAGTAGCTTTTGTTTTTTTCACATGGGATTCATAATAAATGAATAAAAAATTAATACATTATACACTAATTACATCTGTATTGGTAGGTATTTGATAGGTTATATCATACTGAGTTTATATTATGATGCACCTACCAAATAAAAATTATAAGTTGTATAAATAAGTATGTGGTAATTGCATACTGCAAGTTCGTACAATTTGTCTTAAGATTATTTTATTGTGTATGGGGTCTTTATTCTCTTCATCTATATTGTATCAACAATTCTTAGTTTACTTTATATGCTTATATATTTTTGAATAGTTGAGTTTTTTTTCTTATATTCTTAATTCAGTATGGTATTTTTTTTATTTTTTTTGTTATTTCACCACTTCCTAGATAAATTACAAATATAAAAAGAAAATTATGAAATATTTTCTATGAGTTTCCTAACCTTAAGCCGCCAATGATTATTATTATAAATATAATTATTTTTTTGTCTATATAAAATTAAAACCATAATATATTTAAATTTTAGTTTTTCAGTTAGACGTATTATGATTTTAGAATTTAGTCAATATTTGGAAAATTATTTGTGGCCTAATTATAAATCATTAACTGCTTCATTTGCACATACAATGTCTATTGTTATAATGTTAAATGAAAAATTTCGAGAACGTGTAGCTCCTTGGCAGGTAAATTGTTATTATTTTATGTCAGTTATTCAAATTTATTAAATTGTACAAATAATATATTTTAATTTAAGGCTTTCAAAAAACAACCTCGTGAATTTGATGGTTTTATAGATCAAGTACTGTATGCCAGTCTTTCTTCTGAATACCACATTAAAGAACAGATTGCTCTTATTGTTTTTTTAAATCATTGTTTTCAATGTATGGAAACTGATCTAGTTCGGAACAAAATGAAAAAACTTGTGTCTATATCAATTTGGATTAAATTACAAGAAGTATGCAATTTAAAATTATTTTATATTTTCACTTGAAAATAATATCACTATAAATATCTTAAGTTAGTTATAGTTATCCCTAAAAAAAATCAAGCTAAGTGAAAATTGGTTTTTAAGTATGTAATAACTATTTTGACTTTTTTTTCTTAATTCAATTTTTTTCTTTTAACTTGCTGTTGCTTAGCTTTGGCAGAGTAATTAATTGTATATAAATTAAAATTGGTATGTGGAATACTCAATGGATGGTTGAGTACTTTCTGCAAACAAATAAATATAACTAGTTATTTTCTTTGGTATTTATTAACTCATTTATAGTTTAATTTTACATATTTACAGATATTTATGCCTTATTATTATTATTTATATTTATTTTTTAGAAGCGGAGAACATTAGAATTAAGCCAAGTACCTAAATGGAAAAAGTTATGGAATCGAATACAAAAAAAAAACAAAGAGATACCACCAGAATGTGTAAAAACAGCAGAACTTGAAAAGACATTTTTACATTCATTATGTGTTAAATTTTTTGATATTTTAGAAAGCAAGGCATTGAATGGTAAAATTTTCACATTTTTCCTTTGTTAAATAATAAAAAAAATCATTTATAATTAGTAAACTGTAATTTAAGATATCACATAAGTGTTAATGTTAAACAATCTAAATTATTTTTATAATGAACTTTACTAATTTTAAAAAATTTGGGATTTCTTTTTTTTTTTTTAAATATAATAAATAAAAAACCGACTAAAAAGGTATATTTAAATGTTTTTATTTTTCAGATAATTTATGTAAAGATCATTTAAATTATTGTGAACGTTTTTTGGAAATGCTTATTGATTTAGAAACATCATTGCCTACTAGAAGATTTTTTCATGTCATTTTAGATGATATTCATTTAATAGACCGATGTTATTTATCTCCAATAAGTAATCGTGATGAAGGCCACCTTTTCAAACAAGTTTGTTTATCTATTTAAAATTAATTATTTAAAATTAATTTTAGTATATTGTCAACCTTAACAGCTTTTGGATATTTTGAAATTTTATTTCCATTTTGAAATTTGTCAAGCAACTGGTGATCCATTGAAAGAAAATGAAGTAATGCAACAACATTATGACAAAATGACTTCTTTACAAGTATGTGTATTAAAATCTCATGTTCCATATTAACAATACTCTGTTCCACAATAGAATATTTATTTTTTGCACATCACGGCTGACAGGTTGTGGCAATTATAGTGCCCTATACAATACAAAGTTGCCATAGTTGGAGTTTAAGCGTGATCATGACTTTGGAAGTGTGAGATGTGCCAACGTCGACACAAATGTGTCTGCAGACTGAGTATTTTCTTGTGGAACAGAGTACATAAACTGATTAAATAAGTATTATACATAACGTAAAACACTTATTACCTTAGAAAGTATTAACTTTTTCGGTAGTTGTTTTTTTACAATTTAAGAAACTAGCAACTTTCAAATGTTATATTCTTGTTGATGATGAAACCAACTTTTGATTTTTAAATAGAAGCCTATTTTTAGTTTAAATACATTTTGGTATGGACATTTTTAACCATCATCAACCCATTAACAAGATGTTCCATTTTTAAGTTTGATGTTTTGTGGATACTAGGGCTTTATTTATGTGGAGGCTCAAAAATAATGTGCAATAACGATATACAATTCTCCCCTATCCATAAAATGTCAAACAAATTGATGGCAATTGTAATATTTAACTCCAATATGTGTTAGAACTGAAACTTCTGTTTATAGAATTTTTAATATAGATTTCTGTTTAAAACTCAAAAGTAAGCAATGATTTCACTCCCAAAAATAATATTTAAGTACTGTATTTCCTAAATTTTCTAAAAATCAAATTCCGATAGATTATTATTTTCTAAGAACAATATAATTTTATTAAACTTCTACAGAAAAAAATTATTTGATAATGTTTTAAAAACTACCCATAATAAATTATTTATTAATATAATATATTATTTTTTCAGGCAACTTTATTTAAAAAATTTACGAAACTGCAAGACTTTTCATTATCTAATATTAATGCTGTTGATAAATATGATTCACTTATTAAACATTTTAAAAATTTAAGGTACATATTAAATTATTTATTTGTTAATTGGTATTTTTGATTATACCTCATACATATATTCTTAAGATGAAGCTTAAAAAGAACTGAAACTTTGGATGGGTGTGGCCAATGTTGTAGGTAGATATTTGGGAAGAAAGGATACATTAAATTATTTAATTAATACCTGTAAATAACGAAAAACCATTGCTAATGAAACATGATTTATAGTGAAAATTTGTTATACATGTTTTTAAAAGCTGTAATATTTAAGATTTTTATCGAAATTTAATATGAAATTTCCCGACTAGAGTAAATCACAGTTTGTTCTTGGTAACCAGCTAGATTAAAAATTCAACAAAAAATATTTCATGTTGTTTTTCTATTAGAGCAACATTTCTGGTAGAAAACTTAAAGCATACAAATTTATAATGTCATTGTAATCCAGTAATTTCAAAAAAATTTTGTTTTGGTTTTCTTAAAATTTTAATAAAAAATACTTAAGATATAAAAAAAAATATGTAATTCAATCTTTTATTATTTTCCATTTGAGCAAGTTTTCTAGTAGAAAACTTAAGTTTCAAAAATTAAAAACAATGTAATCAGTAAATATTTGCCACTTAACCTATACATTTTCCTTAGGGGTTTTCCCAACTATATTGAAAAACCTTTGGAAAATCAAAAACTGATATCTTATGAATCAAATAGTCAACATTTCCCTTGATATTTCCTCACAAAATAACACATATAGTTAAACCAATAGATCTCTATGGTATGCTCCAAATTTAAAAATGTATATGTATTTAATATAGTTAAAATTTCTACCCATATTGAAATAACATTTTATTATTTAAAAATGTTTGTTAAATAAAAAAATAATAATGTTATATAGATTATCAAGGAACACCTAATTTTTATTATATTGGGGATTGACATATAAGTAAATACATTATTAAAATAGCTTTAATTTATTGGATACAAAAAGAATCATTATATTATAATTTAGTCTAATTAATTCAAAGTTCTATGTTAGGTTAAATATTTAATTTATTTCTCAATTATTAATTTTATAAACTACTATCTCTGATTCAGTAAAATTTAAATTTTATTGTTATAATTTATTTTAATTTCAGTAATCAAGAACTTCAAGATATTTCTAGGGAACTTAATTTGATTCCTGATGAAAACAATCGCATGGTTGAAAATTGGTATCGTTATGATTCAGAATTTTTAATGTCTGTGCTGGTATGTATAGATAAATTGATTTATATTTTAAAAAGTGCTTTTCAATAATGTTTGCATGACACCATGACCGATCATAAAGATATAAGGATTATTATTTTCCATAGCTGGTTGGTTGAGGTTATACTTTCACATTCAAAGCATTTATTATTATTAAATAAAAAAAAATGAAAAATGAAAAATAAAAGAATGACAAAGCTATTAATATGAAATATTTAACAAAAATTAATACAAAATGACGTTAAAGTTGTGTGTATATAAATATGTAAAAAAGTGCCACCAGCTGACAAATTGTTGATCAAATATATATGGTTGTACATTAATTGTAGTGATGTCATGAAATAGAAGTAGCAATCATTTTTCCTACTTTTAGATTCTGAGTAGAGCAAAGTTGTTTATTTTTGTTTTTTTTCTGAGAACAACTTATCTACAAGCAATTTTGCCCAAACTTTCTTTTAATGATAGCAACATTTCTGAAAGAAAATTTTCAGGGATCACTAATAATTATCCAAAATAATATTAAAAACTAATCTGATAACTATATTTCTAAAAATACACGAAATAACCCAGAACTAAAATACAGTTATTAGTTCTTATCAATACATACTTTAACACCTTATGCATTTTCGGTTTTCTTTAAATTGATTAAAAACTAGATTAATAATTAAATATTGATAATTTTGATAATTAACTTAATTGTCTGATAATTACCAATACCTGGAAATCTCACTGTGGAGATACTTTAGAAAGGTCATTTTTGAATTTTATCAGGAGTTTTTTCATCGAATTTGATAAACCGGGATAAAACATTGGGAAAATCGGTTCAACAAATATTAAAGAAAAATATATAAAGTCTATTTATTTATTTATTTATTTATTTTACTATAAAATGACATATATATATATTGTTGACAAAGCATCGCTATCAATTTAACTCTGCTCAGAATTGTTACTTTCACAAAAAAAATATATCATATTAGCATTAAAATTTTATCTGTAGCTGTGATCAATTGTATTATTAAAATTACGACATAGTAACAAATGACTTATTAGTAATGGTGGATATATGGCTTCAAATGTTTATATAGTTGGTATAGAGAACTTTTTTTTTTTTTTTTTGTGGTGATATCACTGTACTGTAGAGGGGATGCACTTCACTTGTTAAGACGCTTTTGCCCCTGCATCTGTATCTTTTATTGTTTATTAACAGAACATACATAAGTTGTATGTTTTAAGTTATAGTTGTATAACTTAAAACAAGGCTAAAATGGGTCTTCATATATTTTGAAGGGCTTTATTACTCCCAATTTTCAGCTTTGGTGTATAATAAATAACGTATTAACTAATTATATACAGCTTCTAATAGTCTTCGCTTACCTCTCTTCTTTTTTCTTGGTTCTGGTACTTCCACTGGGCTCATATTCATTGCCTTCCACATCAACCTTGACTAGCATTTTTTCAACTATGTCTCCAGTTCCTTGAGGCTTTCCATAACATGTTCCAGTTCCTACCTTTGTCTTTACAAAAATCACCACTTCCAATCCCCTAAAGCTATTCTTCGACAGTTTTAGAATAATTTGGTCCAATTTGTAGATATATACAAAGATAAATTTTGGAAGTAATATTATTAAAAACTTGTCTCAAAATTTTGAGGTGTAAATAGGACTATTAAATTAAAAAAGTATATGAACGTGTTGTACATAAAAACTAATTCCCCTCCCTCCCCAAAATTTGTTTTCATTTATGACACTAATTTGCCTCCTTTAAATGAGCTTTAGATCTGCTACCGGTACTCATTATGTGAAAAATATTTATTTTTTTTTTGATATTTTATAATACAAATATTTAGGTGTCACGACATGAAGCTAGAGAATCACAATTACAAATTTTAAATGGAATGCCACTTTACCCCACAGAAGATATTATATGGAATGAAGCTGTGGTTCCTACTGAATATTATAACGGAAACAATTGCTTGGCATTACCTAAATTAAATTTACAATTCTTAACCCTTCATGATTATTTATTGCGTAACTTTCAATTGTTTCGATTAGAGTCTACGTGTAAGTTGCATATTTTTTTTAGTTTAATATGTGAGATTGTAATGTTGATGACGTTTAAAATTAAAACTTGACCACTAAAAAATATTAGTATACATTTTTATTTTGTAATTAATAAGATAATTTAAATTATTTTTTACAGATGAGATTAGACAGGATATAGAAGATTCTATTACTCGAATGAATCCATGGTAAGTTAAATACTTATAATACTAATATATCATATTTACCATTTTCTAGTTGGCAAAGAATTATTTTATTTTATGTTTCTACATCAATGTATTGGAAAATATGAATTAAACAAATTGATAGTCGTCTAAATTACTACAGTTCAACTAATTTGAAGTGATTTCAATACTTGTAATTAATATTTTATTTTTATTTTAGTAAATCTGAAGATGGGAATATTTTCTTTAGTGGTTATTCCAAGATGGCATTACCGATTGATAATTTTTTGGTTGTAGAAGTTGCCAAACCTAATCTTGGTACATAAAAAACAAATAATATAATTTCCATTTTCAATATAATTCTTTATAATTATTTTTTTAATTTTACACTAAATATGATTAGGCCATTTACAACCTTCTCGAGTTCGAGCTGATGTTTCAGTTACACTAAATGTAAAAAAAGATGTTCAAGAAGAATGGGAGAATTTACGAAAACATGATGTATGTTTCTTATTAACTGTAAAACCAATTCTGCCAATAGGTAAGTAAATATAAATATATATATTTTCTACAAACATTATGGGTTTTTAAAAATATTTTAGGGTCTAGAATTGACTATCATAAGCCATTTTTGCAACAAACAGTAATAGTTTGTGTTAGAGGTTGTGAAGTAGAAGGCATGCTGGACAATATGGGCCGTGTAATTGAAGAAGGACCTGATCCAAGGCCAGTTTTGCCTGGCCAAAAACGAACATACCGTGTTTGGTTGGATTGTAATCAATATCGTACTGATCTAGATAATGTTGCTGCTGGAAAAATAGTATGTTTAATTATTATTCTAATGATAAAAATGTAATTTGTTTTAATTTTTTTTAGGATGTTTATGAAACATTTAACATATTAATGCGTAGAAAACCTAAAGAAAATAATTTTAAAGCGGTTTTAGAAACCATTCGTCATTTGATGAACACAGAATGTGTTGTACCTGAATGGATTCATGATATTATTTTAGGATATGGTGATCCATCAGCAGCTCAATATGATAAGTAGGTTAATATATGATAATCATTTTGTTGGAATCTTAGGAAACTACATATAAACAATATTACTTGACCAAAACATAAATTTTTGAAGTGGCTTAAGCTTTGATGTATAAAAAAAAAAAAAACAATTTCTTTTAGTTAAACAAATTTTAAAAATCAACCATAATTTTAAAGCATAATTGCAAAGCTTTATTATCTGTACTAATTAAAACTGATAGAAGTTCAAATAATTAAATAATGATTTTAATTTTGAAATTGCTAAAGAAAATCTTTGAAGGAGTCTTTTATATCATTTATCTAAAATTTAATATTAATACAAGCAACAAATTGAAATTCTCTTCAGTAATAAAACATATAGATTTAGAAGTGCGGATAATCTACACTACTGTAGGGTGGTGGACACACTTACTGTGTGGTTTTTGTTTTGTCTCTTAAAAACTTTTCTTCTGAAAATCTTACTTTATTATTCAAGTATAGAATTTTTTCTAAAATCGTATGTGATATTTATAATTTCAATTGTTATGTTTTAGAATGCCAAACAGAATAAAGGTAATGAACTTTAATGATACCTTCTTAGACATGGACCACTTATTGTCAAGTTTCCCAAATCATAAAATAATTCCGCACGAGAACAACTCAAATAAAATGTTACCTCCATATCGGTTTGTTAAAATGGTTTAATTTGTACGTACATTATATTAATTTTTTTTTATTATAATTCGTTAGTATTCATTTTCAAGAAACTAATGATTCAACAAATGGTGAGATCTTGAAAAAAGCATTTGTACAATCTGAGAAAACTGTGAACAGAGGTCCATATACATTTAATCAGCCCAAAAAGTACAAAAATAAACATAAAAAAATATTATTATATTAGACATTGATTAACATGTCATACATGTTTTTTTCTTTATTAGAAACATAATACGTTTTACACCTACTCAAATTGAAGCAATATATTCTGGTATGCAACCTGGTCTTACTGTAGTTGTTGGTCCTCCAGGTACTGGTAAAACTGATGTGGCTGTACAGATTATTTCTAATTTATATCACAATTGGAGAAATGAACGCACTTTGATTGTGACTCATTCAAATCAGGCATTGAACCAATTGTTTGAAAAAATTATGGCATTAGACGTAGATGAAAGACATTTGTTACGTTTGGGTCATGGGGAAGAAGCATTAGAAACTGACAAGGATTTTAGTCGGTATATTTTTTTAGTTTTGTTTATGTTATAGTATATATCTGAGTATTTGTTACAATAAGATGTAAAATTAATTTAATTATACTATTTTATAGGTATGGACGAGTAAATTTTGTTCTAGCCAAGAGACTTCAGTTATTAAATGAAGTACAGAGATTACAAGACTTAATGAATGTACAAGGAGATATGTCATATACTTGTGAGACTGCAATGCACTTTTTCTGGTCTCATGTACTTCCTAAATGGAATAAGTTTCTTACAATGTTGAAAAATATAGAGGAAAATTCTGATGGAGTAAGTATATTACTTTTAATTCTATTTAAATTGATTTATTAAATTTGGATGTTAATGTTTTTAGGCAATCTCAATAAATATTGTCAAAGATAATTTTCCATTTAATCTTTTCTTCAGTGATGCTCCTCAGCCATTATTTAAGTGTGAATCTTTAGACGAGGATAAGGAGATAGCTAGAGGTTGTTTTAGGTATATAAGTTATTTATTCATATATATTATATACATATAAACTAAAAATATTAAATTTAATATGTTTTCTTTTTAAATAATATAAAAATGCATATAAAATAAATAAACTGTAAACATATACAATCACACATTCACGTTATTCTAAATTATGCGCTTCACTTTGCCACTTTGCCTGAAAAGGGCTACATTGGTTAGTCTTTTTGCACCATACCTTTTGCATTTTTATGTATGTAAGATCAAATGTGAATATAAAAATCTTAAAATTTACGACAAAACCACTTTGTTCTCGCAATCATTTTTTATTAAAAATAATTTATTATTTAAATAATTGTATGTACTACTTTTACAATTTCTCACCTATAAAAATGGCACATAAATCCGCAGTTGGCATTACTTGGAATTTGCTCAAGATCTAAAAATGTTTTTCTGTATGCATGCCTGCTAATATTAATATACTATAGACTATAAATTTGTTAATATATTAATATAATAACAATTTTTTATTAAATAGATATATTAAAAAAATATTTAAGCAGTTGGATGAGTTTCGAGCGTTTGAATTACTGAGAACTGGTTTAGATCGGTCTCGATACTTATTGGTGAAAGAAGTGAAAATAATAGCAATGACTTGTACTCATGCAGCATTGAAGCGTAAGGAACTCATAGAACTTGGCTTTAAATATGATAACATACTAATGGAAGAATCAGCTCAAATTCTTGAAATAGAAACATTTATTCCTTTGTTACTTCAAAATTCTGATGATGGATTTAGTCGATTAAAAAGATGGATTATGATTGGTGATCATCATCAATTGCCTCCAGTTATTAAAAATATGGCTTTTCAAAAATATTCTAATATGGAGCAATCATTATTCTCTCGCATGGTAAATTTAGGAGTTCCTACTATTGATTTAGATGCACAAGGACGTTCACGGCCTAGGTAATTAAACTACATAGATAATTTATTGTAATTATTCATTCATTACATTTTTTATTTTTAGTTTGAGTCAACTTTATAATTGGCGGTATAACAACTTGGGTAATCTTGACCATGTATTAACTGCTTCAGAATATCATAAAGCAAACGCAGGTTTCTGCTATGAATATCAATTGATAGATGTTGGTTTATTTAATGGTGTTGGTGAAACTGAACCAAATCCTCATTTTATCCAGGTTTTAAACTACTCTAATCACTATTTCTATTATAAATATAAATATAAATATTTTAAATCAATTAACTTATAAAAATTTTAGAATTTAGCAGAAGCAGAATATTGTGTTTCTGTTTATATGTATATGCGGCTTATTGGTTATCCTGCAAATAAAATAACTATTTTAAGCACATATAATGGGCAAAAACATTTGATTAGAGAAATCCTAAATATGCGCTGTGGTTCTAACCCACTTATTGGATGGCCTCACAAAGTATTTAAATAAATCTAAATGTATTTTTTCAACAGGAAATTTATTAAAAATTACATTATTTATTTTTCAGGTGACTACAGTTGATAAGTATCAAGGTCAGCAAAATGACTATGTACTATTATCTTTGGTAAGAACCAAAACAGTTGGTCATCTAAGAGACGTTAGACGTTTAGTTGTAGCTATGTCAAGAGCAAGACTTGGTTTATATGTTTTTGCTAATGTATCACTTTTTAGTAATTGTTTTGAATTATCACCAACATTCAACATTGTAAGAATTTTTAACTACCTAATCAATTGTTTGTATTATATTTTAAAGTTTTAATTTTATCTTATAGTTAACAAAACGGCCATTAAAATTACATCTCCTACCAGCTGAATATTACCCTACAAATAGATCACTTGATGATTCTGTAAATAATGATGGTCAAGCATTTATTGTACAAGATATGCCTGAAATAGCTAAATATGTGTTTGATTATTATTTACAACGAGTTCAAGAACTAAAAAAAGTTCATCAAGTATGTACTTATTATTTAAATCCGTATATCATATGTAATTACTTTTTAAAAACGTCCAAAAATTGTTTTGGAGTTACCGATTAAAAAAAAAAAAAACACTAAATATATTTTTTAAATATTAACTGGTAAACATTTAGAGAAACAACATAGCCTAGAGTATTATTATTTGTGTTTGTATTTACAATTTACAATTAACAATTAAAATGAATTTCAATAATCATTTTCATTAATTTTAATAATTTTTTTAGATTACTGTTATGCATTATAACACTTGTATTAGTTTATTACTTAATGAGTTTTTTTATGTTTAAATCTAAACTAGTCATTAGTACATTGAAATAAATTGTAGAAAACCGAGGTAAAAACCCAAATAATAATTAGGGGTGGGGTAATAGACAAAATTATATTTTTCTTCACAATCGACATTTGATGAACTGATATTTTCAGAGTAAAACATCTCTAGAATATAAGGTAAGCATTTTAAACAATTTTGGGTTTTCAACTAATTTAAAATTTTGGTTATTATTAAAAATTAGTATCGGTAAAAAAAATGAACCATCCTTAAAAAAACCGAAGGCTACTTTTTTTCTTATAATGATAGTATATCTATTTATTTTGGTTCTTATTTGTTATTGTCCCGTCATAGTATTAAATATATCCACTGTTGTTTTGGGAACAAGTTTGAGTTTTTTCCAATAAAAAGTACTACATGAGCTAGTACTTGAGTTGGCAAAACAAGGTTTCATCATACCAGGTGTATCATAATTTAGTGAAATTTTTGGCGGTGCTAAAATAAACCAGTACCTTTAATTTGTATATTTTGTATTTTGTAATGTAGGAACTAAAACCTCAAGAAGATTGGATTAAACCTGGAATGTCAGTTACATCTGTAGAAAAGAAAAGAAATAACCCTGACCATCCTGGAGCAGAATCTGATTCCGATAATGATAATGGTGATGGTAGTGAAGATGAAAATACCATTAAAATAAAAGGAAATAAACAAACTCCTGACCATTTTGAAGTAGAATCTGATTCTGATAACAATGATGATAATGAGGATGAAAATATAAACACAAAAGGAAATGAACAAAACATAATTGGATCCTCAGATTTACATGTTTATGATGAAACAAAATCAGAAATTAACATAGATGGACACATTTGTACATCGCCACAGTTGAATGTCAATAATATTTTAGATAAAAATTAAATTATGGAAAAAGATTAACTTTTTATTACTAATTATTAAGAACTCAAACTTGTACATATTTTTTTATTTTAAAAGAAATACATTTTCAATTTTCCAAGACTAAATTATTTTAGATTTTAAGCACAGTGAGGAATCCATTTTACTATGATCTGATTTATTTTCTGTCTAAACAACTTTTTAAAATGTAGAGATATGAAAATTTCACACTTTTTAGACATGGTAAATATGTGAAGCTAAAATTGTAATGAAAATCGTAAAAATTATAACAATTCAAAACATGTTTGATTGAACTAGAATCATTTCATTAGTAATAATTTAGGTAAACTAAAAAATGTATCCAAGTATTCTACTTTCCCAACTTCTGACCTATGCAGTGTCATAATAAAAAAAAAATAATTAACATTGTGTCCATTCGCACAATTTTGTACTCAAAAAAAGTGTATATAATTTTTTAATAAAATGTTCACAAAATCTATAATTTTGTTAGCAACACAAGATTCACAAACTAGATTATGAGCTCCCATCATCTCTTGATAAAATTACATTATTTTAAATGACTGTATTAATTTTACACTTTATATGGATATTATTATAAAACAACACATTGATACTAGATCGGTATAATCTTTATGGTATATCAACACATGATTTTATTTAAAAATATTTTATTATTAGGATAATACACAATTGTTTAGTATGAACCCTGGAGCAATTGACCATCTTCACAGCACTGCATTTATAACAGTGGTACTTATTGATATTAGCTTATTATATTCTGAGCGAAGCGAGGAATGTATTGTTTTTACAATGGTGTTTATTTATTTTTTCTGTGCATAACTTTTCTACCAGAAGTGTGCTTAGATTTTCAAGTGTAACACATTTGACAAATTTGACAAAGGTAGTATTTGAAGAACATTATTTTTTTTATTTTCCCAGGGGTTTCTTATAATAAATATGAAAATGTACGAAATATATTATTTTCAAATCGTAAATATTAAATCTTTAAAAATATGTATAACCAAACTGCTCAGAAGTGGTTTTTGTTAATAATGATTAATCGTATAAAGTATATATAAAATTCCTCCTTTACCTTCCCAACTTCTCGTCTACAACAGTGGCCCACCCATCGTATAAAGTATATCCTTTTTTTTGTTCTATATTTGATATTTTAGTGACAGATAGTTTAGTCATCAATATGATACTTGACCGACACAAAGAAAAATAAAAAGTAACTCAGATATGGTATCTAAGTTTGGTATCTACAACTATTTTAGATTTTATGTTTATCAAGAAATTGTATTAGATTATCTATGAATAATGCAAGTTTGAATATAACTGCTCAATTTACCTGCTACATATAGATATAAATTAAATTGTACTATTATTCTACTTTACAACAGTGATCATTGGACTATCCATGGTACTAAATATGTCAACTTTTTTGTATTTATATAATAATATAGGAATCTATAATTATGAGAATCTGTGCAAGCATTACATAGAAATTATAAAATAAAAATTATATAAAAGTAACAGTAGTACAATTTTAATGGTATTAGGGGAAAACATAAATTATTGAAGACATTTTTCAATTAAAAATTATTTCATTTCACATTTCACTAGGAAGAGCTTTACATATTTTCAATTTTGCAATCAACTTGTGAGTACCGTTGATAATTAACGTAATCAGTAGTTACTGTACAAAATAGGTATATGATAATAATTTAAATTCTTGCTATCCTTGGCGCAATATAATACAGGGTATCTTACAGTGTTAAAACTTGGTCAATATTCATTTTTCTAAATTGAGTTTTGTGTTAGGAACACATATAGAGAAAAATTAAAGTTTTATTTTCACCCCTAATGCCTAATGCACTGAAAAAAAAAAACTTTATTTTGAAACTTTGATTGTATTATGTCCGAATAATAGTTTCTTAGTTATAGTCTTAGATGACCTAAGGTTATATGGCTTTAATGTATAGAAAATACGCGTGAAAACAATTAATATTCAATAGGAGATAATTGAGGAATTACCTTGCTGATTGTGATTTCCTATCGCGTAAGGTGTTATTCTATTGTAAATTAATTGTTTTCACACAAATTTTCTAAAAATGAAAACAGCTTTAATTTATAAACCATTAATCGGATATTCCCTGACACAAAACCTGATTAAAAAATAAATAAATATCGATAGCATAAGGATAATGCTGTTGGACATCCTGTATCATTAATTCCATTATACAATATTACAATATTGTTGAAGGTAATAAATAATAATAGGAACCTACCTATTCGAAGACAAGGTCACACAATTTAATATTTCTCACTAGTTACTAAGTTATTATTTTAGTGGTACCTAAGTACCTTGTAATTTAGCTAGGAAATTATTTTTAGCACCATATTTCAAAATTGACGGCAAAAGATTTTTTTTGACAATTAGGAAAGACTTCACTTGAAAGCTTAATTTAAGTATTTAAATTAAACAAGTAATGTAAAGGTTTTATTAGAAAAAACGAGCAAGATTTCAAAAAAAGACTTCAAATAATCAAATTTGTTTGTAGGAGAATTAATTATCATTGAGTGTAACAATATAATATTTGAGCTATCAGGTATATAGGTTAGTTATACTGACGTATATCTAATAATAGCCAACAGGTCTTAGTTTATTATTCCAAAGTTTAATTTGTAGGTAGTTTACACCGTGTAACCACGTGTGTAGACATATTAATTATTATTATGTCTATGCCTGTAACAGGTTCATAATCATGTAGGTTCTATAATTCAACAGGTTGAAGGTTACCTTTGTCATAAACTAATGGCTCGTATTTATGACGTGTACTTATCTGACTATTGATTAAATAGGTTGTATTTTGCTATTTAGTAATAATAGGTACTTTATGTCAAGTATGAAATAACTAATAATTAGTATTACTGTAGTAGTAGTAATAGTATACTGCAGGTATATATTATACAATATTATTTCCCACTTTTTCAAATACTTAATAATTTTATATATGTTCCTACCTCTATTAGGTTTTATAAAAAAACGAAAGATGGTATCGCTAGATCAGTAAAAATACACCGTTTTACTAGGAACTGAGGTTATTTGTAATTCTCTTTTTTTTTTTTTTTTGAAGTAAAGGTTATCCAAGTATTTTATTTCATTACCTATGTTGTCATTATTACTTCAAAGTTAACAGGATAAGAAAGCTGAAGAATACAAAATGATTGGATTATCATACTATGCCGGTGTTTTTTGTGTTTTAAGTATTTTACAAACTCATTCATATGAAATTCTTGTCATATTCCCAACAACTGCTCAAAGTCACTACCGTGTGATCCAACCACTTATTCATGGTTTATTGGACCGTGGGCACAAAGTCACATCTATTACAAATTTCCCAGATGTCAACGCAAGAGCTAATTTATCCTATATTAATATTACAGGATTAAAACCTCATTCAAAATTCAGTACCAATGAAAATGGTTTAATGAAATCTATTTCACGTGTAATTCACAATGTCAATACTTACGCAAATGTACTCAATTATCCGCCAGTTGCGAATCTTTTAAAATACGGTAAAAAGTTTGACTTGGTAATTACTGAATTTTTCACGACTACACCAATGTTTGCACCAATTGCTACTGTAGTTGAAGCACCAATTATTGGTGTCTGTCCAATGATTACATTTCCATGGTTAAATGATGTAATGGGTATTGAAACAAAAATGTCTTACATGCCTAATATTTTTAATAAATTTACTGACTGCATGTCATTTCACCAACGATTAATAAATTTTTTTACTTTGTTATTTCAAAATTCTATACTTAATTGGTTTTATACCAGTAAAATTAATGAAGTTAACAAACATTATTTCGGCATTCAAACAGAATCTTTAATAGAGTCAATGGCTAATATAAGCATGATTATGACAAATAATTATCCCAGTATGTTTATGTCTTTGCCAAAAGTTCCTGGCATCATTGAAGTTGGTGGTATTCATGTAGAGGCAGAAAAACCTTTGTCCAAAGTAATTTTAAAAAAATCACAGCCTAAATAATATTACATTTCTTTAACTAATTTGCAGGATTTGGAAGATTTCATAAATAATGCTGAATATGGTGTAATTTTATTCAGTTTGGGTTCAGTGGTATCTGAATCATCATTGGGTATAGATAAAATAAATAATATATTTGAAACATTTTCTAAACTTAAACAGAGAGTTATCATGAAGTTAGATGTTAAAAGCTACAAAAGCCAGTTTTCAAATGTAAAAATAGTCAAATGGTTTCCACAACGAGATCTTTTAGGTTTAAATTATGACTAATAAATACATACATAAGTTATTAACAATAATATAACATAAATCATTTTATAGCACATCCAAAAGTACTACTGTTTATATCGCATGCTGGTATAATGAGTGTAATTGAAACAATTCATTGTGGTAAACCAATGGTAGCTATACCAATATTTGGTGATCAACCATTAAATGCTAATCTTTTGGTTAAAAAACAAATTGCTGTTATTGTTGATTATAAAAATTTGAAAGGTGATCAATTCTTCAATGCAATAAATACAGCTCTGACAGAAGAATACAGGTAATACAATTTTAGATGATAATATGCCTATATAGTATTTTATATTAATTGTTCCTTAAAACGGTTTATTTTAGAATAAATGCAATAAAACTTCAACAGTTGTACAATGACCGACCACAGACACCTCTTGAAACAGCAATTTATTGGACGGAGTATGTAATTCGGAATAAAAATGAATCTAAAGGATTGTTAAAAAGTTCACTTATACACTTAAATTCTTATGAAACATGTTTGATTGATGTATTTGCTGTTTGTGTTTTGCCAATTATTATAGCTATAGGTATTATACTTTGGACAATAGCACACCTAAAAAATAATTAAAAGTATTAATAGCTTTGTTTTATTTTATTTATTGAATTTATTTAATGCCCAATAGAATAACAAAATTATAAAAATGAGCAGAATCGTTCAAGATTTGTTGCTAGCAATGCTAGTAATTTAAAGTTTATGTATTATTAAAAATAAAATCACTTTGAAGATAAAGAATACTTCATTCTTTACAAAAATATTTTGTTATATAGTCCTATATATAATATAACCTATACATCATTATTTCTATAACATATCAGTGACTAAAATTATATATAAACCATAACAAGTAGTATACCTATAAAAATGCATATTAAATGTAATTTAATTTTTGCTTTTTTATCAACAATGGAAAAAATGGTGAAATACCTTCAGCGGTTACTAAACTGGATACATCTAAAGTAAAATTATAAAAATTTTTGTTTTTATATTCATAATAAAAAACAAATTTAAATTCACATATCATTTTTGTTATGGTTAAAATTTATACTCCTGGATTTTAGGAATATGGATTTTTGGTTAGCAACAAGGGTTCCACGAATTTTGAGAACAGCTGAACTAACTATAACATATATTAACACAATAAATCAAAATTTAATATTAATATTATAACTTTTTTTGTATTTATTCAATATTTTGTACAAAATAATAAATAACAATAAAGATAAAAAATAGGATTCTTCCATGTATGGAACAATATTATTAAATTTTTTAAATATATTCCTAATGATTATAAACTGTATGTATAAAATATTATGACATTTAGTACATATATAATAATTTATAAGCCTATATAAAATATTCTAAACTCAAGAACAGTTATTAAGTCATCAAGTCGTTAATTAAGTTAGAAATAATATTGCTTAATTTTTATCATTTAGGCTAATATTTACTCATTGGAATTATTTTATAAATATACACATCAAAAGGATAGTTAGGCAGTTTTAGCATATGACTGATATTATGACAATTTTGTTCAGTACACATTACAAATAATATTAAGAAAATTGTGAATAATTCAGTAATTTGTTTATACCAGTCCTCTCAAAAAGTAATTATTTTAAAATAGATGTTTTAGTTTAAATGTCGATTTCATTTTTTACATTTAACAAGTCGAGCACAAATTTTGTACGTATATAATTTCTTTTAATCCTAAGCTTCTTTTAAATATAATAATGACATAGAAAGTATTGTTTTATACTTTAATATCATTGTTTAAAATTTGATGTGAGCCAAGCGAGACCTTCATGTAATCCATCTCCTGTGGTAGCACATGATGGTTGAACATACCAATTTCTATCCCGTATTCTTGTTAATCCAAGTTTTTCTTGTATTTCATGTGGTTTCATCGCTATAATAAAACATTATTACATTAAACACATGTAAACTTAAATAGTAATATTGCAAAAAGCATACCGTTTGTTAAATCTTGTTTGTTGGCAAAAATTAATATGATCGCATCTCTCATCTCTCTATCATTAATTATCCGATGTAACTCTTGCTTAGCTTCATCTATACGATCACGATCTGCACAATCCACTACAAAGATTAAACCTTGTGTGCCTGTATAGTAGTGTCGCCATAATGGACGTATTTTATCTTGTCCCCCAACATCCTAGTAAAATGTAATAAATGGTTAAGTATTTATAATATCATGCATAACATAATTGTTAATACAAATACTAACCCAAACATTAATTTTAACATTTTTATAAATCACTGTTTCCACATTGAAACCGACTGTTGGTATAGTTGTTACAGATTGACCCAATTTTAGTTTATATAAAATAGCTAATATGTTCGAATAGGAAAATTGTTTTTAGTTAAATAATTAAGTAATTTAAATCAAAATATTTCATTATCTTTGAAAATGGCTATTTTATCAATAATCAAATAGTATGTACAAACAAATATAAAATAAAAGTATCTACTTCTTTGAAAATTTCAAAATTGTATAATAGTAAATAACATGTCTATTATAGAGTATTTTAATTTAAATGGTATTGATATATTTTCAATTTATAAATATATTATTGGTGTAAGTACAAATAATCATGCAATAACAAAAATTAATTGAGTTCACCTCACATTGATACTAATTAAGTTAACGATAATAAAATTAAAAATAATATTCAACATGAAATGTAAATTTTAAAGTATTTAAGTACATGTTTTAACATTTAGAAAAAACAAATATTACAATTAATTTAAATTATCTAGGAAAAGGGACAATAAAAAAATATAATAATAATAGAAAACAAATTGAATGGGTATGTCATTGTTGTAGGTGGGTAGTAGGGAAGGAAGGATACATTAAATTATTTAATTTATACCTGTAACCAACAAAAAGCATTGCTAACAAAAAAAAACAATTTGGAGTGTAGTTTGGTTATACATGTTTTGAAAGGCCATAATATTAACGATTTTCATCAAAATTTGATATTAAGTGTTAGAAAAAAAAAAAATGACTACATTACGCTCAACATTCTTTGTTTGGCTACTTAGTACAACTTGTAATGAACTTGTCAAATTGTTAAGCATTTCTGTTTAGTCTAAACATTTTATCCATAGAGTACCTATCAAATAAAATTACATAACTTCAAAATTAAAAAGTCTATAAATAGCTTAAAAATAAAATAGTTTCTAATTTTTCAAAATATCAATTTTAAACAGTTTTATTTAATTAAAAATTGATATTGTTAATGTCTTTTATTTCCCTGAGTCTATTTTCTTTAATCATATTTTTTTCAATATCTCTTGTTTATCTGTTACCGAAATAAAAATGTACTTTGTAAATTTTAAAATATTTTGAAGAAATAAAATACACCTATTTATTCAACAAAAGAAAAAATGGTAAATAAAATACTTTTAAATACTTACAAATATTTAAAAAAAAACACATTGAATAGAGATGATTTAAAGATTAATTATAAAAAAATATCACTTTGTAGATGTATTTGTATAATAAAGGATACTTGTTTTTCCAGCTGCGTCTAAACCAAGCATTAGTATTCTCATCTCTTTGTTACCAAATATTTTGGAAAGCAGCTTCCCCATAGTGAAAAATTATCTGAAAATTGATTAAATAATATATTACGAAAACAAAGTGAGTTATAATTTAATTAATCACATAGCAAACTATTACAATTTAAAATTATTTTAACTATTCAATTATGTAAAATATAAAAAAAAGATAAAACTTAAAAAGAAAAAAGTTATTTACTATAATCACGGATAGTAAAATAAACCGTAAATAACTTGAAATTCTAGGTACAGTCTTAATGCTATTGATGATCATTTAATATTATCAGCTGACTTTTGCAATCACTTTACAGTGACTAGGTTGCAAGATGATTGTCAAATTTAAGAGGCTTATACAATATATAATTAAATAAAACATAAATTCAAACCGGAATATAAAACATACATTAGTATAAAGAAGAACATATTGGCTGATTATAGGTGTAGATTTTAATTAAAATTACAATGCCACAACGAGAATCCTTAATTTGTTAAAATAAAAAAATACCAAACATAGGTATATGCATACATTTTTTTTTTTTAAAGTCCCCAAATGTGTTATGACTGATTAAATTTGATTTCAATAAATTAGTCATGGTCTAAACACAATATTTTATAATATACCAGATATAAATATACGTACCAGTGAACATTTACAGTGAACCAGTGACAGTCAAGAGTGTAAAGATCAAGCCAAATTTTGTGCGGGTGCAACTGGTAAGTAAAAATTTTTAGGCATTTCGCTAGTGTAACGAAACGAGCAACAGCATCTGTGTGTTATCAATAAATGATGAATATTTTTAAACCTACTAGGTACGTATCCTTGCGCGACACTATATTTACTATCTAAATAAATAATTAACACGGGTAACGGATGTGGTCTTCGTTTGTGTCACCGTTTATGTTAAAACAACTTCAACACGATTGATATCACAACAATGCGTGCGATAAAGTAAAATCAACGAGTTTTGGGCGCAAACATTATTGCGGTCACAATAATGCAGCCGTCATTGTCTGTGGAATGAGAGCAATCGACGGGAAAAAAACAAAACGAAAAAAAAATAAAATAGAAATACAGATAATAATGGATAATAGTGTAAATAAGTTTGAAAAACGCAACGCGTATAAAAATTTTTTAATTGTTACTATATTATTTATCGAAAAACGTCGACGGACAACAACTGATGCGGGAGAATGTGGAAGGGGGGGAGGTATTCGAGCGATAACACAAAAACTAACGTGTGAAGGTAGATACGCTGTTAGTTGCCGCAACCACGACGGACACTATTATAGATAAGTCTACTATAATTATGGACACGACGATAAAATTGATAAAAATATTGTACGGGAAAACTTTTTTTGTAGAATAAAAAATAAAAAAATCCACTACATCTTAAGTCGTTATTCAGAAAATAATAGTAATCATAACAAAATAAATATTTTTATTATAATGTTATACGTGAAGCAGTGAGCACCATATGAAAGTAATATAATATGTCCAACCCTCAGCTATTCACCATTTGGCATTCACTAGGACCCCGGGCCTAAAATTGTGTATAATATTTTTCAAATTACGAGATCTAAAAGTTTATTTTAGATTCCGAGCGTAACGTAGCTATTGGTTTTATTAAGATGTTTATTTTTTTTTTTTGTTCTAGTCTATAGACACGTTTTTTCTTAGAAAACTTGCTCCAAATTTACGTGTAGAAACTTTTCTGAAAGATCAAGTTGTCTAGATGGTACTTTTAAAGAGGTCATTTTTTAAATAAAAGCACTTAAAAAAACGTAAGAAAACATACAATTTCACGATTTCATAATACTATAAAAACACGAACGACGTTATCTACCAGAGAAAATGATATAATCATCTCGAAACCTTTTTTGTTGTCCTTTTGATTTACTTTCTTATGATATCATCGCTCAAACTTTTGAGCCACTTTCCAACTTTTCAGGAATTTCAATTTTGGGAGTTTTTTTTTTTTTGCTGTTAATCGGTTATAATACACGTAGAGACTTGAAACTTGGTAATAATACTTATATTGGACTTACCTAGACGTGGTAAAATTTTTAAAATCATCGACTTTTTTTTTTATAATCCTTTTGAAATAAAATTTAAACGAAAATCACAAAAAAATGTATAGCACTTCAAATTATGTATTACCAAACTGTGCTCGGAATCTTCTTTCGACAAGTAATGGTTTATCGTTGTTTACAGACATAAATGAAATAACCTTATGAATTCTATCTTTCCAACTTCTCACTTACAACAGTGGCCGCTCCCATCTCAAGTATCAGCTTTTTTTAAAGTTAATTATTTTATATTTCTTATAATTTAAGAAATTCCTATAAGCAAGATTTATCCATATAGGTAAATTTAAATAAAAAAAAAGTTGTCCCAGAATAATGTAAACGAGTGCAAGTGCAGCTAAGATCATTTGATTATCTTAATTTGTGATCTGTACGCAATAATTAAGCATTACTAACGAAAAAACGACTTTGGGCGGAGTTTGATTGATAGTGTTGCTTTGTTAACAATATATATGTCATATTATGGTAATTCAATAGCATATGCATTAAACATTCTCTTTAATAATATTTGTTTAATATTATACCTATTTCCCGTTTTCCTACGTTTTTTTTGGTTTTTCTTATTTGTTGAAAAAACCCCAGGGAAAACCAAAAAATGATCTTAAAGTATCTCTCCAGTTAGATTTCTTTACCCATATAATAAAGTGCTATCATTGTAAATCGGAGCGAAATTGCTGGTAGAAAGGTTGTTCAAAGGAAAAAAAAAAATAATAAACATCATTGTAAATTATCGAAAATATAGTCTCGAAATACCTACTGTGATTGTCATGATTTTATCAAAATTTTAATTTGAAACGTTTAAAAAGAACAATAGGAAGATTTAGAACTACTGATTTTTTTTTTATTTGTATTTTTACTATGTTATTAAGATCAAATGAACCTTTTGTTTCAAATTTCAAGGAAAATATAAAATGTGTTAATATATCTCGCGATACTTATTTCTATGGAATAAGGGACGCGGAAGTTCAGAGAATTATAGTTTGTAAGAAATATCAATTTAAGCTGAACAAGAAGAGAGATGATTGGGTATAGTAAAAAATACTGGGCAAGGAAACTTAGAGGATGGTAAGCAAAACGGAGTTGAAATATGGTGAGTCTTATAAGATTAGGAACAAAGAAATGTGAAAAAGAAGTTAATCGATTAGCGAAGATTAGAGAAAAACAGTCTAAGGATTTCCGTAACATATATTGTATAAAAAATGAAAATAAAAAACTTTAACGAATGATGAAGATGAAAGAGTATTTTGAGAAATTACTGAATGAGCAGTAGCCAGGAGAGGTGTTAGAAAGTGTTTTATGGAACGAAGGTCTGGTAGTTTTAGTTAGTGAAGAGGAAATGTGGTGAGCTGTGAGAGGTATCATGGACTATCCCACTGAAAAAGGGATGTATAGTCACATTAAGTTATTATGTTTGTTTGTTTTTTACATTATATTAAATAATATTATTTATGAATTTAATGTAAACCGGGTCGGTCAATATTTTCTATAAGGTAGTTTTGCAGAAAACACCACCTGCCGGACAAATTTAATATTATCTAAAAGAAATAATCAATTCCTAATATATTCTTCGTCAACAGAGACAAACGGCCGGTGCAATATTCATTTATGCACCAACTGGTGCTAAGACTAACGGTAGTCGTGCCAGTAGTGGGACCGAAATGGTTGAACACGCATGCGTAACTGGTGCAAAAATTGTATTTACCCGTCCATTCTTCGTAACCGCTGTCGCTGCGAATTGTGTACGATGACATACATATAACGTGTGATAACATTCGTTTTATTCGACTTTTCGCATTAAATATTTCGTTAATTCTATAAAATAGTTTTTATTCTTGTCTCTAAAGTAAATGCATTTATAGTTTATAATATATTTTTATATTGTAGTAATATAACAAAACAATGTACCTATAGTTTCCAAAATTGTAGGTGGTGCACTGCTCCTGTGCACCATAGCACGAGCCGCTATTGGATATAATTAACCTAGAATTCCTTTAATAGTTCATCCCATGCTGGGATATAAGTTTGTATAAACTCTCTTAGGATATGTTTCTTAGCTGCAGTATACACGGAGTCCAAAAATTGGTTGTAGTTACTTGAGGATGGAGGAATGTATTGTACCAAATAATCTCAACAAATTATTTCCAATAAGCCAGCTTAAAGTTTCAACGAGGTTTATGGATATAACGCTCTCATGATCTTCGTAACCCATAATCTAGGATAACTAGACAGTGTTAACTATGTAGAATATCCTTTAACACTTTTCGGGTGTACATGATATAGTGATTCAGAGAGGCTATTGTGACTAATCCTAAGTCTAGAGAATAATCTTTCCTTCATCTTGCTGAATACCTCTATCATAAGGGCTAAATATCAGTTTGATATTATGTATAAACATCCATTCCTATAAGGCTTCCCCATTTATATCGTTGTCATCAAATCCTCAAAGACTCTTGTGGCTGTTAAAATTTCCCACATATAAATCTGGTTAAGCTAAACTGGTTAATGTTGCGACTTTCCACACATCTGATGGTAGTTTGTAAATATTTGATACTTTTATTTATTTATTTAAATATACAAATGCCCTGAGAGCAGTGGTTGTAAGAATTGGTTTTATCCCACTTACTTCTATAACCAGGTTAAATAAGTCTCCAAACACTCTTTGTGATAGATGAATGCCGAGTTGATATCTAATTTTAGATAAGTCTAAATGTCATATTATATTATCTGTGGTGCAAAGCGCCAAGTAAGACATATTGAGACTATTGAATCTCTCTATCAACATCATCCACAGGGTGTGTTTCTTGCAGAGCATATCTATGTTTCTGGGAGATTAGGGGGTTTCCAAAGGGTAGGCCACTATAATAATATAAGTAAAGAATTGTTTTTGACAATTGTATCAACAAAAGTCGGAAATGTATGCAAAACACCTATTATTATTATTATTTTAGATTCTGATTGGAGCAAAGAAGCTTATGGACTTACAAAGTTTTTTATTTTTAGAGAGGTCATTTTTCGATTTTTCTCAAGAGTTTTCTGATCAAATGTGAAAAACTGTAAAAAAAAAAAAAGGGAGAAAATGTACGATATATAATATATATAAGTTACGATTTTTTTTTTCTATGAACAACTTTTCTACCAACAATTTAGCTCTAATTTTTAATGATGGCCATGTTTTTAAAAAGAAATTCCACTGGGGAGGTACTTTAAAAAGGTCATTTTTTGATTTTCCCAAGAATTTTCCCTGAAAATGTGAAAAACTGGGATAAAATATGGGAAAACCGTGAAAAACATAGGAAAATCGGTACAACATTAAACAAATATTATTAAAGAAAACATATAATGCCTATAAAATTATTTTTCTATAATATGAAATACATATATATGTATATATTATTGACAAAGTATCACTATCGACTGAATTCCGCTCAGAATTGTTTTTTCGTAAACAATGATTTATCGTTGCTGCAGATATACATTCAATTTCCTTCTGTATCCTACCATCCTAACTTCCCACCTACAACAGTGGCTGCACCCGTCCCCAGCTGTCCATTATCTTAGGACAGCTTTTTTATGGTTTTTAATAATACATATTTGTATACAAAATATAATATTATCTAATAATAGATGTTTTCAAAATTATTTAAAACAATTTATACAGACATTTTGTTGATAATAAGCAAACAAACTTCTTGGAAATTTAAAAATGACTTTCATTTTTAAGTAACTATATCTAAAATACAACAAAAAAAGGTCTTTTGTCATTTGTTAAAGCAAGTTTTTTTAGAGAAATTTTATACACAATATGAAAAAAGAACAAATAATTATTGTAAAACCAATCTATTGCTCGTCCCGCTCAGAATCTAAAATTATGAATGAAACAAGTATAAATTTAAAATTAATAAAATGAAAATAAGTCCGATAAGAAATGTATAAGCCGGTGATTAAAATAATCCATAATAGCAGGTAGCCATGAATCAGATACAAATACAATTTTAATTTGTCCTTTCCTTCAATTTTATTTATTCGTGGAAATTACGGACTATACTTATACTATATTCTTATACTTAGATGTAGAATAATTCATAATAATATGTAGGTATTTAATATTTATCAGTTAATAGATATTGAGTTATATTGCATGGACCGATAAATTGTCATTTTTTGTAGTGTGTTTCAGTGTCACGATTTATGTCATCTCAACAATATTAACAATTTCTCGATTACCTACTTATGTAATTATTATAAAATGTTACGATTTAAAATATTCCAATAAATTTTACGTAATTTTCTAGATGCTTATCACATTAATACAATTAATGTGAACCCAATAATATACATTTGCATTTTTCACTTTTAAATGTTAAATCTTTCTAAGAGTAGCTTAGTACATTATAGGTAGGCAATAATATGCAAACATAATCTATATCATTGAACCTTAGTCGACATATATTATAGGAATGTTCAAATTATTAGTATCTTAATAATAATAATAAGGCACCTAGTTATAAAAAAAGTGTTACTATATATAGTTCTTACTATTTTCAACTAGCCCTCGTAATCTTATATAATAATACCAACATACCCAATAAAAAAATTATCACCAAGATTGATTCATTAGGTTGTTATAGTTCAAAAGAGTCAACAAATGAATTATATAATTAAGTTACTTATAATGATAATAAATAACATTTGCACGAAAATGTATTTTCAAATGAATAGTCGTATGTGACAGCTATTGATATTAATTGTATTTAGTGAAAAAATGAATAACTAGTTAGGTATATCAACAGTGCAATATTATCGAGCATTTTAATTATACAACAGAAGTAAGAAGAATATTAACTAAATTGATTAAATTAATAATAAGTTTGAAAATATTTTTATTTTGTAGAAATGGCAACGAGATGGGGAATAATAGGCACCAGCAATATATCACACGATTTTGTTGTCGCCATTAATACATTGCAACAAACAGAGCATTTAGTCACAGCAGTGGCTTCCAGAAATATTACTAGATCTCAAGAATTTGCAAAACAATTTGAAATCCCTAGAGCCTATAATTCTTATTTATGTATGGCAAACGATACAGAAGTGGGTAAGAATTCAATTTCAAAATATTATTATCAATTAATATTAATATTTCAGAAGTAGGTATTATTATGTATAATTTTTTTACAGATGTTGTTTATGTGGGTACACTCAACGAACACCATTATTCAGTCAGTCGTTTAATGTTAGAAAATGGTAAAAATGTTTTATGTGAAGAACCATTTTGTAAAAATGCCAAGGAAGTTAATGAACTTATTGAAGTAAATTACCTACCCACAATTATAGATCATAGTTAATATTATCTCTTGTTTAAATATTTTAACTTAACTATTTTTTTATTCTCTAAATACTATTAGCTTGCAAGGTCAAAAAAATTATTCCTTATGGAAGCCATGTGGATGTTTTTCACTCCTGCTTTTATAACCTTAAAAGAAAAAATTGATCAAGGTATAATAGGTGAACCGTTGCAAATCATTTCTTCGTTTGGTACACCAATGCCTGAGTCACTAATTCATCAGTGAGAATATTTTTTCTTTGTATGCCTACCTAATTGATTATTAAAGATTGACTTACAGTAGAATTTGCAAGGAACTTAGAGATTCAGATTGTTAAATCTGAACTTTATTACACCCGGATTATTAAAAGAACTTGATTTTTTTGAAAAATGTATTTATAAAAAAAATATTTTATAAAACATTGTTTTATATTAAACATAAATAAATAAATAGTAGTGTTATTTGCATAAGTATTATGAACATCATAATCAATTTTATATTATTCTAATAATGTTTACTATGTGTTTGATAAATAATTTGTTTAGTACTTTGTTTATAATTGGAAAAATATGTTTTTTTAAACCAAATTCACATTAATTTTTAATGCCATTAATAGTTCTAGCGTATTGCGTTTCAGACCTATTTACTAGAAAAAAAATACGCATTTAATCAATGGTACCTATACAATATGACAACCCATGTATATGACATATTATCTGGTACAGATAAAGTAGAGTATGAATTATTGTAATGAAATCTGGTGAAATCCAATTTGTTCTTTATAAATACATATGTATGTACAATATTATAATAGACGAATGTAAAAATCAATTTTCATTTCAAAATAACATTATTATTATAATATCCGACTTATCATTATAACCAATATTGTTTTAAACTACCAAATTTACTGCACATGAGTTATAAAACTGACCATTTACATTGCTAGGATTTATTTTAGCTGGAATATTATTACTAACAGCATCGTAATAAGCGGGTTTAGCTGTATTTCTTATAATATTTAATATAAGTTGTATTTTGTAGGCGCAACAGTGGTGGATCTATATTAGAATTAGCTGTATTTTCAGTTTACATGAGCCAATTTCTTTTTGGTCCTGAAAAACCACAGATTTATGGAACTTGCGGGCAATTAACAGAATCTGGGTTTGACAAGGATGCAAGTGTAATTTTAAAGTATAGCAATGGCCGAATTTCTACATTTTTTAGTCACTTTAAAGTAAAATTATCTAATGAGGCAATTGTATTTGGCACTAAAGGAAGTATTAAAGTAAGATAAATATCTATACATTAAATTTTATTTAAAATACAACGTTTTTAGTTACATAATCCATTTTGGTCAGCTATTCAAATGACTATAAATGGTGAGCACATTAATATAGATGTGCCTCATACAAATAAAGCAACCAGATATAGAAACAGTGTACAACTTATTCATGAAATTCAAGAAGTTAGGAAGTGTCTTCTTCAAGGTACCTAATTACTATTGGAATAAATATTATTTTATAATGGTTACATTTATATTATTATTTTAGGTTTAAATGAAAGCAGCATAATTCCATGGTCGTTGAGTATTGAAAACGCTGTTTTGCTTGAAAATATAAGAAAAGAATTAGGAGTTAATATTTAGTAGTTTAAATAAAATTAATTGTATAGAATAATTATAGATTATATTTCAATAAAAATAACTTTCTGGATTTTATATTTTATGTACATTAAATACCTATTTTATCTTTTTAACTTAAATATTCTATTTTTAAAATAGCATGCAATTAACTTATTTAGAATCCCCTAATATTAAAAAAGTCGACCGAGTATTCTATATCTAAAGCCATTATGGAGCAAAAGTATGCTCAAATAAAAAAAAGAGCTGGCGAAGCCCACCATCCAGCGCCCTTGATATCACATACCATGAACAATTTCTCATGAGAGATGGATGGTGGGATAAGGTCTCGTTGACCTGCCAGATGCCATAATAAATACAGACGGTGTCGGTTACACCTCCGACGTCTTTTTTAGAGGCAAAGAAGTGGTCTGTCTATATTTTATCTATTGCACGTTGGAACAAGCTTGTCCTTGAAGAAACTTCTTCAGTAGTCCCGCTGGCATCAACCGTTCCTCTGCTAATGTATACCTGCTCAGCAAAGCTACTGCTATCCGTGTGTTCCCTAGGGGATGTTGGCACTTTGCCTTGACCTTCATTCTTTTTAGCTCAGTATATATTCCACCATTATAACAAAGACATTCCTCAAACAAAAGAAGGGTTCACGAACCCTTGCGCTTTGTTTCGTGAGATCCAGTAGGCCGTACAGCAAGTTTGACACGTCCTCTGGAAAAAGTAACTGCTCATTTAGGAAAGTCTTCATTCTCCTGCGCAGAGGTTCCTAATTCAGGCAGTGGAAAATTGTGTGTTCAGTGTTGTCATTTGGGTGTTCATAGTACATGCATAAAGCCATGTCAGCGCAGCCCAACATGTGCAAATATCTTTGGAAACAGCCGTCTGACAGGGTCTGGGTCTGGTGGAAAGTCACTTCCATAGGCGGTTTACTCAGGCACCATGTGATATTGGGCAAGAGACAATATGTCCATCTACCCTTTGGGTGAGCAATCCCACCTCTCCAGCCAAGTGGCAAGATATGGCTCTATGAGTTGTCTTACTTTTTTTGCGCGTAACTACCACTAGTCGAAAATACCCTCAATCCAACAGGTTCATGGAGAAATTTGTAGGTGTTGGTAAAAAGTTACCTACTGAAAAAATGTCAAGTGACTGGTCAGTAATTAATTTATCATTCAATATGCAATTATTCGCTAGTGTACTGTAACACTCCTATTGAAGGTATCAGATTATCATCATTAGAAAACTTCCAGCTTCCCGAGACATCAAAAAATCAAGCACTCGCAGGCCGTATATACCACAGAGGATGCGTTAGGAAAAAAGTTCTGAAAAACTTCTAAGCATCTCTTAAGCGAAAAAATGAGTAAGGAGGAACAAGACATATAATAGTCAGCAATCGGTCAAAATATACAAATTTAAAACTTTAGAAAACGTTTTTATAAATAAAAACAAACATTTTAAAACGTTGATTTACTAAAATAATATAGAATAAAATGTATGTTAAAATGTTAAATAGTTTAATTATCTAGATTAGAAGATAACACTATGTTATTAATTATTATATTATAAATTATAAAATTGTAAGCATAGAAAAATTTTTATAAAATAAAAAGCTACACAGATTTTGTAAGTTAATTTTGTTCATGTAATATATTAAGTAACAGTAAACTAGAAGCTTTTAGCTTATGATAATAGATGAAGATGTTCTATACGAAAGAGATAATGATGAAATTATTAAAATACTCATGTCTAAAGTTATTAAATAGGATTTATTATTAATTATAAAAATGTTAACATTAAGTTTTAATTATTCACTTGTATTGTGTAAGTACTTACCTATTGCGAGTATGTTAACTATTAGGCTATTAAAAAAAATAAAAATATGTTTATATCGATGTACCTTTAGGTAGTAAGTTTTATTAGTCATGCCCAAATATGAACAAAAATGTGTAGCTAAGTTAAAATAATAATACTTGTTGGCTAAAAATTTAATATTTGTTAAATAAGTAAGTGGGCGGGTATTTTTAAATTATCCGGGCCGAAATCTCTCCCCATTTCATTCCTGAATCAAGTTTTAAATTTTTGATAAAAACTATAATTATAAAAAAAAATAACAATATATATATATCTATTATTATCAAAGCTCGCTAAGCTCAGCGTATGGATCAACGCGCTGTACACACGCGCACCTACGACGAAGGTAAGATCTAATAATATGTAATAATAATTTCATAAATAGACTATATGATTTATTAGATTTTGTTAGGTTGGAGATCTCTAATTAACATGATTTTCATTATTCAACAGTTCAATACCAAAGATATATAAATATTTATATTTATAAATCTAAAACTTTAATAATCTAATGTCTATGCTTAAGACAGAATAATTAGTCCATGATGGTATGATTCAACACCAAGGTTTATAGTTAAATATACAGAGAGAAATGTATCTATCAACAATATTAACCTTGATTCAACACGGCTATTGTAGACAAGAATTAATATTTTTTTTATGTAGTTCAATAAATTATACTTAGAGCGCGTTGCTTGTATGTTTTCAGGGAGTTTTATCGTATTGCCATAATTTTCTGACGTATTTGACATTTTGATCGTGGTTATATGAGACATATTAGTAATATATTTATGGGTTATATCGGAGTATTCAACAAATAATAATTATTTATACAACTTCTTTGCTTATATTTTCAACGTGAAAAACAGCTGCTTTGGTCGATAAAATTTGGCTGATTGGAGGGAAAATAATTTTGCTTTTTGTTAAATGTTAAGAAAACGTGTAATGGAAGCTTTTATTTGTCGGTTATTGTCGCCGCCATAGGAAATTGAAACGTTTATAAGTTCTAATATAAATAAATTAAATATCATTTGTCAGTGTTCATCTTTGATTCATTAATTAGGTATTTTATTGTATAAATATTTGTTTTTTATTGTAATTGAAAGTATAATTATAGCGTATCGCATTTTAACAATTAACAACTTGTTTTCATTGTTGTATTTCAATTTTTAAGGGTAAGCATAGTCTTTTATTATTATATATGGTTTCACAGTATCATTATGGTGAGTATGGTTATGTATTCACTATAATTTTGATAGATTACTAATTTATGTGTATATTGTAATTATGATTAAATTTAGTCTTGTACTATAAAAAGTAATGTTATTTATTCGATAAGAAGAGGTTTTAAATAATAAATTATTTAATAATGTACAAGTTAGGTATTAAATTATTAAAATTAAATATAAATAGATAACCTGTTAGGGAACTATTAGTATAAGAAAGTATATGTTATAACATAACTAGGTACTTCATTATATTAATATTTTTTATTTTTGAAGATTATAGAATTTATAAATGAATCATCAAATAAACCAAATTTAAATTTAGATAATAAAAAAAAATAAAAAAACAGTTTTTATTAATTATTTTATATTTGAAAATTTATTTAAAATTTTACGTCTTATTGTGCTAGACTAATATCACTACTGTATCTCTAACTTTGATTCTTACTCTAATTTTGATAAATATTGAAATATTAATCAACATTAGTTTGAATATAGTTACCAGTTTTATATAGTTATATAAAATAGGATACTATTTTTAATCTGTAAAATGATTATTTTAAAATAAATAGAAATTGTAAAATATGACAATTGTTTAAATCAAGTAGCAAAAACTATGCAATTGTATATAGAGCAAATAACAATATAGAGTTATCACCTTTTTTGTACCTATTTAAAAATATATTTCCCAAACTTTATTATTGCACTGTTTGTACACTAATATTTGTACTGTTATTTTTATTTTCTTCTATGAATGGTTTTTTGTCAAAACTGATCATATTAAATTTTTATTTAATAATAGGTAGTACTCTCAGGTACTCTCAGCTTTATTTTTTTTTTTCATTATTTTATAATGTGGTCGTATCTATTTTTGTACTTAATAGAATGCAATTTAATTGGTGTAAAATTGTTAAAAACGTTGAGCCTATTATTACTTATAATAAAACAAAATACAAATATTGAGACCTAAACCTACTTTGGTGATTAAGGTTAAATTATTATTGTATTATTTTTTTTTTTAATTTCAAGATACTAAAATAATTAATTAATATGTATATAATTATGGTTTTTATTTTTTTGTTTTATGTATAGATACCAATAACATGGCTAAAGTACAACTGTCAAATGTAGTCGTTTTAGACAATCCATCTCCATTTTTAAACCCTTTTCAATTTGAGTTGACCTTTGAATGTATTGAAGATTTGAATGAAGGTATTTTCATAAAAGTAATAAATTTACCTATTTATTTATTGTTTATTATTTATTATTTTTTCTAGATTTAGAATGGAAAATGATATATGTTGGTTCTGCTGAAAGTGAAGAACATGATCAAATTCTAGATACTATTTATGTTGGTCCTGTTCCCGAAGGAAGACATATGTTTGTTTTTGAAGTATACATTTTATAATATTAATATTTATTTACTAACATAAGAAACATCATAATGTTTTAACTACCTAAATATTTTAATAGGCTAATCCTCCTGATGTTTCTAAAATTCCTGTACAAGATGCTGTTGGTGTAACTGTTGTTCTATTAACTTGTTGCTACCGTAATCAGGAATTTGTTAGAGTTGGATATTTTATAAACAATGAATATACTGATACAGAGCTCCAAGAAAATCCTCCAGCAACACCTCAGTTTGATAAGGTATTTTATTATATAAATATGGTTTGTAATTTGAAGTACATTATATTTTAAGCCAAGTAGGAAACTGGTTATTATTATAAACACCCTAGATATGTGCAAAATGCTCTTGATGCATGTGCTAAGTACGAAAATTACTTTTTTTTTTATTATTAAAGGTAATACAAATATGATTGCATATCATAAAATAATTATTGATATTTATGTATATTAATAAATTTTCAATTTATCTGGGCGCTTATAGTTTGCACACATTTACTAAAATTACAACTTGTTAGCACATTTATTTACAGATTCTAGTGCAACTTCTTGTTGCACACAAACACAATTCACTTACACTTTTCTTCCCATTTATTTAGTCTTAGGACTATCTGTGAATATTTTAACTGTACTGGATTAATTAAAAATATGCTTTTGATGCGTTATATTTTATATGTTAACTACTAATATTAGGCTTGTCATTCATCTCGGTTTGACTGGGACAGTCCCAGTTTTAAGAGACATGGTCTGGTCATTCAGTTTGTCCCAATTAATAGAAGCTGACACTAAACTTATAAATAACATTTTGACAGATAATACTGGTAGGATGAATGAAAATACAGTGCAGGGCCTGATGGTCTGTTAAATGAATTTTGGTTTAATTTTTAACAAATTTTTTGAACAATTAAGAATGATACTACTATTCAAGAAAATTCATTCAAGTGGAAGGTATAATAATCAGTAGACAATAAATAATCTTTTATTTGACCTAAAAGCTTGGTGTCAACACCGATTTTTGTTGTTTAATAATAATAATAATAATAAGTGTGGTTTTCGTTAAAGATTATCAGACCATTTTGTTTACTGTTCAGTATTTGGTTAATGGATAACTATTAATCAAAGACAGTAAAATTAGTTTTTAGGGTTTTCTGATTCTGGAAATCTGATTATCAAAAAGTACATTAAGTAATTAAAGATACACTGCCCCTCCTCTCTCCCTGTCAAATCTACTTACAAGTTTTTTGTCAACAACTGAAGAACTTCCGTTGAAAATAGGTGTTCATTAAGTGTTAACTTAAGTTTGTATTCAGTTTTACTTGTAATAAGCAAGCTTATGAAGGAAATACAAGTTTAAGCATCCTAGTGTACAATATTCAGAGAAAGTATGGTTTTAGATGAAAATAAAGTATTGGCACGTAAACTTAAAGAAATTCACTTCGTTGTTTTATTTTACATTACAAATTAGTATATTTACTTGGTATACAAACTAATAATTTCATTAATTACCATCTTATTTCTTATTCACTTGATGGTTGATAATATACCTTTTATTCAATTTTAGCAATCAGCATTTAATAATATTTTATACTTTTTTTTAAACAAACAATTTAATTAATTTAGTTTTTATTTGTTTAAGATGACAAGAAATATATTGGGTACTGAACCTAGAGTAACTAGATTTAAGATAAATTGGGATGATTCTGAGCAACCAGGCACTAGCAATGGAATGCGAGCTAACGGTAATGAGAACGAAGATTTAAACCTGCAAGAAATGGAGGAAGAAATGTCATCTATGTTATCTTCCCATGCAGACAATAGTCTCAGCCAAAGTCCAATGGAAGTATTGTAAACTGACTGATTCAATACTCAGTATATTTTTTCTAAGTTATAAATTTTATATGAAATAAAGAATAATTTACCCTATTTATAATGTAATATTAAAACAACAAATGTTTTAGTTTCAAATAATAAAAAGAATTTTTTATTTAATATATATACATATTTTTTTTGTTTTTGTAAATTTTTACTTTTTCCCTTTATTTTATAAATTAAATAATTATGAAAAACATAAATAATATTGTAATAGAAAATAAAATTGGAATATTTTTACATTGCACATCAAAATCAGTTTCATTTATTACAACTCTTCTTTGACATAAGCAGGTTTTAATTCTTCAATTCTTTTGATAAAATCTGTTTTTTCTAAGCAACCATCACAAATTTCTTCCCAATTGTCTAATATTTTCTTCAAATCTTTTACTTTCATTTTCTTTAGGTTAACTGTTTTCCAGTCTATTTCTTTTTCTAAAATGGGTATAATATAAGTAAATACATTAGCATTTAATATATTTTATTTAAATATGTAAAATTGCTTTCACACACATACCATATTTAATATCGCACACTTGAGCATCCATTTTCTTTAAACGTTCACAGACTTTGAGCGCTGGCATGGACCATGATAATGGTTTAGACATTTCACTTAATATACCAGTTGCAGAATCTTCTAATCCACCCAAATAGTAACACTGTAATTTAACATAATTTTATTGTATGAAATAACCAAAATAAATAATATGATTAATCTTTTATACCAAAACTCCAATACTTAAGGCTGGTATGTAGAATTTGGTATTAGGAAAAAAAAAACATAAATATGTATTATATTTATTATTTTATGTTAATAAAAAACACATTTATTTTTAAAAATAAATTTATAAAAGCACGATTTTCATATGTTATGACCTACTGCGATTAAAAATTCTACAATACTTGTTAGGTTGTGTATATTTATCAAATATATTTCATATATACAGATTAATAGATTCCCAATACTAGTATAAGGTACCATCATACATATCATGTTATTCTGTTTTTAAAATAGGTGTAAAATAATAAAGAGGAAAATGATGTGGTAACAAGAATTGACAGCTGCTTACAAAATCTTTGTGCAAATAAACAACTAAATAAGTATTATTTTTTTTTAAATTGCCTAGGTAAATATTATATTTGGTTGAAGTCTGGCCCTTTGGTTCAAAAATATCGAAAAACCATCTTTATATTTTCTATTCCACTCCCTTACCTGATTCATGTTATGCAGTTAGAGTATCTAATTTCCTACAAGAATATGCGAAAATTTTACACACATCTAATGGTCGCTGCAATATCATTTCATTATCAATACATCGGCTTCAAATGTTCAAAATATCAAAAAACAATAAATAGGTTATTAGTAGTAAAACTTTTGATTTATGAATTTTCCAACTACTTTTCGTGGTACTGTATGGTTTTGCGGCTGTATGATCGCTATTTTTATTTTATGTAATAGTTTGTAGCAAAAAGACTAATAGGTTAAACTTAGTTAATTACATTATGTATTATGAATCTGTATTTTAATTTAATATTCTATATTATTTTATATAACGTGAATGAAAACTTTGCATATTATTACAGGAAAATGGATATTCTGACTGCATAATGTGAATGAGGTAAGGGGAAGAGAAAATATAGAAATAGTTTTTCAATCTTATGACATTTTTTTCATTTGAGCCTAAGAGCTAAACTTCAACCAATTAGGTTACTTAATGTCACTTAGTCACTTTAAAAGTATAATTATTAATGTATGAAACAATTAGAATACAGTTTAAATTTAAATATTTTGGTATACAATATTATTTTAGTTAAAATTAAGTATTATTTTACTAACCAATCTTTTTTCCTTGTCATTTTTTGTAGATAAACAATATTTTCTGAACTGATTTTCTATATTTTTCAAGTTGGTTTCACCTTCTAATGTTTTTGAAAACTTATCAATTGTAGCCACACACACTGTTGAGTATAAATAAAATTATTTTAAAAATATATCTAGAACAATAATTACAAATTTTAAGTAGTTACCAGGACAATCTTCTTCAGTAAATGTACGTGCTTGTGCTTGTAATGCATTAATTAAGAAAAATACACATACTAACAATATGTGTATATTATTCATTTTAAATTGAAATATTGTATTACTTTTTTGATCAATAATTTATATTTTTGTTATAAATGTAAATAAAATGTATTGACTTATGTAAAAATATTTGATACTTAATACTTTTTACTTGAGAGAAATTAATACAATTTTTAAAGTTATATAATTAAAATACTTGACATAAAAATAAGTATTCACATTTAAAGACACATACTGTTTAAATTTTAAACTTTTTAAATAAAATACAGCATCTTGTTCATCTGGTAGCATACTATCCAAACTCGACTTGTCGAAATTTCATTGGTCTAATGCCGTTTTTTAATATTCCGGTATGGGAGAAGTATAAAACACGTACACAACTTCATCCAGTTTAGGATTTATCCATGTCAACCATAGATAAGAAATGATTACCAATAGATAATATTTACCTATAATATAATATAAACCTTGGTTAATAATCAATGTGATCACAAAATAGTTGATAAAGCTACTATTGATTACAAAGATTATCTTAAAAGCCTTTTTAATTAATTTTAAATATAATAGATATATATTTTATATGGGTATCTCTGTTTGGTATTAATCATTTTGTTTTGATTTGATTTAATATTATGTGTACATGTTTAGTTTTATTTTTTAAGTTCGTGTTTTAGCCATGATTTTATTTGTAAAATCATTATTAACATGGAATTGAATTATACCTGTATAATTATTTTGTAACGCCATAATATAATTCCACTGTGGTTATGTCTTTTATGTAAGTATTAATTGTAATTGTTATTTACTTTATGCTCAATAATAAAATAAGAGAAAAGAGCCAAATTATGATTATTGTCGTATCAAGTTGGTTTGTCAAACAGCATGTCTAATAAATATAATTATTTAAAAATGTTTTAGAGTAAGAAAAAAAGGGAAAAAATGCACTCGTAAGTCAATTTCTAATGAACATATACAACATTCTGAGTTTATTAAAAAATGTCATCAAAAATTAAGATTGAATTCATTGGCCATAGGTGCTGAAGAAGCATGGAGGAATCATTGTTCAGATGATTCACTTTTAAAAGTAAAACTAAATTTTTAATATTCTTTTAAATATGTAATCATTATCAACACATTAAGCTTAAACTCTTCCACTTTTTCTATCCATCAACCAATCTATCATTCTCATATCCCTTTCCACACTGTCCCTACATCTGGTTCTTTGTCTGCTAAGTGGTCTTGTCTATTTTTGTTATTAGAACATTTTTCAATACATCCCTATATACTCTCCAAATAATACATATTATGTCCTAACCATTTCAGTCTTTTACATCTCGTAAATGTTAGTATGTTGGGGAACTCATATTAACAGTACAACTCATCTTTGTGTTTTTATTTCATGAATTCCTGAGTCACTATTATACACATGTACATGAATATTTCTTAGAATTTTTCTCTCCTATATAGTCTTCTACTATTCTCTTTTTTCATGGACCAAGTCTCACAAACATAAGTTACTATTGAACTAAGGTAGCTTGTGAATAATGTGAATTTTGATTTTCTCTATAGTAAATTTGATTTTAATCAAAATATGTTATAGTATATTATATTATTATTTTATTTATTTCAGAATTATTCTTGTTCCATGCACAAACTTGCATCACAGTTTTGGGATACAAACAACAAAAATGAACCTTCAAGTTGTAGAATATTATGGATAACTAATAATATATGCACATATTTCCAAGACAATTATTTATATGAAATAAATAGAGAAAAATCTTTAGCAAAAAAGTTTAATGTAAATTGGGATATGAATATTATAACTAATACCCCTAAAAATCCCTTTTATTTACTTGATGTAGGAAGTTGTTATAATCCTTTCCAAAAATATACACAATTTAAAGTGTTGCCTATTGATTTAGCACCAGCTGTTGAAAGCGTTGTTAAATGTGATTTCCTTTCAGTGCCTCTGGACACAAAGTTAAATATTTTTGAAAATGATTGTCAAACATTACCGTTATCTAATTTTGATGCAGTAATATTTTCATTATTTCTTGAATATTTTCCATTACCGCAACAAAGGTATAAATGTTGTGAAAAAGCTTATAATGTTTTAAAACCCGGTGGATTGTTAGTTATAGCAACCCCAGATTCAAGCCATGCATCTTATAACTCTAAGTTAATGAAAAATTGGAAGATCTCTTTAGGATGTTTAGGATTTTGGCGTATTAAATATGAAAAACTTATTCATTTACATTGCATGGTATTTAGAAAATGTTTATTGAAACAAATTCCTAAAAATTGGTTTGATTCTTTGAATAATACAAATAATGTTGAAGATTTAATCACTATACCACAAGACTTAAGAAATCATAAAATTAATAATGAAACATTAAAAATAATAGAACAACGCGATGATGACATGGTAGCTAATTTATTTTCTGAATTAATAAATATATAATTATTTGAATGTTTTTATTTGTTGATTATGTTAATTGTATTTAGAAATAAATTTACATTTCTAGAAATATATTTTTAGAAATTAGAAAGTTGAAAATAAGAAAAATATTTGTGTTCCTAAATTTATTTGTGATGACATCATTGTTGTTTCTTTTTTAATAAAAAGTCTGATGTCATTATCACTCACTGTTATAAAGCTAATACAAATCTAATAAGGTTATAATACTTCATATTTGATAACATTTGAGGCAATTCCACCACAAACACTGAACATTATTTTATTTTTTTATTTTATGATGTTATTGTTATTGTTGACAGTGTGTATTTTAGTATTCTGAGAGGAATGTGGGGGGAAGGTAATCTAAATTTTTAGAATTTTAATTAGTTATACCAATTTATTGTAATTTAAATCAGTTGGTTCATTATTACATGTAAATTGTGTCCATTATCATACATTAATCATGAACTATTAAAAAACTTTATTATGCTGGAATTAGAGGTATTGCAAATGTCCCTTATAAGATTATATCTTACTAATAGGGTGCAGGTTGTTAAAATTAATGATAATTATAGCAGCTCACTTAATTTAAATCACGATGTTCCACGGGGACTGTACTTGAACCCATTTTCTTTATTATATATATATATATATATAAATAGATAGCTTAATATTAAGCTTAACATTGATACATCATATACCAAAGCTAATAAAGTCTTTGAAACAATAAATTCATGGTTTAAGAATAATCTTCTGGAATTAAATCCAACAAAATCTAAACATATTAGTTTTAATATTTAAAATACGCATCCAATTGTTGAATATAAATTATTTTTAAATAATACAAATTGTACATTTAAATACCAAAAAAGTGGACACAATTAAATATCTTGAACTGCTTATTGACTTTTAACTAAAATGGCTGACTCATATTGTGCAATTAAGCCGTACATTTTTTTATTTTTAATGATCTGTGATCTATATTTAATACGCGCCAGCTAAGAATTATATATATATATAATTTGTGCAATCAGTTATTTTATATGAAATTAAGATATGGGGAGGGGCTTACAAAATTCATTTAAATAAAGTTAGAATAATTATGAATAGGATTATTAGATTTATTTTGAGATAACTAACTAATGTTCCATATCAACAGCTTATAAGTATAGAAAATATTTTCAAACGTACTGTCATAGTTATAACACTGGACTAAAAAAAATATCAATAAAATAGCGCCAGCTCATGATGAATATTTTGGTACTAAGAGTTGCTTGAATCGAGCAATTCTCTGCAGAAATTTAAAAATAAACATTACTAATTTTTCTAGTTCTTATTTATTTAAGCGTTATATATTAAGTTTAATTTAGTCATTATTCACTAAGCTATCTATTTAACATATTTTCCGATGTACAGGTGTTAGATGTTTCACCCATCGTAATTAGCTGTATTTGTCACTGACCAAATTTTGTCTTATTTGTTTTATAATTTATATTACTATGTCTCTAATTTTGTAAAAAATATTCACCTAATTATTTTATTTTTAATGTTTTTACTTTATATATATTTATTTCGACCAACTTAAGAACCTCTCTCCTCCATAACAAGCTTGTTTATAGGAGATAAGTAAACTACAGTTTGTATGTACCCAATTGAAATCATGTTTACGTTTGTTTAAAAATAAATAATTATAATTATTATTATATTCCTTAATAAATTACTTTTTATGAATTCAAGAAAAGGCAGCCATTTACTATTTATTTATTGACTCTACATCAGGTTTACCTACAAGCAGTGTCTCATCCATAGACTTATAATATTAATATATACACAATTATCGCATTGTGTGTATAACAACTTCAAGCCAACATATGTGCGTGAGAGGCAGACTTTGACATTACTTTTCCAAGGAGAAATGATTAATTGATTAATTTAATGATTAAATGATTAATTCATAATTTATAGGTATTTATTATAATATTATACGCTTAATTATTTTTAAAAAAATGTGAACCCCACATAAAAATTTGTATATACGCCAGTGGTCTAAATAGATAACACTTACCTGTCTGAATCAATGAAGGGGGTGTACATATAAGGGGGTATCATATGGGACTTAAATAGTGGGTCAGGGTGTGTCATTCTGTTGTAGAAAATAGGAGAGCCAAAGTCCAATATTATAGCTACTATATTTATGTAAAAAACATAGCTTTATCTAAATTACGATTAACCAATATTGTTTTTCTAAAAAAACATTAAATGATTTATGCTCATTCTCATTTATGAATTTGAGCAACAAATATTGTGATATTATAAACACAAAACTAATCATATTCAACCGTTCAAAGAGCCAATCGCTTCTTTCGCAAAAAAACTATTTTGCAAGGTTTATACATAGTAACTACATTCACAAATTCATAATTTATACAAAAAATAAAAATCGTTTTTTTTTTTTTTTTGTTAATATTCAGCTGGTGTGATAAAACAGAACACCTATTGCAAACAGCGCACTCTACTGGGATTATTATCTGTAGTAAAGACAATTTTCCCCTCTAAACAGATGGGAGAGTGTTAGCTGATTAACTTTATAAATCCACCTTGATCAGTACCTATGCAATGATATAAATCTACAATAATCCATCTAATTTTTTCCGTCACTGCTACATTCATTTTCGTTCTATGTATCTGTGTACCACCCAACTTTCCGAATAATAGAACATGTTCTGTTTCACCATAATCTTGTGGAACTCAGACACGTAACCAGGGAGGTCCATGGAGTCTGGAATTCCCCTACCCGAAAAAATTCCTTTAAAAGACGGTCATTTTATTTGATCTCGTCAAGTGTTATGCCTGTATGGGACACCTTTAAAGGACGGTCACCTCTAAATAGCGGTCATTATTTCTAGTCCCTTCGGTGACCGTTTTATGGAAGTTTTACTGTATATGTATTAATTTCATGCAGTTTACTTTTTATTTTTGTATATTATTAAAATTTTAGGTATTCAACATCTTCACGATTGAGTTTTTTTGAAATTCCTCCAATGCGACAATTTGAATCCTTTACTATAATAATGTTTTTTCTTTTTATTAATAATTTCTTCAATCAGCATCAAATTCCTTCTTTTTGATGATGCCATCAAAATATCTTTTTAAGAATGAAATGTCGACTGATTCTTCTGCTTTGTGAATTAAATTTATTTTCTGTCTGAGTGACTCGTTTTAGACTTGCTTTAAATCTGGAAAAATGCCATTAAATTAACTTTTTTAGCTCAAGTTTTGTTTCTAATAGAACTTATTCAATCGATAACTTCTGTTCGTGACTACTCTTACTCATGTTATACAAATAAATCAAAAATGACCTTGGTAAAAAATTATACATCTTCCCTTTAATTTCTTAGATATCTTCATACATTAATTTCATGATGGTTGCACACAAACATACACCATCAAAGTTTTTCACTTATCAATAAACGTAACTTTAGATGGGGTTTTTTTTAACAATTATATAGGTATACAGGGTTATTTTTGAAACATGTTCACCCAATTCGCATAGTTAAATTTTCACGTTATATTTAAATTTTTGGAATTTTTAAGTATAGTTAAAATTTTAATTTGAATACCTACTTATATTTTTCATAACATTTTATAAAAGAGTATCTTGTGGTGGTATCAACTTTTCAAATGTAAACCTATATATGTCTTAGTGCAAATTGTAAATCAGGTAATTTTTCTGAAAATGTTAGCGATTTTTAATTGAAATTTGAATGGAAAGTTTCTGAGCTATCCATTATACTCAGACGATTTATTAATATTATAAAATGCTTCAGAATTACCTATATTGGATTAACATTACCAAACTCGTCCTCACGTACAAATTACAATATATTATATAATAGGCTATAATATGCGAGGTATTTAAAGTAGAATAATTCAGAAATTGTTTGTTTACATCTGTTGGATAATAAATGCGTCATTATACTTCTAATAAATTATTAAAATTTCAGCTGGTACCTACCTAAAAGAACCGAACCCAGTAGCGTAATTGAGTATTCATCTCGGGAAAGGCGTTATATACAGACATATATATATATATATACATTTCGATATCCCTCGATTTTTTTAACAGAAGATAACAAAATGTTAGAAAAATGCTAATATAATTTAAAAACTACTATATTATACTCACTGAATAATTAGATAATTATGTAGGCAAGTGATTTAAAAAAACTAATAATAATTCTATCTATAATACAAAATTTATATTTCTTTTTTTGTTGCAACAAATCTAGTTATAACATCATCAATTGAATTTATATTGACTTATCAATATTTAGAAGAGCCATGCCTGATTAGCGATCTTGTCCAACAGTCGGGATCATTTTTAATATAAATAATGAAAAAATAAAAATTATAATTAAAAATATTTATATTTATAAGAACATAGGGTCAAGGATTAGATTGATTTGTTAGGAATATTTAAGAAACAGTTATTAGGAAAGTTTAATGTTTAATAATTAATGATGTAAATTCAATGCACTAAAAATCCCAGAAAACAACTCAAAATGCACTTAAAATTTAAAAAAATACACGGATTTAAGCCATTAAAGATTAAAAAAGCACAAAAATGCATAATTTTGAAAATAATAAACTAATATGTCGATTAAATAGAAAAATGATTAACTTTTCATGGTTATAAAATAATAAACTTACAACTGTTGAAGTTATAAAATCAAAAAGCATTGTCAACCATTGAATTCGCTCTAAATCTCTCGAAATCTCTAGATCTTATTACTAGAATTTCAATGTTGGCAATAGAATATAGATTTGACTTAACCAATTTTCGGTACTATATAAATATAATTAATCGTATTTAAAACTAAAGTACCTACATACAATTATTATTAAGAGATGCAATTCATATTGAAAAATAATTACTAAATCTTAACTTATATTCGATTTGAAAATTTTAAAATTGCACAACTCCGAAAGATAATTCTAACAACGTAATTATTATGATTTTGTCAAACATTAAAAAATAATTTTTTGTCATTTTACATCAATTGTTCATTTCATGTAACGTTCTAAAAATGTTTCGTTTTTGCAGTAGATATTTCCGAATATAGAAAAAACCGCCTGTCTATTTTACTTCTTTATTTTATCCCATGTCAACTTAACCTTAATTCTTTTGGTAACTAACTAGCATATCATTATAAATCATTAGCAGTATTAAAAGTGATTTCTTCATTTTTATTTTTCTGCTTCGCCTTCATTCCAACTATTTAGAGTCGACCAACTTCGTCTTAAAATTTCACTTGACCCGATTTCCCAAATCGTCTTCGTATACAACCGTCGTCCTCATCATATCATTTTCATTCGCAACGACTTCTTTAATTTTTCTTTATTTTATACATTTCTAGTAGGACAAATAATTTTTTTTTTTAAATACTTATTATTTACTAATGTTATTACTATACCTACAACATAATTTATCTTTTAGTTTTTACAAGTATATCGCTTAGGCATACGTGTATAGTATAATATACTGTATTACTTATCAGTGCCGGATAACCTATTGTACGGAATAGGCTCTCACCTAGTGCCTCCGTGAAAACGATTTATTTTTTTAATATTATTATACAGTTAGTAGGTACATTACAGAACAATAACTCTAGTCAATATGAAAATTACATTGTATTATAAACAGTAGGAAAATGCTTACATTTTGTTTTGTATAGTAAAATTGGTTGGTTATAAAAAAAAACCTGTTAAATTTAAATTATTGGTTGATAAAACTAAAGACGAATGTAAGCAATAATTTCTAGAAAGGGAGGCAAAATTTTAACTAACCACTAATGTTAAATCAACCACTTTGGTTGAATGATTTCATAGAAATGTTTGGAATTGTTAGTTTTAAGAAGTGAAGTGAAAAAGCGAACAAAAATTACTAAATGTTTGCAAAATAATGAAAATGGTACAATAACTACTTACTACACATGCAGTAGATATTTACACGTGTGACCTGAAAGAGTGATTAATGAACTAAAAATGACTAAAATGTGTTTAACCTTACCAACTATTTTAATAGTTTAGTTTATTACTCACAATATCATTAAGATAGGTCTATAATACCACACCTACGGTCACAGCCGTTGGTGGACTGTGGTTAGTAAGTATATTATCTCTTATTACCATGTCCACACTATATGTTTTTTTGAAACCTGTAAGAACCTGTATAAAAAAATTAAATCTTCCAGTAAACCATCTCATGTATAGCCACATTTACCGTTGTTAGAATGTTAGCTCACATAATGGTAGGTAAGTAGGTAGGACGGAGCCGCCCGTATTACCGTGACCATCTAGCAGCCAAACTTTAGCCGCAAACTAATTCGTGGTAAAATGTCTGGAGGTGAAACTCCATGGCGACTACCAGTCGTTGCGGTCGGTTGTGGAAAAATGGTGGCGGTGAAGTGTTCTAGACTTATGTAGGTATAGGTATACGAAATACAACATCTTTATCGTGAGTGTGAGAATTATCTCACATATTATTATTAATTATCTCAGTATTATACTGAAATTCAGGCTACCACTGCACCGTAAATATTTGACTGATTATTTTATTAGATACTTAACCAGTAACTGGATAACTCTAAAATCAAACTGTTGTGATAGCAAAGTTCTAGATAATTGACGCACATATTTTGAGTTAAAAATAAATATGTCCACTGGCCCTCTATATGTTTCACATAATCAAATTTAGTAATTTACTCAAGCTGCTCAAACTGTGTACATGATCATTGAAAATTGTTATGCGGATTTGTGTAAATAAATTTAAAATTAAAATTAAATTAATTATATATATATATATCCTTTTAAAGATCATTTTAAATTAATTCAATACTAATAGCGAGTACCTATATATTGGTAACCTGTTTTAATGTTACCTTCATTGTAAGTACCTAAGTATACATAGCAATTAAAAACAAATGTTTTAATCGATGTAATAATTAGTTATTGCTAGGCACGTACTTGCTCTTAATTTTATACGCAGATATAATTGAATAGTGCACATTACTTTTTTTACCCCTATACGTGTAACTTACAACGAACGTCTAGTAAGAAAATATTAAGCATTTTTATAAAGTCTAAAAAGTTTGATTTACATAAATGGAAAATGTACGAGCAGTAATAGTCGTACGTCGAAATGTTTATGATTTTTACAAATTTTAAAACAAGTTGGAATTTTAGGTAGGTACTTATAAAAAAAACAAAATCCTGATTACAGATTTTCAATGTTTTTATTTATCTTAAGAGTAACTAATGAGTACTCTTGTGTCAAATTTCTAAGCATATACAAGCATATAATTATTATATATAAATACTTAATAATAATATTATTAATATTAATTTAAAAATTGGTTATTCACATAAAACCGAATAATAATTTAAAATTGTGTCATAATATTTTGAAAATTATTAATAAGGGCTGACCCGGATTTTCTCGGTATCCACTATCCCGATGGGTCAGTATGCCCTTGGTTATTAGTATTTTTTTCGTACATTTTTCTAATGTACCTACCTATATAATTTTCCAAAATTCCAAAAATGTCCATGTTGTTACCAATTTATAACAATATTGTTCCTGTTTTTTAAAATCGATTAAATTGTATTTTTTAGGTAATATGAAATAATTATTAAATAATTTGTCATTGACACTAAAATAATATCTCAATTTATTAATATTGGCGTAAGAAGTACGATAATATATTAACTTATTTATGTGTTTTGTTACCACCCATGAAGTCCACATTATAGCCAACGATGTTGATTTAATATCCTAGTTGTTAATTTAAGGATCTACGGGGGTTTAATAGCACTTAACTTATTGAAAATATACGCGCCAAGATAATTAATAATGATTTCGTGTGTTTTCTGATCCGACGCTTGCGTCACGCAACAGCTGCGACCGTAATGGTTTATAAAGCCTAGACGTACCAATAGTCAGATCATTATGACTTGTTGCATCGCGTACACTACACGGCGTACAGACTTCCTTCGCTTACGTGAGTATTAAAAACATTATATTATATTGTTATATATTTTTTTATATTTTTTTATATTCAAAGAGCAATAATAAAAATTTTACACTTCACTCTGTTTCCAATAAAAAAAAACCGGACCAACTTTGCCACTTATTTCGCATATTAAATGTTGTTTGTGAGAACTTGGAAGGTAGAGAGGAAATTTAATGTTTATCTGTACACAATGCTTAATAGTTGCTAATGAAAAACGATTCTGAGAGGAATTCGATTATATATATTTGAAAGGTAGTAGTATTTACGATTTGAAAATAATACATTTCGTACATTTTCCAGGTTTTTCATTTATTAACAAAACTCCTGAGAAAATAAAATAATAACATCCCCAAAGTACCACCCTAGTCAAATTTTCTTCTAGAAAAGTTGCTACTCTTGAAAATCGAATCAAAATATCTGATTAAAAAGATGTTAAAAAAAAAATTAAAATAAAATAAATATTCTTGTAAAACTGATACATTCTTAGCAACATTTAGAATTTAAAATAATAAATAGTAATGTTGGTTCTTTAATTAATATAATATACCTTACACAAAATGACAAAAATTATATGAATCTTGAATACCTACATTTGGTAGATATGCATAAATTATTTGTAGTTTTTTTTTTTTTTTGTTTTTAATGTAATAGTATTAGTAGTATAATCAAAATTTGATGGGTAATCAAATTTTGATTATAACATATTTTTCGACTAATTAATTAATCGATACTTTTTAAAAAGTAGGTAGGTATGCTTTTATTTTAAATTATTTACAAAATAGATATATAATGTATTGATATATTATATTATAGGTACTACTATAAGCTACTCAATTGTTTGACATTTAACTTTATTTCTATTAACTAATTATATTTTATGTATTTTAAGAATTTTTATAAATTTTAATTCTCCCGTAGCTTTTTTGTGAAAACGGATTAATAATTAATAATTAAAAAACCCACTTTACTTATATTACAGTATTATACTACGAGTATATACTTCCCTATGTTACTATACATTTATAATTTGTATTACTTTTATTTCAACCATCCAAACTATTTATAATACATCTATAATAACAAAATAATTCAAAATTAATATTGTTATTTTTGAAAACTTAGTTTTTCTTTAACAAAAAATAGTTAGAAAATGTAACTATATTTAAAGAAAAAATTATGTATAATTGAAAAAATAAATATCATTACCTTAATGTAATAATACATTATTACACAATGTCAATGATATTCATTCTTTCCACGTATTTTTTTCATAAATTATTTTAAAACGTTCTGTACTTATCTAAGCATAAAGGTAGGCACTATACATATTTAATGAAGTTTATACAATTATCTATAGTACGGAAAACCTATAAAAGTAGGTATAATGTAACCTTTACCTTAAAACCTCATAAAAACTTGAAATATTATTAAAGAAAATGCTGTTGTAAAATTATAGCCGTAAAATCTTTTATAGTCTAACCATATCCTTATGTATATGATCAATCATGTTAAATATATACTACGGATCATTAATTTATTATACATTTCAAACTACAGTAATTTTATATGATTCAAAATGTACAAGTTTACATGTGTTTATGTTTTAAATCTATCTATGATAAATTAATATAGATTGGTACCTACTTTCATAAATATTTCAAAAATAATAATACAATAAAAATTCATTTTTAACGATTATTTATAAACATTAACATTTTTACAAAATATATTGAATACATATTTTTAAAAATGTGCAATAATTAAGATTTATGAATCATGATTATACTTATTAAGTAATAAATACCAAACAAAGGTTATTTATAATTTGTGATTTTATAAACTAGGTTGTATTATATCAACACACAATATATATACTATAAATAAAATTTAAAAATAAATTTATTGTAAAAACTAAAACATTTTTTATTTTGGAAGTAGCTTTGGTGTAGTTAGTTGTATCATTTGTATCTAAATAATTTAGGTACCTACCTACCTACATATAGAAGTCAATGTCCATGAACATAATATAAAAAGCATATACCTAATTAAAAGTTACTATCCAGTGATTTTGTCTTTAATTAAAGAAAATGGGCTTAAAAGATTATTTTTAAGAATATCATCTTCAAAAGATCAAACAGTTTTTAATACTTCATTAATTAGACAGAGGTTTCACATTATATTTAAAATTGTAATTATAAAGTTACTTTTTAATATTTTAGTTGGCTCTTAGAATGGTTTTTCTTCTTCTTTTCTCCGTCTATACATATTATAATTTATCTAAGTAAAGTATATTATTTTATATTTATATTTTATACTAAACTAAGATCTTTTTTTTTTTTTATTATTTCACTGATAACTTTGTTCAAGTAAATGTCATCTATAGTATTATTTTGCTGGAAACTATTAGTAGGTACAAACCTTCCTAAATTAAATATAATATTATAATGAAAAAGTATAATATGTTTCTATAATCTTTATTCGGGTACCTAAATAACTACCTACTACAAATTAGTGTGTAACTTATTAATATAAATATTTTAAATTTATTATTATTAAGATATATATATTAAAATAATATACAAACTAAATATGAAAGGTATTATCTATGTATAATGTTTAAATAAGACTTATATATTTTTATGTTGCCATGTGTGTATAAATCAAAGTTAATATTAAATTTATTTTAAAAATATAATTTTTATACCTACCTTCATTAATACTATATCATGTCTAATATAGTAATGTACATACCTAATAAGATAATTATTTCGTTATTTATATAGTCTCAATGAGATGAAATAATAATATGAGCTAGTTTTCACATTTCGTTACCTAATTATTGAATACCTTCAACAGTAAATATTTTGTTACTTTCAGTTTAAATAAAAGAAGTATACAAATCAACAACAATATGGGACATTCTGCAGTTGCATTATTGGGATTTTCCTGGTTATTTTTTATCAACACTATTGGATTTGCTTCTGTATTGCCATTGAACCATATTACAGAGGTAAGTTCACTTACGTGCAATAATTTAGTTTATCTAGAACCCAAAAATAAACTTGACCGTAATAATAATTAAAAATACCTATTTAAATACACAGTATATATTATAATATAACACAGAGTGATTAATCTATCGTAAGACACTTATTATCTCGGAAAGTATTATTTTCTTTGTAGAACATTTAAGAAATAAGCAGCTTTACAATTTTACTTTATGTTATTTTTTGGTTACCCTTATTTTTGGCAGTAAAATCACTACATCAGGGGTGGGTAGGCATGATCTGAACGGCCCGGGAAAAATAGAATCTAGCGTCCCAAATAATCATATCCAATATTCAACAAAAAAATTACTTACCTTAACCTTCGGTGCATCAACACTTACCTCTTTTCTTTATTAAAAAAAAAATATAAATTTAATATTACTCTATTCCAATTTCAATAAAAAAATTTAAGTTGCTAAAAAAAAATGTCTTCCATATACCATTATGGCATTACCTACATGAAGTTCTAGAATTTGAATTTGATATAATAAGGGAAGAGTTTAAATGATAAATGAAATTTCATTTTAATTTTATTTAATTAGTTTTAGTTTCATTTTATTTAGTGATTTCATAAAATAAATGTATTAATGAAGAATTATTCTTGGCATGGAGACAATGATTTTTAAAATCAAACTTTAAACAAAAATCATAAACAAAAATAATACCAACATTTTTGAAAGTGGCTTATTAAGCCCCAATAAATGTTGATTATGTATACTTAGTATTTACTTGATGGGTACTTTATTTTAAGAGGTTTGGTTGAGTATTCGGGAGGAGGTCAAAATCCTCTAAAAGGCCCTCCCCTTTTTGCCCTAATGCATAAACTTAAGAGTAACTTAGGGTTATATCTAACATGTTAGGCACAGGGGAGGCCTCCCCGTACCCAAGCTTATATTAATCCCTCCCTTCCTGATCTATTTTCGAGTAATTGTAAGTACCTATTTAAAAAATAATTGGAATTAAATTTTATTCGATTAATTATAAAAAATGCATACAAATATGTCTACCTAAATATCATTACCTGTACGGTAAAGGTTAGGTTTGGTACTTTTGTTTTACTATTTTGTACTAATGGGAAACTAACGATTGAGCCAAGAAAAATGTCATAGCTTAAAATTGGGGGAGGGAACGGTGAAATGTACGTGACTGAAAAGTATATGTACATTTGTACATACTGCATATTATCCAATAATAATTATACATTTATAAATAATAATAAATTGATAAAAGCTGTAGTTATTTAAATCGGTGTAAATTATAACATGAAAATATGTATCTGCCTAAACTACATAATTTAAATCCAAATAGATTGGTCCGTAATACTATGCATATTATACTAAATAACAACAGAAAGTAGTGACTAGTTAAACAAAATTTCACTGTAACGTCTGTGTTCGATTACTGAGTACGGTGTAGGTACTTTTATTTAGGTATATTAGTTGATGACAGCAACTATGAGTCAAACTCAAAAATAATATTCAAATTCCAAGATAAATACTAGTGATGGTAGTCATATTAGTAGTCAATTTAGTAGTCATACAATGATAATTTATTATGATTTAAACTAGATTTAAATAAAAAATACAATATTATTGTATTTTTTTATTAATTTTGAATATTCGTGTTTATGTACAATAGCAAATAGCAGTATTTTTCATCGGCCCATTTTCGTCAATATTAGTAGCGGCTCACCGGGATAATGTGTTCCAGTGTTCTGGTGGGCCTTTCCGCCCCTGTAATACATAGTACATACATTTGATTTTCAAATGGTCTGTATTACAAATTCCATAAATAATTGCAGTCTTAGTTTAAAAAAAAATGTTAGTGATGACATTTTTGATTTCCGTCAATCCGTTGACAATATACAACTTTTAAGTTTGACTCGGGAGAGAGTAGTGGAACATCATTTGTGTGACGCACGGCACGTGACCATTTTATTGAATTTTTAATATAGGTTGCTATTTAAAAATCAATAATAGTAATTTGTTTTACGCCAAAAATAACAAAAATGTAAAATTGTAGAGCTGCCTGTTCCTTAAATTTTCTATAAAACATATTTTGAAAGAATACTTTTCTAAATAATAAGTGTTTTATGATAAATTAATCACCCTGTATAGCTAGTATTATAATTTTCTGTTTAAAAAATTCTTATTAGGTCCCTACCTATTTTAATTAAACATATTGTATTACCTACCTATAAAAATACTTATTATAATTTATCCAAAATCATGTTTAATTTTTAGATGATAAATGTAAGTTATTAAATAATATTTCTTTACGTAGGTATAGATTCCTATACCTAATACCTTTTCAAGTATAGAATCTAACATAGCATTAGAATCAATATAAATAATAATTACCTACATCATTGATTTATAAATCGAATAGTAGCTACTGTATATCTAAGATTATAGATATATTATATTATGATTAGAGTAAACTTAAGACCTTATTGTTCTTATAAAGTAATAAATATAGTCAATCAATTTTAAATTTAGTCATTATTAGGTAGGTACTCATTTAATTGGTACTTACCTAGATTAGGTAGGTACCTATTAAAAAATACAATTTTTTAAAAATATTGGTAGATATACCTACCTTATCATTTACTTAAAATAAATGCACTTATACAATATCCAAATACACGTATGCAATTATATTTTAATTATTAGATCTGATTAGATATTTTAACATAAGACGTATAATAGTGACTTAAATTCATTATTAAAAGTTTATATTTCTTAAAATTATAAATTATAAAATTGTTTGTATATTTATTATTATATAGCGTTATAATATGTGATTAAAATAGTAGTCGTTTTTCTAATATATTATTAAACATTTTACATAAATGATAATTCATAGGTAGGCTGTAATAGTCAATAGTCCGTGTCATATGATTAATTAAAACAATTTTTTGTGCAAAATACATTTAACAGTAAATTAAATTAAATATTAATTAAAATTGTTTTTTTTTTTTACAGAACTCGCTTGACGAATCATCATCCAGGGGTTAGTTTAATTTAAATTATTTGCTATCACTATACTTACAGTCCAATTGTTACACACTCTTATAATTTTATTAGGTATATAAATAATTATAAAGTTAGTGTATAATTTAAAAATGTAATTTTTGTTATAACTATAAATATTAATGGGTACTTATAGGTACTATTTTTTTAAAAATAAAATTCGGTTCAAAAGTGCAATTATCATGATCATTCCGTCGTAAATAGATTATTCTTCTTTTTACAAGAAATAAAATAGGTAGGTTACATTTTATTAAAATTGATAAAATTCGTTTTATAGGTAGTGAACAAAGTACAGCAAAATTAGAGTATAAAGATTGGGTTATGGTAAAAACATCTTCGGACAAGATAATAGTTTCTCCTGGTGGCAGAGTAGAACTAGAATGTACAGTTTTTGGAAGTCCTGTTCCAGAAGCAAAATGGATTTCTGGAATAAAACTCAATCAAGTAACAGACATTTTAATTAAGTTACCTATGTATTTTATGTTAAGTAATTTTTCCTAATTTTCTTTTAAATACCTACTTATTAAATCTGTTTAGATAACGGTAACTACAGACGAATTTGAAGAGTTAAGAGACTTTCAAGGTGTTGGTAAAGTGACAGTAAGAAAAGTCATAGATTGTATTCAACCACACCACAAAAACGTCTATACTTGTGTTGGCCAGGCAAGAGATCAAACAATGTCAAGTAATCCTGTAACAATTTCAGTTGAAGGTATGAACTGTTAAATGTATATACTTTAATAAACACTATTTGTATGCCAAATACGTATATTAATATTATTTTAGTAGTTATATAATGTATTCCCGTTATACATGGTGAGTTATAACGGCCTTTGACATATGTAAATGGCTTTAAATGTTTAAGTGCCAGATCAAAATACTCTAAAACTTCATGACGACAATTTTTTTACATACGAATTTTAATAGAACCAAACGTTTTAACGTTGATAAAATTAAAACAATATCATTATTATGTATTCACCTACAAAAACTGCTCACTGACTTATAGATAAACTATATTATAAATTACTAGCTATCCCGCACGGCTTTGTTCGTGCACACTATTGAACGAAAAAAAAAATTTTAAATAAAAAACTTTCCGTGACTCCCTATACTGCCGTACCATAGTTAACTGTCTTTACCCTGTAATTATTTTTTTTTAAGGCTACCTCTTTGACGTGACAACAAAATTAATTAATAATAATTTTTTTTTCCATATCACCAAAGTAACCCATGAATCAACAAAAATATTATGTACCAAAAATAATAATAATGTCAGTAACCCTGTTTCAGCCCCTAAGTAGGAGTTAAATATGCAGAATAAGTAGCCTCTATGTTATTTCTTGTCAAGAACTATCTATGCAAAGTTTTAGTTCAATTCATTCAGTATAGCTTTGGCATAGAGTATTAATAAACATCCATCTATCCAAACAAATTTTCAAATTTATAATATTATAGAATAGCATAGGATATTGTATTAAACGATTAAAGATTAATTGGAAATAATGTATTGTTCATCATTCATCAAGTGACGAATTGACTGTAATGACTAATGTTGTGAAGGAACGCGTTTCTTTTCAAATATAGGAATGAGGGACGGGGATGAGTTCCTATTTATCTGTTCTTCAAATTTTCGTTCTTTTTATTAGAAAAATAAAATGAAACTCATGTTATTTTAGTGATAACATTGTTTAGAAATTTTTTAGTGTCGGTATCATACTTCATGTCATTATGATTATAAAAAGACATAAGATAAGCGATGCTTTGTTAAAAAAATTAGTCCTTAAACAAAACAAAACATCAGGGTAATGAATTTGTTTTTTTTTGTTTTTAATTAATAAAATATTATATTTTGAATTTTAAGTAAATTGATGATAAATTTTTTTACAAGTAATATATTTTTTCATCTTTTCTTTTTTAGGGTAGGAAGTAGGAAGTTTATTTCATTTATTAGGATTTTAAACATGTAGATTCTAAGAAATAAGAATAGTTTCCAATTTTAGTTATCCTACCTTTCCAAATTCCCCCAATTAACCCTTCCTTAAACCTATTAACACCAACATTTATTTAAACTAAAACTTTATCTATTTATGGAATTTTTAGTATAGGTTGCTATTTAAAAATCAAAAATGGGGTTATAATTTTACTCCTTAAAATAATGATGACAAAAATAACGATAATGTAACATTTTAGAACTACTTGTTTCTTAATAATTTCCGTGATAATGATTAATGAATACCTTACATTATGTTGACCAATATAGGTGTAATAAATTGGTATAAATAAGATAATTCAAATTTCAAGTCTTGAAACCTTTACCTAAAATTCAAACTTTATATTTTAATATATTATAGTAGAACATTTTTTCTGAACAAATAAATATTGTTAGTATCTCAGTTAATAAAAACTGAAATACCATTACAATACAGTCAAATTTAATCATTTCTGGAAATCAGAAAAAGAAAACATTTTTTCGGGTTTATAAAATTAAAAATTATGTCAATTCCTGTTATAATTTTTAGGCGAAGCAGTTCAGTGTTCCCAGGGAAAAACTAGAATAACAAAGTGGAGTCCAATTATAACACAATTAATGGGTTCAACTGTAATGATCCCCTGCCAAGTGGTCAACAGTGCCCCGTATAGAAAATATTGGAAGGACAACTTTGGCAACATAATCGATACCGACACCGATCCACGACGCAAAGTAAATAATTTCATTTAAAAATAATTCATTGTATGGTAAAGTTATATTATGGTATTTATTTTACAGCTGGGACCTGAAGGCGAACTAGTTTTAAACAACTTAAGCTGGTCGGATATGGGTGAATACGTTTGTGTAGTAGAAAATTCGATCAGCCGAGATGAGACATCTACATTCCTCTATCCAATGCTATCTAATGCTTAAATTATTTTACATATTAATATTTAATATCTTTACCTATCTATATTTATTTATATTCAAATGCAGTATTGAAAACCTGGAATGATTAAATAATTCCATTATTCTTAGTATAGGCGCTTATTATGGAAAAATGGGCACATTGATAGTATCTGGTATTTTATGTTTCCTTACTTTATTTTTTTAAATTATTGCTTGTCTGCGTCTAGTTTTGTATTATTTTAATATTTATGCAATTCATTGAGGGATTATTTATATAACTCAAACTTAAATATTGTATTATTATTTTTTTAATTAATTTAATTATACCTACTATTATATTATTGTTATTTTTGTTTTATTATTCACCTATTACGTGAATACATATTATCCGATTCAACAATATTTTTAAGAGTCACGCCTCCACCTAAATGAGTGGATAGGTGGATTTACAGTGGTATGTATAAGAGTATAACATTTTATTTCCCTACAAAAAATTTTCCCTACTTACCACCACCGCGTCCACCTATCTTAATGATAATTGTTCATCAACAAATCAGCAGGGCCGTACTTAGTGTTTTGGCGTCCTCGGAATACAACTATTTCCGTCAGCCCCCCTTCTCATTTTCTCCATATTGATTCGTAAAAAAAAAAATGCCTGACTGTGTATTTATTTAACTCTATTATTTTTAAAAATGGTAGTACTTACTATACTGCTGTAACTTAAAAGTAGGTAAACCTACTACACTGTAATAATATTTTTTAAATAAAATTAGTTTTTAAAAACACAAACATAATATTATTGATAATAACCCTTTCGTTTTCATAAACAAAAGGAAATTGTTTCCCATGATTGTATATTATTTTTGCCACCTACTAGTATTATTACTGATGTGACGTATTATTTATTAATTATAACACAATTGCCGGTTAACACACATTCTCGAAAAGAAACGGATATTGTTATAGATGTATTTTACTATGTTTTATTTATAATTGTAAAAGTAGAATAATAAACAAATCATGATAAAATAAAACGAATATGAAAAATAATTTGGAAATTACTAAAAACAAAATAAAAATAAAAAAGATTTTTTTTAATCATTTTTTCTATATCCCGGTCAATTACCCATCCGAGCCACTCCTTAAATATGGACCTGCAAATCAGTATTAATAAATTGTTATATTTAGTGGAGTTCTTACCAATTTTTTGAAAATATTCTACAATGTAATATTACAACATCCTATGTCTTATACAAAGTATTTTATATCTTTCTTATGGTTTATACTGTTTATAATGAAAATTGAACCCCATGAAGGAATAAAACTCCGGAACTCGAATATTCCATTATTGGCATATGCCGATGATATAGTACTGATGGACGAATCTCAAGCTGGAGTTAAACGGCTCTGTGACAGACTTAATGACGCAGCATAGAAAGTAGGACTACAAATTAATGAACAAAAAACTGAATATATGATTATAGGTAGACAAAATTGGGTGGATCACGTTTTAGAGGTAGATCATTTTAAATTTAAGAGAGTCAATTCTTTCAAATATCTTGGCTCAATTGTGACTGAAAAAAATGATATCACCCAGGAAGTAGCCGCGAGAATCCAAGCGGGAAACAGGACTTATTATGGTTTCGAGAAACTATTAAGTTCTAAATCATTATCAAGAGAGATAAAGAGACGTTTGTATACTANCTAGAAAGGAAAATATTACGAAAGATCTTCGGTCCAATAAAAGATAACATCACAGGAGAGTGGAGAAGAAGGAAAAATATAGAGCTACAAGAAATTTTTAATGAAAATAACATAGCAGAGACGATCAAGAAAAAAAGGTTGCGGTTGGCAGGACATGCAATGCGAAGCCAGAACTCTTTACTAAGAATGGTTTTAGAACAGAATCCAGTAGGAAAAAGGCCTTTGGAAAGACCAAAATTTAGATGGGAAGATTTAGTTACGAGAGATATAGAAGACTTAGGAGGCGGAGCAAACTGGAAGGATTTGGCGATGAATAGAGATGCCTGGAGAATTGGTTGTGAGACGGGATGGTCCTAGCGGCCGATTAACCCAAGAAGAAGAAGATACTGTTTATAATGAAATAGAAATTAATTATACAAAAAAGTATATTGAAATTACCAAAACAAAACATTCTAAATAAGTGAGTACTATAAATTATTAGGCAATTGCGTATTTTTTAGTTTTAATTACTGAAAAAAATACAAGTTTTATTACTATTTCGGGGTTAGTGACATAAATGGTATCTATCAACGGGCAATAACAATTATATCTATATATTGACGGATTTTTTTTTTATATATATCTATAGATGCGTGATTTTTATGCGTGACAAAATATTGAAATTATAAGGCGTATATGTAGTATACTGGTCCTAGACCTTATGAGAACACCACTCGTCATATAAGTTAATTATTTAGTAGGTAATAATTATTACTTCAAACTCACGCTGTTCTAAAATCTTTCCTATCAATTTTGTCTGAGGCCTCAAAAAACAGTTTTTGACACTCCACTAGGTAACGGATATATTTTTTTAATTGTTTATTTACCTATTACACTGTAATAATATATTTAAAATATTCAAATATTATAAAATATACAGTTTAATGAAAAAAGAAATATCAATGCGTCCTACTTTATATTTATTATGTACCACTGTACACTATAGATTTAGGTAGAGATTGGTATAGGTATAATGTATACCTATACCATATTAGATACCATATAGATATACCATACTGTATACTATACCATATAGATATTCAAATAAAATTAATGAAGTAGATTTTATGTACAAACTTCGATTCCTTAGGTAAACATGGTTCAACACGACACTGATCTGAAGTTTAAAAATCCTTGAAAATACTAATAACGATGTTATATATTTTTGTGTATAACCACTACAATACTACAAACCATTTGGTTGAAATCACCTTGCAGCTATTCAAACTCGAGTAAGCATCACTTAGTGTAAGTTGATCAATAATTTTATTATAAGTATGTCATATTCTGTATCACGTAGGTACTTACTCCAGAAATTAAATAGAACTATTTAGGAATCGTGGAACGTAGGAACGTTTAAACTTACACCAAGACCGTGCCTCAAAAAATAGTTACATATCTAGGTGGTTTGCTCAGTAAATATATGTATTTAACATGCAGGTGTGATTAGGTCCATATGGAAAAAGTTATCTATAACCTAAAGATGTCAAATTTAGTTGAAAACTTAAAAGTAAAAAGAGCTGATACTGGGAATAGGAGCGGCCACTGTTGTAGGTGAGAAGTTGGGAAGATAGAATACAAAAGATTATTTTATTTATATTTGTAAGCAACGATAAACTATTGCTTGACGAAAGACGATTTCGAACGCAGTTGCGATGATTTTGGAAATTTTACCACGTCTAAGTAAGTCCAATATAAGTATTATTACCAAGTTTTAAATCTCTGCGTGTACTTATAACTGAATTACAGTAAAAAAACTCCCAAAAATGATCTATATAGTATAATTAGTATAATATAATATATCTGTGGTTCATGGTTATTTTGAAGTAGTATAATATTATAACCTCAAAGTAAGTCTGTAGGGCAGCGCTCAATTTTACAATGGTATTATTTGGAAATGAATTCCTCTTACTAGCGGAATGCTGATAGTTGCTCAATCTTATCTTTTAAGACCGTGATGAGGTCTATGTTTGTAACGTTACTAACATGTCTTTATCAGTAGGTATACCTGATATTTGGTAAGACTATAGACATATTTGTTTATAATAAGTAAGAAACATTAAAATTCGCGCCAAAACTGATCTTTTTAAATTACTTAAATATTAAAAAATTATAAGTCCTAAAATAATGAATAAAAAAAAGAAAAAACTATTTTTTCAACCAGACAAAACTATAGAATTAGGGAAAAATGTTGATAACCCTCTATTGTATTATAATCAAAATTTTAAGTTGAATCCCCCCCCATTAGGAAATCTTGACTATACCACGACTAGTAAAAGGTATTTAATTTTCTTAATTTGTGGTACGTGTGCTTCTTTTAGCAGTATAATTACTTTGTGGTATTTGTATATTGTAAGAATTACACGCACTGGAATAAACTATACGATACAAATAATGTTATGTTTAATACATGGTCTGTAGTTGTATTCTTCACAAATAATGTTATCAGTTATCAGTGATTAAAAATTCCGGCACTCAATTGCCTATCGGTGTTTCTTAAATTATTCTTTCATTACACTCGTATTATTAATCTATTTTATTAGGTATATTAATTTCAAGCATGTTTTAAGTGTGATTTTATAATAAAGAAGAAGATTTCTGTTCATAATGGACTTAGGCCCAAGACCAATCATTCAGGAATCATCAGAATCAGATAATGAGGTAATATATAATGTTATTTTGAATAACTTTAGTTTATAAAATAAGGTCTAATAATAGTTTATTTTAGAATATAGATACATAATTATAAATATACTGAATATTGTCTGTTTAATTTTAGTCTGAGCCAGATGTATTGGTACTGGATACTGATAATGATTTTTCTGAGATTGAAGATCCTTGTAAGCCTACTGTTAATCGCAACAATATAGCGTCAGTTTGGAGAGATATTGTTGTCGGAGAACAGATGGAAGGATGCCTAACTCGTCTTGAAGTAACAACTAACACTGGATATGCTGATATAGATGATCCAAATCACAGTTGCCGTAATCCATGTTACTCACAGATGTAGTTACCTTTTAAATATTTAATATATGTTTAAACTTGTATCGTTTTTAAATTTAACGGAGCATTAAAATAATTACAAGTTAAAAAACTGCATAAATCTAGTTTAGTGCCCATGCGATTTTTTTTCAAAATGTTTGGTTTTATGTGTACATTAAGAATATAAAAAAAAAAATTAAGGCATACAAACTTTGTTTTGAAATTATGAAGTTAAACTTTAGAAAGTTCGGGTTTTCCGTTTCGAGTATTTCTTAGTTAGAATTTAACATTTTCAAATTTTTTGTTTTCAAAATGTGTGTTTTTTAAATACTTAATGTATTGTTATAATCAAAATTTACCTATCATACTTTTATAGTTTTTATACATAAATCTTGAAAAATAGCATTTTTGGAATTTATCCAAAATATAGTTCTATAATTGACATTTCTTTTTATTATTATTACTTTTAATTATTGAAATTTTTTAACAAATTTATTAATTTTATTACAAAGTTTATTGAGGTCAGAATAAGGCTATTTGGCTTGGTTTTAGAGTTACAAACGTTCAAACGCAAAGTGTTATGCTGCGCTACATGAGCGATTGACCCAACCAGGTTTCTCTAGGTGCCCCTAAATGCTTTTCACTTTTCCCTGTTATTTACTCGACGTGGTTTTGCACCAAAAATTGAGGGTTATTTCCGATTAAAATTGTACGAGTCAGCGCAATGTAACACTTCCCATTTGAACGCTAGTAACCCTGAAACTACTTCAGATAGCCTTATTCTGACTTCAATAAAAAACTTTGCTATCAAAATTTCAATAATTACAAATAATAATAATAATAATAATAATAAAAAAAATGTCAATTTTTGACCACATTTTGGATGAATTCCAAATATGCCATTTTTAAGGTTTATGTACAAAAACTATAAAAGCAAGTATGACAGGTAAGTTTTGATTATAATATTGATTAAGCTTTAAAAAATACACATTTTGAAAAAAAAAAAAATCAAAAAATAGAGTGGGCTCTAAATTAAATTTGTTCTAAAGAAACTATAACAGTAGAATTTATTATAATTATCTCATATGGTGTAGTTGATTTATTTTTATTCACATTTAAAATGGTTAATATGAGACTATTTTATTTATTAGGGACTAGATTAAATGTAAAATACATTTTTTTTTTTTGTATGATCTTAGACAATGTATTCCAAGTACATAATTTGTTTCATGTAACATACTTCAAGGCGAATCTTTTATTTTGTCTTTTTCAGTCATTTTGTTAGTTTTAATATATATATTAATATATAAAATTATATAATATATATATATATATAATTTGTACATTATATAATTTAATAATTGAAATTTAGCCAATTCAAAATATTATCGTAAGATATTTGGTTTCCTTTAATGTTTAGTTTAATAGGTTTTCAGGTTTTTCTTACAGTGTGTCAACTGTTCAAGGATTTTGATAACATTTTTATTTCTTCTTTATTAATGATTGTGAATGATTTATGTGTCCATTAATACCATTGTTGCAGCATCAAGTCAAATTTTTCATTAATTTTTTTTTTAAATTTAATGTAGGAACTATAGCCAAAAACGAAAACGAGATCAAAATCAGGAAACAATTAAAAAGACTGAAAATATAACTGATGCGTAAGTATCAATTTAGATATAAATGCAGTTAAGCTCCCAAGTAATTTTTTGGATTTTTTTTCCAAAATGTGTGTTTTTGCATGCTTAATTTGATGGTATGTTAAAAAAAAAAAGTCTCATATTTCATTGGGAAGTTATAGTTAAAAAACTTCTAAATGCTCGATTTTTTTAAAAATCGTGTTTTTGAGTTTAAAATATCAAAAATTTACTTTTTTGGACTTTTTTTTCGTTTGGTGTGTTATTACATAAAGAAGTTTTCGGATGCTAATTGCCAAACTTAACACATTAAAATGCGCTCATGGACATCCTCTCAAGTTATGTTTGAAAGTTAAGTATATTGACAGATGTATATGGAGATGTCGAGATTATTCCAAGAATTCACATAAAAAAAAGTAAATTTTAAAACTATGAAATATTTTATTATTTATAATAATAATTTGACATTATAATCATTGTATTAATTTTACCATGCCTTTCATTATAATTAGGTTTTACGTGGTTTATTAAAAATAACATTAAAACTACGTATGATAAGTGAATTCTGATTCACCAAAATGTTAAGCATATAATTCCTATCATAAAAATAAAATTACAAAAAATTAAAATTTTTGGTATTTTAAACTGAAAAACACGATTTTAAGAAATAGTGAGCATTTTGAAGTTTTTGACCATAACGTCCCAATGAAACTTTAGCAAATTTTTTTGAACGTACCTTTAAATTGAGCATGGAAAAACACATAATTTGAAAAAAAAAATATAAAAATATCGCTTGGAACGTAAATTGCATTCGTTCCTCAATTTATTACTATCTAACCTTCATTTCTTCTTTCTCTTTCACCTTTGCAGTTGCTACAAAATCCCTTCTAGATTCTCTATCTTGGGTGTACTATTCAATCTAAACAAATAAAATTATTTTTTTAGAAATTGTGATTTGGACTTGCACTCTGTTGTGAAGAAAATTTGTACTAATAGTGATAATAGTGATACTAACAAAAGTAAATCTAAAAAGAAGAAAAAAAAAAAGAAAAAGAAAAATAATAGTAACAATCAGACTTTGAATCATTTGCCTAATATTATTAATCTAGAAGAAAAACTATTGATTGAACTTTCAAATGATTTGTGTACGAATCTTTGTGAGTACAACAAGGATTTAATGTGTAAGTACCTACAATTACTTAGGGGGATTCATCTATGTAAAACTTAAAAGTCATATAAATAATTTTAGAATAGAAGATGATTTCACCATGTTCTTGTCCAGAAAATAGTGCTAAAAATCAGGCACCAGACTTAGAATCTGAGTCTCTTGTTGGTTGATTGTTCTACCAACTGAGCAATCTAGAGTCTGACTTCTAACACTATTTCCACTGGATTAGAACGCTCTAATATCTTGGGTTTGGGAGGTTCGGTGGAGTAATCGCATGTAAGGTTTAGGGGATGCTTGAGGTTGTATCGAAGAAGTATATTTATAACAAAACCTTAACAATAATATTATTTTTAAATTTAATACTATGTATGTTATGTATGTTTTGTTTATAGTGTCTGTTATTTCCAAACTTGACAGAAAAATTATACTTGAAAAATATAATAAGACTCGTTTAATAGTAGCTAATGGTGGAGAAATGACAAAGGTTTATTAATTATTAATTAAATAATTAATAATTAATTTTTATACAAATTGTAATTTACTCATTATATTTTTGATTTAGAATGGTGATCGTAAACGTACACCTGGAGGAGTTTTTTTTAATTTAATTAAACAGGATAAGTCAATTCCAAATAAAGCGAAAATTGATTTATATGGCTTTTCTCAAAATAAAACTTTGAAAAATAAAATTAAACAAGAAAAAAGAAAACGAAAAAAAGAAGAACTAAAAAAAATTATTTCTCGGGACAAGAAAGAAGGTATTCATAATTAATTCATTTTTTTTAGTTAATCAGCATGAAAAATATTACATGACAAACCTCATAATACAATAACCAATGAAATTAATCTTTATTTCAGTAAAATTAAAAAATATATAATAGGTAATTTTTTAACAGTTATAAGTATTTCAATTTTAATAAATTTATTTACTAATAAAACAATGATTATACAATTAAATCATAAAAGAAATACTATTGGTTTGCCCACTAAAAACTATGGGTGTGATGTGAGTAGTAATAAAGTAGTTTGTAATAATAAATATAATACTAGGTATAATAAAAGTAGCAGTACCTATTTCTAAAAGAAGAAAATAAGGATGAATATTAAACATTTTTTAAAGAGAAAAATTTAAAAAATCTATAGTATAAATTTATTGTTGATGTAATTTAAAGTTATTACCAAAAGAACATAAATTAATTTATAGAAAAAAAAAAATTTTACAAAATACAAATTATATATAAAACTAATTAAATTACCTTCTCATTCTTGGGATAGTAATACTAATTGAATTATTGTTCCTATATATCCATATATTATGTTAAATTTATGTGAAGTTAAGTTTCAATAATTTCTTTAAATTGAAAATACTAAGGACTTTTAAATGATATGATCTATACTTAATTTATAACTATACTGCCCTCAATCATCAAAAACGCCAAGTTACTAAAAAGAATTCAAAAAAATGTTTTCTAATTCATAACACCTTGTATATTTTACTTCTTAATATATATTTGTATACTTAATTTTGCCTTATAAATGCAATGGAAAAAAATAATTTTTGAAGTACTTATCAAACTTTTTATATTATAAATATATTTATAATTTATATCTTAACTATTATTTTTTGATGATTTTACAAATATATTTTGCACATTTCACATTATGATAAGCAAACCCACAATCTGTACTAAGTATAAATGTCAAAAATTATTATTTTTATTATATACTAAGAAAAAATGCTGGATCTAAATCATTTTATTTGGAGTTTTTGATTAGTAGGGTTATTATACGGCATTTTTACTAAGCTAACTTTTACTATTTACGTCCTGTAAAAACAAATATTGTTAATAGGATTTTTGATGGACAATATTTCAGACATGTGGCATATTGATTTAAATGGTCTAAACTTCACAATTTTTTTGGACTTATTATGGTGTTTTGGGTTATGTGGTTTTTTGTCATATTATTATTATAATAGTTAATTATTTTTAAAGTAAGACAACTATTGTGAATATTACTGTTAACTAAGTTACTTTATTATTATTCATAAAAAAAAAAATGTATCTAATTAGGTAATTTGATTATAGTAGAGTAACAAAATAGGTAATCTGGCTTTTTAATTATAATATGGATTTTTTTCTTCATAACATAATTCAACTTAAAAAATACTTTTAAAAGTTTTAACTTAATTTAATTACATTTTTCAGCTGAAAAATTGAAAAAGTTAACTGAAGAACCAGTGACACAACCTTCAGTTTGTATGATGGAAAATATAGAACTATTTGATTAATTGATTTATGGTTTGCATATAACTAAATTATATCGTTTTCACATCTAGATATAATTTAATATATTGGTTTATTTATGTTATTTTTTTTAAATTTAATTATTTAATGATTAACTTAATTAAAAAAAAATTCTTGAATATAATTAACAAAAATAAGCCTCTATATTCCTTTTAAAACAGTATATTTTAAATAATAAAAACATGTGTATTCAGTAATGTAATACTTTTGTAGAACATTTTTGACATTGTTTTTTTTTCTGTAGAATTAAAATATAAACTTGACACTGAGATTTTTGTATTTTATGTCACTATTTGATTAGTTAAATATAAGTCAAGTACATAATTATTGTATAGTAGTAATATATTTTCTATTTTATTTATGGCCTACATAGCATATATATGTATGTATATATATGCTGTATTCTATACTACTGAACCACAATAGATTAGTCTCCTTTATAAACAACAACATTTTTATCAGTTTCATATAATTTGATTTTATACAATAAATCAGGATTATTTAAGACTTTTTTTAACTGCTGCCATATAAAAATAGCTACATTTTCAGTTGTACTAACATAATCTTTAAAGTAAGGTACATCCATATCCAAATTTTTATGATCCAATGTCTCCAGCACAGCAAAGTTAATATGCTTTTTTAAATCTGCTATGTTCATAACCATGCCAGTGGTTTCATCAACTGGTCCTCTGACTGTTATTTCAACTGTAAATTTTTATACAGTTATTCAATCAAATGTTATAAATATTTACAAGTTACATGATTATTAGTTATTAGACTATAATAAATTAATATAGTCTAGTATACACTTAAGTACCTAGTGAACAACAGTTTGACAAAAATTAAAAAAAATATATTTAACTAGGTATAATTTTTAATCAAATAAGTCTTTCAGAAAATAGTTCACATACTCATTATTTGTAAACTATGACAATATAGTAGCAGAAAAAGTAATGAATTAATTTATAATTTTGAAATTTAACCTTCCTGAGGGCATATTATTTCAAATTCTGGAAAATTATAGTATAATATAAAAATTAAATTTTAAATTCTGATTTATTCAAATTGTTTGTGGTAGTAATATTGAAATCAATACAATATTTATCAATTAAATAAAACAGAACCTTTAAAATACAATTTCATGTAGAAATATGTACACAAAGTGTATTTCGAAATGTATATGTTACGGATAATGTTGTGAAATCGGTTAATGTCATTATAATTATATTTAAACCTATTTTGTTCTGTTAGTTTTAATATTAGAGGATATTTGGCCTATTAACTAACTTAAGGGTAAGCATGTTGTTTGCGTTTGTACGTAGGTTTTTCTCAATATTTTAATTTTAATCCAGATTTGACGATTTTTAAATTGTAATATTTCACTTGTTTGTAACTAGCCTGAAAATTAAAACACCAATGTACAAAAACTGATAATGTTCTTACCTTTAAGTTTGATAATATGCTCATACACTCTAGTATTAAAACTAACAGCACAAAATCGGTTTTTATATACAATAAGTATAAATATAACGATATTAACCGATTTTACAGTATTAAACTATATTCTATTAAATTAGAAGATAGCAATTTTATAGAGTTAATTTTCTGAAAATGTTATTATATCAACTTTTTATTTTTATTAAATTTGTTATTTTTAATATTTTTAAAGTTCAGAAAAAAGAAATATACAGTCAATTAATTGTAGTAATAATAATAATCAATTTAAAAATGTGATAATAGGTGCAGTACTTTTCTTTGAACTTCAAAATATTAAAAATCACAAATTTAATGAAAATAAAATATGGGTATATCTTTGTGTTAAGGTACCTTTAAAAATAAAATAGGTACCTTTGTAATTATGCCCATGACCATATTTATTGTTACATTTACCAAAAATCTTTACATTTTCTTCATCGCTTAAATTGTTGCTGAAAAAGTAAACAATTAAAAGGTTTATGGATATATATTCAATGTTAAATAAGTAATATGGATTATATTTAAGCATGTAAGTAAGTAAAAATATATTATTTTGCTTCACATAATTTAAAATGGTTACCTAAATCAAGTATATTAATTATTGTTATTTTTTGTATGGCATTAGCAGAACTTATTATACAACAGCATAAAATAATTCATTAACATGAGTATGTAAAATAAATAGCGATAATAATAATTAAATCGGTAACTAAGATTAATCTCTGTTCAATAAATTATTCCTTATGTTATCCCTACTATTATAATGTATTATAATTATTTATGTAACATAAATGCTAATTTCTAATGAGTAGGTATAATATTATATGTAGGTGTTAAACTGTTTTTAATCTTTTAGAATTCTATAGAATTCTATAGGATGGTGTAACAAGTGTAATAATTGAAAAGTTATTAAAACCATACATCCCACGGCAAAGTAAAATTTTACTACTACTATATTATTCCAATATGACTTCAAAAGTATGAGAAATAAGCCATTATTTATACATTATATAATAAAATCTATTAAGACTACCTGTGGAGCCGGTGAGAGGCACTGAACTGCTCAATACGGGTGATATAAGCTGAAGGCGGCATTATGTCTGAATGACTGTTGGTTAGATACTGACAGAATATAAAGGAAAAAACTATTGAAAAGAAAGGTAGACGTTTAAATCAATAGAAAGTTATATTAAAAACACTGCCATCTAGTTGAAATGACTATGTACTATTGGATACTTTATTAGGTAGGTAACTGGTAATTATTAATAAAGCATAATTTATATAATATACTATAAATTATAATGTGTACCTATTTACTTGTTTTAACTTTTAATATCATTCAAATTTGTAATTGGTACTCTAATCGTTTTTTATTATACATTTTACTACTGAATATTATTAGCTAGTAACTACCTATAAAACTTCCTGACAATATTTATGTTATTTTGTTATTTTATATAATACATTACCTAACAAATAGCTATACATATTATAATTTGTTTACTATTTTAGTTGATTTGTTGTTATTTATAGAACTTTATGAAATTAAAAAAAAAAACTTACAATAAGCCACATAATGCATATGCTATAGGGTAGGTAAGTAAAGTAATTCATGAAATTGACGGGGAAATAACAAGTTTTTTCAAACATTTGTACTTATATTAAACCTTACAATAAAGTACCATATTTATAAAGAAAAAAGAAAAAAAGAGCTGCTACTGCTGATGAGTGAACTATTGTTGTATGTGAGAAGTTGGGAAGGCAGGAATAGAGGAAAATTTAATATATACCTAAATATAATGATTAATTATTGCTAACGAAAAGATTCTGAGCGGAGTTTGGTTAGGTACCTATATATGTTTTGAAAGGCTATAATATTTATGCTTTTGTCAAAATTTGATAATAAAATTCTTATAAGTAAAAAAAATTTTTGTTAATCACGAATAACAATTTATTTTGAACTTCCTGTTAAATTTTTAAGCATTTCTGTTTGGTCAAATAATTTTATTAATAGAACTACTGTTTATCTACTGCAACAGTTCCCAAACTTGGGCTATGGCATTCATAGGAAAAAGTTTGCGTTTTATGGAACCCCAACTCTAATTGAACCCTAATATTGAAAATTCAATACTTAAAAAAATGTTTAAAAGATAAAAAATTGCAAATAGTAAAAGCAATATTATTCTCGTAAATTTCCTCGGTTTTTTTACGTTGTTTTTCGGTTTCGCTCAATTATTAAAAAAAAGTTACCCGGAAAATTAAAAAACGTTTTTTTTTATTTACTAATTAGATTATAAATGTAAGTAACAACAATGATTTCTTGTCGTTTTAGATTCTGAGTGGAGCGAAGAAGCTTATGGTTTTACAATGATATTTACTATTTTTTTCATCTGTGAATAACTTTTCTACTAGAAATATTGATTCGATTTACAAGTTTAACACTTTTGAAAGGAAATTAGGCACTGCGGTGGTACTTTAAGGAGATCATTTTTTTTGGTTTTCGCATTAGTTTTCTCAATATATTGGAAAAACCGGAAAAAAGAGAACGACAAAATAGTAATCAAAGAAAAATTTTAATGTATAGGTATGTAATATGGTCAGAAAAGGCACTACATGCTTACATTTGGTATTTCGGAGCTATATTTCTGGTAGAAGTCTCAGATACACATGAAAAAAAAAAAAAATAATAAAGCAAAACTGTAATAATTTAAAGTAATGAAATTTGTAATGTCGCTATGTGTCGTAAATATTTATCCGTTTTTTCCGGTTTTCCCAATTAGTATAAAAATCCCTCGGAAAATCAAAAAAATAATATTTAAAAATAGTTAATCATTATAAGAAGAAAATAACTATTCAATTTTTTAAAATTATGTAACAGTAGAATGGTAATTCATATGCGTTTTTTCTCTAATATCACATTTATACGGATTCAAGAAAATCTATACAATACGGTTGTTACCTAGTACCTAGTTCCTACGTCCATCTACTCCTAATATTGCTACTTTGTATGGGTTATACTAGACTCAACATGTCTACATTTATTGAGTGATTCGTTTACCATAATCCAGCGATTTTCTCAGAGTAAATTTCATTTTTTTTTCAATCATTGTGGAATTGTATTATAGTTTTGTTTTAACAGTTTTTAAGTTATTTATAGATGGTTGAAATTTTGTTGGTTTTAAGTGAACAATTTTTAAATACTCGATAGATGTTCGCAAATTGTACACGAGGGTCCCCATTAATTGTTCTATTAATTTAATTAAATTAATTATTAGAATTTGTAAAAATCACGGACAATTTGGCGTACTACTATGACTGCACGTACATATTCCATTTATGTGAATGAAACTTGTTTGGCTTCATAAAAATGTTTAATATTTTGTTACAAGAGGTTCGTCGTAAGTTGCACTTATAGGGATAAAAATAAAGTAGTGAGCAGTATTTACTTATATCCACGTATAAAATTTGGAGCCAGTACGCACCTCGCAACAACTTATAATAATATTGATTAAAACATATGTTCTTAATTACTATAAATATATATTTAGGTATCTACAATGTAGGTAACATTACACTAATCAATATACTATAGTTATTAATATTGAATTGATTTATAATGATCTTTTAAAATATATAATATATATTAGCTGTTCCAATCAGCGTTGCCCGTGCCAAACTAACGTGTAATAAAAACGATTTCCCCCCTGGATTTTTCGTTTCAATCCTCGTCGCTATGGTTGTAGTTCATTTTTAAAATGCATTATTTTCAATTTTTCTTTTCAAACTCATACAAATTGATTATATGGTTACTAAACAATGAAAAATATCTAATAAGTTATTTTTTTTTTATCTAGCTCAAACTACAGCAGGTTAGGTTTACTTCTATTCCACGAGTCAGATTGATATTTTCAATAGCTTAATAGCGCCTCCGCAATATATTCTTTAATTAAAAAAAAAAAACCGCATGACGATTGGGTGAGTAGTTTTGAAGCCAACCCGTGACAAAGATTCTCACTTTCGCTTTTATATATTGTATACGTACATGGCTATTTGCTATGACTGAGACTTGTGAGATAGATTTACTATGACGTCGAGTCGGTGTTGGTCACACTCGATACAAAATAATATGTTGTATTACTCTCGTGACACCCTATGGTAGATCTTTATTTATTAATTTTGTGTCAGATGGACACTTTAATTTTAGGATAACTTACACGGATTATTTTAGTAGATATTTATTTAACCATAAATCAAAAAAAAAAAAAAAAAAATTTGATCACTGTACTAAAAATATCAATAATCACGTGTCAGCTACTCAATCACACTTGCAACGTCATTTATCAGGTCCAATTGTGAATTTAAACCATCCAATTAAAATAAGATTGAAACAAACAAAAAATTTCATCAAAATCAGTCTAATCGTTTAGGAGGAGTTCAGTGATATATACGCGGACAGAAGAAATATGTATAAGGGTGGTTCTTATTCGGGTGATAGCGGAATTTTTGTTTTGACGCTCCCGAACTTCATTTAAAAAAAATTAAAATAAATATTGATCCCTATTTGAGTTTCCTAAGATAATTCTTAAGTTCTCCTGTAACGAGGTAAAGTTTTCCATTTAAAATACATATGTTTTTTCGTTTATTTTGAATTTTATTTACACAGAAAAATAGAAAAGAATGAACGACTCTATAAGGCGTTACTTTATATTATAAGAAAAGATTATTTGGATCAATTTTTTAAAACTTTGATTTTAACGGTTTTATTGTAAAATATCTAAACAAAATAAAAATAAATCGCATCAGAGAATTTTGTTTCTTATAGCCACATGTAAAGTAACACACCGTAGAGTTAGCCATTATTTTCTGAAACACTCTATATACAGCATATAAAGTTGATGAAAACAATTTTTCTTGTATGGAAATGATCAAAGTTAAAGGGCGCACTTTAATAAGTGGGGAAAAAAAAATAAAAGTCTATCGGGTATTCCATATCACTTTATTACTGATAATCAAGGTTCGGGACTTATAGCACTTGTAATAATTTAAACATTATTCCCTACAAAGGAGAGCAATTATTTTTAATTCTAGCTTTACCGTGAACAAAAACAAAAAAAAAAAAAAACAGAAATTAACTAAAACGTCTAGGTTTTTGTCAGTGGCTACTGTGATAATTAAGCAGAAATATGCAAAAAATCAAAAATAATTAGAAAAACTTGGAAAAAGCAATTTGATTAATAACAATCGAAATAACCTAAAGAAAGCACTTTTAAATTTCATATTCGAAATCATTGTAACATGATATGAGTTTCCCTAGCACTCTGCTGGATTTTATGTTAGGCCAAACAAATAAGCAAATGCTATAAGTCCCGAACCTTGCTGATAATTATTCATTTTTTCTTAGTTTCCAAAAATATCGTCAATTTTTCCAGATGATTTTTGGCGTGTAGCATCTTTGAAAATCGTATAAGTATCGAATATGGGTCACTCTGAGTCAATTAATAAAATCAAACCAAAAGTGTACAGATTTACATTCAATTTTCCCTCTACCTTCCCAACATTCTCACTTATAACAGTGACTCAGTCATGTATGAAGTATGTCCGTCTTTTTTATATTGGACTCTGTTTGATGCCCTGAAAAATCCGAAAAAAAAAAAAAATATAAGACGTCCCGTGTAATAGGCAGTATTACAGTCGGTGGCGTGTGCAGGAATTTTTAATATAAGGAAATGTAGCCTTTCATAATAATACCAGACAACAGTAACAAAAACAAATTATTTAATTTGCGAGCGTGATGTATTTGTATGTTTTATCTTTCATGTGAGTTAAAAGCAGAACATTTTTGGATATACATAGCAGATTGTTTAGATATTTTAGCAACGATAGGACGTAAATGGTAGGTATAAAATACACATAATATATGATATTAGTGTAATAAATATGTATTTTTTAAAAAACAACAACGAACAAAAATAAATAAACAATAATTTAAATAGTATACAAATACATAAATAGGTAGATACTTACAATAAAAGTATTTTTGATAAATAAACATATTTAAAAAAAAAAAAAAAATGATAATATTCTTACATGTAAGACATATGATATGGACTAGACTTATATAATACTTAATACATTTTTACACTGATATGTCCGTCTGGTATATAATACAGGGTTATAGTGTTTCAGTATGATTTAGCAATACATTTTATTTTATAATCAATTTTTTTGTACATTGCTACCAAGGTATAATATTACATACCATTTTAAAATTGTATCTTGGAATTAAATACATTTTGATCAACTATTAACAGTTATGTAATATGGATGGCTAGGCAAAATCACATTTTATTTTCACCATTTTCAAAAAAAAAAGTGTACAAAATTAACATAAATTACATGAATCGCTTTGTACAAATTTTAAAATTGTCCAAGAAAAACAAATATACTTAGTACCTAAAAATATTAAAAAACAAATTGCATGTTAAAAATTAATGTTGAAGTGTTAGGTACCTATCATCTATAAGATTATAGAAAAAATGTATGTAATATTATAAAACTAGTGGTTTAAGGAGTTTTTTGTCTTTCATAAAAATTGTTAAAATTTGAAAATGTGTTCATTCTGCATTTAGTGATTCATATATGAATAATATATTAGGGTGGTTCTTATTTGGATGATGGTGAAATTCTTTTTTTGACGCCCTCTAATTTTGTTCGTAAGAAAAAACTGAGCCCTATTTGAGCTTCCTAGGTTAATTTTTTCGTTCTCCTGTAACGAGGTAAAGTTTTCCATTTGAACTATACAACAATACAAGTATACAAAGCATTCTACATCACTTTCTTTCTGTTAATTATTAATTTTTTCTCGGTTTCCTTAAATTTGGTCAAAATATCGGGAAAATCAATGAATTTTTAGCGTGGTAGATCTTTGAAAATCGTATAAACACATCGAATATGAGTCATTCTGTATTAACTATCAATGTAAACTCTATTAATAATTATTTAATCGATAAACATTAATTTTATCTAATTAATATTAACACTTTATATTAAAATTATTAAAGTTTACAATAATTAAAGTTATTGTATGGTTTATTTAAAATAACATAGGTATTTGCTACATCAACCGAAAACGGGTGACAACATGTGATTACATTAATAGTGACAACTTTGGAATTGATATTTTTCCGATACTCGCGTAATACACAATCTGGTTTCATTTAGTTTGTGATATACTGAATACTGATATAGGTACCTACGTAACTAACAGTAACTAATCGGTTATTGTAATTCCAAATTTAAGGAAATCGAGAAAAAATAAATAATTTACAGAAAGAAAGTGGCATAGAATGTTTGATATTCTTATACATTTGTTTTCATCCCCTTATAAAGTATTTTCTCTTCGATAATTTCCATGCGAGAAAAATTGTTTACGTTTATTTGTTAACAATTCGTTATGCCTTATGTAAACAAAATTCAGAATAAACGTAAAACCAATGTATTTTAAATGGAAAATCTTACTTCGTTACAGGGGGATTTAGTCCTAGGAAGCTCAAATAGGGCTTAAAATATATATTTTTTTTTCGAATAAAGTTAGGGAACGTCAAAAAAATGTTCACCATCGCCCAACTAAAAACCACCCTGGTATATACCTACATAAAAATTTTAGCCACCCACAAACGGTCTCAAAATCAACAAAAGTAAACACATACTATACTGAAACGCCGCTTGTATATGTATTTACACATTATATTATTTACATATTATTATTATTTACAGGGTGTTGGTAAAAACGTTTGTGTACGCGCATATCGCTTATCTCGTTATTACTACTAATGTAATAATTATACTAATTAGGGATTTGTCCCGGATCCCGGGAATAAAGACCAATAGCCCTGCGATTATGTTATGAGCTCTGAGTTTCAGACCGATCGTCCGCGTATATTGCGTCAACCAGGGGCGATTTTTGACTGGTCGCAAATGAGAGGCCGAAAAGAAATTTCCCTTTTTCAATTATATTGTTAACGAACAATCATAACGATAAACGACAAAATCACGGCTATAAGTAATAGGTATTTTAACGTTTGTTCTCACGGAACAGAAACAGCTACCAGAAACAAATACCCGCAATATTTTAATATCGACGACGACGTGTCTCTGCAGTACCCATGTGTAAGTCAAAGCGCTCGCGCGCCCGGGCGCGAACCGGTCTTATCTACAGCCGCACTCTTCCACGGTCATGTCCGGGTACGTTTTCACGACCAATTTGCCCTCGTCGTCCAAGTAGAGTAACGTCTGCGGCCCGAGTTTGGTGGGCACGCAACACGATTTGGTGACGGACGTCGGATTGAGGTGGTTCATAAACGTCTGCATGACCGCGTGGTTGGTCGCGTTCATGTGCTCGGCCAACGGATACTTGCACGCACCGTAACAGTAGTACGCGGCGTATCCCTGGGGCGCTTGGATCCAATCGGTGAAACCTATCGATTGGAAATCGACCCACAGCGGATGTCTCTGACATATTTTCGGTATGGATTTTTTCGACGTCACCGTTTTCGTCGGCTCGTCGTCTGCCGATCTCTTGGTCCTGTACCGTTCCATCATATTGTTCGCGTTTTTCTCGACTGAAACGATTAATACAAATACAAAATAAATAATATTCAAATATATTATATAGGTTTGGGAATAATATGGTTGGTGGTCTTTTACAAATTGTTAGGAATTGTTAAAAATTACAATTAGCGAGTCTTGGCAGTCTATAAACAGTTATTTCGCGCTCAAAACATTTACTTTACAGGAAAAACTCGCATGTGTCTGGTAGAGTGAATTGATTTAGAAGATTTTGGTTTTGTCGGAAAGGGGTTTATTGGGTGCTTCGATTTATTTATTGTGTAACAAAATGTAGATTTAATTTTATTGAAAGGATTTTTTTTTCAGTGTTTCGGAGAAAAAAAGAAGCTTAGCAAACATGTGCTCACGTATAAAATGTATAACATGTATAACGAAATCGATTTTAAAGATAAAACGCCTATTATTATGAAATATGTAGATGATGAAATTTCGAAGATAACCTCATAAGCGTTTCTCTAAAATGTTTAACTAACTTATCGAAGATACAAAAACTCGTATTATTTATGTATATTTTATTAACCCAACTATTTAATTGGTAATCGATATTTTAAAAACGTCTATGAGGTTATTTTCAAAAATATTTATATTTTAATGATATTTGCGTATGTTTACGTGAACACATGTTTCCTGTATTGCGAGGAAGAAAGACTACAGAGACGGAAAATGCTACTACGATGAAGACAAGGAAAGATATTATTTGTTATTGAGGTTGTTTTTTTTTATATATATAATATTATGTGAATTGAATATAATCAGTGGCGTATTTTGGGTAGGGGTGTCCTGAAAGCTAATCCCCCTGTCTTGATGAGTGTGTGAGGCAGATGATACTCATCATGAGTTTATGATCAATCTATCATAATATTTGTGGGAAAATATTTTCAGAATATTCCCCCCTCTTTCAAAAAAAAAAAAAAAATTTTAATATCTTAAATACGTCACTTAAGATAACAATATTATTGTTTGTTTATTAAACCTAAACAGTTAATACAATAAGTAGCAATCAAAGTTATATTCAAATTCATAATATAATCATTCTTACTTGTTCCGTCGTCGGTGTAGACTATCAGTAACGCCTTTTCGGACGATTCAAAATCAAACACGTCCATTATATGCGTTTGACCACCAGACGTGATCACGCATTGAACTATTATACCGTGATTTCCGTCAAAATTTTTCTCCGATAGCCTTTCAATGGCGGGCGTCACGTCAAAACTGATCACTTCGGATTTTAAAGCGGTCGATCTGTTTATCGATTTCGAATCTATTAGCCTAACAAATAATACGGATTTATTAGAAAAAATATAAGTATTACCTATAACATCATTGATTCGTATTATTCTTGTTATTATAATATAATTACTTACCTAAGTATAGGTTTTGAAAAGCCTTTTATGCCCGGTTCAATGATATCGTGTACAAGGACGTGGATAAATTCGTCGTCTTCCAATCGGGCTTTGTAAAACATTGTAATACGGACTTCGGCAGCCGTAACTTGTTCTCGTTCCGGCAAAGGTTGTATGTCGAACTGTAGTCGGTACCTTTGAGATTTTGAATTAATCGGAGGAGATCCTATATTCAAAAATATAATTTAAAAATCTTACGATAAGAAATTATCATACCTATATTATTTTGGGAACTCGTATTTATATTTTTAGGAAAACCGCATACAATTAAAATAATTTTTAAACCATTATATGTATTATAATTTATAACCAAAGTTGGGCAGGTCACTTATCGACAATTATTATTTATATTAAAGTTAAGTTTAGTTGAGAATTATAAAAAAACCAATCAAGGTTGGTAGTTGTTTTTTTAATTTGCGAAATTTCAAACTTAGTTAAATTAGGGTTATAAGTTGTTCGGTGAAAATCATAATTTAAGTTAGATTTTATGTAACGTCACTAACCTAAAAATCTAGTCGTTCAAAAATAAAACTAAATTATTGAAACAAATACAAACATAATAACGTACCACTGATTAATTATAACGTTTTTTTTTTTTGATGCAGTAATATTACGTATTAGATAATTCAAAATAAATATTATTGATTCTATTTTAATATTACAAATGTAATAGTAAGTCTATCTGTTATGTTTTTACGCTTAAACTGTTGAATCAATTTTGATGAATTTTGATAGACGGTACTTTGGAGAAAAACAAACATTATTTTTTGTCGCGAGAATAAAACTTGAAGGGAATGAAAGGTTTTTAAGTATTTTTGGTACGGAAATTAAATTATTTTTGTTAAATTATAGATGACCTTAGTAACACGGACTAATAAAAAAAATAAAAACAAAAAGAATAAATAGTAAACAGAAATAAAAATTTCATAACAACTATAACAACTTAATATAAAAAGTCTATCTAACTGTCTACCGGTTAGGTTAGCTTGAAATAGGCTGGGCTACCTAAGTAACATGGGTGAAAAAAACAAAACTATGCACTGTACTGGGTGGATAAGTGAAAACTGAAAACACGTAAAATGTAATTTTTTAATCTTTATGTTTTTTTGTACAGTACAACACTACATTACTGTTATATGTTCTCATGATTTTAGCGTTATTATAGTGAATATATAGTATAACCCCTGTGTTGTACGGGTATCTGTGGTGATACGAATGAATACACTCATAAACCTAGGTCTTTGGACACACTAGAACATTTTTAATAAAAAATTAGCACAAGTAATGGGCTCAGTAGTTTATAAATTCCATTGATAATATTATAATAGGTATTTAAAATATAGATTTTGAAAAAAAAAATTGATAGGTATTATCTATTATTTATTTTAAATGTTTTAGATAATAGAATATTTAAGGTACACCATATTAGGTTCGAAAGTTATTTAGAATTTAAACTGACTGAATAAGATCAAAGGTATTTACAAAAGTGACTTTTCAATTTAATGATTAGTTAATAATGAGTTTAGTATCCAGCATTGATTATAATGAAATAATATCGTATAAATCGCTTTTTGAAACCACTCTGGTCTGATTTGAATCCAGGGGGGGGGGGTTGTGGTGGTAAATTAATATGATAATATTTTATTGAAAACAAATTTTAGAGGGAGGGTCTAAAATGTATTTAATATAAATAAATATTATACATAAATATTTTTTACGTTTAAACGTACACCACTGAATCATTTCCCTAGCTACGGCTTTGGGTTTTCTGAAAATTCCAAAGAGGATGGTCATCAAATGCCCCTCTCAAATCTGTCATTGTAACGTACTTATAATTATTGTTTTTAAAAAGCTGTGTATATTGTGTGTAATATAAAAAAAATGTGATTAGTTTTTATAAATCGTATGTTGCAGTTACCTGTGTTGGTATACGTTCTAGCAGTATTGGCCGATTTTGTGTGCAAACCCGGAAGTGGAAAATTGGTCTTTGCAGTATTTTTTTCCGACATCGATTTATATAATTCCATCGTCGCACAAGGTATGTCGACATTTTTATTTACAATCGGTTTTCGGCTTAGACCTAAAGCAAACAAAACGAAGCAAAAATCAAAACCAAAATAATGAAAAAAAAATAAAAATATTTTGCCAATTGAATGGAAGGGGTCAATGGGTAAAGGAAATAACTAACATTTTTAAAATTGTTCAAGTGGATGATATTAAACGAAAAATTATTATAACACCTATACACATAAAAAAAAATGACGAATAGTAATCGGTAATAAAATACTAATTAATGCTACCATATAAATGCTGATCGGTGTTAATATACTATAGTTTTTGCTTCGAGATTTTGTATGCGTCTGTACTCTGTGCTACGTCAAAACAAGTCGATTTATAAAACAATACCAATTTCAAAAAATTTAAGTTCACACATTTATCCATTGACCCCTTAAATCATTCTATGTATTGGACATAAATTTACCTAATTTAGTTAAAAATTGTTTTTCCGCTTCTTCGTATGCGGTGACGGCCAATACGGTATGTAACATACTCAACAAAAACATTACAGTAATCATTGTACCTAAAATGAAAATAAAAAAAAAAAAAACCACATAGTTTCATTACTATATATTTATATATATGTATATTAAATATAATACAATAAAATCTATATTTATTTTGCGACATTAATGAGTATACAGAATACAGCGTAGATATGATACCTATTAAGTTTAAATGTATAAATGAACCAAACAAAAATATTACGTATTTAATGAGTACCTAAAAAACGTATCGTTTTATTATTATATTATTTTTGAATACCTCACGTCTTGTATAGGTATACAATTTAACAAACAAAAACCGTGTTTTTTTTTTTTTAGATTTTGAGCGCAGAGAGGAATGTAATTAAATTTGTTGAAACGTGATGTAATACCAAAATATTAATTTATCACGCTAATTTCAAATCACCTAGTACATAAACATTTTAAATTAATTTACACCTAAACATAATAACTGTATATTTTATGTATTAATATTATTTTAGAGCGCAGATTTGTATGCATTTGTATATTTATTCTGGTTGATCGTATGACATGCTAAGTGAGCACAAAATGTGTTTCATGACATAACGATTTAAAAAATGAAACTTTTTTAGTGCATTTTTACGGATATCTCGACATTAATCCATTTTTTTCTGTTTTCAAGGGCTTATTTTACAATTTTAATTGTATATTTCATCTTTTAGGGCATATTTCGATTTTTTTTTTTAGACGTTTTAGAAATATATACTATTGTAATATAAGAAAAAAATATTATATTTTTATAGTTTTATATATTTTTTATATTTTTATATAAATTAATAGGTATAAGTGTAGGTATAAACGGTTTTGCCAAATATGACCTTAGATCAAGTGAAAATCAGTGAAATAAAATACGTACACAAAGATAAGAAAATATCGATTACGACCATTGACCATTTAAATTATTTCAGTGCGTTCAAATATTTACCGTACGTTCGTGTGTGCTTTCTGTTGTAATTCAAGTTTTTATTACTTTATTTTTATCAAAATACCGGAAGATAAAACGTCGGTATCGAGAGTCTTATACATGAAAACCACTTACAAAATAATGAAAATGAAGAAAAGTATGTATAGTAGGGTTTCTATAATTTTAAATTGAATGTTTTAATTAAATGTTCAAAAAAAAACATTTTTTTTATGCATATTTTTTATTTTTCATGCTTATTTTAACATTTGAGTGCATTTATTTATGATTTTTAGCGCATATTTGGTTGGTTTTTAGTGCATATAAATCCGTGTTCTATTTATTAATGATATTATATTTGGGAAAGATGGAAATCTATACACTTTTCATAAATAAACCATTATGCCAATATAATTAATAATTACTTAGAATGATTATCAATTTTCTGTGAAAGAGTACTTTACATAAGTAATACGGCTGCAGTATTGTGATGGAGTACACTAAACACCTGCGTACAAAGTTCCACCAGCAGAATATTTTTCCCATACTTATTTTGTATAATAGACATATTTTTTTAAATCAATTTACTTATCAAAATTACACATCATTGAATATTTTAACATCAAAAACGTATTGCTCATACCTACGCTAGAGCCATCACTGGGGCCCGAGGCAACCCCAATGATGCAATTGGAGAGGCTCGAACTCCACTAAAATATTAAGTTAATGTGATTGTCGGGGATCTATTTCTGCATTTAGAGTATTCAGATTATCAAGGGGGATAAGCCTCCCTAGCCCCTTAATTGTGCCACTAGGAAACCCTATATGCCAATTCATTCTGTCGCTTTCTTTTGAAGAGGTGTCTTACCTAGCATATACCAACTCTTTATTATGACAAAACGTCTCACAAAAAATCAACATTACTTTATAAGTTTAGAATACCTTGCCTAGAAGCATACTGTTTATATTACGGGAACAAGTTTCCTTATGATAGGTTTGGCCACTATTTATGGTTTACATATTTTATGAATTTAGAATTGTTTGCTATTGTTGGTATTGAGTTAATTTTGATTTAATGAAAAAAAAAAATTAATAATAATAAAAGACAACTATACTTCGCACGATGGGTGGGAACAACTCGCTTAATTAAAATATCTATAAATAGCTCAAAAATGGCTAAAATATTTTGAAAATATTTCCATATTTATAAAAAAAAATATAAGGTTTATATTTAAATCTCAAGTCTCTATGGATATTTTTGAGAGAATTACAGCAAAAAAAAAAAAAAAACAAATTAAAAATAATAAAAGTATTATTTTCGTAAATTTTCCCGTTTTTTCCTATTTATTATGAAAACTCCTGTGCAAATCAAAAAATGGCTTATTTAAAGTATTACCCCAGACAAATTTCCTTTCAGAAAAGATACTATATTTGAAAATCGGAGCAATATCTACACATATTTTTCGCTTTGTCAGAATCTAAAATTTAAAAAAAATATCAAAATCCTCGTTAAAATGAATTTGATTAATTGATTCTGTTTTAAAAGGATTATTAAAAATCCTGGAAATTAAATTGACACGGGTGGAATAGCAACAGATAGACCTAATAGAAGTCAAATAATTTGTGTTCGTGATTATTCACTTTTCGCCACAACTACTCACCGCCATCCGTTATGGTGGTTAAAGGTATATCTAGAGTTTTTGCAATTTGGTACTAAGCGGTGATCGTATGATAGTGGATGGCAAAAATGTCTTTTAACACATTCAACTTCCAACTTTGCATGCAAGCAAATGGGTTATGATTTAGAGACAGTAGAGAGTTGGGGTGAAATGACTTCCGAAAAAGAAGTGTTGGATTTGATGGTTGAGAGAGGATGATGGTGAGAGTAGGGGTTACCATAAGCATTTAATTTCGGTCAGCGCGGTATGTGGGTCAACTGCGTTAGGGGTGGAGCCGTGAAGGCGTTCAACTATGTAGTGATCCGAAGGAAATAAATGCAAACAGTATTTATTATTAGGAGAACACGGGGAGAAACTTTTTTATTGTTTGTTAATTTGTGTGTGATACTATGCACAGGTAAAGCCGTCGTACGGGATAGTTAATATAATATACTGATACTCCTATGTATATATAAATTCGAAAATAACCGGTAAACTATATTTAGGAGTACGGCTGTTAAGAGGACGTCACATCCACATATTTTACTGTCTCAGTATAATTATTATCGGTAAAAATAGCCAAAACATGCTTACGCAGATTAAGTAGAACTCGCTTAATTTTGGTTTTAGAGTAAAAGCATTTATTGTAAAATTATAAGAGAACAATATTACGGAAGACAACACGATGCGTTTTTTTCCGTTATTCAAAATTTAATGCTCAACACATCGTTAAAAGTAAGAAACTATTTCAACAATTTTAAATGACTGTACATTTTTAAAATGTTAGTTTTGTGTGTTTTATAATAGCTAGGTGTCACACATGAAACTGACAAAGATTGACGTAGTGATATGATTAACAATTGTCCAAACTCAAATATTAAATTCACTGACATCCAAAAATGTTTTTACCCATTTTTTTAATCTTTTGATAAATAAAACATTTTACGGTTATATTTGTAATATAACGTAAGAAAATACGAACAAATAATTGATTTTGTCAACTTTAAAATTTAACTATTGTTGAATGGCCGATTCGGTAGTTTAGATTTCCAGGTTTGGAAGGGCATATTATAGCCCCCCTCTATCTCTAACCCTGTGGTATTTTCAGATTTGTTGAATGGAAAGTATGAATATTTAGTAGGTTAGATGACCGTGCAGGAAGCTGTTACTATGGAAAGCCATAAAAACCAAAAAAAAAAACAAAAAAAAAAAAACGGGATGTTGGCGGTAGAGGGGGTATGACCCTCCTCTCGCGAGGATGTCTCTAATAGTGTTTTTACAAGCATTATATTCACTACAATTTTTCGCATTTTAAGTTTCTAATTAGGAATTTTTTTTAAAAAAAATAGGATAGCTCTTTAAATAGAATGCGTATTGTTATTATTTATTGGTGACTTTAACAATCACTTATAAAATATCGTTTGAGGCGTTTTGATTTTCAAAACCGTGCGTAACTTTATGTGCAGGTATACCTGATATACACGATAGGGTGCCCTGCACCATTAACTGCACTTGTGTAAAAAAACTTGGTGAAAAAACCAAAAACATTTCTCATTGTACGTTCCAGAATCAAAAAAAAAAAGTTACAATTTATCCGAGTCGATGACATGACGTGATTTTTGTCGCACTATCGCCGGGTTCCAATAGAAATAATTATAATAGGAGCGCTTAAAAAGAAAGAAAAAATAATAACAAAAAAGTAGTAGAGGATAGTTCGGATCCCCTTCCCCTGCATTTCAAGCACTGTTAATTCGTAGGATATCCAATGTGTGCAGTATACATCAATACCTGCAGTAATGACGGTTTACTACGGATTTATACCCGTGTTGAACGACCGAACGTGCAACCGTCGTGTCCGCCACCGTCAATTAATATTATATTGTAATATATTACAACAATGATTATTGAACGTTTTGCTCACCCGATGCCATCACGGCGGTATTGCTGATGCGCACTGTGTCGACGTCGTTTCGGCGGTTCAAACCATAAATGCGGCGCGTGTACGCACGAATACTCGCGGACGCGTAGCGCGGAAGTTCTCGGACGTCGATATTGACGGGCGACACGGTAAAAACGAAAATCGCGTATTTCGCGGCGGGTTTACGCGGCAGACCGCACTGGTGTAGTTTCGGTAGTGCACCAGCGTGGTGCACGAGATGCGATAATATTATTTAGTGTTTTTGACGCACGACCGGACCGGACAACAGACGATGGCGAAATGATGACCGCAGGGTCTCTCACTCTCTCTATCAATCCGTCCATCCGTCCGTCACTCTTTCTCTCTCTCTCTCTCTCTCGGTCTCTCGCTCGGGGGTGAGTCGCAGAGTGGCCCGGGGCGGCGGCGGCATTGTGTGCGCGTAAATAACGCACGCTGCACATGTGACCGCCGCCGCCGCAGTGGAAATCGGCAGACAAACAGGCGTCCGCGCGCCGTGCCGCAGGTATACGCGGCACGGCCGGCCGGCGGCGCGCGCGGGAGGTGCGGGGATTGGTCAAAAGGGCGTGGTTTTTTTTTTTTTCTCGATTTCTGGAAACCACATTTCTCGGCGTGACCGGACCCGGGTTTAATATACGACGCGTACTACACAACAGTGCCTATGAACCGAACCAGAGTGTCCTATTATTTAATTCTTTTTTTTTTTTTTTTTTCTGTTCCTTCCGACCGTTTTGCACTGCATACTGTTATTGCTGTTGTTGTTGTGGTTGTTGTTGTTGTTTGTCGAAATTCCACTGGGAGGCGGGAAAATATTGTAATACAGTAACGCTGTGTTATACACATAGGTACGTTTGTACCTACAATCCTTCCGGCCGCCGCCGCCGTTACGCGCGCAGCACGTGCCGCCTCGCGCCGTATGCTGCTGGGTTCGTGTGCCGGCCGAGAGTAAAGTCTGTCTCCGTCGCCCGATTATTGTCAAGCGTTTATCGTATTCGACTAAATAATTATTGCAGGGTCCGACAATGACGGGGGGAAAAAAAAAAAATAAATCCGTCGACCTTTTTTTTTTTTTCTATTATCAACGCGCAGCGTGGTGAGTAACATTATATTGTTTATAATGCCGTCATCGGAGATTTACGATTCGAAAAAGAACAACACTGTTCGCGGCCGGCGACACGATCACGAACGAATTTATCGGAACAGTTTTCCACGGATATAATTATTATAGTCACGTGTATAATCAACACAAGATCGTTTCCGTAGTTTCGTCCGTTATATTACTATTGTCACAGTGTTTCGGTATCCGCATAATACATTTTGTGCGCGCAATAATACGCGTTTAATCGATCGCATTGCTATTATGCACGCGCGTATAGATGCATACATACGGTACGATACGCGTATTACAGAGCCGTATGATATCCGTGACAATTGAAAACCGCCGGTAATTGTTTTAATGACGAATATCATAAACACGCGGTGATATTATAATTAGTGATTACTGTTTAACGATTGGCAACGTAACGATATTAATAGTATCACATTATTACGTCGAGCGTTGAGCGCGGCCGGAAAGAACGATTTCCGTATACCCAAGTACCGTGCGTGCGCGGTAATTTTAACGAACGCGCCTTTGGTTGTTCGCCGCCGAGAGGGCGGCGCGAGCGACGGATAGGCAAGCAATTGCCGCGTTTCGGCGGCGCAGTCCGTAACAACTATCGGTTACTATGCAGTTTACCCGGGAGAAACCGTTTTCGGCGGTTATTATGTTCGCGGCGCGGTGACCGTTTGACAACTGAATGCACTTTTTCAAAACCAAAGCCGGAACCATTGAACGATTAACAGGCCGGTCCCCCGGCTGTCCGTCGCGGTAAAAAATACCGTATGCAAATTGCAAACGAAATATCGTTTTCGCGATATCGCAACCGTACGCAGCAAATAACGCATGAATGCAGCAAACTGCCGAAAACCGCATCGCTAAAACACGCCCAATATTATTGCCGTCTCGTATACGTCGAGTCTTGTGCGGGATCTGCCTGCAGGAGCGTACACGCGGTTGATTTTGATGTCTAATATCCACCCATCGCCTTTTTTTTTTATTTTTATACAAAACTTTGCGTGCACCTAAATTGTTTTCGTCTTCGTTAGGAATTTGTTCGCCACTGATGTCTCCGTTCCCCCACACACAATTTATATGGTCACCGTCACCTGGTATTTCGCCTGTGGACTCAATCTCTTTCCATAGGGGGTTTTTCCCGTCTCTTTATCTAAACCTATCAGGGTTTTTTTTTTTTTATCGAAAATAGATTTTGGGATTTCACTTAGTGGCCACTTTCTTGGAGTAATATTAGGTTTTCACCAACTGATAGGTTTTCGTAGGATCTATATATAAAAAAAATCCTACAAAAACCTATCAGTTGGTCAAACTTAAAAAAAAAATATTAATGTGACAACGTTACACCGAAATAGGTTGTATTCAATCATTTATTTCGTCGTTTTTTTCGATATTTGTCGGCATGCTTATTGTAGTTTAATCATAACGTGTGATTCATAAGTGTATTCAATTATTCGTATTGCCCATTGCAGGGCAGTACTAATATCGTTTGTTTTTCCTTATCAAACGCGTATGTATAAACCGGGAATAGCAAACATTCTGTAATATTCTTCAAACGATTTATTTGTAATGTCGTACCGACGATAATCCGAGAAAAATCGTTCGGGGTATAACAATAATATTGTGTATAGAACCTTTTTTTTTTTTGTATATAAAACGCGTGCATTCAATATTGTTACTATGGGAGTTCCGTTTAGTTGTTTGGACACTAGACGGCTCGACGCCGATGTCCAGCTGCTCTACAAGTATAATATACATGTATGTATATACCGGTAAAGCCAGATGTGTGTTATGATGGGTTAGCGGCGGGTGGTCGTGGTGCTGTATGGTATCTTATTTTCTTTCTCTCTCTCTCTCTCTCTCTCTCTTTTGTGTTGTTCCTCATAATATGATATTCTTGTAACATCACGAAGTACTACAAATGATGGCGACAAAGGTCAATATTTAATGGGCCGCCCGCCGCCGCCGCTGATAAATGTTGGTGCCACGCAGTCTGCTTCGGCCAGTCGACGTAGTAATCACTTATTTGCCCACATGACCACCCTACAATATATTTTTATAAAGGATACACAATATACAGATACAGGGTATATACTATTATGTACCTATGAATAAATATTATATTTAACCGTATAAGTGCACGTTTAGCCGTTTAGGTGTAAACGGGTTGAACCTATCGAACATAATTTTTAGGTGATGACCCGCGACGGTACTGAGTGATGTTTCGAGTTCGAAAAACTTCGGGTTCAATCCTTAAAAGTTAGTTTTCAACGTTGTGATAAAAGTGGTGCTGATAACGGAATTTACTGCAGAGTTATATGAAGAAAAATCCGAAAAAAAATTACATATCGATTAATTTCTACATATATATATATATAATAATATAACATATCAGAGGCTAAAATATATGCTTTTACGTACGGCATACTTTATATCAAACTATACTATATCATACCTATCATCACTTATCTATCCCACAATGGAATCATTCCAATTTTTGATTGGGGATGGTGGGGAAGGTGAAATATTTGATCAGCACATCAACGAAATAATAACCGTTCGCAAATTAATCTCAATTTACATATTCCTCAATGTTTTATCGTAGTATAAGGATAATATATATAATGGCCCATTTTTTTTTCCAGAGGAGGTGGAATGCGATTGACAATGTTATGAAGACGGCCGCGGTATATATAAGAATAATTTGGATGGTCGAGTTAAGTGTAAATTTAAGACAATAGTGACCGACCCCGACTAGTTGGAATGAAAGAGGAGAAAAAAAAGACGTTAAAATAATCAAGTAGTATAATCAGGTATTATAATATTATATCTTCTATAAGTTAATTACATCTTAAAAATCAACATTTTTACATCGCCAGAATAAAGTTATTTTAAACTATTTTGTATTTGTAATACCATCGTTCTATATAGTCGATGGTTTTAACTTTAAAATAAGTACCTATATTGATGTGTAATATTGTATGTCATATATTTGGCAATAGAGAGTTTTCTAAAATTATGTCTCAAGAGTGTTGATAATGTGCATTTAGTATAATAGGGGGTCATACGCATTATCAAATGTGTATTTTATGTGGCAATTTATAAAAGGATAAATAAAGAATAACATCAAGGACTTTTGGTATTGTTAAGTTTTTGATATATTGTGTTTATCTTTCTATATCAATATTTTTTGGAAAGATTTTAAATTAATTTTAAACTCAATATTGATTGGAAATCGAACAACCAGTTAATGTGGAGTATTTCCCCATACATTATTAAAGTCACTTTCGATACTGAATAGACGATTTTTATGTTATATTTCAATGTGATTTATATTGTGCGTTTCAAATATAATTTTTAATTATGTGTACTACAGTTTAAATAGTTCAACATTTAACTTGGGTAACCCGGACTTTTTACTTGTTATCAAAATAAATTGAGAAGTTTTGAAATGATTTAAATCATGGTTTACTCAAATTAAAAAAAAAAAGTTATTTTTCTAATTTTAGATTCTGAGCAGAGTGAGAAATGTATTGGTTTTACAATGATATTTTTTAAATTTTTTTATACTGAAAGTAAATCTGATTGGGGTGGTGCTTTAGGGGGGTTAGGTTTTTTGATTTTAACAGGAGTTTTTCCAAAAAAAAAAACGAAAACGGGAAAGTGTACGAAATGTCGGTAATAGGACAGAAAAAAAATATTACGGGCTTTTTTTTCCTGTGAACAACTTATCTACCAGCAATTTTGTTTCGATTTACAATGATAGCAATTTTTCTGAAAGGAAATCTGACTGGGGAGGATTTTTCCCAATAAATGAAAAACGGGAAAATGTATATATAAAATGTTGGTAATATAGAAAACTCATGTACTCACTACTCATCAAATGATTAATATATAAAATACATTTTTTTTAAAATATATATATATATATATATTTTGTTATATTATTCCAGTATTTTTATTATGGAATGAACTATTGAACTACGCTAG